TTCATAACCATAATAAGGTCCTATATTGAATTAATGTTATAATTATAAAAAAAGGAAGAAATTTTTTTCGATAGTAACGATCCTCAAATGTCGAAAATTATGTAGATAACAAGTGAACATCTACCTGGGAATCGTTGTAAGACGATAATTAGTTCACCATGTATTGGATTAGTCTTATTTTGCGGAAAAAAAAAAAAAGAACAAACAAATTCTTCAGACACTGTACTCATATGCCATCCACGTAATTTTCAACGTGTTACATAAGCAATTTTGGCGCTTTGGAACTATTTCTTGTCAATTTTTTTTAGTTATAGAACTAATACTTCACATTATTTAATTATAGTTCTAAAATAATAAAAGGATCAGACTAAAAAAAATAAAATTTTTTTCTAGTTTATATAAAACATCATTATATGAAATTTAGTTATTGAATAATTCTGGTGTAAATTTTTTCGATCATTTTCTTTTTTTTTTTTTTCTTAATCTGATTTCCTATCATTTGAATATATTAAATGCGTATACAAAATTTTACACGTAAAACAGCATGAGTTTGTTTGTAAGTTTTTTATTCAATTTTTATTATTCATAAAAAATTCCCAAACATATCAAATAAAAGTATTTTATTTTTTATATTATACTAAAATTAATTTACATTCAAAATGAAGAATCGAGTTATATAAATATATATATCAAATAATTATTTGAATTTAAATTTTTAATATTCAAAATCAAACTTCTGTAAGGGTCTGGTTTGCAGGGTATTAGGTTCGGAGATTTACCCAATGTGCATTTTCGGGTAGCGGCTGCAGGTTCCCGCATCATCCAAAAAAAAAATCCCGTAAAAAATAGTTTGTTGATGTTGATCGGAGATAAACTCATGACTATATATCCTCAAATGTAATTTTTTTTTTTTTTTTTGAGCCTAGTTTGCATGCTATTAATAAATTGTAAAGTATAACTTGAAATTATTTTATTTTATTTTATTTTATTACACTAATAATTATGTGGATTATCAAACTTAATCAATTCACAAGTCAAAGAAATAGCAAAAGCCTTCCTGTGCTATCATCATTATTTAAGTAAATTATATTTTAAAAATAAATAATTACATAGCATTTAATTTAATTTAATGCATGTGCTAAAAGTGAAGTCTGTAGCACACTGTTACATTCTTCATCAATTGAACCCTACACCTACCCTAACCCTAACCCTAACCCTAACCCTATCCTATGAAGCTAATTAATTAATTAATTAATTAATAATAATGGCTTTTGTCCGCAAATGTCACACAATTTAGACACCTTATTGAGTTTACTTAAATTAGGGTTTCGTCAAAATGGAAACACTCAATTAGGGACCATATTATTTGGTCTCTTATTCATTGCAATTTTTTTTTTTTTATTATATTAATAGTTTAATGCGCGTGATTTTATTTTATTTTATTTACTTGAATTTTATTTTTATTAAATAAACAAATAGATAAATGGGAAAAATAAGTAACAAAATAAAATTACCGCTTTGGGGACCAAAATAGAATAAAATTAATTTTGGGTGAACGTGTGGTGTGTAAGAAATTGAAATTCCCAAGGTAGGTAATTAGGTAGGTTTGCCTAGGTGACGGTTAATGATCATAAATTCATCATCACCAGCCCCAAGGATCATTTATTCACGCTAAAAATATTGTTATTTTACTTTTTAATGAAAATTTAATTTTTCTGTGCGAGCGATTAATGTTAATATTATTTTAACATATGCAGTAAAAAATAATATTACCACCGCCCGCGTTTGTCTTGGTCACTGTACAAACGAGAATTTAGAATAATAATTATTAATAGATACTTAAGAATATATTAGTGAAAATAATTAATTTAGGGTGTGTTTGTTTGAAGGATTTTGGCAGATTTCCACTATTCATCCAATTTTTTCCCCCCAAAAACATCAAATCAAATACCTATTTTTCATTTTGTATATTATACTAAAAATCAATTTTACATTCAAAACATCACATCAAACCCTATTTATATCACATCATAAAACTATTCAAATTCAAAATTTTTACTATTCAAATCCCAACTCAAAATCCAAACCTCCAAACAAACACACCCTTATAATATAAATCATTTAAAATAATTAATTAGTTTAATTAAAATTTAAAAAAAATTAAATTAGAAAATTTAAAATAAAATTAAGATGGGTAATCATTTTTAAAAAAAGAAAGTGACATGAGATGTGAGACGGACAGAAACAACAATATGAACATTGTAAGTGAGACGGAGAGAGTAATATTTAATATAAAACTAAATCAATAAAAAATAAAATAAAATTATTATAAAATATTTTTTTAAAAGAATTATAAAAAAGGTATGATAGGTAAAATTAATATGAATAAATTAATTATTATTTATTAAAATAAAAATAATAAAATTATACTCCCTCCATCCCATTGAAAGATTGTCATTTTCTATTTTCGTCTGGTCCAAAACAAGGTTATCATTTCGTAATTTAGTAATTGTACTACCTACTTAACATAATAAATACCCTTTCAACTTACAATATATTTCACAAATACTATTTTTATATTACACCATACTAATAGGGGTATTTTTGTCTTTACTATCATCCAATATAATACTAATATTAAAAAATCTACGTGCAAAAAGCAAACAAGCAAACGTCACCCTTCCAACGGGACGGAGAGAGTAAAAAAATTAAAAAATTTACTACAGTATAAATTATTTATAAATTTAATAGATAATAAAAAATAATAATAATAACGGTAAGAAGTATAATTTTGTCATTTAAGTTTTACTTTTTATTTTTTTTAGTTGCTATTAAAAATTGTTTCATTTTATTTTTTAAAACAAAAATTTATTCTCCCTCTCAATTCAAGATACATTTTTTACCATTTTTATTTATTTCATTTTAAAATATTTCTTTCTTATTTCAAAGAAAATAATTATATACTAATACAAAAATATATTTAATTTTTACTCAAATTACAAATATACAATTATACATACAATTATTTTATACATGAAATCAAAGGGTAAAAATGTAAAATTATCTTACGTACTTCCATTAACCAATAAAATACTACTTCTTCCGTCCCACTTACCATGTCCATATTGTCGTTTATGTCCGTCTCACATCTCATGTCACTTTCTTTTTTTGGAAAATAGTTACCCATCTTAATTTTTTTTTAATTTTAATTTTAAATTTTTAAAATTTTAATTAAACTAATTAGTTATCTTAATATTAATTTATAATTATTTATATTATAGGTTAATTATTTTTTCTAATACATTCTTAATTATCTACGAATTATATTTATCATAATTTTCCGCGTCTACATTGACCAAGACACCCAACGTGGGACGAAGGTAGTATTATTTATTAATCTACTACAAAACTTCAAATAAACTACTCCCTCCGTCCACGGATAAAGTATACATTTACTTTTGGCGCGGAGTTTAAGAAATAATAGTATTTTAATTATAGTGGGTAGGTAAAGGTAATGTAATGACATTTTTGCCCTTGCTTTTTGGTATAAAAGTAATGATGTGATGTAAAGTAAGGATATTTGTGAAAAAAAGTGAGGTATTTAATGAAATGATTACTTTGTAATTTGACGAAATATATATAGTTTGTAGCTGGACGGAGGAAGTATTTGATAAAGGGACAGAGAGAGTACACTTTTTTTTTTTCTATTTTCACTATAAATAATTTAAGTAACAAAAAATATACTCTATATTTTAATTGGTTGTTTGAATTTGATTTGAAATTTTGTTTAAATAATATTTTAATGTAATATTTTGTGAAAGACAATAACATATTTTTATTAGAAAACTTTTTTTTTAATAATAATAATAATAATAAAAAAAAAGATTATTTGAGTTTCTTAAGAAAAAATTCGGAACCGTGTTCAATGAATTTTAATAAACAAAAAAGGAATAACAATTGAATCAAGAAAGCAAGGAAAATAATTAGGAAAAAGCAATAAAAACAAAAAAATAATGAAAAGGAAGAAAAAACAAAAGCATGAAGAGAAAAAAATAAATTGAAAGAAAGGATAAAAAAGGAAAGCAGAATAATCAATGAAATTGTTTGTTGTTACATTTATATTTTATATTATTATAATTAATATTAAAAATATTTTTATATTCGTATAATTTTTTAATAAATATTATTATATTAGTATCATCAGACATTAATAAAAAAAAATTATTTTTATTTTTTTATATTATATTTTGATATAATAATTAATATAATAAATTTTTGGAGTTGATCATCTTGCCTTTCTGCCCTCAGGGGATGCTGTTTTTATTTTGGCCAGAGTCGTGTACTAACAACTAAATCTTATCAGCATTTAATTTTCATGTTTTTATTCAAATTCAATTCTTAATCAAATTTATTCCAAAAGTAATTTTAGAATAACATATATATATAATTATTATTTAAACATAAATAAAAAATAAATAAAATACTATTATATATTTGAATAAAATAAAATAAAATGTCATATCTATCAAAAAAATTCTACTAACTTTGAATCAAATATGAACAAAAACTTGAATAATAAAATTGTTTAAAGAATTGAATTTCAAAAATAAAAATAATTAAACTCAAATGTTTAATAAACGAAAGGTTAGTATTTCATGTGATATATTTTTTTTGTAAGAAAAACAAAATCTATTTAATTTGATATTTTTTAAAAAATAAATAATGTCAAATAAGTAAAAATATGTAAAATAAACAAAGTCTAACAAATACAAACATTTCTATGGAATCACAGTCTATAGTATGTCTTCAGGTCATCTGTCACACATGTTTCGCCTAATATGATTTGCGTTGTCAAATCTAGTTTTCAAAATATTAGATTCTGTTGAAATTTATCCAGTGCAACTACGACTTCTCTCGCATCGTTTAAAAAACAAAAAAAAAAAAAGACCCCTCCTTCTTCTTCTTCTCCTCTATATATACACACGCTCTCCTCTATACATACACACTCCACTTCCCCTTCTTTCTCCACACCACCCACCTCTCTCTCTCTCTCTATATGTATAAACTCTCTCACTCTAAAACCATGCCTGAATACCCCAACGAAACCAACAACAATGCCGCAGAGAACAACCGCAAAAAGCTCGAATTCATCAATGACGTCACCAAAAACGCCGACGAGGTCCAGGCCCGTGTTCTCTCCGAGATCCTGACCCAAAACGGCCGTGTTGAGTACCTCCGCCGCCACGGCCTCGACGGCCGCACCGACAGAACCACCTTTAAAACCACCCTCCCCGTCGTCTCCTACGAGGACATCCTCCCCGACATCACCCGCATCGCCGCCGGCGACTCCTCGCCGATCCTCTCCTCCGAACCCGTCTCCGAATTCCTCACCAGCTCCGGGACCTCCGGCGGCGAAAGCAAGCTCATGCCGACGATCGAATCGGACCTCCGCCGGCGGTCGGAGCTCTACAGCCTATTAATGCCGGTGATGAGCCAATTCGTCGCCGGCCTAGATTCCGGCAAGGGGATGTACTTCCTCTTCGTCAAATCCGAGACCAAAACCCCCGGCGGCCACCCGGCCCGACCGGTGCTGACAAGCTATTACAAAAGCCCGGTTTTCAAAAACCGGCCGTACGATCCGTACACGGGTTACACGAGCCCTACCGAGGCGATATTATGTCCGGATTCGTACCAGAGCATGTACGCGCAGATGCTCTGCGGCTTGGCGGCGCGCCGCCGCGTCCTCCGAGTCGGCGCCGTCTTCGCCTCCGGATTCATCCGGGCCGTCCGATTCTTACAAAATCAGTGGCAATTACTCTGCCACGACATCCGATCTGGCACCGTTAATCCCCTCGTCTCCGATCCGACGGTCAGGGACGCCGTGACGCGCGTCGCCGGCGGTCCCGACGCCGAGCTGGCGGCGGCGGTGGAGGCGGAGTGCCGGAAAGAGTCGTGGCAGGGAATTATCCGGCGGCTATGGCCGAACACGAAGTACGTCGACGTAATTGTGACGGGGACGATGTCGCAGTACATTCCGACGCTGGATTATTACAGCGACAAATTGCCGCTTGTTTGTACGATGTACGCTTCGTCGGAATCTTATTTCGGCGTCAATCTGAACCCTCTCTGCGACCCCGCCGACGTCGCCTACACGCTTATCCCCACCATGGCGTATTTTGAATTTCTGCCGCTCCACCGCGGCGGCGCCGCCGCCGGTGATTCCGACCACCGGGACCTCGTCGACTTAGTGGACGTCCAGCTCGGAGAGGACTACGAGCTCGTCGTCACCACCTACGCCGGTAATTAATTTTATCACACACTCCGTTGTTATTATTATTATTATGTTAATTTTAGTGTTCTTATTGATCGTTTTATTATTTTAACTTTTTTTTTAAAAATATTTATTTTTATTTATTTTATTACATTAAAATCTAATTTTAAATTTAAAATATTATATTAATACATATTTATATTACGTCAAATTACTATTTTATTTTAAAATTTTATTATTTAAAACAAAAATCAAAAACTATAATATGACAAATAAATACATTTTTTTTTTAAGAAATGGAGTATATATTGCTTCCATCCTAAAAAATTATATATTGAGTTATGTACATTTATTTAAAGTAAATGAGTTTATCTATTTATAATTTTGTTAATTCTATTTTAGAAAAAAATAAATAATTAATAATAAGTTTGTTCACTATAAATGAATTGATTTTTTGTGTGGGGATGGAGAATTACGTTCGTAATATAAAAAAAAATTGTATTGATAATATAAAAAATAATATTTTGTATTGAATAATTAATTTTTATGAGTGAATGATGTATATTATATTAATATGTATATATATTTGTATTTTTTTATAATAATTTTTATAGAGAATTGTTTAATTAAAAAATGACTGAGGAACAGATTGAATAATTTTGTCACAATATTTTTATTTAATTAAAAGAAATCAAACTCCAACGTTCCAAACATAAGTAATTTAAAACTAAAATTGATATACTTTATCTAAATTCACGTATTTTTATTACCGCAATTGTCCGACATCGACGGCAGGGCTCTACCGGTACCGTGTCGGCGATATTCTTCGCGTCGCCGGATTCAAGAACAACGCGCCCCAATTCAATTTCATCTGTCGAAAGAACGTCGTCCTAAGCATCGACTCCGACAAAACGGATGAAGTCGAGCTCCACAACGCCGTCAAGGCCGCCGCCGCGCATCTGGCGCCATTCCACGCGCATTTAACGGAGTACACGAGCTACGCCGACACGTCGACCGTTCCCGGCCACTACGTGCTCTACTGGGAGCTGAGCCAGGAGGGGCCGTCACCGCCGGTCCCGATTCCTCCGTCAGTCTTCGAGGACTGTTGTCTGACAGTAGAAGAGTCCCTCGACACCGTGTACCGGCAAAACCGGACGGTCGATTGGATCGGGGCTTTAGAAATCAGAGTTGTCGAAGTCGGGACTTTCGACAAGCTGATGGACTACGCCATTAGCCTCGGGGCGTCTATTAATCAGTACAAGACGCCCCGGTGCGTCAAATTTGCGCCGATAGTCGAGCTAATGGAATCGAAAGTGGTGTCGAAATATATTAGCCCGAAGTGTCCGAAATCGACAACTCCGGGCCTCAAAGTAATGGAGTGAATTTCGATCAAAAAAATTGTTGTTATGGTTAGGTCCTTAGCTTCTTCTTGTGTTTCTTGTAATGTTTGAGTTTGATTTATTAACTTAGGATTTGTTCGGTTGTGATCTGAGTACTGTTGTGTTGTATAAAAGCTACTATTGGGATGTTAGAGTAAATTTTTTTATTTCAATCATATCAAAATGTATATATTAGAGTAAATATTTTTATTTATCATCTATTATTAGCAGAAGTAAATTTTTTTTTTACGAAAATATTAAATCAAATATCTATTTTTAATTTTTTTTTATATTATATTAAAAATTAATGTTACATTAAAAATATCATATATGGAAGATCTATCGGAGAAGCCAAATTGTTTGTAAATGGTGGAATTATCCAGACATTATCATAGTCTTTCACCAAAAACCTAATCATTCTTACAAAGTAAGAAGTACAGTAATTTTTATTTATTTTGTAAAGAGGATAATGTGACTGCAGTGCATGCATTTATTTAAATAATGGGAGCAATGATTCCCATCCATCTTGGGAGAAGCACAAAAAAGGAATAACAACTTCTATTCTAACTGTAATTATAACAGACAACAAAACTGGAGAGGAACCCACAAGGACACGTGGCACCATATAATAGGATTTTGGTCATTAAATTTAATTATTTACCTATCATTAAGTAATTGTTACTGTTAAATGTTTTTTTTTATTATTTAAGAATTTCTTTTACTTCTTCCGTTCCAGATACTATGTCCATATTGCTGTTTCTCTCTATCTCACGTACTATATCACTTTCATTTTTTGGAAAATGATTACACACTTTAATATTATTTTAAATTTTTAATTTTTTTTAATTTTAATTAAACTAATTAGTTATCTTAATCTTAATTTATAATTATTTATATTATAAGATAATTATTTTCACTAAGATATTCTTAATTATCTACTAATTACAACCCTCCTAAAATACCGTGTCTACAGTGTAGCAGACACGGTATCTGGGACGGAGGGAGTATTAATATTACTATTAGAAAAATAAAAGAGCGAAAATGTACATTGAGGGTGTGTTTGTTTGGAGGTTTGGATTTTGAGTTGGGATTTGAATAGTAAAAATTTTAAATTTGAATAGTTGTATGATGTGATATAAATAAGTATTGATGTGATGTTTTGAATGTAAAATTGATTTTTAGTATAATATAAAAAATAAAAAATAGGTATTTGGTTTGATATTTTTTTGAAAAAAAAATTGGATGAATTGTGTAAATCCAATTCAATCCCCAAAACAAACACACCCTGAGTTTGTTCATTTATAATTTTTTAAATAAATAAAAAAATATATTAATAAAAATAATTATTATATAATACAATTAATATTAATATAATTAAATAATTTAATTAAAATAAAAAATTATATATTATAAAATTTAAAATGTGATTATATTATATAACTATTTTTATTTAAACAAAAAATGAAAAAGACAAATCATATAGGACGAATAGAAATGAAAAAAATAGACAATTTATGTATAATTTCACCAATATAAATTTACATAGTACATTCATCAAAAAATACAAAATACATAAATTCATTAATATACTCAAATGATAATATATGTTTGCTATAAATAAATTATACATAAATTTAATATTTAACATATAACTAAAAAAAATAATGACAATTATTTTAGGCGAAGAAAATAATATATTTACAAAAACTGTTATAATTATATAGTAATAAAATTTTAAGTAAAAAAAATTATATAGAAAAATTAAAAAATATATATTTATTTATTAACAGTAATTTTTAAATAAATTATCATAGCAAATATATTTTCTTCAATATAAATATCAAATGTCTCAATTTATATATATATATATATATATATTTACCAAATTTATTGAAATTGCAAAGTTGCAAAGCTCCTATTTAAAGGGAGCATTAGTTTGGTAAGATAGACAACACATTAGTTTGCTTCTATGTCGGCGGGGTCCACGTGGACCGGAAAACGCGGGAATAACTCGGACCGGAAGTAGGGGACCACCTCTATCTGAACGCCACGTGTCGTTGACGAACTGTACGGTGCTTTTGTTTGGCCCCACCAACAATTTGCCCAATTTGACAAATGCTAGCCACCTCGATTTACCTTCGCTTTTCAATTTATTTGTTACTTTTCTTTCCTTTTTTCTTTGTTTCGTCATTTGAATTTAAATTTATTTTTCTATAATTATCATTGTTGAAAGGTGACTTGAATTTAGCGGTCTATCCGACTCTAAATCAAAGCGAAAGAACTTTCAATTGGTAGGGTTCCGTTTAGACTTATCCTAATTAATAACAAATAGACTTAGAGTTTAGGGTGTTTTAAAGTGCTTATAAATAGACAACTATGGTTCTTAGTCGGATGACATATTGTAAATATCTGAATCAGTATAATAAAATCTCTCCGGTTCCTGCCCGTGGACGTAGGTTGATACACCGTCACCAAACCACGTAAAACCTCTGTGTTCTTTATTTGTTTTCTTTCTTGTTTTCTCATAACAAGTGGTATCAGAGCTATATCTCATTGATTGAAGATGTCCTCGTAAAAGTTTGATCTGGAGAAGTTTAATGGGTCGAATGACTTCACGCTCTGGAAGGTCAAGATGAGAGCACTTCTGGTTCAACAAGGATGTGCGGCTGTGTTGGAAGGAGAAGACAAGTTTCCTAAAGACACGAAGGAGGAGGTAAATAAGAAGATTTTGGCAAGGGTTCATTCCGCGATCTTGTTGTCAGTTACTGATGAGGTGTTACGGGAGGTTGTAGATCAGACAATGGTTTTGGGTTATGGAATAAACTGTGTGAGAAGTACCAAAACAACTCTCTCACGAACAGGCTATATCAGAAGCAACGTCTTTACACCATCCGGATGTCCGAAAGTACTCAGGTAAAGGATCATCTTGATACCTTTAACCACATCATTCTTGATCTTCAAGGAGTTGAGGTTAAAGTAGATGATGAAGATCAAACCCTAATTTTATTGTGTTCACTACCTGGTTCATATGAGAATTTTGTAAATACTATGCTATATGGTAGAACTACAATTTCTGTTAATAATGTGAAAGATGCCCTTATGTCCAAAGAATTGAAAAGAAAGGTTTCTCTGGAAGAGGGTTCTGGTTCAAGTCTGTTTGCAGGTAGGGGAAGACCACATGAGGGGGGTAACGGGAATGGGAGGTCGCGTTCAAAATCAAAATCCTCTAGCAAATTAAGTGTTATCTTTGCAAGGAGAAAGGGTACGTTAAAAGGGATTGTCCACAAAAGAAGGGAAATATAAAAGTTGATTCTAGTAACAGTGGCAACAGTGCTGCTGTGGTACAAGACAGTTCTGATGATGGGGACTTTGGTGAAGTTCTGACAGCGTGTAGTGCTAGTACTGTTGATTCCTGGATTATGGATACCGGTGCTTCTCACCATATGACGTTCTCTCGTGATCTACTCCCTTCTTTTAAGGAGTGGAATGGAACGGTGAAGTTAGGTGATGATGGGGTTCTAGCCATAAAAGGGAGCGGGGTAGTGCAGATAAAATTGCATGACGGTACTGTAAGGAAATTTGACTGTTGGTATGTTTCTGAACTCAGAAAGAATTTGATTTCTCTTGGTACCTTAGCAAAAAATGGTTTAAAATATCACGATGAAGGTGAGTGGGTGAAAGTCCTGAAAGGTGCTCTGGTAATGATGAAGGGAAAACTGCAACATGGAATTTATTTTCTACAGGGCAGTTCAGTGATGGGAACGACGGCGGTATCCCAGTCCTTGGATAAACATGATGACAAGACAAATTTGTGGCACCGGCGATTAGGTCACATGAGTGAGCTAAGGTTGTCTGTGTTGAGCAAGCAGGGTTTATTTGGTGGGGATGTGATAGGTAAAATTTAATTATGTGAGGCTTGTGTCAAAGGGAAGCAACGCAGGGTGAGGTTTAGTACCGGTCATCACACTTCAAAAGAAATTCTGGAATATGTTCATTCAGGTCTATGGGGTCTCTCTCCGGTGAAATCGCAGGGCGGGTGTTCTTACTTTGTCACTTTCATAGATGATTATTCGAGAAAAGTCTGGTTGTACTTTCTAAAGACTAAAGATGAGGTGTTTGGGAAGTTCAAGGAGTGGAAGACCATGGTTGAAAAATGGACGGGTAAACAGGTCAAGACTCTAAGAACTGATAATGGGTTGGAGTTCTGCAACGCTCCATTTGATGATTTCTGCAAAAAAGAAGGTATAGTGAGGCACCGCACTGTACGACACACACCACAGCAAAAGGGAGTTGCAGAGCGAATGAATCAAACCCTCATGGTGTGTGCTAGGTGTATGCGCATATTTGTTGGCTTATCTAAGCAATTCTGGGCTGAAGCAGTTAACACTGCTAGTTATCTGGTTAATAGATCTCCATTAACTGCAATTGACTTAAAGACTCCTCAAGAGGTATGGTCCGGTAAATTCTCTGATTACTCTAATCTAAGAATATTTGGATGCTCTGCATACGCTCATATGAATGATGGTAAGCTGGAGCCGAGGGCGGTAAAATGCATATTTCTAGGGTATGCAACAGGAGTAAAAGGTTATCGACTATGGTGTACAGAAGGTAAAAATCCTGGTAAATTTCTTATTAGCAGAGATGTAACCTTTGATGAATCTGCTATGCTTGATCAGAGTAGAGGTTATGAAAGTATTGCAGGTACAAAAGATTGTGGTGCTAACTAGATGGTGGAGTTTGAAACTCCTGACAGAGTTGTGTTAGAGGAAGAGCAGCAGGATAATACTATTGATCAATCCGATCAACCAGATCAGTCAAAACCTCAAGGGAAACCGGTTGAGGGGGAAGCTGATGACGCTGGTACTAGGGTTGAAGATTCCATAGCAGCAAGAAAGGGAAATAGAAATATTCAGAAACCAGCTAGGTTTGCAGGATGTGTCAATACATGTGACATGAATTCTGTGGCTTATGCACTAGCGGTTGGTGATGATCTTGACTCTGATGAGCCAAAGACATATAAAGAAGCTGTGGCGAGTAAAGATGCAGAAACCTGGATTATGGCAATGAATGAAGAGATGCAGTCTCTTGAAAAGAACAAGACTTGGGATCTTGTTGCACTACTAAAAGGGGTGAAGCCAGTGGGATGCAAGTGGGTCTTTAAAAGAAATGAGGGAATTTCTGGTGTTGAACCTGCTAGGTTCAAGGCGAGACTGGTGGCAAAAGGGTTTTTACAGAAGGAAGGAATCGATTACCATGAAGTCTTTTCTCCTGTGGTGAAACACAAAACCATTCGGGTTCTTTTAGTAATGGTGGGTCTGGAGCTGGAGCAGCTTGATGTAAAAACAGCATTCCTTCATGGTAATCTAGAATAACAGATTTACATGTCTCAACCGGAGAGGTTCTACAGTTCTAAAGGGGACCGGGTATGCTTGTTAAAGAAATCTTTGTATGGCTTGAAGCAGTCTCCGAGGCAATGGTATAAGAGATTTGACTCATTCATGGTGTCTAATGGTTATACTCGTAATCAGTTTGATAACTGTGTTTACTCGAAGAAAGTTTCTACTGATTCCTTTGTGTATATTCTGTTGTATGTGGATGATATGTTAATTGTAGCTAAAAACATGGCTGTAATTAATGACTTGAAAGCTCTACTAAAGGGTGAGTTTGAGATGAAGGATTTGGGTGCGGCAAAGAAAATACTTGGTATGGAGATCTGGCGTGATAGAGAAGCAAGACGGTTATAGGTTTCTCAAGAAAAGTATATTGAGAAAGTTTTGCAGGCATTCTCTGTTGATCAGTCCAAACCGGTAAGTACCCATTTGGCGGCACACTTTAAACTTGATCGAAGCACTATACCTGCTACAGATGAAGAGGTTAGTTATATGAAGACGGTTCCATATTCAAGTGCAGTTGGAAGTCTTATGTATGCGATGGTATGTACAAGACCGGATCTCGCTTATGCGGTTAGTGTGATGAGCAGGTTTATGGCTAATCCGGGTAAAGCTCACTGAGGAGCTGTAAAGTGGATCTTGCGATATTTGAAAGGAGCGTCTGATATTTGTCTGGTATATGATGATAAAGGCCATGGTAATGGTCTTGTTGGCTATGCAGACTCTGATTACGGGGGTGACTTAGTGAAACGAAGATCACTAACTTGTTTTATCTTCACTCTGTTTGGATGTGCAGTCAATTGGAAGTCTACGTTACAACCTACGGTTGCATTGTCGACGACTGAGGCGGAATACATGTCAATGACTGAAGGTATTAAGGAGAGTATCTGGTTATATGGTCTGGTGCAGAATTTGGGTCTGAAGGTGGAGAAACCAGTGTTATTCTGTGATAGTCAAAGTGCTTTGAGTTTGGCTAAAAATTCAGTGTATCATGAGAGAACCAAACATATTGATGTAAGGTTGAATTTTATCCGTGATGTTCTGGAAGAAGACAAGTTTTCTATTCAGAAAATAGCTACAGAACACAATCCAGCTAATATGTTGACAAAGGCGCTACCGACGGAGAAGTTTGAGCATTGGTTGAACTTGGTGAATATTCGTAGGAGGTAAAGCCTTCTCGGGGCATCTGACAGGAAGGAGACGATTGAGAGATACTGACGAACCTTTGGCGGTTGGAGAAACTCCAAGTCAAGGTGGAGATTGTTGAAACGTGACTTGGATTTAGCGGTCTACCCGACCCTAAACCAAAGCGAAAGGGCTGTTTCAATTGGCAGGGTTCTTTTTGGGCTTATTCTAATTAATAACAAATAGACTTAGGGTTTAGGGTGTTTTGGGGTGCTTATAAATAGACAACTATGGTTCTTAGTCGGATGACATATTGTAAATCTCTGAATCAGTATAATAAAATCTCTCCGGTTCCTGCCCGTTGACGTAGGTTGACACACCGTCACCGAACCACGTAAAACCTCTGTGTTCTTTATTTGCTTTCTTTCTCGTTTTCTCATAACAATTATAAAAAGAAATATTTTTGTTTTATTAGTGAAAAATAAAAGTTAAAATGTCCAATTACAAAATAACTATTTTATTAAATATTCAATTTTTATTTTTTTTCATAAAATATTTTTACTTTACATCAAATCGTTATTTTTACACAAAAAAAATAAAAAAAATATCATTATACTATTTTTAATTGTCCATTATAATTAATATTATATTCTTTCTTAAATTTCGCACCAAAAATAAATATTTACTTTGTACCCGGATAAGATTAATATTATCTATTTTTATTAAAACTCATGTCCTAACATTTGAGTACATAATTAAATTATTATGAAATATTTGCAATTTCTATTTTATACTATTTTTTCATTCATTACTATAATTAAGGATATAATAATAATAATTTATAAATATTATAAAATCTAAAAAAAAGTGTTGGGAATAAAAACTAATTTTTTACATAATTACTTTTACAAAAAAATATATATATTTTTGCACTATTTTTAAAAATACCCACTACTTTTAATATAATAAATATTTATTTATTGAAATTGTAAAAATCGTATAGTGAAAAAATCAAATTGCAGAAAGAACATGCCATTGAATTTGCATTATCTTGTCATTAGTATATACATTTATAGTAGTCTATTACTTACAGAAAAAATTCATATTACAATTTTATTTTATTTTTTAATATATTGTACATGAAATGTATATTCATTTATATTATACTATTAAATAATTTAAAATTATATCCTTTTCGTCAATAGATGAATGTTGGAGTTTGGGTGGATGCAATGTATTTGGAGATAATAATTGAAATAGTTGATTTAACGAATATTTATATATATATACAAAAACTTCATAACAATAATATATATATATATATTAAAATGGATATCTATGATAAAAATCAGAAGAAATAGAATAAAAAGGTGTCTTTTTCAGTCTGTTTCATATTGATATATTCCATTTCTACTACAATAAATATATTGTTATTTATAGCATCTACAAACAATAGACATCTTTTTATAATATCAAGTTAAATATATACATCTAATTTAAAATATAATCCCCCCTTACAGCAAAAATTATAATACTCCTTCATCTTTCCCATAACAGATTATCAATTTTTCTATTTTAATCCGTTTCATAACAAAATAGTTATTTCTTTTTTTAATAACTGTACTATTTACCTAACATTACAAATACCCATAACAAACTATCAATTTTTCCATTTTAGTCCGTCCCATAATAAAATATTCATTTCTTTTTTCAACTGTTTAAGAAATAATAATATTTTAATTATAATAGGTAATAGTGTAATGACATTTTTGTCTTTATTTCTTGGTGTGAAAGTAATGATGTAATGTAAAATAAATATTTGTGAAAAAAAATAGGATATTTAATAAAATATTTACTTTATAATTGAACGTCCCAAAATAGAAATATGTATACTTTCTAACTGACGGAGTATTACACAAATGCCATTATCTTTTATCACACCATACTAATAACATTATTTTAGTTATTTCTATTTTATTCCTACTACATTTCAATATAATACTAATATTTTTAAAACTATCTTTATATTAAAAATATCTTTATACCTGTATTATACATTTTTACTAATAAAAATATTTTTATCTTTTTTGAATAATCCTACTTTTTTGTTAGAACTATTGTTCTGCGACAAGTGTGATTATTAATTATAGTTCAACTTTTGTTCTTTAATAGTTACATCAATAACTAAACAACTCCAACGCAATTTTCAACACAATTAAGCAACATTTCAACTAGTTTTTCAAACATTCACCAACACAATTCTAAATTAAATTAATCCCATGTGCCAAAAATCTTTTATCTGATCCACAGGTGAATATGTCAAACATTACAGTAAAGGAACTACTAAGACATAACAGATAAGGATGTCGAACTCACCCGGTTTGGTTTTTTCATCGATGCGCTGCTTTTATACGGAGGCGAATCAGAATGAATAAGTAATGCCCGTAGCTCGTTGGAAATTTCATGTTTCGTCATTGATGTACACAATATCCTCTTTCGAAAGGTGCATTTTCCCTTTGTCTCGTCTTGCGTTGACTCGGGTTTGGTCCGGTTGTCCTCTCTGCGCACCAAATAGAAACTCTGTTAGGACGGAAGTACTGTAGCATAAAACCGGAGAAAAACAACAGTCGAATTATAGACACATTCCGGTTTAACCCTTCTGATAATTCTGGGATTATCTCTAACTAGACAAAACATGCTTTTTGGGTGTATGAAACTTGTTAATGTTCTAACAATCTGAATTCAAAGAGGCTAAGATTACTTCATCAACGTTTTATTTAAAAATAGAACAAGAAAACCTATACCTTTCTCAAAACAAATGCCAGATATAAGTATGCTGCCTCCCATTCGTCTGGTGACAATGTGCCTGTAAAAAGCATTCAAACCCGATGAGGATTGCTAAATTCATCAACAATGTCTACCGGACTACCAGATTGTTTTAATTGAATTACTAGGCGACTCCCACAACAAAGTATATAAGATGTATGTTAATGGACAACATAGCTATGATTTACCTTGGTCATCTTTACCGTCTCCTAGAGCACCGAGTCTTCGCATGAGCTCAACAAAATCTGGCTTTTTCATGTACTCATCTACAAACGCATGAGAGTTCTTGACAAAGACCAACTCCAGATCATACTGCAAGGTTGAAGGAATGCAAGGTTATGTTAACTCTAGCTAATAACAAGGTTTATAGAAGTTGCATCTTTTTCTTCTAATCTATCCACAATGGAGCAGAAACTACGTACACTTTTGAATTATAATAGCCGATACGATTTCAGATTCAGATGATGCTTTGTACTTCAGATAAACGTCCACTTAGATGATAGGATAATAGTTAAAAGGATATTAAAATGGTAATGTGGTGGTACATGGAAAGAACTGTGAGAGGAAAAAAAGTGATGAAAACCAAGAGAGAAGAAACAATGAGCCGGAGAAAATTAGGAAGAAAGATTAAATAGAACTTTTCATAACCTTAAATTGAAAAATAATTAAAATAAAATAACCCTGTTTAATCCTAACTAATCCTGATAAATAATATTAAATTGTGCCTTGCACAATGGCACAGATGCTGCGCACAAGCCATTTACAACACTGCTTCACTATCGACATCTCTAACTAGAAGGAAAAGATTAATACCTCCTCAGCCAATGCTTTGAAGACATGGAAAGAGACAATCCACTCAGGACAATCAACGGCATCCTGTAAGAGTATTGAAGCCATTATAGCATAGATATTTTCGGAAACAAGCAAAACAACCTTCAAAAACAGCCCAGTTATCAAGGACATGGCAAAAATGAGGAGCAAGGGCACTTCAACAACAATATAACTTTATGTAAATAACAACAAATGCAAAAAGTACCTCTAGATGGAACTTGTACTTGATGCCGAAGGGACTTGACGACTTAAATTTCTGGAAGAAGCCAAAGTGGTAATAAAAAGTTACATTCCAACTAGAGGAGAGCCAACAAGAACAGAAGCAAGCCTTGCCAACCAGAATTCACCTTGTTTTTATATTCTTCGTCAAACTGTATCCAGTAAACATTATTGCCAAACTCTAGTCCTTCAGCTGCATCCATATGAATATTTGTTTGTAAATATAAAATACTGTGTCTTTAATTATCAAATTTACGGTAGGAAAACACTGGAAAACACAAATTTATTACTGAACTTCCAGCCTATAAATCTGTCTCCATTAACAAACAATGAATGGTATGCATATATTTTATATATATATATATATATCGGTGTAGGCATATGTATGCACATGATGAATTCTAGTAAGTATTTTGCATCAGTACATGAATAGTTCATTTGAATATAGACTTTAAATAGAATGGCGATGATAAGAACTATGAGATCAGAAGTTGCTGCGTATATAAATAAAAGTGAAATCAAAGTATATATCGCTCCACGAAAAGCCAATAAGGGAAATTAAAGTATAGGTCCAGCATGAACATCTCAAAAAATAAACAGGAGAAAATTACTGCTTTAGTAAATTCAAAGGCAAATTAGACTGTCTTCTACACAACCCCATGGAATCAGGAAAACTCATACAGGCAGGACAGTGTCTTAACAATATCCACCTACAGGTAAAAACTTTTTATGAGAGCTTCAAAATTTAGCCATTAAACAATGTGAATAATTCTATCATGGAAAAAATCAGCATATCACTTTAAACAATTGAGTGAGTCAAATAAAATTTCAAATTCCACTTAGAGAACATGTTTAGACAGAATAAAACCTTCTCTAAGCTTTTTTACTATGACATTTGCATCTGGCATAGTTCCAACAAAAATGCCTCCTGGCCGAAGTAGAGCCGAAACATTAGCCAATGCCCGCCTAGCACGTGCCTCGGTGGACCAGGAGTAATGCATGGCAAACTGCAAATATCCAATTTTGACAAGTTAATTCATTAAATACATAATATTAATTGTGCAGTTAGTAATTCATATTTCCAGAAAACATTTTTAAGTTCATAAATAGTGGTACAATCAAACAATGCTTTACACAAATCGATAAAATAAGACCAAACAAATATTAGTCATGATAAGCAAGAATGAATCAGCTTCTAGCTGTTACATCATCGCTTGCATCATGTCAAATGGTTAATAAGTCAAGTGAAAATATGCTACAGTATAACAGAAAACTGGCCAGCTCTTGGTCATACCGCATTGGATTGGACAGAACAGCGGGTTCACATGTGTAAAAATTGTAAGAGAAATTTTTGAGATATATTGATAATTGCATATTTAGACAATAACAACCTAATTTAGTAGATATGATTATATGATAACTAACAAATTCAAATAAAATCAACTAAAATATCTATCTAAAATATATTTCAACAATATGGAAGATGTTAACTAATCAAAGAAAGAAAGATGTTGATTGGAACTGCAACAAGTGATCACCTGACAGCTACAAATATCAAATGGAGCATCTTCAGCCAAAACCTTGTCCAGCTGAACCTGCAATGCATACAAACTATTTACTCAAACATAGTCCCAATGTCCGGTGGCAACACATTACCAACATATTTTCGGCAGTCAGATCTACAGCAGATGGGAATGTAACACTCCGACATGTACAGTCCACAAGCATCAGAATTTTTTATTGCTTGAAAACTCACACAGCTTGAAGATAGACAAGCTTGTTTCTAGCATTAAGCCATTAATAAACTATATTAGTTTATATTTACCTCAAAGCAGTCACCACATATAAGTCGGGCAGGAAATGAGAACTTTTTGCGACGCTGGTGATGGTCTGCATCGCCATTATATCGTGTCCGGCAATCTTCAATCTGATATCAAGGGAAACAATTGTGTAATTAAAATTAATATAGTTTATTATATAAGTTACCTAATCTCTTAAGCATAGTTGTCAATGATGGACCAAGGCACAAACAGTAAATTGGCTTCGGCCATTCGCCAGGGCATGCAGCAAGCATAGGTTGTGTGGTGCACCCCACACATGCCATTACAAAGAAATTCTTCAACTGTCGGCAATTTTTTTTCCTTTTCTTTTTTATTACTTATAATATTTGAGTAAACAGGAATGTAGAGTCAAAACATGTGAACTCCAACTAATATTGTAGTTTATATTTGCGATTGATCACAGAAATTTCATTGTCCTCGCTTGTTGATTTTGCTAACTAGGGTTTTAGGATGAAATGTGCATTTAATTTAGAACCTAGAAGTGTGAAATAGTAAATAACAACCGTTGACACTCCATGCGATTTATATAAAATTTGAGTACGAAATTTTTTGTGCTTTTTGACCATCAGATATATCCGCTATTTAAATTTATAAGTACTTGTGCTATACTTTGTTATGCTGTGCACTGCACGGTGCGCATTCACGATTGACAACTGTCATCTTAAGAGATTGCAATATTATAACAGATGTTCTAGACATCATTAAATACTAGATTTTGTTTAAATGTGATCCTCAACTAGTCAACTACAATATCTTATATTGAAAAGGATATCTTAGTTTCACACAAAACCCTACAATTTCAATCTAATTCACTACCAACTTAAGCTTATACCACACAACTTGTAGTTGCCCGAAAAATGACACTCTTCACTTTCCAACATATTATTTAAGACTTTGATTTTTGAAGCATAAGGAATTTGTCTGTACAGTGAAGCATGGTTTGGAACAAGCAAGGCTTATCCCTAGAGAGAAACACATTGAACATGGAACTTTAAATGAAGCTGCAACTAGAGAGAGAAAGGAAGATAGCGTAGTAATGTCATATAAGTTTCAGCCTTAATCCATTAGCTGAAAGTTTGAAATTTTACCGAGCCTTCGGCTATGTCAATGCCAACGTAATAACCAATTCTTGCTTTGTCCCATTTGATGAGATCACCACCCTGTTACAATCCATATATAAGAAAACAGAGCCATTCATCTACGCACGACAAAAATGTAAATAAATAAATAGCAACAATTCTCGAAGCAACCAATTAATAACTACCTTTCCGCAAGCCAGATCAAGCACAGTGTCTCCCTTTTTAGCAAAGAGCTGAATTAAAACACTCTTTATCTGTACAAAGGAACAAAAGGTAAAAGAAACAATGCAAAACTTCAGTGACAAAATTTTGCTTATTCAACAAAAGTTTAACAACATCAGAACTTACTAGTAAGTAGCACATGGAGCAGCTCAGAAATGAAACTAGAGCGATATCAATACTTAGAAAGATAAAATCTCTAACACTCACCCAATTATTAAGCTTCTTCAATCGAATGATGGGGCTCGCTTCTCGCTCTTCAAGAGTTTGATTCGTTCTTGCACTATAATGGTCGGCCACTTTCTTCGCAAATATCTTTGTGCTCTCATCCTCCAGAAATTGAGCATCACCTAACAACAACAAAGCAGCTTAAATCTTCCCTTAAAACATCCAAATTTCAGTACACAGCTTGACCCCAATCCGAAATTACGTACAGGAATCAAAACATCACACTACTTCCTCGGATTCTAGGGGGCAAAACACGATAAAATCACAATGGAACTCCATATTTACACCACCCAAATTTCACCGAACCAAATTCTCCTCTTCAGAAGAAAGAGGGCAAAAAAAAAAAAAAAAAAAAACTTAAAAGGAAGCATCGCGCATCCAAATTAGCACCTAATTCATTAAACAATACCTTCAGGATTTTGCTTGAATTTGGAGTGAGGAGGCTGATAAGCCCCCGAGGATGAAGATTCTTGATACCCTCGCTTCATGCCAATCCGTAGATTCAATACAATCGCAACAAACCAGTAACAATCAATTCAGACTTATTTAACCTACAATGATTGCAAGAAACAAAGCGAGAATCAGCGAAAGACTGCTTCGAGATTGAAGAATCGTCGATGAAAATGTACGGAGAGAAAAGGGAAGAAGCTATGTAGACTCGAACAGGCGGTTGGAACCTTCAAACCGGAACCTCCCGGTTTTTATACGGTTCGAACCGGCGGTTCAGCAGTCACCGGAGCAGAGTAGCAGGTTGGGCGAAGAAGAAGGAAAAGGAAAAAGAAAGAAGAAAAGAAAGAACGAGGGAGGAAGAAGAAGAAGAAGAAGAAGAAGAGAGAAGAAAATCTGGTGCAGCGGCGGCAATGGATCTGTTAAGAATTATTAGTATATATTTTTATAAAAAAAAAAAAAATAATAATAATAATATACTAATATTAATAAAGTAAAATTAAATAATACTAAAGCCCATGTACATCTTGAGACTGGACCCATTTTATTAATGGGCCGGGCCCAAATCAATGTACACCTTACAAACCCTAATCTCTTTAAAACCCTAGTTGCTGTATCACTCGCCATTCACCATTTCGCTATTCGATCCTCCGCCGCGCCGCCGCTGCTGCAGGCGTTGTCTTCTCCGATTCCTAATCTGACCATCTTCGCAAACCGCGCTCCTCCGAGATGGGTCGCGTGATCCGTGCGCAGCGTAAGGGAGCGGGGTCGGTGTTCAAGTCCCACACCCACCACCGCAAGGGTCCTGCCCGGTTCCGGTCGCTCGACTTTGGCGAGCGCAATGGCTACCTTAAGGGCGTCGTCACGGAAATCATTCACGACCCCGGCCGTGGTGCGCCGCTCGCACGCGTGACCTTCCGTCATCCCTTCCGGTTCCAGCACCAGAAGGAGCTATTCGTCGCCGCGGAGGGGATGTACACCGGTCAGTTCGTGTACTGCGGGAAGAAGGCTAACCTTGTTGTCGGCAACGTGTTGCCTCTTAGATCTATTCCTGAGGGTGCCGTTGTCTGCAACGTTGAGCATCACGTTGGTGACCGTGGTGTTTTTGCTAGGGCTTCTGGTGATTACGCGATTGTTATCTCGCACAATCCGGATAACGGAACGACCAGGTATGATTCATACGATTCTATTCTCGATAAAATCATTCTAATTAGTTAATGGAATTTTGTTTAATCTGAGTAATAGGAACGTTGGTTTAGGGTTGTGTACAAATTGTGGAATCAACTCTTGTGCTTATAGGTTCATTCTTTGAATCTTCGGATTGATATTACAATGCTATTTTGTTGCTTTGCTAATGTTCTTTATATTAAAAAACTGATTTTAGAATTGTTTCTGTTTTTTATGCTTGTTTGCTGGAAACAATTCTTGGACCAAAATTATTGTAATTATATGTGTGAAATATAGTTGTTTTAGAAGCATTGAGTTCATTCAGAGGCTTGTGTATTTCCATGTTGGTAAGATTTCTTGGGTTAGATGTAGGTTTAGCTTGAACTCACACCTTACTTGAATGTCATATAAGTGTTTCAAGCAATTGGGGAAAGGTTAAATTCCTAAACAAATTGTTTTATCTGTACTTGTATTTTTAAGAGTGTTGATAAGCAATATCACCTGTATTCTCTTGGTAGCATTACTTGAATCTAGCTACTCTACAGTTTGGTAGTTAAACTTGTTAATTATAATAAATAGTCCTAGATCTTGAAAAAAAAGGACAATTTTTGTGTTGGATATCAGAAGAAGAGCATTTCCTTTTTTTTTTGGCTTGTCTGTGGCCTACATTTCTTCGAATTCAAGGTGGACTCATTTGGCATAAACAAACCCTAGCTTGATCCACAGTTCCAGGAAATTTAGATTCAAGTCCATTCACTTAATTGAGCCATTGAGTATGAAAGGTTAATTTTAGCAAGCTTTCACTTTGCGCGTTGGAAATCATTGAAATATTGGTTACATGTTTTCAAGAATGATAACTTTCGGCGAATATTTTCCAAAATCTTGGTTGAATTGCTTGATCTGAGTCATTTACATATTGCTGCCTTTGACACTCTATTTGATTTGAATCATTTGTTGACACGGCTCAACTTTCGAAAACTCCAAATTCAGCTAATACCTATGAATAGCCTTTAATTTCTGGCACTAATACAAAAAAAAACTCAATCTTTTTCCATTGTTTATTGACCCAACAAATTCTTCCACTTCCAGGATCAAGCTCCCGTCAGGATCTAAAAAAATAGTGCCGAGCGGATGCCGTGCCATGGTTGGCCAGGTCGCCGGTGGCGGGAGAACTGAGAAGCCACTTCTGAAAGCCGGAAATGCATACCACAAATTCAGAGTGAAGAGGAACTCTTGGCCCAAGGTGAGAGGTGTTGCCATGAACCCCGTGGAGCATCCTCATGGTGGTGGTAATCACCAACACATTGGTCACGCCAGTACCGTGCGCCGTGATGCGCCGCCCGGGCAAAAGGTCGGTCTCATTGCTGCTAGAAGAACCGGTCGGCTGCGTGGTCAAGCTGCTGCTACTGCTGCTAAAGCTGATAAGGCTTAAGGTGAGTCATAATCATTATCCTTATATTGATCGATGCTGGTTTTTGTGTCTTTTGGTTATTTGCTGTTTTATGAACTACTCTTCAGTTGCTGTCTTGAGGATTGGACTAGACATTTTGCTTGTGGTTTTGTCGATCTAAAGAACTCCCATTTTTATATTATGCAGTCATTGCAATATTTTATAAAATATTCTCTACCTATATATATGCAAGGAAATTAAAAATAATGGTAGCATAAGGATAGAATTGGGTTAAAATAAATAGTGAATCGACAACATACATAGACATTGGACAAATTTTACGAAAAGAGGTAAGAGTAATATAAAAAAAGATAATACAATGCATATTTTAATATAAAATAATTGTAACCCATAAATTAACAAGGTACTTGTTACATAGATCCACAATAACCTGACAAATATGTATATAATATTTAAAATCTCACATCCTCATCACAAATTTAACTTTCATAAGACTATTGTAATATAAAGTTTTGTGCATAAATCAAAAGATTGCACTTTACATATGAGATGGAGAAAGTATTTATTAAAAGTGTATTTATCTTGTTCAATGAAATTATAATATATATACATTTAATTTAATATATCATATAAGTAAATAATAAAAATAATTTAATATTTCCCTTAATTGTTTAAATAAAATTGTTATTGTTTTTAAATATATTTAATTATATAATAAAATTAATACTAAGTTAGCCGTTCGTTAATAAAATATAAATTATATTTTGTTACAAAATATTATACTATTAAATTATTATTATTTTATTTTATCATGCTAAATTTATTTTTATTTTCATTTTTCATGTTAAATAAAAAATTAATATTTAATTATTACTATTTATTCAATACTTATTTACCATAAATAACTACCTTTATTACATTCTTCGGTTCTTTTTATTACTAACTAAATTTTAAAAATATATTCAACTACATTTTTACTTTCTTTTTTTTACTTTTAAATAAAATTAATTTTATATTTAAAATATTACACAATATTTATTTATATCATATTATACAATTATTTTAATTCAAAATTTTAAGAATTTCAACAAAAATATCAAACCCCCAGACAATCATACCTTTAGTAATGAAGGCCCAATGAGTTAATACAAAATTTCGGCCCAAACCAATCCTGAGTATAAATACAAATCTCATTTCCCCACTCGAAAAATCTCGCCTAAACCTCTCTTCGTTCTCGGCCGCGGAGAGCTAAAACCCCACCCCAGATATGGCGTTGAGGGCCGCGATTTCTGCCAATACTCACAACCTAATGGGGATCAGAGCAGCTTTCTGCTCTTCCTTCTCCACCTTTCCCTTTAATCTGCCTCAGAATAAAGTCGAGAGGCCGCCGCCCGCCGAGCCCTCAACCAATCTCTTCGTCTCTGGTATATTTTTCGATTTTAGGATGTGCAGAGCGCTATGAATTTATCTGTGGTGTTATTATTGTTTAATTTGAATTTTCTATCTGTATGTTTTGATATATATATATATATATATGTTTTATTGTAAAATATCTGAATGCGAGCGAAATGGTGTTGGTTTGTTCATATTTTGTTGTTTAATGTTTCCTAGGTTATGATATTTATATGTTGGGGGAGATCTGAAGATTTTTCCGTTTTGCTGTTAGTATTGTGTTATTGTATAATATAATACATTTCATACCTTGTTTGATGTTTTAGGATGGCAGTGATATTTCACTTTTGTTGATAGTTTACCTCAAAACGTAATCCAATTCGAATTTGTGATAGACAGTTGCTCTAAGTCGTGCAGAGAAGTCCGAATTTATCTGGTGTTGTGCACTTATTATTTCTTTTGAATATGAACACCAACCGAATTGATCTTGATTGCATCAATTGAGATAGCCAAAAAGAGAGAAGTTTGACTATCAAAGATCGAACGAACTTTTTTTTTAGTGAAAACAAAATTTTAAATCAAAGAAAAACAACTAAATACTTAAACCCTAAAAGCCCCTCCCTCCTGTAAAAAAGGCCAGATGCTAGAAAAACTTCACTTTAAGAACCTAAATGGACTTGAATGGCCAAAAAATGCAGAGTCATCATTGCATCTTTGATTCGATGAGTTTGGTTTGTTGGACTGTTTCGGATGAGTATGGTGAATTTCGTCTAATTCCAAACCAGGATATGGAAATGATAAAAAATTGGCAAATTGCATCACAAATTTTTTACATTTTTGTTTGTTCACCAGTTTAAACAAATTAATCTTTTCAAGATAATTGCATCGTAGCCTTTATGGTGGCTGATCTTTGGGCAATGCTCATTCGACTCTTTTCTCTGTATAAACTTCAGGGCTCAGCAAACGCACAACAACAGAAGGTCTTCGTGATGCCTTTGCTAAGTTTGGTGAAGTTGTTCATGGTACGTCCCACTTTTCCATACTGGTAATTTAAGAGGGATTTTTGGAAACCCTAAGCCAATTGTTTCCTCTGGCATATTTGTGCAGCAAAAATAGTGACTGATCGCGCATCTGGCTACTCAAAAGGCTTTGGTTTTGTGAAGTATGCAACCCTTGATGAAGCTGAAGCTGGAATCAAGGGCATGGATGGCCAGGTGCATATAAATTTTCTAAGATCGCCAAGATAATATTCTTATCATAACTAAAATGATAATCTGGTAGCTAAATTGCTTGATGGATGGACTTAAATAGGATATATCTGCTTTCCGTGTTACCTTTAATGGATTCACAAACTTTAAATTTCACGAGTTATTACAAGGGGCCAACTTCTTAAAAACTATCAAATTGCATTTAGGATATCATAGTAGATGAAAAGGAAAAATAGGGACAAGATTTGAGATGCGTGTGTTTGTTGAGTGTTTGGATTTTTGAATAGTGAAATTTTGAATTTGATTAATTGTTCGATGTAATATACGATTGACAAATGGTGTTCTCAATATTAACACAATCACTAAGTTGCTGATTGTTCTGCAGTTTCTTGATGGATGGGTTATTTTCGCGGAGTACGCGAGACCAAGGCCCCCTCTCAACAATGCTGCTGCACCTCATCAGAATCAACTGTGAGAATGAAAAAGAAAAAGCCACTTCTTGATCAGTGTAAGACATTCTTCTTCCTGTGATTCAATTTGTCAAGTGGTGTTCTTGTCTTGATTTAGACACCAGGGGTAGGGGTGGGGGTGGGGGGCTACTATAGTCATCATTAAGTTATTACAGCTCACGTTATGGGTCCATTTTGAAACTAAGAAACAAATCTAGTGAAAGAAATATGTCACTTGTTTGTTTGGGGTGAGAGAACATAACTTATAAATTTTTAGATTTTTAGTGATGAAAATGGGATCAATTTCTGGTTTGCTTTTAATTCCTATGCGTTTGGTGGTTGGAATGTCAATTTTAAAATCAATGTTTGCTCTTGAATCTTGATTCTATCTCCCGCTAGTTTATTTTATTTGAGTGATTATATATATATATACCTGTGTGGATATTGTATTGAAAAAGATTGTTTACTTGTATTTCGATTTTGTTTGATTTGAGTTTGAGATTTTTATTTAAGTTTTTGGTTTAAATAGTTTGTAATGACAAAATTATAGAATGGTATATTCAATTTATTATTTAAAAAAAAATTTAAAACCGTTTTTAAAAAAAATAAATAAAAGAGAAAATACCAAATAGTATCAATTTTAATGCCTTTAAATTTATCATGTATCATCAAACTATTATTCCCCCCTAGCATTTATTTATTACATTTGCAATTACTATTTTTACACATCATTCTTATTTATTGTCTTCACTTTGTTTAAATCTTAACAAATATCTCCAATTATTTTTATACTTTTATTGAATTTTCAATTAGATACACGTATGATTTTTATTTTTCATCCCTACCTAAAAAAAAAATTAAAATATCAAATTATTATTTTAATCAAAATTAAAATCCTTCTATACAAAAAAAATAATAACAATAATGCTACGGGATCAATTCGATCCGTGCATCTCCCTATTTTCACCGGAGGGGCAATACTGTAATTTCAAAGGCCTCCGTGGATACGTATTACCAGAACGTTCGCTCGCCCACATTTCCCACACGTAGATAGAATCATCGTCGAATCATTTCGCAAAATGGAACATCAAATGCACGCCAAAAGCGGAGACGAAATCGAGCGACCACCGTGACGATTCCGCCGATCGAATCGCAATCGCAATCGCTGAGGTGCCAAAGATCGGCTGAAATCGTCGCCAATTTCATCCTTTTCGTTGTTATTTCCATCAATTTTTGCTAAAATTTTTTTTTCGGTTTTACCTCTCCCTGTGTGGAAATGCGATTCCTACGCGGACTCGTCGCGTGTTGCGGATCATGTGCGGCGGAGGACCGCCGGTCGCCGGAGGAAACGACGTTGCTGGTGTTTCAGGAGCCTCCACGGCGCCGCACCGTGCGGAGGTACGGTAGGGTGAGATCATCCAATTGCCGACGGTGGCGACCTTCTCTGTCGTCGATATCGGAGGATGTGTTGGTTGCGGAGGAGCCGGCGGCGGTGTGGCGGAGGAAATTGAAGCGGAAGGTTTTGTCCTTTTCCCGAAAAGATCACAGCCGTCCATTCCACCGGGAAGATGATGGACGGTACGATTTCCCCATTTTCATTATTTTATTTATTTATTTATATACTACGAGATTTGGTATTTTTTTACCTAAGATATACGTGTGTAATTAATTATGATATTTTTAAAATAAATATAATATTGAATAATATAAATAAATAAAAAATTGCTAAATTTATGTTTATGAATTGAATTTTGAATATTTGAACGTGTGAATTAAATAAAATACAACAGCAGGTTTGGGCCTCCGACAATGACAGCACCAGCCTTTTCTCCGATGCTTTTTATGTTTTGAGTAAGTTTCGTTCATAACCCTATTTTTATTTTATATATTCATGTTAATTGGGTTGTAAATAATTATTCATGCTAATTGGGTTGTAACCCATAAAAAAAAATAAAAAATAAAAAAATAAAAAAAAATTCTTATAAATTATGTATTTGACTTATCAAATTATCTTAAGATCTTATTCACTAGCATTGTTCCTTAATTTGGTAAATTGGATATGGCAAAATCTAACTTCTTCTTCTTCTCTTTGTCTTCGAATGAAACTCGAGGGTGTAAATGAAGTTTCTCTTATAGATTGACTGCTTTTTAAATGAAAAAAATTATAAGCTAAATAATTTTTATTTTTTTTTATGTGCGATGTTTCATTTGAATTTTGAATTTTCAATCAATGTGATAAGTTATAAAATAAAATAATATATTTTATAAAAATGAAGATCAAATAGTAAAAAAATTGGAAAAGAAAAAAAAAAGATATAAGTAAAATGAGTATATTATATTAGAAATTTTGTTATATCTGAAATTCTTCAAACAAGCAAAAGGATTGTTCGGGAAACTTCATTCTCTCCTTTCGAAAAATAAAAAATAAAATAAAATAAAATTTGTTGTGTATATTTTTTTATTTAAATAATAATTTAATTAATATTTTAAGAGAGAATGATTGTATTGATTAATTATAATCAATACAATACAATATGGGCAACATATAAAATATAAATGGATAACACAAAGTATATATTAATATGATATAAATATAATAAAGTAAGTACAAAGACAATATACATATTTTAATTGATTTTATCTTATATATAATATACATATAAAATTTCGTAAAAGATGTCTAGTGATATGAGAATTGAGTCGTGATCTTACAATTACGGATTCAAACCGGGCGCTTTCAAAGTAATTTGTCTTATTAGACTTAGTTCGCAGGCCAACGGCCTAATTGGATTCACATATATATATATAGATATATAAAGTTGTGAAAGATTTGAACTTTTAACTTATGTATTTAAAATGGTATCATATTATTATTTGGTAGTCAAATTTGGCCCAAAAATCTAAATCCACAGCCAGATTGGGTTCGAGTAGTGTAAGAAATTATTTGGTTTGGGATTGTAGAATAGCCTAGGTTAATGTGATATTTTTTAAAAGAAATTATATATTTATATTAAAATATTAAATATTATACATATAATTTTTTTATTTGCAATAATAAAAACCTAAATCATCAATAACTAAATTTATTTTTCTTTCTAATAAACCTTTCTCGATTCATGTTAAAAACCCGCTCCATTGTCATAACTTTAAATCGAGCAAATTCCCGCCCTCTTAGAGCTCACCATTACATAAAATAGTGAGCTTGAAATATATCGTCATTCCAAAAACCTACCCTCGTTATACAATGAAAAGAGATCAATATCATATATTTGAATTATAAGCTCATTGAATCATACTATAAATATATATATATATATATATATATATTCGAGCAATTGTAAGTATATAGAACAAAAATAACCCGTCCGAGAAATGTACTAAACCGCGTACAAACTATATGTCAAAGCATAATATTGTGATCCGGATCGCAATGAATCCTCGATAGGTGTTGCAATTAAAGTAGTCGTGATCGATAAATACAACATGCTCCCTACCCCTTTTCATTTCAAGTAATAATCTAAAGAAATGAAAAGAACATTTTCATTACCATGTACAAAAAGAAATTCCCAAGAAAAGTAAAGATCTTCGACCTTGTTTTGTACCTCTATTTGTCTCCTTCGATCCGGTGTCAAAAATGGCTCTCGTTCTCATTATCAGCCACACGGCAACTACCACCGGAGGCATTGAGTTGATGTTGTGCAACCACTTTCTCGGAATTTCCATGAATCTAAGAGCCGACAAGAAAATATGCATTAATCCCACATTTGCATACAAATTTAGAAAACAAAAGGACGAGCATCGATTAAGGATAACCGGCACCATGTTGATTAACCATAATCAGTACATAAGTTATGTTACTTAGGTGCTGAGATTAGTATGTATTGTACAAATTACTGATGTATTGTAAGTTCATATACTGTATCTATATTTATATTATATTAATATATATCTTATATTGTCAGTTTATACCTCATATGCTGATAGTATATAGTCTCTCCTTCTTGCTTTACGAGTAAAAATATCTTTATATTTGTATTTTTTTTCACAAATATCATTATAATAGTATTATAAGACACTAATAGAATTATTTTTGTTATTTTCCCTTAATTTGTACTACGTTTTTATATAATAATTAATATTCAAAGATCAACACGCAAAAAATAAATGAGACCCTTAAAGCCGGACATAGATAGAATATGTTATATACTATCATATATATATATATGTGTGTATGATTTACGTACCTTGGCTAAGCTAAAGTTACTCCTACAAGTCATCGTCTGAACTTGAGCTCGAACTTGAATTATCCATTCGCCTCATCGCAATGGCTGCTGCAGACACCCGTTGTACAGGATCCGTCCTAGGCAGACCGGGGGGTGGAGGCGGGGGTGGGGGGCGTCCAGGATCCGCAGGACCTGTCTTAGCCGAAGGAGGAGGAGGAGCTGTCTTAGCCTTAGGCGAAGGATCCGGCGGCGCAGGACTTGTCTTCGACGAAGAATCCTGGGATGTTGTCTCCTCCTTTTTAGCCGATTTTCCGATTGGTTTCAAGGGAGCACTTTTCACTTCCAAGCACACTTTATCCAAACACAAGAGGAAATCCCGAACAACGGTGAACAATCGGAACCCCTCGTCTTTCCCCGACTTTCCATGGAAATAATCGGCAGTGCTCTTGATGAGAGCCATTATTCGCTTCTCTTCCTCGAGCAGCCACGCAATGTCGCCTTCGGCGTTCTGCACGAAATGCTTTAGCGCTTGGTGGAATCCGTTGTCTTCTTCAATGCTCTTCATTTCCGAACTCAAGAACTCCTTGGCTTTTATGATCAAATGGCCGATCTTGGCAACAGTTCCTGATATGGCGTCGACGTCTAAAATCGCTGCCTTTTTCACATTCTTGAGGTCTGTACTCAGACTTGAGACCACTTGAAGGCCGATGTCCTTTAGGTTCTCATCCGAATCTTGGACGGGGTCGTCGAGGAGATCTTCTGACTCAATGCTTGATACTCTCCTCATTTCTCTGGATGCTCGGGAAGCTCTTATCCCTTCGGTACGGATTATTTCCAGAACGACAAAGTGCAGTAATGTCAACTTTCCGTCTACGGCTTTTACGTCGGATAGTTTTAGAAGTGTGTCGAGCTTAAATGCTTGCGCCCCGCCACGGAATGTTCCATCGTTCATTCGGTTTCCGGTTTTCAGAACTGCCTCGAGAAGTTTGAGGAACAGCCGGCTTTTGCGAAGCTCAGTGCAGGCAGCCTGCAATGGATATAGAGAACAAGTCATTATTAACACATGCACGATTTCAGAACGATGTATTAAGCACCATAGATGTCGAGTAGTTTTATATAATTACCTCCAAGACCATGAAGCCTTCTCTTAACATTGTTGAGTCCTCCTGAAGCGTGCACATGAATAGCAATGATTCTAGCCTCTTAAAGGCAAATGGAATTTCGATCAAGAGTTTTAAAAACCGATCTCCAAGATTGAGTTTGGTAAGGTCGCCATCGTAGAGTCTGAGCTTCAACTCTTCGTCAGCAGTAGGCGCCATCTTTACCAAAGTCTGAATGAGTTCAGGCGGAAGCTCATTACCTGATTCAGTTTAAACATCTTGCAGATTTTAGCAAATTCCCGCCCCATTAAGTTAAAAACTTTATTCGACTGCTAAATGATTCATTCAGTAGTAAGTATAAATATCGACTGAAAATTTAGGAAGTACAATCTATCTACTCTATACCACTTCAGGAAGTAGAATAAAATCTCCCTACTATTCAAGACTTAAACAATAGTTACTCTTACTTTCTGCAACATATTAATTCAAATCATGTGTATGTGTGCTGGCTCCATAGCAAGAAACTATATACTGTTAAAGAATCCGTTGATGAATGGTTATACAACGGTGCGCGGACGTGTGATTCAACAGCATATTTTATCAGGAAATGTTTTGATATGTTCATGTACCAAGTATTCGTATCAAGCTGATGATTGCGGCAGAAGCATGGAAATGGAACCCTAAGGTGAATGAAGAATTCAATCAAAGAAACACTGCTTCTTAATATGCAAAAGTGAAACTATGTAGCATAATGATGCTGGAAGTAATTCAAACCTTTTTGTTCATCTAATACCCCGAAAAATCAGAAGCTTAATGCATCAAAGCTAAATATCAGATCTGGGCCATTGATATTCTTACTCAATAGACCTACAAACAATATTCGATTCATTCAACTCAGAAATTCGGATTGACTTTCACTACCTCAAAACGTATCTCCTATGTACATGAAAGTCTGCCCGGGTTGCACATTTCAACTATATGCTTCTTTCTTACTAGTTTGCAATATAATAGAGACAATATTTAAAAAGAAAAAAGAAAAGTTACCCTCTTCAATTGCATCACAAACTTCTTCAGCAGTCACACTTAATGCTTTGAGTATAATTGACAGATTCTGTGACTTCTTTGGATCAACGAGCTGAATAAATTTAGGTGGTGCCTGGGATGTAGTCTCTTTCTTTGGCGCATTTCCATTCTTCCCGGGAGGAGTATAACCAAATAGACTTTCCATCATCTCTTCGTCAAATCTGTTCATGAAGTTACACAACATCATGGTCAGTCCACAAGCATAATGCTTAATTAACACCAACAATGAAAATGAAATTAGACTCACTGGAATGATCCGCATTTGATTGCATGCCAAACCATTGAACCGTTAGCATTAGCCGCTACCTTGTCCCAGAAGAAAGGTTTTAGTTTTGCTTTACTAGTACCATATGGAAAAGGTGATCCGCCGGGAGGCACAGGAAGTTTCACACCAATAGATTGTGTCCGAGACGGATTACCTCCTCCGGGGGGTGGTGGAGGAAGAGGACCAACCTTGACACTAGAGGATTTAGGTGGCGGAGGTGGTCCAGGTGGCGGAATTCCTGGGCCCCTGGAAGGTCCAGGTGGTGGTGGAGGTGGTCGTGGACCTGCAGCATGCATAGGAGGTGGAGGAGGTGGAGCTGGACCTGCAGAACGCATAGGAGGAGGTGGAGGTGGTCCAGGTGGTGGTGGTCCAGGTGGCGGTGGACATGGGGCCACAGGTCTTACAGGTGGACGGATTGGCGGCATAGGAGGAAGTGGAGCTGCTGCTGATGGAATAGGAGGAGGCCGGGGTGATGATGGCACAGGAGGAGCTAGGGGTGCCGGAGCCGGAGGTGCCGGGGGTGCTGGGGGCACATGTAGAGGGGGGCTTGGAGGGGTTAAGAGAGGACGGGGAGGTGCCAGCAATACAAGAGGAGGGGGAGGTGCCGAAGGTATGGGAGGAGGTGAAGGTAACATAAGAGCTGGTTCACTTGGAGGAATCTTCCTTCCAGGAGGTGGCTTTAATGGTGGAATTCCAGGTGCCGGGCCTATTGCTGGAGGAACATGTACAAATTCTTCAGCCGAGCTATTAGCTTCTCCAGCAGTGATTCGAAGCGGAATATCTGTTTTTGAAGAAATCAGGAAAAAAAAAAAAAAAATGTGACATCAAGTGAAAGATTTGCAAAGGTACATTATGATCAAATGTCATTAAAAGATCGATTACCAAGCTTGTCTTCACTCTTTGAACTTCCTACACGTCCTGACTTCTGTGAATATGCTATCTCAAAAAACACAAAGGCCAGAATGAGATTTGCAGCATCGCACGGTTAATGATAACAGAGTAACAAAGAACAAGATGGAGTGTATAATACTGTAAAAGGCGAAAGAAAAAATAGTGTACCACCAGAATTGCTACTTAAGCTTACGGTGAGAAGAGGGCCCTCTTCATTTCCAGTTCCCGGAAGGCCAAGCCCGCAGCTTCTACAGCACCAAAGCATGACAGCAACAATAAAGGTCACAGGTGCAACTACTATGACAATCATATTTTTCGGGGCAGTTTGAACAGTTATCTCTGTCGACGACTGAGCTAATGCTCGATGGCTAGAAGAACAGCGCCGGGGTACTAAAGCACCTGAATACCTCGCACACCAATTATTCATATCCTTCTCTTCCATCATATAAGGAGGCATGAGATTTTTTTCCACTGAGCAATCTAGAAGAATTTGTTTCACCCGAGGACACCACAAATGTACATCATCTTTCATTTTTGTTGTGGATGGCCGTCCATTCGAGTGCTTAACATCAGCAGCACCCAACCTCTCCTTTCTCGAAGATGATTTAAGATTTTGTAAAGTTTCCATAGCATGTAGTAACTCATTGCTGCATTTAGCCCGAAATAATTCAGCCTGCATCAAGTCAATTAGATTAAGCAAGGCCAAGCACATCCTACTCCCGGATGAAACATAGTTTATTATGAAACGGATATATCTCTATAACTACGGTCACAAGATCAATTTTATTAACCAGTTCTTCAAGCTACAGCATACACGAAATCCATGAAACCCGACTCCTCCAAGACAAGAAAAAGACATGTAGACTCGGAAAATATAGTCATATAGAAGGAAACGTGAAATACTTCAAATCAACAAAATTGAAAGATGTGTGAGGAATCCCCAGAAAAGTAGTATCACTGAATTCCATAAACAAGCACTAAGCTACCGAATTTGATTCGAAATGAATATTCATCGAGAAAGAAGCATTAAAGAACAACCACTAATAAACAATTTCTCATTTAACTAACTATATTATTCGAATCCACACCAATAATGAAGAATGGCTCCACCAACAGGGAATAACAACACTAATTCACACTACAAAAACTGTAATCGAAGCACGGAAATAAAAATGTAGCATAAGAGCATAAGATACAATGCAGAAACTGTGAAACCTCAATTTTTGAATACATTATCCAGCACAAACTATGTCCAAGGAAATTCAATGCTAAAAACACCAAAGAACGTCATAGGAAGCTGCATTGTCTAGGGTTCCGAGTGCACAAATATGTGTAAATGGAAATTACAACAAACTCAAAACAAGAGCGAAGAAGTATACCATCTCTGGATCAATCACCCCTGAATCGATTAGATATGTGAGAAAGGTTTCGCTCTCCTCCCGATTGCTCTCCACGCCAACCACCACCATAATCAATAGCAGAAGATAACTCACACCTGTACTTTTCTTCTCTCGAATCCTCATTTTCCAAACGGAGCGAAACGGTTCTCATAGCATCGGAGAAACAAAGCTGATCAGAAAACACCATAGCCTTTCGTTATATGTGATGATGGCTCAATCCGCGCGAAGTTGAGGAGAAGCATCGGCATTTACCCCATTTTCCTTCAACCCAATTCAACATTCCTCGCCCTATTCTGCGATCTCTAGCTTATCCATCCATACCAATATTTTTCATGCAACGCCTCGAAATTACGCCCCAATCTCACAAAACCTGAGGAGGAAATGCAATGCAATTGGGAATTGGAGAATCCCTTTCCGGTGAGAAGCAGGGGGGGTTTTGCTGCGCGCGCGGGATGGGATCTCCACCAAAAGGGGATTCAAATGCATGTCATTGAAATTGACATTGACATTAAAATTGAAATTGAAATTGGAATTGGGAAGAATGTTCGATGACGTTTGACAGGCAGACAGGTTGGGTTCGTTCGTTCTCGCCTCGCCTCGGTGGGTGGGTTTGTCAGTTTCTGGAGTTCATTTATTTATCTATTTATTAGTAGTAATTATTTATTATTTTTGTCATTATTTCTTTTCTTGAATGAATTATTTAAAAGACAATATTCAATTTTATATTTTTTCCTTCAACATAAAATATTTATTTATTTAAATTAGATATGAATTTTAATAATTCAATGTGTAATTAGTTAAAGTACATTTTAAAAATATATATATAATATTAAGATATATAAATAAAAAACTATAAAAATTGTTTGCCGTATAATTAAAATAAGTATTCATATTTTATATAACAAAAAAAAATACAATATCATTTTAATAGACAAAGAAGTAGCATCAATAAAGAATTTATTTGTTTAATATTTTGATTTAATTATTTTGTGAGATATAAAAATTAACGTAAGTAATATTAAAAATAATATTTTATACAAAATATTGATTTTTGTAAAATAATAAAATATATATTAAAATTCATGTCGATAAATAAAATTTGGACAAACAAACCAAAAAATAATACAAATTATTTCTTTTTACAATCCTCTTTGTATCATCATATATCAGAAATCAGTAGTAACTGGTAAAGAAACTAACAACCTACTTGTTTCTTTTTCTTTTTTTTTTTGATTTTTTTTTTCTTTTTGTAAATGTGGAATCCTTAGCTGCTATCATTCGGATGTGCTCGAGTAATTCTTACTCAAATTTAATATTCCTTCCGTCATGCAAATATGTACTCATTTGATCGGGTACATATTTTAATAAAAGTGAGTAATAATGATTATTTTTTACTTTTTATAGTAAAAAAATACAAAAATATAATAATTTTTTACTTAAAAAAATAATAATAATAAAAAAAAAATAAGTATAAATTTGAACGACCGAGGAAGTAATATGCAAATTAGGTTCGACAAAGTAATTCTTAGTGCTTGTTTAATTGAAAGTAACTATGCTAATAGGTTGGATTTCTTCTTAAGTCAGACTTCCAATATTTTTTTATCATTGGATGAGCTTCAAAATTGTATGAAAGTTATAACATAAGAAGGATAGAAAACATGAGAACTAAAAGTATAAATTTTTTATTATATTAAAAATAATTTTTAATATTTATATAAATAACATGCATATCATTACAAATAATTATATACTAAATATTAAAATATTTTTTAATTTTTATTATAAATATATTTTGGCATTGGATATCTAAGTAATAGTAAGAAATAAAATAGAGTGATACCGGATAAACTACATGAAAAAAATATCTTAAAGGTGAATGAGATTATGGAGGTAGTCAAAAGAGATGCCATTGCCGGCACCGTTCAAAGACTATATAATATATATATATATATATTGTATTGTATGTGCAGAATAATGGAGGAGGGCAAAAGGCAGATCAGATAAGATGCCCTAACTAAATATATATATGTATATGTATATTTCACCATCCTAAGTGCTACACCTCCGCATCAATGGCGGAACGGAAACCCTAATCCTGCACAAAGCACATATTCCCTGCAGCTTTACAGCCCCACTCACTCCGAACATATTCTCTCTGCCTTTTGCACCACCCTCCCCACCCCCACCTTTGCATAAAATGCGCTCAAAATTCCACGCTCCTCTTCATTTCACCCACACATTCGAGATACCTCATTAGATGACCAGCAGCAGCAGCAAGCCGATCGAGATCCACTGCGAAGATCCGAGCCCGAAGAAATGGAGCCATCCGCTCAAGGAAGATGTCCTCGCCGCCTTGATGACCAGGGATAATTCGCTCGCGGTTTGCAAGCCTGGTTCGCTGTTCAACCCCCTGCTGTTCGGAAAATTCTTCGATCCTTCCGACGCCTTTCCGCTCTGGGAATTCGATTCCGACGCCTTGCTGCCGAATTCCGGCCAGCGTGTCGTCGATTGGGGGCAGACGGAGACCGATTACGTCCTCCGAGCGGAGTTTCCTGGTGAGTTGTTGATTATGTTCGGATCAATTGTGTTGTAATTCCGTTTTTCTTTTACCGATGTTCGTAAATTGGGGATCAGGATTAGGGTTTAACAGCGGTCTTCATATCTGCGTTGAGAATGGTAAGATTTTGGAGATTAGTGCGCAGTGGAGAGAGAGTAGGGCGAACGATTGGAGAAACAACCATTGGTGGGAGCACGGCGGCGTGCGGCGGATCGAGTTGCCGGAAAATGCAGATTGGAGGAAAGCGGAGGCGCGTCTGCAAAACGACGTCGTGTTGGAGATCAGAATCCCCAAAACGACGCCGCCTCCGGATGCAGGTTGAAATTATTGCCCCTTTTAATTTTCAGTGTATAAATTAATGGGTTTACTTGTGAAAATTTAAGGCTCTGTTTGGTTCGCTGCTTTTTTGTTTTTTCAGTTGTGTTTACTGAGAATCAACAAATTATAGTGCAGAATATATTTGAAACAAAACATTGTGAATACGATCTGATCTGTGTGAAATTTAGGCATATTTATTTATGTTTGTAATTAACAGCATTTGGGTCTTTTTTCTTAAAAACATGGAACACTTTAACCTGTAATATATTGAAAATGGTAAGAATATTAATTATGTTAGGTAGCCAGTACCGGACAAAAAATGAAAAACAATATTTTTCTTATGGGACTAGGGCGAAATTTAAAAAATAATAACATTTTAATTTTAGTTGATAATTAAAAAGAGAGTAGAGATAATTTTGTCTTTATTTTTATGTCAAACTAATTATGTGGGGGTAAAGTATGAATTTTGTAGAAAAAAAATAAGTTATTTTTTAAACTGTTGTTTTGTAATTGAATAATTTAAAAATAGAAATATATATTTTGGAGCGAATTTAAACTTTTGATGCCTATTTATCAAATAAATGTTAATGCAAATAAACACCAAGGTTGTTCCGATAATAATAGGATAAAAATAAATAAATAAATAAATAAATAATTTGAAAAAAAAAATTAAATTAAATTTGATATTAAAATAATATTTAATATGATGTTTTATAAGAGAATTTTTTATTTTTTATTTATTTTTTTTTTTTTTCGAGATACATTATAGATAGCAAACTCTGACAATATGCACATTATATGCTTTTCGTGTAGCATTTGTGTTTGATCGTGTTTGAAAGTTCAATTTAAGCTTTTAAACAATAAAAAGAATTTCGTGTATCATTTCTCTTTGATTGTGTTTGAAAGTTCAATTGGAGCTTTTAAACAATTAAATTTTTAATTAAAATATTTTTTTTATGTAATATAAATAAATAAATATTGATATTATATTTTGAAAATAGTATTTACCTTCGTGTCACTAGGGATGAACCTTTTTATTAGGGACACGATTTTTTAGGTATCGTAGATTAGTAAGTTATTAATAATAAGTTATGATATTAGTTTATTATTTTTTATATGAATAATATTATTGGTATTTTAAAAAAATTTAAGATTATATATCTCGAAAAAATATATGTATGGATATTATTTTGTAGATAATAAAATTTTGTATAATAGTTAAGGAGAAAGATATAAATAAAGGGGTTTTGAGTGGGCCCGGGTAAGATGTTAGAAGTTTAATTAAATTGATTTATATTTGTTAAGTATGTTTAATATCGATAAAGTTACCAAAAATGAAAATAGGTCATTTTTGTGAAACGTATTAAAAAGAAAATTAGGTCATCCTAATCCAAAATTAATACTCCCTTCGTCCCATTGAAATATTACCATTTTTTATTTTCGTCCGTCCTAAAACAAGGTTACCATTTTCTAACTTAGTAATTGTACTACCTACCTAACATAATAAATACCCTTTCAACTTACAATATATTACACAAATGTCGTTACTTTTATATTACACCATACTAATAGAGATATTTTTGTCTTTTTCACTACAATTCAATATAATACTAATATTCAAAAATTTATGTGTAAAAAGCAAATGTCACCTTCCAATGGGACGGAGGGAGTATAAAAATATTAATAATAAATATTTCATTTGATATCTTATAAAATAATATTATAAATAGCAAAAAAAAAAAAAAAGTTGTTATAAATAGCAAAAATTGAACCCAAAACCTACAATCCAACACATTCCAGCTCTCACCCATGAAATTACTATGTATTTTGGAGTTTTTTTTAGATAGTTTGTAAATAGTAAAAAATGTAAAAGTTAAATAAGTTCTGGGGTAATGTTTCTAATGAAAATAAGTATTTTGCATGATTATTTATATACAATTTTTAATTAAAAAGGATGTCTTTTTTTAGTTTGACTTTTCTAAAATAATACTGTGATTTTATAGTAAAAAATAAAACCAAACTAAAAAGCACACAAAAAAGAAATTCAAACCATATAAAAATTTCTTTTCCTCAAATATAACCAACATATTTATCTAAAAATATTAATATATTATATATATTTATTATTTTTATATCACTTACACATAATTCTTCATAATTCACATAAAAAAATTTCATTCAAAATAAAACACAAAACAAACGAGTATTTAATAAAATAAACAAAAATAAGAGTAATTGTTGCATAATTAATAATTGATTAATTATTATTACCATATAGAATCATAAACTAAATTTTGGAATATTTAAATGTAAATTTAAATTTAAAAAGTAATATAAAGATTAGGGTGTTAATTATGGCTAAGCACATATAAAATTATAGACATATATTTCCTCTTCGTCCCTTAACAATCTATCAATTTTTTCATTTTCGTCTGTTCCATAACAAAGTATCTATTTCTTTTTTCTTTAGTAACGGTACTATCTACCTAATTTTACAAATACCCTTCTAATTTACAATATATTACACAAATATCATTACATTTATATCATACAATACTAATAAGGGCAATTTAATATTTTAACATTTACTTCTACTATATTCCAATATAATTATAGTATTTCTAAAACTCCGTGAAAAAAAAAATAAAATTTATAATACACCATATGTTGTTTTAATTGAAATTTAATGTTTTGACAATTGATACCTATAAATGTTGTATTTGATGTTTTAAGATTAATAATTATGTATCATGCTAATCATATGTTGTCAATTCACATACAATATTTATATTATACATTTTCTGTTGAATTCAAAGTACAATTTTTAATTTTTAATATTTATGTATATCTTATTTTTTTATTATTTTAATAAAAATAAATATATATATTAATATCAAAATACTATCAATTTTTATCTAAATTATACAATTAGATATACAATTATTTTATATATAAAGTCCGAATGATAAAATAATTGAAATTTCTTTAATACTTTCATAAATCAATAAAATATTATTTTTTAATTTACTATACAACTTCAAAACAATACTCCCTCCGTCCCATATATTATGGGCGTATCACTGTAGATACGGTAATTTCGGTAAAGTGTGATTAGTAAATAATTAACATGTGTATTAGTAAAAATAATTATTGTATAATAAAAATAATTGTGAATTAAGATTAAGATAACTAAATAGTTTAATTAAGATTAAAAAAATTATAAAATTTAAAATTTAAATGAAATTAAAGTGTATAATTATATTTTCGAAAAAAAAATGGACAAATTACGTGCGACGAACAAAAATAGAAAATATGAACAAATTATGTGGGACGGAGCGAATATTTGAGGTGAGACTGTATTAATAAAAAACTTTATGATGTGGATTTGTTATTCATATGATGCACATCCATATTTGGTATGGTATGTAACTGACATTCAAAACAATTGGCCAAAAATGTCACAACATAGTTATTAAATAATATATATATATATATATTTTCACATTATTTATTACTCCATCCGTCCCAGATACCATGTTCGTATTGTCGTTTCTGTTCGTCTCACATACCATGTCATTTTCTTTTTCTGAAAAATGATTACACACTTTAATCTCATTTTAAATTTTAATTTTTTTAAAAAAATTTTAATTAAACAAATTAGTTATCTTAATCTTTATTTATAATTATTTATATTATAAAATAATTATTTTCACTAATACATTCTTAATTATCTATTAATTATATTTCTCCTAAAATACCGTGTCTACGATGTAGCAGACTCGGTAGTTGGGACGGAGGGAGTATTTTATTAGAATTGCACCTAAAGAATTTAAATAAAAATATAAGATTGATGTTCAGTTGTCTTTTTATTAGGTGAACAGACACTGTATTAATTATTACAATGGTTAAGGAGTGATGATCAATTATTAATTATTAAAAATAAACTATGGTGCGTTGCGAGTTGGTTTAGTATTTTTGTTTGAGATATATTTTTTTTTACGCGAGCTATAAAAAATTGTATAAGTAATACTCTCTCCGTCTTAAAAGTATAGGCTTGTTGTGTTGGATACGAGATTTAAAGAATATAGATATTATAGTGATAGTCGGTAAAAAATAGGGTAAATAACTTTTTTGCCCTTGTGAGTATATTAGTGTAAATGTAGTGGCAATTGTGTAATAATAATAAAAAAATATGGATAGTTTTATGGTGATATGATTATTTATGAAAATTAGACTATTATTTTGGGACGGACAAAAATGGTAAACAAGACTATTATATTGAAACGGAGGGAGTATAAAAATAATATTTTATATTGAATGTTGATTTTCTCTAAAATAATAATAATATATATATATATATAGAGAATCGTATCCGAAAAAAAAATATTGGAAGAACAAACCTGCGTCTATTATCTTTACACTCTAATTTCTTTTCCATTTGAATTAATCTATTTTTTTATGTTACATATTAACTATATCGATGATATAAAAAATAATATTTTAAATTAAATTATCAATTTTGTGTAATTGAATATAATATATAACAAACCCAATGTTAAAAATAAATTAGAAAAAAAAAAAATCAAACTTCAAATAAATATGTTTTTACATGTTCAGTTGGCTATGATATCAGTGACCCTTTTAGTAAGAGACACCATGTTTTAGACCATATAAATTAATAATAAGTTATGATATTATTTTATTATTTTTTTATATGAATAATATTGTTGGTATTTTAAATATTTTTAGCATTAGATCTCAATAAATAGATGTAATATGAATATCATTTCGTAGATAATAAAATTTTATATAATACAAATAAATAAAAAATATATTTATTTATTTATAATTAACTTAAAACTAATTTATATAAAAAATAAGGAGTTTTTAATATAGATAAAAAAATATTTATTTATTAAGGGGATATGAAAATAAAAATATTTTGAATGAATTCTATATACTCCCTACGTCCCATAACTATGTATCCATTTATTTTTTGCATGGAGTTTTAGAAATATTAATATTATATTGGAATATAGTAAGAATAAAGTATAAATGACTAAAATAACCTTATTAGTATTATGTATTATAAAGGTAATTGCATTTGTGTAATATATTGTAAGTTGTAAAGGTATTTATTATGTTAGGTAGATAATTCAATTACTAAAAAAAGAAATTGATACTTTGTTATTTGACGGACTAATATGGAAAAATGAATACTTTGTTATGGGACAGGGGGAGTATAAAAAGTTAGAAATGTAATTAAATTGATGAATATTTGTTAAATATATTTTTTAAAAAAATAAATAAATTTACTAAACATAAAAAGATACTTCTTCTGTCCCAATACAATAGTCATGTTTATCATTTTTATCCGTCTCAAAACAATAGTTTCATTTCCATAAATAACAATATCACTATAAAACTACCTTTAATTTTTTATTATTATTACACAATTGCCACTACTTTTTACACTAATACACTCACAAGAGCAAAAAAGTCTTTTAGCCACTACCGATATAATATCAATATTCTTTAAATTATGTGTCAAATATAACCCATACTGTAATTTTGGGATGGAAGAAATATAACTTTTTTTTTTTTTCAAAAAAAAAAAAAATTTAATCATTTATGGCATGATAAAAGGAGTATAAAAATATGGACGAAAATAAAGAAGTACTTCATTAAGAGCAACCAACGAACAATAGATAGGCCAACAACTAACTGCCTTTCTATCTCCTTCACATTCACCAAACTCTCTTTTTATTTATTTATTTATCTATTTATTTGTGTGTTAATTTTATTTTTATTACGAAAATAGAATAACAAAGTGAAAAAGTGAAAATTCTTTGCCATCCTTTGGAAGCAAAATCAAATGGAATACATGCATGCATCTATACTTTTCTTTTTTAACAATATTATTAAAAATATAATACTCCCTCCGTCCACACACAAAGTAAATATTTATGTTTGACGCTGGGTAGTTAAAAGTAATGTAATGACCTTTTTGCCCTTATTTTTTTTTTGTGTAAAAATAATGATGTGATGTAAAATAAGGGTGTGTTTGTTTGGAGGTTTGGATTTTGAGTTGGGATTTGAATAGTAAAAATTTTGAATTTGAATAGTTGTATGATGTGATATAAATAGGGTTTGATGTGATGTTTTGAATGTAAAATTGATTTTTAGTATAATATAAAAAATGAAAAATAGGTGTTTGATTTGATGTTTTTGGGGAGAAAAAATTGGATGAATAGTGGAAATCCACCAAAATCCTTCAAACAAACACACCCTAAGAGTATTTACAAAAAAAAAATGAGTTATTTAATAAAATATTTACTTTGCAATTGGACGTTCCAAAAATAAAAATATGTATACTTTCAAACTAGAAAAATGAAGTATTATTTTTTTTCGATTTTAAAGGCCACTTTTATTTTTAAAGATACAAGTTAACTTTTTAAATAGAATATTGTTTCTTATATTATAAATACAATTTCTCATGCTTAATATAAAAAAATAAATTAATTTAGAAATACACAATGCATACATTTTAAACAACAACATATATTATTTTTTTTTTAAAAAAAATCATATATTGTGTATATTATTATAATATGCTAATTGATACTCCCTCTGTCCCAAACACCCTGCAACATTTCTGTTTTGGTATGTCCCAAACACCCTGCAACTTTTCCAAAATAGGAAATAATTAATTATACTTAATATCTACCCCACACTTTATCTCCTCACATCATCAAAATAAAAAAAATAAAATATATATTTCTCTCTCCATTACATCACCTAATTTCTAAATTATCCTATTTAATACTACTCAGCTAAAAACCCGTGCCAAAAGTAAATGTTGCACCTTGTTTGGGACGGAGGGAGTATTTATTAACATCAGCACAAACCTCATAGGCCATCACCAGTCCGTCCTCGTATATAAACGCAATCTCGTAGGTGTGTTTGGTCGTGGAGTTTTGAAAATTTAATAATAAAATTTTAAATTAAAATAATTATTCAATATAATATAAATATATTGGTACGAATACAAATTTAAATATTTATTTGTTCATTTCAAAAGAGAAAAAAATCTCATAGCCAAACACAACCTTGATTTTAACCAAAAGCGCCTATACTCGTATTTTATTGCACGTGACTTCCCACCCAATTAATGGCCAAAACCTAACGAAATTTTAATTTGGTGCGTTTGGTTAATGCTTTGCTGCTAATTTAATTCAATGCAATGTTTGATATGAAATTAAATACGTCCCCATTTAATTTATTTATTTTAAACAATTATATTTTCTTTGTGTGTCAAAATTATAATTCTATATTATTATTTTTATTTTTTTTAATAAATTTTTTATTATACTTTCGCTGTATATTTTACCTATCTTATAATAGCAATAAAATATTACTCCATTTCCTTATATTAATATTATAAGACATTAATAAAAGTATTTTATTAATTTTTTAAAAAACTTATATTATATTTTAATATAATAATTAATATTTAAATATCAACATAACTTTTAGAGTTGGACGAAGATAATATTATTTTTGAATATTTTTGCACAAACAAATCCACATAAAATGGAGGGAATAATTTTTTATTAGAAAAAATTATTTGAAAATAATAAATAAAAACATTTTATAAATTACTAAAATTACAAAAGAAGATATATTAATGAAAAAAATATTTTTCTATTAAGTTTTCTTCTTTTTTTCTAATGTAAATATATTTCTATTAATATAAAAAAAAAAAAAAACAAATTGCTGAAGAAAATAATTTTTTTTCTTAATTTTGGTGTCTCCCCCAAATAAGCACATCTTTTATTGACAAATGGAGTACTACAAATATAATTAGTTAAAATATACTACTATTAATAGTATATACTAAAAAATCATTAAGATTAAAATTAAAATTAAAATTAAAATTTAAAAATCCCTCTCCGGTAGGGTCAAAATTGTCCAATCATATTTTGAACGTATACATATGACAGCGTTAAATGCCGCCGATTCATTTATTTATAATTTTTATTTATTCTGTGCAGGCAGTCTGCATGAATGAGCTCCAATCAGATCCACAATTCGCAAACCCTAATCCCCAATTCAATTTCAATTTCGACGCCATGGATCTCTCTCTGACAGCAAATGCGATTCCGATTCATGTTTTCGGAGCTGTAAAGGATTGGAAATTTCGATTCAATTCCATATTCTTCCCATCATTTTCATTCTTCGAGTAATCCTGCAATTCGAAGCAATTCCTGACGTAGCTTCCATTGCAATAAACCACCTTAATTAGTCCCTACCAACAACCTTTACAGCTCTCTCTCTCTCTCTAACTTTTCTCCTTTTTTCCAATTTTCTCACTCCAAACACCTCTCTACACACCCACACTTACTTCATTAATTTCCCCATGGCTACCGAGAACCAGAGCAGGGTTCATATTCATTACAGCCATTCACAGGTTTTTACCTTTCTTCCTCATCAATGTATTATTACAATGTTAATTGCAGCTTTAATTTTTTTAGGATTTTCAGATGCTTTGAATTGTTTGAGGTTTATGTCTTTGATTTCTGTGCTCTGTTTTTAATAGCTGTGGTTATTACAGAGCAAGTTTGATGTCGAAGAGGTTGTGGAGAACAAAAAAAGGACAATAATGACACCAAGCATTGGGATGAGGGCACAGCTCCGGCAAGCCTTGTCGGTGGTAAACGGCGGCGGCAGCGAAGATCTGCCTCCGGCGAGTGGGCCGCCGAGCATTGCCGGTTCCGATTACGGCGCGATTGAGTTCACCGGAGAAGATGTCGGAGCATTACTACATGAGAAGATCAGAGTTAAAAATAAATTCAACTACAAGGTAATTAATTATATATGATGTGGTAATAAATGGAAGTTTGGTTAGTAGTAAATATGAAATAGAAAAATATTTATTTAATGTGAATAAATATTTAACTACCTTACTTACTATGTCCATATCGTCGTTTCTGTTAGTACCACGTGCTATGTCACTTTCATTTTTTGAAAAAAATGATTACACACTTTAATCTCATTTTAAATTTTTTATATTTTTTTAATTTTAATTAAACTAATTAGTTATTTTAATTTTAATTTATAATTATTTATATTATAGGATAATTATTTTCACTAATATATTCTTAATTATTTACTAATTACACTCATTCTAAAATACTGTATCTACGGTGCAACAGACACGATGTGTGAGACAGAGGGAATATTTATTTAACCAAAATACTAATATATTTTTATCATTTTTCTTGGTTTTACTTCAATGTATGTTCTTTCTGAATTTGTGTACAATAAAAGAAATTTAAAATATTTGTATATGTGGATCAATAATGAAATATCAAATACTATTTTCGTCACAGTTCAGTATACTTATTTATTTTTTATTAGATAAATAAATAATATTTCTTCCATTCTGATTTTAAAATTTATTAAATTATTTAATTATTTTAATTTTAATATATAATTATTATATTATACAATACTTATTTTTACTACTATATTTTTTTTTATTATTTATTAATTATATTTTTTTAAATATTTTTCATAACAAATATTTACTAATATACTTCTCGAGCAATGACTCCTGTATTGAAAAATATTTGTTTTGTTGGATTCGATGATGCTGCAGGAAAAGATCGAGCAAATGGCCGATTACATAAAGAGACTCAAACAGTGCGTCAAATGGTTTCAGCAGCTCGAAGGGAATTACAACGCAGAAGTGCAAAAATTAAATAATTTGTTGGAGTTTTCAAAAAAGAAGTGTGATGATACCGGTAATTCAAAATTATTACGGTTTTGTCGTATTTAAAAATGTTCGTCACGGCGAAATTTATCTTCCTTTTTACTCTCACTTCAATGCAAATATTTTGCTAGAATCATTAATGAAGGCCAAAGAAGACGAGTTGAATTCGATTATTATGGAGCTAAGAAAAAATTTCGAAGCTCTACAAGAAAAGTTTTCAAACGAGGAGCGCGAGAAATTGGTACGACAATAATAATTTCATTACACGCTCGCAGTTTTTTCGCTATATATTTTATATAATATATATGTTGTCCATTTTATTATATAGGTTGCTGATTTAACTCAATCAGCTATATTATTTTCTAACATTATTTCGAAATAAAATAAAATAAAATTGATAGGAAACATTGGATTGTTTGGCGCGAGAAAGAGATGCTCGAATAGCTGCGGAAAGACTGCAATCCACTCTTTCTGAGGATTTGAGTCGAGCTCAACAAGACAATGCGAGTGTCAACCAGAAGGCGAGTGTCGTATTTGTATAATTTTTTATATATTTTTATTTTTATATCAAATCAAATATTTATTTATTTATTTATGAAATATGCAGATTCAGTCGGTTAATGAGATGTACAAGCGGTTGCAAGAGTACAACACGAGCCTGCAGCAGTACAATACCAAACTTCAATCGGAAGTTAATGCAACAAATGAATCACTGAAGCGTGTGGAGAAAGAAAAGGCTGTCTCTGTGGAAAGCTTAAGCACATTGAAGGGTCACTACACTGCTCTGCAAGATCAATACACTATGTCCAAAGTAAGTCAATTTTTTTAATTATCATTTAGTAATAAAAAAATATTGTAGTTTCATTTTGAAGTAAAAATGCATTACGTTCCCATCCCAAGTCTTGTTTACTATTTTTGTTCGTTCTAAAATAATAGTCTCGTTTCCATAAATAACCATATCACTGTAAAACTACCATTACTTTTTTTTATTATTATTACACAATTGCCATTATTTTTTACACCGATATACTCGTAAAAATAAAAAAATCTTCTGGGACGAAAGGAGTAATTATTAATTATTTTTATTGAAATTCATGCATAGTCAAATGAGCAGATATTTCCATAGAATAATACTTTTTATATTTTAATAAAAATATATCAGATACTCTTTGTTTTATTTCTTGTGTGAAATTTTATTTTTATTTTTTTTAAAAATCTATTTTTTAAAGGTGTCCCAAGATGATGCCGTGAAACAAAAGGAAGCAATAAGCTGCGAACTTACAAGTTTGAGGAGTGACTTGCAACAAGTAAGAGATGATCGGGATCGTCAGCTATTACAAGTACAAACTTTGTCGGAACAAGTATACAAATACAAAGATTGTGCCCAGAAATCCATCGCAAGGATCGATACTCTAGAGGCTAAAGAAAATGAATTGGAGGTTTGTCTTGTCACTCTTTAGTTATTTTAAAGGTTCCTATTGACGATGTATTTTTCTATCGATTTGATTAAATTTTTATTTGAAATGATCCTTTAATTGTCAGACAACATGCTTGAGTCAAAGCAATCAGATAAAACAATTGCAAGAGCAACTTGCTAATGCAGAAAAGAAATTGCAGGTGATTTACATATATATATATATATCATATGTAATAATATGTATACACATTGATCTTTGAATTTACTACAATTTTCTTATTTCTTGAGTTTTATTTATTTATTTATTTATATATATATATAGTTGTCAGACATGTCGGCCTCGGAGACAAGATTCGAATACGAAGAGCAAAGGGGATTAATTGCTGATTTAAAAAATCGATTAGCGCTCGCGGATTTGCAAATGGTAGAAGGAGAGAAACTTCGGAAGAAATTACATAACACTATCCTGGTATTTAGATTTAGCATACATTATACTTGAAATGATCTTTAATGTGAATTATCGAAATATATAATTGATTTATAGTATAATATTATATTTTTTTCGTAATATATCATTATTGATGCAGGAGTTGAAGGGAAATATTCGTGTATTTTGTAGAGTAAGACCTCTCTTGTCTGCGGATGGAGCTGAAAGTGATGCAAAAGTTATATCGTTTCCTACGTCGATGGAAGCAATGGGGCGTGGCATTGATTTAGTTCACAATGGTGAGTCTTTACACACACGTGGTTTATAAAAATTGTACAAAATTTTATATCGTTTAAAAACTATCTTAAACTTCCTTATATTACTCTGTCATCCAATTGTGTGCTCATTTGACCGGGCACGGATTTTAAGAAAAATATGTAATAATAGAAATTTTTACGGTTTTGGTAAAGAAAAATTGTATTTTTTTACTTAAAAAAAAAAGATAATAAATTTGGATGCCAACAAGAAAGAAAAATGATAATAGATTTAAATGACTGAGGGAATATTTCATAACAGTGCTTGTTCTACATGTGCTCTAACTGCAAAGGTAATTCAAAAATTTTATAACTGAAGAATCATTAATAACGAAAAGGGGTTAAACATAAGGGGTTAAACATAGTTTTTATAAAACTATAAGGGAGTCTGATATTATTTTTAAATAATTAAAGATTTAGCACAATTTTGATAAATAATAGGTGAATTTTATGTTTTTTTTTTTTTTTTTATTTTTCTTTTTCTCTAAATTTATGTCTTCTCTTTATTTGTTGAAAGGACAAAAACACTCGTTCACTTTCGATAGAGTGTTTATCCCTAATGAATCCCAAGAAGATGTTTTCGTGGAGATATCACAACTTGTTCAAAGCGCTCTCGATGGTTATAAGGTCGTATATCTATAACGGATCTTTAAATTCATTACCATTCGATTTAGGATGACGAGTTAAAAAAATCCTTGATGAAAAAATATATTAACTTGACCTATATCGATGGTAGGTTTGTATATTTGCCTATGGACAAACAGGTTCGGGAAAAACATACACAATGATGGGAAATCCGGGACTCCGAAATCAAAAGGGCCTAATTCCAAGATCATTAGAACAAGTATTTAAGTCAAGGGAAGCTCTTGAAGCACAAGGTTGGAAGTATGAAATGCAGGTGTAGATCAACTCAATTGGATCTCATTTGTTCTACTAATTTTTATCTCGAACTAATTATTATTACTATCTATTTTTTTTTTTTTTTTTTATGTAACTTTTAGGTGTCGATGCTTGAAATCTACAATGAAACTATACGGGATTTGTTAGCGCCGTACAAAGCTTGCTCTAATGCATCAAGAGGAGAGAATGTCGGAAAGCAATATGCTATAAAACATGATGAAAATGGCAACACTCATGTCTCGGATCTTACAATTGTCGATGTTTGCAGTAGCAAAGAGGTGTCGTATCTCTTAGACTGGGCAGCACAGAGCAGGTACTAAAACACAAGGGGTATTATATATCAGACTAAAATTTTATCAAATTTCTTTCTCAACAAAATTATATATTCTTTTATTTTACCAATTTCTTTCGCGCTTATTCTTCGTTCTTTTGACAAATCACACAAATTTAGGTCAGTAGGCAAGACTCAAATGAATGAACAATCTTCGAGGAGCCATTTCGTCTTTACTCTAAGAATTGTAGGAGTTAATGAGGTACTATATATTTAATTTCTAGTTTGTATCACGACTTACATCAGCATATTATTACAAAAAAAAATATTAACATGTTTATATTATTATCTTAGAGCACTGACCAACAAGTACAAAGTATCTTGAATCTTATCGATCTTGCTGGTAGCGAACGCCTCTCCAAAAGTGGCTCGACCGGAGATAGGCTTAAAGAGACTCAGGTTTATAAAGAACTTATAGATCTAAATGTATCTTAAAAAACTTTTCTAGCATTTGTAGTGATCGATTGCTTATCTTATTATCTCATTTGTTTTTATTGATTAGGCCATCAACAAGAGTTTGTCCTCACTAAGCGATGTCATATTTGCCTTGGCGAAAAAAGAGGATCATGTTCCATTTAGAAACTCCAAGCTAACATATCTCCTTCAGGTAACTATTCTTGAGTTTGAATTTGAGTGTTTATTTTAAATAATATTTTATATTGCATTGTATAAAAAAATAATATATATTTATTAAAAAATCGTACATAATGAATGATAAAAAAATGAGTTCTGGGAGCAAACTAAACAAACCCTATATTCAGAAACTTCGTGTATGTTTGTTTGTGGGGTTTTTTAGTTGATTTTATTATTTTAATTTTTTTTTTCAAAAATATCAAATCAAATAACTAATTTTTATTTATTATATTATATTTAAATTTAATTTTACATTTGAAATATCATATCAAACAATTATTTCAATTCAAAATTTTATTCGAAACCCCAAACCCCCCAAATGCTTCACGACACAAAAGTTGGATTATTACATATTGGTTAGGGATACAAAACATGAGTTCTTACATTCTTATCTTTTTTATTTTCTTTCAGCCATGCTTAGGAGGAGATTCGAAAACATTAATGTTTGTGAACATATCCCCGGAACCTTCTTCGATGAGCGAGTCGCTTTGTTCCCTACGGTTCGCGGCAAGAGTAAATGCTTGTGAGATTGGCATTCCAAGGCGACATACTAATATGAGATCTTTCGATTCTCGTTTTAGCATTGGCTAATTCTTTTATTTTCTTACATATACGAGTGTCATTTCATGTTTGTTATCCTATCCGATTCTTAATTACTCGTAAAAAGTTGCAATTTCTAACCAAATTTCAGTTATAACATGTATAGGATAACATAACACTGCCTTTTTTTTACATACACACAATGGCAAGTGATTTGGCCCTTTCATATTCTTTGTAGAATGATCTTATTATTTCAACCATCTGAGATATTTTTTGATTGATTCAAAGTAAGGTTATGGATTAGCATTTGTGGATTTAATTTTTTAGTTTGAATTTTTTAGTAATAAAAATTTGAATTGTAATAGTTGTTTGATGCTATGTATTGTTAAAGCTGGCAAAAATAGGTCTGCTTTGAAAATTCGATCTGAATTTGTTCTTGAAAAATAAGCTTAAAATTTTTCAGACTAATTGTTGGCTTGACACACCAATGAACCGGGCCATGTTCGGACCCCCGAAGGTCTGATCGTGTTTGATCTGGCCCGATTTCTTGAAATTACTTTTTAAAATTTAATATATATATATATATATATTTCTAATGAAGTAATGACAAAATTAAAATATAGTTTGATGGTAATCGGTTAAGTTCTTTGTCTTAAATTTAGTTGTGAGTTTGATTCTCTGGAATTTTTATTGAATTAATTTAAAAGTAAAAAAAAATTGATCCAATTTCAAACTAGATCGTATTTGGGGCTCACTTGTTCAGACCAAATTTAAAATCGGATCAATTCGAATTGCCACTTCAAATGTTTTCTTCCAGGAGAACCTTACATTAATTTAATCATCGTTTGATATGCCATGTAAATAAATTTGCTACAATGGATGGACATATATTAAATTCATGAAATCATATAAATAAATAAAGATATTGATTTCTGACCTATCAAAAATATATAGAGTAATTTCGAAAAAAAAAAAAAAAAGCAACAATTTAAAACAAATTGAATGGATAAACTAATGTATATTTGGGCTCTTAAGTGGAAGGCCCAATGGGCCGAAAGCAGCAGAAGCCCATTGAGTTCTTAAGCTAAAAGGCATCTGATGGTGCAATGGAGAGTCGGTGTGGTCCAGTTTGATGTGTGCCGACGATAGTGCGTCATGCCAGCGGTTGGGTTCGTGGAAGGAAGAATGGAAGAATCACTTCTTGGATAATTCATCCATTTTCTCACTCAATCGAATATTAATGCCCTCCAATTCCAAATCCCCAATCTGCAACTTGCGTCGCACCAACTGCAATTCGCAATCGACCAGATTTCATGTAGAATAGCTTCTCCACTTTTTTCGCTCGTTTTCGGAGGTGAATTCGTTTTCGGTTGATTTCTGCTTGATTTGGCTGACGGCGGAGGGGGGATTGGCGTTTTCTGCTTTTCTAGTTTGGTTCGGAAATGGCTTCCGCAGAGAACGGGAGTTGGCTGTACGATTTGGCGCTGGAGGACATAGAGGTTCCCGGCGGCGCCTTCGCGGTTCATGAGTCGGGGTTTTCGTGGCCCATGCAAGCCTTGAATGGATCATCGAATGCTCGGTACTGTTTAATTAATCTTTCAGTGTGTAATTTATTTAAAAAAAAAAAAAAAACTTCGGCTGTTTAATTGATTCGTTGATTGTTTTGCCTTCTTTTTACCTTCAATGAATTCATCGTTTTGTTTATCTATATATTGATTGGTAAAATTTGAATGCCTATATTTATGTATTGATTGTTAAATCTCTGATGCTCAATCATTGTGAGATTCCATGGATTTATTTGTGGTCCTGTGGCTGTATTTTGGATAATTGATTTGCTAAGTTGTCCTGTCCTTCGTGAGGAATTTCCTGTTGTTACTTTTTGATTTTTCCCTTGGCTTCTCTTTCTTTTGTTTCATGTCAATTTCTGGATAAATTTGATCTGTTATGACTATCGAAGTTAGTTCTTTTAGTTAAATTGAAATTAGAAGTGCTGATTGGAAGGTTAGCAAAAGAAACATTTGTAGTCATAAAAGGATAAAGATTTGGTGTGTTCTTTTGTTTTTTAGTTTCGGTTAGTGATTTGAATAGTCTTTTGGATGTAGTAATGTTTTGAGAGATGAAATAATGGATTTTTATAGATAATCGTAATACTTGATAGATAGTTTTAACTGTGACTATGTAAAGATCATCAAATTTTGTATTGTTCATTTGATCCATCATAAAAAAACTGTATGTTCTCGAAATGGAAATGTACAATTTCATTATGGGTTAGGTTATCTAAACAAAAATATAACTATCTGGTTGAGAACTTCTATTGTCGAGTAGTTAAAAGTAGATGCGGCATTTCAATTTCTTTAGTTTAGTACAAGAAGTGTTTCCCTTTTTACGATGTTATGTACTCGAGTTTAGTATAACTGTAGGAGGAGTTTTTCTGTCATTTCACGTAGAAAGCAGTAGTGCAAAAGCCGAGCCACTTCTGAAGGCCCGTTTATCATTGGCTTTCATCTTTTTCTTTGTCGTTTTGTGGCGTTTAGATCCATCCTTTGTGCTCAATGCTATGTTGCGAAGAAAAAACACTCACAGATGATTTGTGTTGTGCTGTGTGAAACCTCTCGTTTCCTTGCTGTCACTGCCGATATTTATGCAATATTTCTTGCCACCATGAAAACATTCCCAACAAAGTGTGATCAATAGGATTATTTGTCGAATGATTTTGATTGCTATGAGAGCAATCCAATACTCTAATGCGGAGCCATGTTAGTCTTTTAACTTAGTATTGTCTATATCCCGATAAACGAGTCTTGAGCAATTGATGATTGAAAGGGTTAAACTGTTAAGAGATTATATCTTACATTAGTTATTTCTAGTAAATTGTCTTTTCTAGCTATTATGGACTGTGATCATTTAATGTTCGATTAATTCAGAAGACACTATGCACATATATATATACAAATACATTACAGCATTCCATAGATGTCTTTGTTTGTGAGGATTGTTTTCTGGTTTGGGCATTAGATATATATTCTTTTTCTTAATTTATTTCATTTGTTGTCATGTTGATAGTGTGGAAGGCGATGCCTTATTAAGAGAGTCAAAGTTGCAGAAGGAATCTGGATCAAAAAAACGGTAAAGAATCTTTTTTCTGATATACTTTTTAAATAAATAACAAATTTGTTCTAAACCTTTTTATTATAATATAAGCCATGCCTTTCGAACAATTTTGCATTTGCAGAGCTAGAACTGAATCATGTGCTCCTTCAAGCTCGAAAGCCTGCAGGGAGAAACAACGACGGGATAGGCTAAACGACAAGTAATAAATTCTCTATTTTTTATTTCTGTTGTTGCCTGTTTGGTTCATGATTGCCTCGAAGTCACTGTTTGTTCCGGTCCTCTAGGTTTGTTGAGTTGGCTGTGCTGCTTGAACCGGGGAGGCCCCCCAAAACCGACAAATCGGTCATTTTGGTCGATGCTGTTCGAATGGTGAATCAGCTCAGAGATGAAGCTCAGAAGCTCAAAGACTCAAATTCAAATCTGCAAGAGAAGATCAAGGAACTCAAAGTAAGAATTTCTTTCGTATAATTTGGCTGAAATACGATTGGATCTTGTTCTTCTCCAAATTCATTATAGGCATTTGGGTTTCATCTAAAATCTAGAGAATATATGCTAATTTCGAATGTTTTAGAATAACTCGATTGTACCTCGCTGTTGATTTGTTCATTTCAATACGACGAATGGTTTTCTGAGGAATCTTTTGATGTGGTGCTAAACGGTTGTAGGCTGAGAAGCATGAGCTGCGCGACGAGAAGCTAAGGTTGAAATCGGAAAAGGAGAAGCTGGAGATGCAGGTGAAGATGATGAATGGTCCACAGCCGGGATATATGGCGGCAGTTCCTCCACCACCCCCGCCAGCGCCGCCCATCTCAGCCTCGGGCAACAAGTTGGTGCCTATTATGAGCTATCCCGGTGTGGCGATGTGGCAGTTCATGCCGCCGACGGCTGTGGATACGTCGCAGGATCATGTGCTTCGCCCTCCGGTCGCCTAAACTATATAACTACTTGCTACATTCCTCCTTCCAATTGTGTCATACAGATATATATATATATATGTGTGTGTTATATTGGTTTTGTATGATTTGTGTGTTGTTGGATAAAGAGTTGGATTTGGATATGGATATGTTACAATGATGAATAGTGATATTACTAAATAAATTGTTTTTATGGGATGGGATGAGACCTCTTGAAATGGGTTTCTAACTTCACTTCACTTCACACTTGAGATATGATTATGTTTGTTTGTAATTGGCATGGATAGAAAATAATAGAATAGTGCTAGTCCAGTTTCAACAATTGGATTGGATGCAATATTGATCTGGGTCTCCTGGTGGTGGCGCCGGCGTAGGAGGGTGGTGTTGGTGGCGGCGGAAATGGAGGAGAGGAAGGTGGTGGCGGCAGATGGAGGTCTAGGGTTTAGAGTTCCAAAAAATAAATAGATAAAATATTTTTAATTAAATGTGTAAATTATAATAAATAAATAAAATATGCCATTATTCCATTCCATTCCTGTATAATTTGGAACCAATACCATGCATCATCCACCAAGATATTAATACAATATATATACATCAATCCTTTTGTTCACAATGAATAAGAATAATACTAACATATAAGTGAGCTTACTTGTTCACCCAAATTCATTTGATTTTTGGTGCTGCTCCATCTTCATCTTCAACCCATTCCTATTTCGGTCATTCTGTACACACCTAATATCTTCTTCATTCACATTATTATTATTATTATTTACACACTCTGCATCCTCCTCCAACGAAGACACAGTCGGCGGCGGCGTCGCAATCACAGTTTTGTTTACAAACCCCGACGCATCACCAGCACCACCATCATCGTATTCATTATTATTTACACTCCCTACATATTCAAGGGAACTGGCAGCGCTGCCCTTGCGAGCTGAGCTGCTGCTGCGGCTCCTGTTGTTGTCTCCTTCGTTATTTCTATCTATACCGGATATCCTGAACGTAGAGTAGATCGTAAATGGAAGCACACAAATGGGTAATCCAGCTAAAGATTGAGTCACAGCTTAAAGATCGAATTCTGGTCAAGGTTTTATAAAGCATGTATGTATATTTATATATAAGTAAATTTAACAATACATCGATAAGTTAATACACTCAATCAAGTTGCATGCTCAAACATTTAGGCCCGTATTTTAATAAGAACAGTAAAATAAATATTATTCCATAAGTCATCTTACATCAAAGGCAACCAACCGCACATCAAATTCCGATCAAGAACTTGGAGGGATGGCTGAGTGGTTTAAGGCATTGGTTTGCTAAATTACACATTTTCTTTGTACTACGAAAAACGTTAACACAAAATTGGATGAAGAAAAATGAATATAAATATAGATAACACAGAATTGGATGAAGAAAAAATGAATATAAATTTAGATGACTGAGAAAGTGGAATAAAACAACCAAACATACCTTCCGTGAAGACTCTTAGTAGTTTGAATGAAATCAAGAACAGGAACCAAGCCTTTTGACCTTGCTTCGACACCACGGACGGGATTTCTTTCGATCTCAATCTCCCCCCCACCGGCATCTTCTTCGTCTATACCACCAGCCAACATACACTGAAAACATGTCTACACCGGAGAAAGAGTATCATTTACTAAAATGAATGCATAGAATAGCATACACAAAACCTATTTTATCTAATCTTCGACATCGATATCAAGAAGGAAATACCTCGGAACTAAACCACAACAGGTTCGCGTTTTCGTGCATTTGAAGCTCTGCTTCAGATATATACATGTTATTCCGTTCTTCAGCAGCAATTTTTTCTTTCGCGCCTGTATTCAAAATATCAGATAATATGCCATTCGTGATTTCCGCCCTTTCCGGATGCACTTTACTGTTATCTGCATTTCCATTTTCTCCATAGCTGTCGATATTATCCCCCCAGTCCTTGCGGTTTTGCTTTTGACAAATATTCCACTTCTGGATTGCTTCGACAGTTACCCCAACATCAGAATTGAGATTGGATTCTAAATCGGGATTACCTCTAGCTGTAGAGTAGAAAGCAGGAGAAATGTGCAGAGCGTGTTGAGTGACTGAACCAGACTGAGAGAAAACAAGAAAGTAATATTTTTCCGGTGAGTTGTTCCTGCACACATCGTTGGCATTGCAAGTGTAAAATGCCGATGCAATTGCTCCTGTAACAGAACTTGATTTTCCAGTTGCAGCTGAAGCAGCGCCACTAACCGTCTTTTTCCAACTGTTATTACCAGATCGTATTCGGCTAACAGCAGAGAGAGTGACAGGAGGGCCATATGTACAGATTTGTTGCTGCTTCAGCACCTGTAGTCCTGAATTCGGAGACGTGTGACTGTTTTGTGCATTAAAATACGCGTTGTTAGATGGAGAACTAACCATCCCCCCTGATGGAGAAATGCCGAAAAGATGATTTGTCCCCCTGGAAGAACTGATCAAAATCCAACGGCTGTCGCTACTAAAACTTATATCCCGAATAACCTGCAAAAGAGTATTGAGGTATTTAATTCGCTAGCTGAAAACAGAATTATAATTAAGAATTAAAAGTTCAGAATCAGGGAAAGGAAGATGATGTCATCTTACAGCATTTGTTAAACCACGTTGCAGCCTGTAAAGATGGACGTATGTTGGTCCGGAAGTTTCTCTACTCTCCCCAGAAAGTCGGGGCATTATACGGAAAACATTAATGTTGTGTCCCTGAATCGAAGCTGTCACTAGAAGCACACCACTTGGATCAAAACACAGAGATGAAATAGGGCTCTTATGTGCCCTAAACTGACAAATAACACCTTTGCTGACGATGTCTCTTACAACGACCTGATAAACAATAAAGCCCAAATTTGCTTGATGGTTAAAATATGATACTCACAAACAAAAGGTATGGAAAAGAACAAGTATCTGTGTTCATTAAATTAAGTTCGTGGTGTTTCAATAAAGCAACTTGCTCTCCATAAAAGGAGCATGCCTACCCAACCTATAGCTGTCAAAATAGCCTAACGGGGCAGCCTAAATACATAAACACAATATTCTCAAAATTAAAACTAAGCTAAGCATATCGTGGTCAAAAATGCTCTTCATTTCCTTTCGCAGTTGCAATCTATAGATTAAGTTATGGACTAATTTGAAAGTTCTTAAGAAACTAATATAAAGTATAATATTAAAATTATGATAGATAAATTTTAAAAAGATATATAACATAACGTAACAAAATATTATATTTAACTCAACAGGTTCAACCTACTTTAACGGTCCTACCCGACCATCTCAAAACAAATAAAATGAAATAAAAATCGAAATAGAAGCAATTATATGAATTCACTGGGAGGATATAGCATCATACCATTCCAAGACTCTCTGCATCCACTCCTTGTCCATTAGTCATGCCATTTACACTAATATTAGGTGTCCCGGTCTGAAATCTTTTGCCTTCAGGCAACTGCTCGGTATAGTAGCTTGATAGCTTCTTATATCCCATGTCCCCTAAAGTCACAATACCAGCCGCAAGATGCTTACTTGACTCTTTTGCATAGTGTGCAACAAGGCTTACGTTTGTAGGAGGAGAGGGAAAACTAGGAGAAGAGGAGAGATGTTGCGGCATCACACGACCAGAATTTGTAACTGTAACCTGACTTCCACTATAAGCCATCCATCGAGGGCCAACTGCAAGGGGTCCAAGGCCTATATCTGCAGATCCATAACATCCAGATGGCACTGGGTTTGTAAGAATTGTATACTCCTTCTCCAATGTAGCAGCATTGAGACAATGTATCTGTAAAACTAGGTGTATTATTGCCTGAATAAGAAAGAGGTGAAAATTGCAACAAAAAAATGCAAAATCTTGCAATATTTGGCAGTTTAGAACAAACCTGAGCTGATTGCAAAACAGCAACAATTCGGGAGCTACATCGCACAACAAGGACAGCTGATCGAAATCTTAAAAGATGTACATATGATTGAGATCTCAAGGAATAGAACCAAACCACTGTAGGAACATATTTGTCATTAAATGATCCTTGTCTTTGTTGGAAAGTAACATTATAAAGGGTATCTAGTCCATCTTGTACATTAGTGTCACCAGAAAAAGATCCATCAGCACAGATTGCCAGCAACGGGTGACTTCCAGAAATCCTATTTCCAGAATGATCTGATGCCACAGGTTTTGATAGCATCTGCATAAACGAAACTGGACCATCGTGCCTGGATACTAATTTTCTAATGTCATCGGCTACTTCTACATCCCAGATCTGAAATCCATAACTGAAACCCAGAAGAAGAACCTGATGTGTCAGACCACTTTCAAGTTCAAGTTTATCAAATCCAGCCCAGGAGACCTGAAAATCGAATATGTACATATAATGGAGCTATTTTTACATGGAACTAAATAAATACATGAAATTCAAGAACAATACAGTTCAAACAGTTGATCTCAAATGAGTTTTAAAGCAAACAGCAAAATAATTAGTTAAAAATAAGAAGGCAACAATCATGTACCTATAGAATAAGCCTAAACCTGTGGAGTCAATTTGCACATTTTAGCAGGTATTGAAGTGATAATACTTAAATGAACCTTCTTGTACTCTCTCAATGCATATTCCAACCATGGTTCATCAAAGTGAATTAACAGTTAGGTTGAGGGTTTGGGATTCAAGTAAAGGAAGAACCACTTAAAAAGGTTACATATAAATGAAATTTACAAACTAAAATTGAAAAAATTTGCGACATTTGAGATTCACATAAAAGATTTGTGCATCAATAACGCAAGTAAACGTTATCAAGATATAGGAGTGGAACATATAATTTCAACAGGCTACATGGTAATTGATGTTGTATCATCCAACAATGTAAATAGCACTGCATATAACAAAACAATATACCCCAACCTATGCATCAAGGAAGTAAAATTATTTGTCAGGTCAGTATAATCAATCTGTAAATGAAATAATTGAAGCAAGGAACATGAATTCAGCCTAACATGGCAAAATTACTAAGAGGGTAAAACATTTTCTTGGCAGTTTCTAGTTCCATCCAACCAATATAACAATACAAAAACAAAAACACACAAGCACAAGCACAAATAAGCATGTAGTGACAACATTTCCTTCAGGCCAGACAAAAATATAAACGCTGCTATGAGATTCGAAAAACAACAGCACTTTATTCAATACTCATGTAATAGACATAAAATTGAACTAAAAATGTAGGGTTTTTCCATGGGAGACAATAGATGATTCTGCTGTGTCAACAACTTCTCAACCTTACATTCCCCAACTCCAAAACAAGCATAATAAGATTTAAAAAATAAAACAACACTCTGTACATAAAAAATAGCTTGAATAGTGACAAACAATTTTCTCCATCCAAGTACCTTAGCTAAAAAGTAACATTCAGACATGCTCAAACGCACTAGCAAAAATAATTACTATTTCAGAGATTAAAAATTTGCATTCCCAACTTGCATAAACACACCCATGACAACAATAATCATTTCCTTTTCCCAACAATTTCATTCATGATGAAAACAATGCGGCAAATTTGAATACAAATCCAACCAAGCAAACAAATACTATCAATTCAAGGACTTGTTACAATAGTCATCCTAGAAACAATCATCAAACGAATATCTCATTATTAACTATTTAAAGCAAGCTGATTGCAGGATCATTGACCCCACACTCTACGCCTAGCAAAACCACCACAATTCACCCAATCAAATTCCAAAAACCATGAATTTCAATACAAGAAACAACAACAAAAACCATCAAAAATCTGCCACCAACATTGAAGTAAGAGATAAAGAAGAAATTCCACCTGATCATGGCTGCCCTCACCATCCCTCTCAACAATAGCCGATGCAGCAGAAGCAGCAGATCTTACAGTAGAGGCCACTGTGGATGCTCCAGATGACACAATCCTCAGATAACCAGAAAGTGTCCTGAACGAACTTGGAAGGATACCATTGTTATGCCTGCCAAAGCGTGGCACCACTGCGCCACCACCACCACCACTTCTCTGGCTATCATTCCTCATCCCCAAAACCACCACCAAATAGCACTCCACAAACACCTTTTTCTCACCTCTCCAATTTTAACTTAACCACGACAGAACTGCAAAACAAAACACTTCCAAAATCATCAAATTGCAACATCAGTGATGAACAGATTGAATCGCCACCGAAGCCTTCTTCCAATAGCTTATTCAAATTAATCCCGTATATATATATATTATATTTATATTATCCGATCGTAGCTTGCTACCAATGAAACTGAACAATACAGAACAACAATATCTCCAAAAACTCCTTTGCGGTATGTACAATTTCTTCCTTTAGTCCGCTTGTTTCGAACAACACCACAAACCTAACTCAAAATGAATGAATTTTCACACTGAGCAACAACAATTCATCATCTAACAGCAATAATATACACAAGTAGCTTGTACGATTTAAATTTTTAGGGTTCCGCCGGGAAGAAACAGATGCGTGTAGAATCGTTAAGTTAGAGCGAGAAAGTGAAGAGTCGAAGCAGAGAGAGAATTATGGATTGGGATGAACTAAAGAAATCGAAGACGACTCTTCGAATTACGTCTCTTTGCCCAATTATTTTTCGTCTTTCGAGAATCTATCTGATGAGTCGAACACAAGACAACTCCGCCGCACGTCTTCTCCACCACGGTCATAACCAGTTTTTTCACCGCTGTCGGAGATGGGAATGCGCCACGCGCAGAGTCAGGGAGTTTCTGCACGCGCGATCGTCGAGACGACACGTGGCGTGCTGGGAATAGCGAGTGGTGAAGAGGTGCGTCTGTGGGAAGGTGATGGATGATGTTGTGATGGAGATCAGATCCAACGGCTGGAAATGTCTGTGCGCTGGAATGGGAGAACCGAATTGTTTTATAGTAATTTAAAAAAAAGAAAAATCGGAAATGGTCGGATGGAATCCGGGAGAATGTACGAGGCATTTTTCGTTGGCGGCAAGTCACCAAAAACGACGCCGTCTCGGTATATTAAATTGGCGGGTAGTAAATTAGGGCTTTTATGTTTAGCCTCGATCAGGCCGGGCCTGGATAACAAAAAAATAGTTTCGAGTTATCCTTTGGGCTGGTCAGCCTGAGCCCAAATCAAATCAGTCCCGTCTCATTTGGCCCAGAATTAAAACTCATATTTTTTATTAAAAAATTTAAAATAAATATCTTTATATTCTTTTTTATATTACATACAAAATATTTAAAGAATTTTATAAATTACAATATATTATATAAATATTATTATATTTATATTACATACTACTAATAAAAAATTAAAAAAAAATGTATTTTATATTAATATAATACTAATATTTTAATAAGCCTAAAAAAAAAAGCCAACCGTTACTTTATTCGGGTGGAAGTAGTAATATAAAAAGAGGCAAGAAGACATCTCCCGCCAGGCGCCAGCGATGTATCTGTCACTGCCATCTCGAGATCCAATGACACCCATGCAGGGTTATAATCACCTGCATCGCACTCAATCTACAATCATTGCTCCATACCTTCTCCGCCATCAATGATTCGTCCACGTGTCCTATAGGCCCCACATAAATTCTCCGCACGTGCTGGCCGATCTCCCACGTGAGAGCCGATTTTTTGCTGCCTTTCCTTTCCTCCCCCATTGTTCATCCCCTGGAGGAGCTCCATCCTCCGACCCTCTCCCGATCTCGTGATTTCTGGCCGCTCCGGCGACGCCGCCGCCGTTAATATCTCTGCCGTCGCTCCGAATTTCCGGCCTTGAAGCTTGGAATTTGCATTCGTTTGATTGAAAAGAATCCGAACAGCGATGGAATCTATTTTGGCCCGAGCTTTAGAATACACCCTCAAGTATTGGCTGAAATCGTTCTCCAGAGATCAGTTTAAATTGCAGGGAAGGACCGTTCAGCTTTCCAATTTAGGTAGATTCTCGTGCTTTCGATATGGCTTTAAGATGCATTCTGAATCATATATTTTGTTCGATTGTGCTCGCGTCTGTAGCTACCAATGGAGGTTTTGGGGATTTTTTGTTTCGGCTTGCGTAATTGGCAACATTTTTTGTGGTAGATATTCATGGAGACTCGGTGCATGCAAGTATAGGACTTCCGCCGGCGCTCAACGTCACCACCGCCAAAGTTGGGAAATTGGAGATTATAGTTAGTAATTCAATTCCTTTTACTTAAACAATTATAATATCTATTAGATCATGGATTTCGTATTGAGGTTTGGATTATGTGATTTGTGAATCGTGCTGGTTCTGGGCTAACATAAAATATCCTCTTAATCATGAAGCTTCCACCTGTAAGCAATGTTCAGTTGGAACCAATTGTGGTGCAAGTTGACAGGCTTGACCTAGTCTTGGAGGAAAATGATGACGCAGATGCATCTCTCAGTTCGAGCAGGTTCTTCCACAGTCTCAGAATGCTTACTTTAGGCTGATCAATGGTTTTTGGTAGTTCTTATAGCTCGAAATCTAACATAAATATTTGTTCCTGCAGTGCTGTGCCCTCCTCCGGTCCTGCGAAGGGCAGTGGGTATGGATTTGCTGATAAGGTTCATTGCTGCTTCCTGTTGCGTGATTGCATAATTTTGTGCTATCATAATCTGAGACTATTGTTGTTTGGTTTTAGAGCATATTATGATTTGAGTTGCATAATAAATTTTATGTCAGTCTGTACTTGTCAGATTGCAGATGGAATGACATTACAAGTGCAGACTGTAAATCTCTTACTTGAAATTCATGGTAGAGGTCGAAGGAAAGGAGGAGCAACTTGGTAAGTTTTGGCCCTTTGCTTCTTAACGAAGATTTTCATGATGAAGATCCACCCTTGATCCATAGTGAGGCAAATTCTAATATCCAACTAATCATCCTTTTTAGTTTTTAGTAAAACTGTTTTCTTTTAGGTATTGAGTATGGACAATCTTTTATTACCTTTGCCATATTGTTTCGCTTATGAAACACATTTACTTGGGTACATGAGGCATCTTGGAAGATTTTTTTTTTTTTTTTTTTTTTTGCAATGGAAAAGTGATATCTGTAATGATTTATGAAAGTTGTTTCTGGAAGAATAAATGTAAGTTTCTACAAACAGCCTACCATTAGCTGCTATTAGCTTGTGTGTTTTCTTGAATGATAAATGTGGCCTTTACTAGCTGAACTTGGCTTGAGTGAAGCTAGTTGCTTAAGAAGTCTCTAATTCAAGCCTTTGTGCATGCAAAAAACCTCATTGGGAATTGTTTCTGAATTGTAGTTTATTGTAATGTATGAATTGTTTCTTTTATATAGAGGTGTGAACGATAAAGTCAATTTGTTATAAACAACTATAGATGAATCTATGAGGGGTTATGGTTTGATGAAGAATCTAGAAATTATTGACATTTTGATAAATGCTAGATTATAATTTTGTTGGAAAAATGAAGAGCGTCACCTTTTCCTTTTTAGAATTTTCAGTGCTTCCATTATTCTATTTCCATTCAACAGGGCTTCACCCATGGCTTCCATCACTGTCCGCAACCTTCTTCTCTATACAACAAATGAAAACTGGGAGGTTATGCTCTAGACCATTCTAAGAATTGTTGGTTTATTTGTAGCAGGATCAATTTTTGCCATCTGAACTAACTGCTCTCGCAGGTTGTAAATCTCAAGGAAGCTAGGGACTTTTCAAATGACAAGAAGTTCATTTATGTGTTCAGAGTAAACTAGCTAACTTTTCTTCTGTACTTACTGTTCTCCTTCAATTCTTTATGAATTCCTGAACTGCTATAGAGGTATATATGAATGAAGAGCATGCTGTTTATTCATCGCTATTCTCCGTTCTTTCTGAAATGGCTTCCTGGGCGTAGTTTCCGTAGTCATTCTTGGATACCATTTCTCCATTTCAGATATTGATTGACCAATATTTCTACTTTTTGACAAACAGAAACTTGAGTGGGAACATTTGTCTATTGATCTCTTACCACATCCGGATATGTTCTCGGACCCAAGCTTTTCAAAGCCTGATGAAGGATCTAATAGAAAAGATGAAGATGGTGCTAAGAGAGCATTCTTTGGCGGGGAGAGATTCATTGAGGGAATATCGGGGGAAGCCTATGTAAGAAACTTACTGATACTAATGAATTCATCTTCTACGGGAGATAGTTATTTCTTTACCAAGCGCAAAAGAAAACTTGAACTTGTTTCTATGAAATATTATTTTGACATGTGTTTCGCTTATGAAACATTTCAAATACTTGAAATGTTGTTCATCTACAGATTACTATTCAAAGGACAGAGCTAAATAGCCCTGTGGGGCTTGAAGTGCAATTGCATGTTTCAGAAGTTGTTTGCCCAGCTCTGAGTGAACCAGGCAAGTATTTTTTTGTTAATGCCTTTTTTGGTTCTTCTTGGAGTTTCTCTATTTTTAACATAACACCTCATATTGGTAGGTTTACGAGCTCTTCTCCGTTTCTTTACTGGAGTGTACGTTTGTTTAAATAGAGGCGATGTGAATCCACTTGCACAGAATGTATGATTTCTTCAACTTCTTGTGTTGAGTATATTTTCTTCAACTTGATAACAATTTGCACTCCACCAATGAGTGTTTCAATAGGTATCAACTGTTTTGCCTCTTTCTTGACAGCGGTCTGTAGAAGCAGCTGGTCGTTCTTTAGTCTCTATAATTGTGGACCATATATTTCTCTGTATAAGGGATTCTGGTAAGTTTTTCATCCAGAGAGCCTATGCCTATTTTTCTTTTTTTCTCTCTCCTTCCAAATTGATCAGTTTGAATGGATTGTACTTGTATTTTCCCATGCAAGTGTTGCTTTATTTTGTTTAAAATCACAAGTAGTCCTTTTCTTTTCTAAATCTCGTTCTAACAATCTTATATGGCTTGCAGAATTCCAGCTAGAACTTCTGATGCAATCACTATCCTTCTCTCGGGTTAGTTATGTTTGATTTAAAGAAAAATCACATTTCAATGCATGCAAAATTCCTTGAGCCAAGTGAATGCATATGCCTGTGTTGAGGTTTTTTCCTGCTTGGTGAAAGACTGAGGTTTCTACAATTGATTCAGGCAAGTGTTTCCGATGGAGCAACTGCAAAGTACTTGACCCAGGTTATGGTTGGTGGGTTTTTCTTGAGGTGAGTTGATAATAGTTGCATTACCGGTTTGGTGCAACAACCATTTAGTGTGATCATCTCATGGACTTAAATAAATTTTGTGCTCCAAACAAGCATGGGATACTGGGTTAGAAACTAGGTACAAGTTAAGAAACAAGTGTCATGATAAGCATTGCTAAAGAATATGGATGGCAGGGTCCTGACAAATTGCAAATAGCTGGCTCTCTTGGTGTTATACTCTCTACAATCAATTTCTGAAGCCCTCATTTGAGCTTTTGATACTTAGTTTTAGGTTAAACTTTAAGATAAGATCATTTGCTTTGGAAAGCATTTGTATTAAGGGCATTCTATCAGAGCTTCTACTTGCAACTCAAATTTAGTGTTTTGAGATTTCATTTGATATAATATTTTATCAAAAGGATCTACCCTTCTGAGCTATATCTGGGGGTTTGAGTAGTCGTCTGAAATATAATTTTATTGGAACAACATTTGGATAATGTTCTTGCTTTTCAATGTCCATTGGATTAATGTATATTTTTCCTGATCTAATGAAATATAATGCAGGGATACGTTTTCACGTCCTCCATGTACCTTAGTACAGCCTTCAATGCAAGATGCTTCAGTAGAGTTACATGACCCGGACTTTGGTATGATGTTACTGCATAGGTTTTATATATGCTTCCTGTACGGATTTTCTCAATGTATGTTTCTTTTATTTATTCATCAATATGTGTTTTGTTGATCGTACAGCCAAGGACTTCTGTCCTCCAATATATCCTTTGGGGGATCATAAGTGGCGAGTAAATTGTCATGTGCCCCTGATCGGTCTCCATTCTCTCCAGTTATTGCCGTCCCCAAACCCCCCAACATTCGCAACCAAAACTGTTATTGATTGTCAGCCCCTGATGGTTGGTATTCCACATTAAGTTTCTATATATATCCATATATATATTCTGTCTGAAGAATCTTCTCACTGCTAATGCCCATGTATCTTCTTTTGGATTTCAGATTCATCTTCAGGAAGAATCCTGTTTGAGGATATCATCCTTTTTGGCTGATGGAATTGTTGTTAGTTCTTCTGATGTACTGCCAGATTTCTCAATCAATTCCCTTTCTTTTAATCTTAAAGGTTTGGATGTTACAGTACCACTTAAGATAGGAACACAAGAATGCTTGTCCAATGATTGCAATATGCCATTTCAGAGTTCCTTTACTGGGGCAAGGCTTCATATAGAAGATTTGATATTTTCGGAGTCACCTTCCCTGATATTAAAGTTACTGAACCTAGAGAAGGATCCTGCATGCTTCTGTCTCTGGGAATCCCAACCAATTGATGCCAGCCAGAAGAAATTAGCCACTGGAGCTTCTTTAATTAGTTTGTCACTAGAAACTGGCCATAAAACAACTAGGAGCAACAGTTCTTGTGAGGACTTATGGAGATGTGTTGAGATGAAAGATCTATGCCTCGAGGTAGCAATGGTGACTGCGGACGGTAGCCCTCTAACAAATGTCCCACCTCCTGGAGGTGTTGTTAGATTTGGGATTTCTTTCCAACAATATGTTTCTAATAGTTCTGTGGAGCAACTATTCTTTGTTCTAGATGTCTTTGCGTATTTCGGCAGGGTCAGTGAACAGATAGCTGTAGTGGGGAAAAACAAAAAGGAAATAAATGATGAGGCTTTAGGTGGAAATATTATGGAAAAGGCTCCTGGTGATACTGCTGCAACTCTAGCTGTGAAGGATCTGCAACTAAAATTTTTGGAATCTTCTTCTTCTGATACCAAGGGCATACCTCTAGTTCGTTTTATGGGCGATGGTTTATCTGTCCAAGTCAGCCATAGAACTTTGGGTGGTGCGCTTGCAATATCATCTTCTGTCCGGTGGGAGAGAGTTGAGGTGGACTGCACTGATACCGTGAATGACTTCAACCATGAGAATGATTCCGACTCAAATGTTCTGAGAAGTAGTAATGTTGATCAAAGAGAATATGGTCAATTAAGACCTGTGTTTTGGATACATAATAGCAGGACAAATGGATCAAACCATAATTCTTCTGTGACACCATTCATAGATGTGTCCACCGTCCATGTAATTCCATATAGTGCACAAGATATTGAGTGCCATAGTTTAAATGTGTCGGCTTGTATTTCTGGTGTCCGCCTTGGTGGGGGAATGAATTATACTGAATCATTGCTTCATAGGTTCGGGATTCTTGGTCCTGATGGTGGGCCGGGAGAGGATCTTACTAAAGGATTAGAGCAATTATCTAAGGGACCATTATGGAAGCTTTTCAAAACCTCTCCACAAATTATGGATGGGATTCGAGAGAGTATGAACTACTGCTTGTTTACCTACCGTTTCAATTCCTCTTACCTTTGATATTTCACATATATTGACTTTGCTGTTTTAACTTTTCCGCCCAGATGGAAGTTCAGAAGATGGAAAGGATCACACCCTCTTGCATGTCGGGCCACCTGATGATGTGGATATGTCTATTGAATTAAAAGATTGGTTATTTGCTCTTGAAGATGCTCAGAATATGCCAGGTAGTTTCCTTGATTCAGAAGAATGTCATAGAGAAGAGAGGAGCTGGCACACGACATTCCGGAGCATACATGTCAAAGCGAAAAGCAGCCCAAAGCTTGCAACAGCCGACAATAATCAAACCAGTGAAAAACAGAAGCATTCTATTGACTTGATTACTGTAAGGACTTGCTCTCATTCCTTATATCAGCATTGGCCTTTTTAAGTTCAATTTAACTTTACAAAAAAAGTTGTTTGGCATGAAGATGCTTATGAACCATTCTTCTTCCCTATTAACTTAAGATTTCACCTTTTCACGTTTACTTGGCTGGTGTCAGAGATTTTTCTACATTTTACATGGTATCTTTTTCATCAATTCATGTCATTCTTGGTCATTGACAAATATGGAATTTGTTTAGTAATGGAGTCGAATGAAAAAACACTTTGTGGGTGTGATTCCTTGAAGTTTGAATTTGTATTTGGGGTTTGGGAATTGTAAAGAAAGTTCAAATCAAATAGTGTTTGGTGGGATAAAAGTAGGTTGTGATGTTATGCTTCAAATGAAAAATTGATTTCTGTGTAATTTACTAAATAAAAAATAAGTGTTTAATTTGATAGTTTTGAGGGGAAATTTTTCATAAGTAGTATGTGACCAAAACTAGGCCTTGAAAATGAGTTCTATCATTCTTAATAAATCACTTACACATTCACCATTACTATTTTGCAATGTTGATTATCTCTGAAATCAATCTATCAAATGGTTGCAGGTTGGCTTGGATGGATTACAAATCTTAAAGCCGACCTCGCCCCAGGTAATGCTATCGAATGGCATTTCAGAGAAAGAGATCTCACCAAATGGTTCCAAAAGCGAAAAGCAATCTGTTGGCAAGCATCAAGGTGTCAACATGGCAGTTGACATTGTAGCTTCTGATGAAGACGATGGTAGTGATGCAATGGCCAAGTGGGTTGTTGAAAATCTCAAGTTTTCAGTGACTGAGCCGGTAAACCGAGTTGCATTTTAGTGATTTTATAATGACTGATTTTGTTGTCCCGCCTTCGCTTGGAATCACTACATATGCTAATTTTACTTTGATAGATTGAGGCTGTAGTAAAGAAGGATGAGCTACAATATCTGGCTTATTTGTGCAAGGCTGAGGTCGAATCTCTCGGCAGAATAACTGCTGGAGTCTTGCGGATCCTCAAATTAGAGAGCTCTGTCGGCTCAGCAGCAATCCACCAACTGAGCAACTTAGGTAATCTCAATTCAATTTATTTAACAACCATCTTCAAAATAATCGTGCGCCACTCTAATGATTTAAGGCTTTCTTTATTTAAGCGTTTTGGATGATTTTGAAAATATCAAAAAAGTTGGATATTTAATCCAGTATGATGTTTTCTGAGATAAATAATTATTTGATGCTATTTCCTTTTTTACAAAAAAAAATAATAATAATCTTTTGTTAGATGAATAGTGCCTAATCTTTTAGAAATGTGAATGTAAATAGAGCATAAGTTTTAAACTTAACATAATATTCTATTACTCTCTTTGTTATCCAGATGTATGCATGTGGGTGTATATCTTTTGCCTTTTATAGTAAAAAATATGAAAGAAATAGTATGACCTTTTTTTAAGAAAATGTATTGCATCTTAAAAAAACAAAAATAAACATAGATTTGGATAACAGAGGGAGTATTATTTTAGCTCCCCCGGTAACCTCTACATTTCTTGACATTCTACACGACTTTCTTGATTATTGTGTTCTCTTAATATGCAGGAAGCGAAGGCATTGACCGGATTTTCACCCCGGAAAAGCTAAGCAGGGGCAGCAGTGCCAGCTCTCTGAGCCACTTGCCATCCGGCAATGCGGACAGACGAAGTTGGAACTCTGGCACAGAATCAACAGTGGCTTCTCTAGAGGCAGCCATTGTCGAATCACAGAAAAGGTGTGCTGCTCTTGCAGAATTGAGCAATTGTAAATCGGAATCAGAATCAGAATCAGATTCATCATCCCGGAAATACCTCAACAATGTGAAAGAGTTGAATGAGAAGCTCGACGGCATGAAGAAATTGTTGGAACAGCTGAAAAGTGAGATTTTGAAGTAAACAACAGACAACAAACACAGGTAACAGTTTTTCTCCAAGTTCATCTCTGCAATTCTTTTTGTATTCAAGGTGTTTATATATATATATATATAGAGAGAGAGAGAGAGAGAGAGAGAGGGAGGGAGTTTTTAGTTGCAATTTTGTAGCATTGTAAAGTGTGGTTGAGGTTTATTATGGTGATTCTAGATTGATGTGGTATTGTATTGTATTTGTTTTTGTATTTGTGTAGCAAGGATGGCAATGTCATGAGCGCCTCTCTCTCTCTTTGTACAATTTTGGTAGAAAGGAAATGATTAATTCAGATCGTGCTTATTTTACCCGCTCTAAACACATCCAGATAAAAGAAAATTTATATTTTTTATATTCCAATTCAAAGTATCAAGAATTAAATATAAGGAAAAAAAAAAAGAAAAAAAAACCTAAAAGAGCGCACATAATTTTTTTTTATTTAAATTAACATTTGGAAAAAGTAAAAAAATTGAAATAGTATTTTTTTTTTTTTTACATTTTCAATAAAAAGAACCCATGATAAAAACACACAGCAACAGCAACTGCTTATTTCCTTATCCATTTCGAGTGCACAAAATCAAAATATCACACTTATGGCGACCGCTTCCTTTCTCCAATCCCTCCCATCAATCCCCCGCCCATTCCGCCCACCCCCACGCGCCTCCTCACACCCCCACGCGCAGCCGGAACCCCCGGAGTTCCCCACCCCACCCTCGGAGACGACGACGAGCGCCGACAAATTCCCAATCGAGAAGCGCCGGCCATCGGAGATCATCCGCGAGCGGCGGCGGCGGCGGCGGGACTTGCCGGAGCCGCGGAACCTGGAGATCGGGTGGAAGCGGACGAAGCCAATCCCTCTGGAGAAGCCAAAGGGATACGTGATAATGGATTTTCTGGGGAAGCTGGCGGGGCTGATGGAGGGCGGCGAGTTCGGGTCGGCGGCGCTGCTGGCTAAGGCCGGCGAGATAGTGGCGGAGAGGGCGAGGGAGGAGGCGGAGGTGCTGATGGAGGAAGGGGAGGTGGAGGGAAGGATGGTAGTGGAGCTGGGGAGGGTGCTGAAGCTCATGGAAATGGATCTCGCCATGCTCAGAGCCGCCGTCAAAGATGACACCGCCGCCGACCGCCTCCGCCAGGCTCAGGCGCGCTGCCGCCAGGCCATTCTCGTCGCCCGCTCTTTCTGACCTCACCCCACCATATATATATATCGTCATGTTTGATAATACTAGTGTTTTTATTTAGTTTGAGATTATTTTTATGTTAAATATAGAAGGAATATTGATATAGTAATATGTAAAACAATCCGTGTACCAATCAGAATTCAGCTCGCAAGCCATGCAGATCGGGAATGAGAGTTTGATTTATTTTTTTCTTAATGTGAAAACTCTTGGTATGAGGAACCGGCAAGAAAATCACATTAGGCGAATTGTTAGTATGATTGATTAAACTTGGGCTCGTATTTGAACTCATGACCTTACAAATAATTTTTTAGATCATTTTTTACTGGACAGAAAAAATGACAATTATATTCGATTAGATCCTTGGTAAATAAGAATTATTATTTTTTTTAGAAAAATGCAAAATGTATTGTGAGTTTACAAGATCTAATTTCGTTCAAAATAATTGAATCTAGCCACCAACAGAAAGGATCTTCTGATCAATCTAAAGATCATTTAGAATCTATTACTAACGAGGATTCTGTTTCAGTAGACATCCGAAATCTAAAAAAAAAAATATGTAATATATTAAATTCATTTAATCTCTATTAACGGCCGGCGTCATATTCTTTTCAATTCATTTCTATTCAATAACTACTGATATTACATCATAAAATATACTAATATTTCTTATTAATATATTAATTTTTTAAAATAAATAATATGTTTAGTACATTTTTATTAAGTATAGAAGTGTTACTAAAATTGAAAGTAAACACGGAATAATTCCATATATTATCAAACATGTTAAACCTCAATTATTGATTATGTGCCTAATCCAATGATTGAGATATTAACTTTAAATTACACTACTTTCTAACATAAGGTCCAAATCTACTATTAGTATTACTAATATTGGGAATTGGATTGAACACACACCTCCTAAAATCACATAATCCTTGTTCAACCCAAAACTTCCTTGTAGTTATAGCCACCCTTGTATTAGCAGACGTAGGTAAAAATAGAATTATAAATACTGTTATTTGATTATTCAATTTTATTGAATTACCAAACAAAATTATAAATTTTGTTCATTAACCATTCAGTTTTACTGAACACCAGTTTGACAAGGGTAGGCATATTATCAACATATAATAAGTATCTACATCAAACTATACTTTTAACTTAGTTTTTCATGCCATGCAATTTCTCCTTTGATTGAGTCTTCAATCTATCCTTAATTAGGTAATTCCACAAAAATCATCAAACAAGAAATAAACACCTGTTACTAATAAGTTACTATCCAAATTTTATTATGATGTTTGTAGTCGTATTTCCCTTAAAAGTTTAAGTTTAATGAAGAAATACATCATTAATTACCTCATTAATTTTAGTATGATGTTATATAATCTTCGAACAATGCTCGTAGAGTTAACTCTTCCGCTAGGCGATAAAGCAACAAGTCGATAACTATGCAAGAAGAAAAAACATAATTGGCATAAAACAAATAGACGATTGAACTAAAAGCCGTACCTGTCCGTTGCCGTTACGATATATAAAACTGATGTAGACAGGTATATCATAGATCAAACAGGTGGATCATTCAACTGCTGCTCTTCGATATAAGACATCTCGCAAACTGCTGAAAAAGCCGACAACACAAGTGCACCGGGATCGGACTCAGTAGTGAGAGATTGAAAACAGAGCACACAAGACAAATGGGAATATATATATATATATATATATAGATTCGGATAATAATGAAGCATAGTGAATATAAAAGAGTTACACAGTGACATAGAAGATTTCAAACATGAAAACTAAGTTTGGCCCCAGAAAGATTCCAAAGGAATGAGTCAAAGTGCTGAATCACATATCTTACATTGGTTTTTACCTTCAAGATGATCCAGGAAGCAACAAAACCGAGCTTTTCGAAGGGGCATAAATTGCATCATTGAAAGAAAGGTTTCGGACCAGTTCAATAGACATGGATCGTTGCACAACATGTATGTTTTTGAAACCTATGATAAAATAAGAGAAAGAGAGGAAAGTTGAATAATTCATTAAAAAAATAAGAAGAAGAAGAAACAGACATGAGGACAAAAGCCGGCAGGCCTGCAGACGTAATCAAACAGAATCAAAAAATTCTATAGATACAAAATACAGCAGCTACAAATCAATGGTAGCCTTATAGTTTCTCATACTCTACTTTTCTATAATTGGTCGACTGGATATACGATTTTCAGAGGCGACAGCAGGATGGGGAAACAAAATGGGATTTTTCGATATGCAGATGGAAAGGACAAGCTACTGATGTTGTGTGGGACTTTGGGCAGCATGGGAGATGGACTGCAGATCCCTCTAACGATGTATGTTCTAAGTTCAGTGATCAATGACTACGGGAAACTAAACACCAGAATCACTACTAGTTTGGTTGACAAGGTAATGAATGATACAATTTCTATGCAACTATTCGTACTAATTTCCGAGTAGTGAATTTGATGCAATTCTAGATGTAAACATTGCAATGCTAATAAAATTTCTCCTTTCATGTTACAGTATGCACTCAGGCTACTCTATGTTGCAATTGGGGTGGGATTATCAGCTTTTATTGGTAGGTTATGTTCCTAGAGTACGCTACGAAATGATCGTGTTTTCTTTTGTGGGATTCCAAGAACTAATTTTGCATGATGCATTTTCACAGAAGGATTATGTTGGGCAAGAACAGCAGAAAGACAGACTTCTCGTATGAGATTAGAGTACCTGAAGTCCGTTCTGAAACAAGAAGTCGGTTTCTTCGATTCACAAGAGGCAGATTCATCTATTACATTTCAAGTTATTTCCACGGTCTCGTCCGACTCCAACACAATCCAAGTTACCATAGGAGAGAAGGTACTAATATACTGTCATGTAAAATTAATCTTAGTGCAGCAAAGATTAAATCCCTGCCATGGCAAGAAAAAAAATTAATGTGAACTTCCAAAACAAATCATTTTCTCAGCCATATATAAGATGAGCATGTAACGATGTTGATTGCAGATACCTGATTGTGTTGCCTACCTGTCGTCCTTCTTTTTCTGCCTGGCGTTTGCGTTCATACTGTCATGGAAGCTCACTTTGGCTGCCATACCATTCACCTTGATGTTCATCATCCCGGGACTTGGATTTGGTAAGATGATGATGGACGTGGCAATAAAAACAATAGCATCATATGCAGTCGCAGGAGGCATCGCAGAGCAAGCAATTTCTTCCATCAGGACGGTATACTCCTACGTTGCAGAGAATCGAACCCTTGAGAACTTCAGCAATGCACTGCAAAATACAATGGAGCTAGGAATTAAGCAAGGCATGGCAAGAGGTTTGATGATGGGAAGCATGGGAGTCATCTACATTAGCTGGGGGTTTCAGGCATGGATAGGCTCACTTCTCGTCAGCCAAAAAGGCGAAAAGGGCGGAGACGTATTCGTAGCAGGATTCAATGTGCTCATGGGAGGATTGTGAGTTCATCGTTCTATACAATCTTCTCGACTTAACTGGCTGATATCAGTCTCTATCTGTAACTCTGTTTTCGTCATTGCAGAAATATTCTGACTGCCCTTCCAAATCTCACTGCAATCACAGAAGCAAAGTCTGCAGCCATTCGAATAACAGAGATGATCGATAGAAGACCAGCCATAGATTCTGATGATAAAAAGGGAAAAGCTCTGTCTTATGTGAGAGGGGAAATTCAATTCAGAGGAGTATACTTCACTTACCCTTCAAGACCGGAGACAACCATTCTGCAAGGCTTAGATCTTACAGTTCCAGCAGGTAAAACTGTCGGTCTTGTCGGAGGCAGTGGCTCAGGAAAATCTACCACGATTGCATTGCTGCAAAGATTCTATGACCCAATAGAAGGTGAAATATTATTGGATGGATATAAAATAAATAGACTCCATCTCAAATGGTTGAGATCCCAAATGGGACTGGTTAATCAAGAACCAGTCCTCTTCGCAACATCTATTAAGGAGAATATATTATTTGGTAAGGAGGGAGCATCAATGGAAGAAGTAGAGAAAGCAGCCAAAGCAGCAAACGCCCATGACTTCATAGTAACACTACCAGATGCATACGAAACTCATGTAAGAACGACGTCTCTGTTGAGAAACAATTTTACTGAACATTGTTAGGTCTAATAACAGCAATACATGAAAGTTATTGGTAAGTAAGATTATATAGATTGAACTGACCTGTGTAATGTGGAATCTTCAGGTTGGACAATTTGGAGTCCAATTGTCAGGGGGTCAAAAGCAGCGGATAGCCATAGCAAGGGCCTTGATAAGAGATCCACGAGTACTGTTACTTGATGAAGCTACAAGTGCACTTGATACAGAGTCTGAGCAAATTGTCCAGAAGGCTATAGACCAGGCATCCAAGGGGAGGACATCCATTATTGTTGCTCATAGACTCTCTACAATCAGAATGGCCAATCTGATCGTGGTTCTCAACTCAGGAAAAGTCGTTGAATCAGGCTCGCACAATGAGCTTATGCAGCTGCATGGTGGAGAGTATGTCAAAATGGTAGAGCTGCAAGAATCAGCAACTGCAAACACTGCCACAACCAGCTTAAATTATCCAATGGGAAGAAATCAGTATAGGATGATGATACCTCCTCCCAGCCCAGCAAGTGTGATGTCAAGCCCACGTACTCCTTCCGTGCACCCATTTAGCCCTGCACTTTCCATAAGTACACCTTATTCAGCTCCTTACTCTGTTCAATATGAGGGGGCATATGATACTGATGATGAAGATACACAGCAACCGGCGTATCCAGCTCCATCACAATGGCGGTTACTGAAAATGAACAGACCAGAATGGAAAAGAGCTTTACTCGGATGCTTAGGAGCAATAGGCTCTGGAGCAGTCCAACCAATAAATGCCTACTGTGTGGGGGCACTTATAGCAGTTTACTTCAGAACAGAGAAACCATCAATTCCATCTCATGCAAGGATTTTCTCTTTTATATTTTTAGGCCTCGGATTCTTCAACTTCTTCACCAACATTCTCCAACACTACAACTTTGCTGTCATGGGAGAAAAGTTAACTAAAAGAGTCCGGGAGATGCTTCTGAAGAAACTGATGACTTTCGAGATAGGATGGTTTGATCAAGATGAGAACACAAGTGCTGCTATATCTGCAAGACTATCCACAGAGGCTAATACAGTTCGTTCACTTGTTGGGGATCGCATGTCACTGTTAACTCAAGCAGTTTTCGGAGCTACCTTTGCATACGCTCTGGGGATTGTTTTAACATGGAGGCTAGCCCTTGTCATGATGGCAGGTCAACCCTTACTCATCGGAAGCTTTTATGCAAGGAGTGTTCTGATGAAGAGCATGTCTGCAAAAGCTCAAATAGCACAAAAGGAGGGAAGCCAACTTGCAAGTGAAGCAGTCATTAATCACCGAACTATAACAGCCTTTTCATCTCAGAAACGAATCGTTGGGCTCTTCAGAGACACACAAGAAGGCCCAAGAAAGGAGAGTGTCAGACAATCTTGGTTTGCAGGATTTGGCCTCTTTAGCTCACAATTCCTCGCAGCAGCTTCAACATCCTTAGCTTATTGGTATGGGGGCAGGCTACTGGTACAGGGGTTGATCACTCCTGAGAGACTTTTCCAAGCATTCCTAGCACTTCTATTTACAGCATACACCATTGCAGAGGCTGGAAGCATGACAAATGATTTATCCAGGGGAAGCAATGCTGTTCGATCCGTCTTTGCCATCCTTGATCGGCAGAGTGAGATTGACCCAGAGAACCCGTGGCAACCAGACGCAAGGAAGAGCAGCAGAATTAGAGGCCGGGTGGAGCTAAGAAATATTGTCTTTGCCTATCCATCAAGACCTGAGCAGTTCATCTTAAAGGGCCTCAATCTTAAAATCAGTGCAGGAACAACTTTAGCATTAGTTGGCCAAAGTGGTTCAGGAAAATCAACAATCATTGCCCTCATCGAGAGATTCTATGATCCAATTAACGGCTCAGTAACTATTGATGACAGGGACATCAGAGATTACAACTTGAGAACATTGAGATCACACATTGCATTAGTCAGCCAGGAGCCTACCCTCTTTGCAGGAACCATCTACGATAACATTGCCTACGGGAATGATAATGCAGGGGAATCAGAGATCAGAAAAGCAGCACAACTTGCAAATGCACATGAATTCATAAGGTATGCAATATATAAATATTTCATAAATATTTCCAATCCTGCAGTCCACTTTACAAAAACATGTTCATATTTTCATAACAGTGGAATGAAAGATGAATATCAAACTTACTGTGGAGAAAGAGGAGTTCAGCTCTCTGGAGGCCAGAAACAAAGAATAGCATTGGCCCGAGCCATCTTGAAGGACCCTGCAATCTTGTTACTTGACGAGGCAACTAGTGCTTTGGATAGTGTGTCAGAAAGTTTGGTACAAGAAGCACTACAGAAGATGATGGTTGGTAGGACATGTATCGTTGTGGCTCACCGGCTATCCACAATAAAGAAATCGAACACCATTGCTGTGATCAAGGATGGGAAAGTAGCAGAACAAGGATCACATTCAGATTTAATGGCAATAGGAAATCGTGGCTCATATTTCTCTCTAGTCAAGCCACAAGGAGGGAACTCTCCTTACCGCTAAAATTAGGGATATATAAAATTTATAAATTAAAGAACCAGGTCTTCAGATCCATGGTTTCTCACCTATGTACTTCCTGGTAATAACTTCAGTATAAATTTTGTAATTCGGAGAGGAGAAATTCTATACACCCAAAATAACATTAAAAAGAAAAAAGAAAAAAAGAATCAACTTATTTCAGAATATGTAAGGATCATTTAAAAAGAAAAAAGTGAAAACACAGGGCACCAACTTACCAGTCTTTACCTTTAAAAACGCATGACCCCATCACAAAGCTATATTTTGTGCAGCAAAATGATGAGCAGACCTGGAAATCAATGACACCATGACACCTCACCACCAATCAGTTTGGAAAACACATTACCCAGACAAGTTTTTCTTCTGTTGAGGTTTTTTCTTATAACCCCAGCAGAACATTGCTACTGGGTGGAGACCATAGGGGTGTGGAACTGTTTTGCGTGCTAAAAATTGTAAATTTTAGTGAAAGCCATTGCTTTTGACAATTCATTGCATTTTGGAGCTTTAGATCAAAGTCCAGGGTAGCAAGTGTTCCAGGTAACAGTGGAAATGCCAATTTTGTTAAGGACAGAAACACTGAAAGTGCACCAGTGCAAACATCTGGATCCTATGTTTATCTACGTAGTGTTACCATTTACTTACACCCTATTTCTTTCATTTACTTCTGGAGTTACTAATGATTTCCTCAATTTAATACTAGCTACTAACAAATTAATATTTTCTTTAGTATTGAAACCATAAAGTTGCTTTGCAAGGACAGATGTTCCATTTCAACTTGGACTAACGTTTTCTTTTTCTATAAATGCAAGCTTCAAGAACAAAAATGAGAGAGATAGATCTAGAGAGTTAAGAGAATGCATCATTACAATCACTATTTGAAATGATTCTCCTGCATTATTGATTAATGTGGACAGAAGAGTTAAGAAATGATCCCCAAGAATGATTTAAGTACAGAAATGACAAGAAGCTATATTTTAAAGAATCACCTTCTTTGGCAATAGCAAAAGAGAATGTATAAGGGAACATTAATTTGTCATTACAAAAATAAAAGTGTCACAAAATCCAGTGATACTACTTAAAGAAAAATAATACTAATAAAAGTTATCCCTTGTTATCAGTCCTTGGTGACCGCCACATGATATTGTTGACAAAATGTTCACCAGAGTAGAAGTAGCGTCATTCAAATGAAAAAGAACAAAATCGAGAAGGACAATGGACTGCATACACTTAGAGAAAATGAAAAAAATTACTCATCATCTTTGTAGGGGTATTCCTCAGGAACTTGCTTCAGAAGTTTCACTTGCATCTCAAATACATCGTCTCCTTTAAGCATGTCATGAATCCATGTCACCTCAGTTTTCATAGATACCTAAATAAGGGAAACAAAAATGTAAGACTTATTAAGATTGCAAGACTTGAACTGGCCTTGATCTGTGAAATAAATTCAACATACAAACTTATTCTATCGCTAGATCACCCCAGCATGAGGCAGAGGCAGAAGCAAAATGTGAGGTACCCTATTGGTTACACAAGCTTTTATAAGGGTAACAAGGAAAAACAAAACCACTCATACTGTTACTTATTCTACAGCTTCACAGTTCTTGCACAGCGGAATCATGCAGTGACAGACATTATATCAATTTTATATGCCAAAATAACAGTCCAAAGATGTAAACAGTAGAATGTATAAATTAACACATCAGACAACAGCATTGAAGGTATCAAATCGGCATGTGTTTGGGAAAAAAAAAGCTCACCATCTCAAGAGCTCCTCTGACAACTCCACTTAAAATGCTGCAATAGTGAAGACCTTGGCAAGTATCAGGAAGCTCAACAAACTCAACCAAAGGATTATCCTCCAAAATTAGACTACAGGTTGTCCCCTCTGTGTCCCAATTAGTGACCGATGCAGTAACTCCCAAAAACATTTTGAATCCAACCTGTTATATAAAATATTAATAAGAGATATAAAAACACAAAAATCTTATATGTAGATAAAAAGGTAATGTTTGCAACAAGCACCATATTATTAGTTTCAGCTAGCTACATCTTTTCTGAGTGAGCTTCATTAACTTTATGCTGCAATGGTTCTGTGATGGCTACTCATAAGCATGTATCTAATCTAAGGTTGTGTTTTCTGGAGAATTTTTGAAATTTAAGTGATTGGTTATGATTTCAAACCAATTTTACCACTATTCAGTCAGCACGATTCTTAATTAAAATATACAATTTACTCTCACAAAACTTAACATCGAAATACTATTTAAACTAAAATTCAAATAGGAAAACCCAAACTCAAATCAACACAATGAAACCCAATTTTTTTAATCCAAAGACATCAAAACAATTACCTATTTTTTATTTTTTATATTATAATAAAAATCAATTTTATATTTAAAATATCACATCAATACATATTTATATCATGTCATACAACTATTTCAATTTAAAATTTTAATCAAAACTCAAACCCCCAAACAAACACATCCTGAGTAATTGTATATACATGGTAGCAAAATCATTGTTGAATAAATATTTTTGGTATGCAGATAACGATAATTCCTCTCAGATTATCTAAATATTTACCAAACAGAGAAACCACTGCAGTGCAGTGATGGTGGGATACAAACTCTAATACACATCATAACAATAATCCTAAAAGGTTTAAAAATCAAATTCTTTGATTAATCAACAAGATAACTGTACAAAGTTGGGAGATAATAAATCAACAAATAGCACGAGTGTACGACCTTGGCAATCATTTCAGCTGTTTCTCTAAAATCAACACATCTCGAAACATTAGATTTTGCGAGAAATTCATCCACTAGACGCACTCCGATGTTATATCCCCTGAAATGAACAAAAATACAGCAGTGTCCATAATATTTAACACATAACTAGTGTAGCAATTGGAGAAGAAAAGCAAACATTATTAAGCAAAAGAACTTGCGTGACTCTTGAAGATTCGGAACTCAATGAGAAAAGTTAAAAATCACATTTGATCGAGCTGTTTGTTGACCTCACCCACCTCCTCCAGATCGGCGAGCAATTGGCGCACGATCGCGCCGTAAGTCAGCGTAAACAGCTCTGCATTCTGCACCAATAGTTATAAAACCATCAATCATACATTAAGTTGAAAACTATCAGTGTGCGATAGAGCGAAAGAGAGAGCACTTACCACGCGATCAACGCTGGCGAAAATCGCGTCGCCGGATTTGGGGACAGCGGGAGCCATGAAAGATGGGAGGGCGGTGGATCTTCTTCAACGGTAGGATTGAGTCAGGATTTTGATTTGCGAGGCTATTCAGGATTTGTTGATTATTATGGTCTCGAAGACCACCTCGGCGGAGCTGTTTCGCATCCGCAGCGTAAATATAAAATAATAATAATAAATTATTACAATCTCCGACCGTTGTGTAAATTATGTTTAATTTTTTTAAAATAGCATTAATTGTATTATTTTAAATATTAAAAAATTAAATTTAAATAATTATTTAATGTAATATAAATAAATATTTATATAATATTTTAGTATAATATAAAAAATAAAAAATAAAATATTTAAATTAATATTTTTAAAATAAATTACTATTAAATAAATCAAATGGATTTTAGAAAAATGTATACGGCTCAAATAAAATAGATAGTTTATTTGATTTATATTTAAATTTGAATTGTTTATTTATATTTTATTTAATTATTATTTTATAATATTTTTATTTAAGAAAATATTTCTAATTTATTTCTAATAAACAGTGTGAAGATTGATTTTTAAAGTACACAAATGTACCTAACACCAAAATCCGTCCAAATAATTGTAACCAAATTTTTATACCAATTATTGAAAAGAAATTTCGCATTATTGATCCGGAGACTGCACGCACACCCACACCACCGTTCATCAAACCACAAAATGCTTACTATGCACGTGGTGCCCACCTCCTACTTATAAATAGATTTGGGTTTTTTTTTTTTTTTCTTGAAATTGAGAAAATTTATTTTAAATTTGATATTAAAATAATATTTGATATAATATTTTGTAAGCAAAAATTTATCGAATGCAAAATTCAAATAGTAAAATTTAAAAAAAAATTTAAAAAAACATACCCTTAGAATTTAGTTTTTACATGATTTGCTTTTGAAATTAAAATTTTTTATTTAAGTTTTATTTTAAAATAAATATTATTAAATAAAATAATCAGTTTTACGAAAATATTAGTATAATGAATAATATTAAAATAAATTTAAAATTATAATCAAATGCACTTTTTAATTTCTCAAATTATATTATTTAATTACAGGTTTTTGAAAAAAATATTATAACATGTCCCACCAAACATTATTAAATGGTACATCTATTTATTTTTATTAAGTATATGTTTATATTTTGAATTGTTCAATTATAAAATAAATATTTGTAATATTTTAAAATTTGGTTGGGCCAACTTTCGATCACGTCAGATCATTCGAAGTTAACTGTAGGTTAAATAAATTGAATAAGCTATTTATCTCAACAATTTTACTGAAAAAATTATAGAGTTAAGCGTGTCTCGTATCAACTTGTAAGGTCAGTTTACGATTTTGACATGTCCAATTTTACGTAACTTGTGGGCCGGGGTATCATAATATTTTTAAAATATCTCACTTTTTTTTTACAAATTATTATTTTACCATCACATTATTTGTGTAAGAGTTTTTTATATATTTTTTGAATTTATTTTATTTTATATACGAAGTAATTGTATATATAATAATATATTTATAATTTAAATAAAAATTAATAGCATTTTAGTATTAGTGTATAATAATTTTTTTTAAAAATATATATTTTGAAGAAAAATTGAACAAATATAACCATGAAATGAAAGGGAGTGTTTGTTTGAGGGTTTGGATTATGATTTGAGATTTGAAATAGTAAAATTTTTAAATTAAAATAATTGTATGATATAATAAATTTGTTCACTCTAACTTTTCTTAATTAAACAATTTTATATAAATATTATTAAAAAAATATGAATATATACACATTAATATAATATATATATCATCCCTTAATAAAAAGTCAAAATTTAATACAAAATATTAATATTTTTTATATTATCAAATTGTCTGTACCATACAAAAACAATCAATTATATTTGAATGAACAGACTAAATATATTAGTATAATTTTAAAAATATATTTGATTAATTTTTTTGAATTAATTAATAATACTCCCTCCATCCAGACATGTCAGCTACACTGTAAACACTATATTTTAGGAATGATGTATAGATAATTAAGAATGTATTAGTGAAAATAATTATTTTATAATATAAATAATTATAAATTAAGATTAAGATAACTAATTAGTTTAATTAAAATTTAAAAAAATAAAATTAAAAAATTTAAAATAAGATTAAAGTATGTAATTATTTAAAAAAAAAAAAAGTGAGTGGGACGGATAAAAACGGTAACGTGGAGTATCTGGGACGGAGGGTGTATTTGATAAAAGAAAAGGTGAGTGGCATTCCAACGCCGGAATAGCGCGTAGCTTCTCATAAACTGGTAAACAATTTCCTGGCACACAGAAAACTACAACCTTGCCTTCCGCGCAAGTCATATTTTTATTGTAATGGTCGTCCGAACACGTGGCTTTATTTGATTGGGCCTCTACGTAAGGCGGTTCAACCTAAAGTCGGTGCGCACGCCTATTTAACGTGCGTTCTTCTAGCAAAGGTTTCATTGCTACGGAATTGCAGTATACCCCCTTCCTTCTCGATCCTTTGTTTCTCCCGATTACCGTCGTCAAGGTACGATTGGTTGCAGATTTGATTTCATTTTTCGTGTTACTTTTTAATTCCATTTTTCGCTCTAGTGTTTAATTTCATTGCTGATAGTGTGTACGTCGTTAAATTTGAATCTGGTGTTTGATTTCGTTGGAATTGTTGCGTCTTGAATTTTTGGTGGTGTTAAATTCTCATCGCTCAGATCTGGTTCCAAAACTCCTCTTCTATTGTTCCTCGCGGTTGGTGATAAATTTTGGTTTCAGTTTTCGTGTTTGTGTTTACTTTCCTTGATTTATTTGTCGTCGGTAACTTTTGGAGATGGATTTCCGTCGGAGATGCGTTTTTGCATCCGGATCTGAAGTATCGTTTTAGAACTCTGGTGGTGTTGACTTTCCATCTAATAGATCTGGTTCTAATACAAATGTCTTGTTGTTCTGCCTATTAGATATAGGCAATTTATTTTCTAGATCTATGTCGTTGGAATTTGTCTGCGCACACTTTGGTTTTTGTAGATTTGTTGTTGCGTGAGCTTCTTTTAGTCAATGATTTGATTTTCTCTGTAGATTCTGTTTTGCGGCGTTCAATCTGCTTAATATCAAAGATTGGATGATCTATCTATAGATAGATTGCGTTGTTGTTCAACCTTCTTACTAATTCGAGTTTGTTCCATTGTACAGATGCAGATCTTCGTCAAAACCCTCACCGGCAAGACCATCACCCTCGAGGTGGAAAGCTCCGACACCATCGACAATGTCAAGGCCAAAATCCAGGATAAGGAAGGCATCCCTCCCGATCAGCAGAGGCTGATCTTCGCCGGAAAGCAGCTAGAGGACGGCCGCACACTCGCCGATTACAACATCCAGAAAGAATCCACTCTCCACCTCGTCCTCCGTCTCCGCGGTGGGATGCAAATCTTCGTCAAAACCCTAACGGGCAAAACCATAACCCTGGAGGTCGAGAGCTCCGACACCATCGACAATGTGAAAGCCAAGATCCAGGACAAGGAAGGCATTCCTCCGGACCAACAGCGCCTGATCTTCGCCGGTAAGCAGCTCGAGGATGGCCGCACCCTCGCCGATTACAATATCCAGAAGGAATCGACCCTCCATTTGGTCCTCCGTCTCCGCGGTGGGATGCAGATCTTCGTCAAAACCCTCACCGGCAAGACTATTACCCTCGAGGTGGAAAGCTCCGACACCATCGACAATGTCAAGGCCAAAATCCAGGACAAGGAAGGCATCCCTCCGGATCAACAGCGGCTGATCTTTGCAGGCAAGCAGCTCGAGGACGGCCGCACCCTCGCCGACTACAATATTCAGAAGGAATCCACTCTCCATTTAGTCCTCCGTCTCCGGGGCGGGATGCAGATCTTTGTCAAAACCCTCACCGGAAAGACCATTACCCTCGAAGTTGAAAGCTCCGACACCATCGATAACGTGAAAGCCAAGATCCAGGACAAGGAAGGCATCCCTCCGGACCAGCAGAGGCTGATCTTTGCAGGAAAGCAGCTCGAAGATGGCCGCACTCTCGCCGACTACAACATTCAGAAGGAATCCACTCTTCATTTGGTCCTCCGTCTCCGTGGTGGGATGCAGATTTTCGTTAAAACCCTGACGGGGAAGACGATAACTCTGGAGGTGGAGAGCTCGGACACGATCGACAATGTGAAGGCGAAGATTCAGGACAAGGAGGGGATCCCGCCGGACCAGCAGAGGCTGATATTTGCGGGGAAGCAGCTGGAGGATGGGAGGACGCTGGCTGATTACAACATCCAGAAGGAGTCCACCCTCCACCTCGTCCTGCGCCTCCGTGGCGGTGCTGGTGCTGCCTTCTAGAAGGTAGTGTGTTCTGAGTTGGTAAAGAAGGGTAGTGTGTTGGATTGATCCCTATTTGCTTTGCTTGATTGATGCTGTTGGTGTGTTGTGATGTGTTTAGCGACTGTTCTGTGTGATGAATAAATTCTTCGTTCCTGCTTATCATGTCTTCGGGCGTAATGTTGCTGTTACAGTAAGGTTTGGATGTATAATGTGGATTTGGTTTGTTCTATTCTAATTTATCCAGACAAAAATCATTGCAATACGAATCGGATGTGGTAACAAGGATGGTAAGGTTTGTTTGGGTTTGGATTTGAGTTTGATGTTAGTGGTAAATTTTAGATTATGAATTAGAATATTTTAGCGGTAAAATAAGTTTTCGTAAATATGCATAGTAACTTTTATTTTTTCATTATTATTATTTATTTTTATTTTTTTATTATTATTATTCTACGGAGATAGAGTATTTTAATTTTGTTATTATATAAATTCTTGTTTAATATTTATAATTTTAAATATATTTTTTAAAAAATTAAAAATATTTAATTTTAAAATAATGTAGTATATTTTATATTTTTAATACTATTTTTTATAATATAATCAACTAATTAGTTTATTTGAAATGATATACTATAATAGTGTATTTTATTATTAAATTTGCATTTAAAATTTTAATTATTACTATGTGAGTAATATACAGAAGTTATTTTTTATTTAATTTTTTATTGATAAAAAATAAATATTTATTTTTCTTAAATATTAGAAGAATAAAATATAATGAAAATATATAATTTTTAAATATATAAAATATTTAATGGGAAGGAAACAATAGAAATTTGAAAGAGTTATCACGTGAGAGTAAACTTTAATTGGAGTTCTTCTGGAAGAGAGAAAAACCGATGTGGCATTAGTATTAGAATCAAAAGAAACTCTACTTGGGGGGTTCTGCATTGTGGATTGTCTTAGGAGGGTTACCAATTCTTTCCTTTATATATATATATATTTTATCCGTCCTTAATCCAAAATTATTTAATATTTTTTTTATAATTATTTTTATGACAGAAAAAATATTTTTATTAACATATTAATTTTATTTTATCTAAATTGGGCTCAAATAAAGAACTTGGCTCATACTTTATTCAATTGGGGGCCTCTAAGAAAGATTGTTCAACCTACGGTCGGTGCGCACGCCTATTTAACGTGCGTCCTTCGAGCAAAGCCTTGGTACATTGCTTTGGATTGCAGTCTTCTCTTTCCTTCTCGATCCTTTGTTTCTCTCGATTACCGTCGTCAAGGTATGGCTTGTTGTAGATTTGATTTAATTTTTCGCTTTCGTGTCTAATTCCCTTGCTGATTTGTGCGTATGTTGTTGAAATTCGATTCTGGAGTTTGATCTCGTTGGAATTGTTGTTTATAATTCCGGATCTGGAAATTCGTTTTGAATTATTGGTGGTGTTGAATTCTCATCGCTCAGATTTGTGCTAAGACACATCTTCTATTGTTCTTCGGTTGGTGATCATTTTGGTTTCGTTTTCTGTGTTTGTGTTTAATTTCCTTGGATTTATGTCCGTCGGTAATTTTGGGAGATGGATCTCCGTCGGAGATGTGTTTTGGCATCCGGATCTGTTTCTAATACAAATCTGTTGTTCTTCTTCCTATTCAATTTATACAATTCTTTTTCTCTACATCTATGTTGTTGGATATTCCTGCACACATTTCTTGCTATTTGTATATCTGTTGCGTGTTACTTTTTTGAATCAATAATAGGAGGTTGCATATGTAGGTTTTGCTCTCGTTGTTTAATCTGCCTTACTAATTCGAGTTTGTTCCATTGTACAGATGCAGATCTTCGTCAAAACCCTCACCGGCAAGACCATCACCCTCGAGGTTGAAAGCTCCGACACCATCGACAATGTCAAGGCCAAAATCCAGGATAAGGAAGGCATTCCTCCGGATCAACAGAGGCTGATCTTCGCCGGAAAGCAGCTCGAGGACGGCCGCACCCTCGCCGACTACAACATCCAGAAGGAGAGCACCCTCCACTTGGTCCTCCGTCTCCGCGGTGGGATGCAGATCTTCGTCAAAACCCTTACCGGAAAGACCATTACCCTCGAGGTCGAGAGCTCCGACACCATCGACAATGTGAAAACCAAAATCCAGGATAAGGAAGGCATCCCTCCGGATCAACAGAGGCTGATCTTCGCCGGTAAGCAGCTCGAGGATGGCCGCACTCTCGCCGACTACAACATCCAGAAGGAATCCACTCTTCATTTGGTCCTCCGTCTCCGCGGTGGTATGCAAATCTTCGTCAAAACCCTGACGGGGAAAACCATAACACTGGAGGTCGAGAGCTCCGACACAATCGACAACGTGAAGGCCAAAATCCAGGACAAGGAAGGCATCCCTCCCGACCAGCAGCGGCTGATCTTCGCCGGCAAGCAGCTCGAAGATGGCCGCACTCTTGCCGACTACAACATTCAGAAGGAATCAACTCTGCACTTGGTGCTGAGGCTGAGGGGAGGAATGCAGATCTTCGTCAAGACCCTGACGGGGAAGACGATAACTCTGGAGGTTGAGAGCTCGGACACAATCGACAACGTGAAGGCGAAGATTCAGGACAAGGAGGGGATCCCGCCGGACCAGCAGAGGCTGATATTTGCAGGGAAGCAGCTGGAGGACGGGAGGACTCTGGCTGATTACAACATCCAGAAGGAGTCCACCCTCCACCTTGTCCTCCGCCTCCGTGGCGGTGCTACTGCTGCTGCCTTCTAGAAGGTACTACTGTTCTGAGTTGTTAAGGAGATGTCCGGTGACTGTTCTGTGAATTGGTGTTTTTAATGAATAATGCTGTTCCTTCTATTATAAAGTAGTCATGTTTATGTTTGGATTTGATATTTGACTTAGTAGCAGGGGAGGGTCACCCTGCTAATTTATCCAGACAAAAGTAATGGTATTATGATGTTTAATACGTAAGTGGCGTGGGCAGATTCGACTCTGGATAATTTGATGTCATTATAAAAGAAAATACAATTTATATTAGTTATATATATTTATTTATGATTAATTGTAATCTAATTTTGATTTATAATTTATTTTTTAAGATAATAATTCTCGAGTTCACTAAGAACTTCTACAATATAGCAAAATAATAAATATATAAAATTCTTTAATTTTATTGATATAATAAGATGAGCTAGACGATTTAGTTGGGTTTTTTTTTTTAAAAATATATATAAAAAAGATAAAAATAAAGCCTGGTTTTGGATGAACATTTTGCTAAGAGAACTATTAGAGGAAAACAACAATATCTTTTTTGTATAATAGGTTATATCAAAGTAATATTTCAATTTTAATAAAATAAAATATGTTTTTTTAAAAATTAATATTATTATTCATTAGATAATATATATTTCTTTATTATCATCTAAATTTTTATTATTTTTAACAAAAATACTCTTTTTATTTATTAACAAAAGAATTTTTTTATTATTATTTTATCTATTTTTTAAAAAAATTATATCCAATAAAATAAAAATATAGAATATAAAAAAAAAATCCTATCGGATTAAATACTCTCCGTCCCACCGGAATTGAATCATTTGATTAAAAAAATATTATTTTTAATTAGTTAATAATAATTAACTATGATATTATTATATTTTTTTATAATTAATAATATTTATAGCTTTAAAGTAATTTAATATATATAATTAAAAAAATTAAAATATATGTTTAAATATTTAAAAATTATATAACAATTAAAAAATATATCATATTATTTTGTAGAGAATAAAATTTTTTATAATATACAAGTAAATAAAAAAAAAATTGTTTATTTATAATTAACATAAATCAATTTTATAAAAAATATGTTAGTTTTAAATATAGATAAAAATATTTATTTTTTTTAGGAAAGAGTTAGAAATAAAAAGATTTTTAGTAGTCCTATATCATTTATGATAACGATATATAATGTTGTATGTTATCTAATTAATTAAATTGATTTATATTTATTAAATATATTTTAATTTAATAAGTTTTACCAAAAATAGAAAGATATCAATGATTATATGCGAGACAAAAATGACAACGTCAATTGTGATGGTACGGAGAGAGAGAGTATATTGTTCAACAACAAAAAGTAAATAAATAATAACAACTGTAGATTTGGACGGAGGACTATAAAGAGGTGTATGTATGATGCTACCATTATATAATTTGGTGGACGTTTCCTGAGCTTTCCCAAATACGGTCCACTCTTTACATAAACCCTTCAAGTTCCTTCGTCACAACTACAGAGATCGCACCTCCGATCGGACTTCCTTCCGTTTTTTCAAGGTTCGCGCTTTTCCTTCTCATAAGGTATGCTTCTCCCAACGGATTTGTCGATTCACCTCTAAGATCTGTGTTTTTTTCTTTTTCTTTTTTTTAAAATGTTTTTGACTGAAAACTTTGGTTCTTGTTTACACTTCTATGTGAATTTTAATTTTCCAATTCTTGCTTCTTTTATTGTTTGCTGTATTTTGTGTTCGCTTGGTCGGGTTTTCGTTACGCGATTGATACACACAAGGCTTACGTTACGTTGACGATTTGTCGCTTTTCTGTAATTAGGGTTTTGCATTCAGGATTTATTTTGCTATGTCTATTTGTTGACATTGGATCTTGAAGACCTTTGTTTTAATTCTTAGGATGCTAATTTACCAATCGGATTGGCTATGCGTTTGTTCTTCCCAGATTTTGTTAATTATAAGCAAATATTTTGGAACAATGGATCATCTTGGAACTTATGCAAAACATATTTTTTTCTCTTAAGTGTTCTGTTTAAAATTGAAATCGTAATATGAAAATTTTAATAAGCTAAATAAAAGTGTTCCCTACTGAAAACATTCAATCGATAAACTATTGACATAATAGGGTGTGTTTGTTGTGGGTTTGTAAGTTGTGTTTAGGTTTTGTATATTAAAATTTTGAATGAAATATCTATTTGATTTGATATAAATAGGTGTTTTAATATAAAATTGATTTTTAATACTTTATAATATAAAAATATAGGTGTTTAAACTCATCTAAATAATGAATGGTTTTTTACTTTAAAATCAACCAACTCAACCAAGAAGCCATGGAAGCACCACAGTAGTAAACAGAGTGAACTACAAAGGCTCTCCAATTATTTCTTAAGTAAACAGCACCATCGAGGCTCTTGAGCATGTTGTAACTTGGGACTCACTCCAATCTTCGACTACCACTCTTATGCTGTATCCCCTTTTTTTGATCGCATCCCATGTTAAGCTTATTGATAAATGTTTTTTTGTGTATTTCCACATCTTGTACCCTTCATTGGTTGTTGATAGCATTATTAAACAGCATGTGTTGGATTAAGCTATTCCTATCAAACTAGGAAATGTAAGCTTTTATGTCACTAGAAACAGTTGTATTTGCTAGTTAAAAATTAACTTGACAATATCTGCTTCCTGTCACTTTGATCAGGTCGGAGCATTCACATTTACTTGACGAGATCTTGCTGCACAGCCAAATTTCATGTCTGATCTTGATATTCAGATTCCCACTACTTTTGGTACAGTGATTTCAGTTATCCTTTGGTTACCAAACCATGAATTTTATGCTCATATGAGTTAAACAAATTTTTTTATGAATATAGTATTATATTAGTTGATGATTGTAATATAAAGTAAGAGTATTTTGGAAAATATATAAGTGAGTTAATGAAGTTAGAGAAAATTTGAGTGTAAGTAGTTGTGGTATATTTGTAAATAAGTGTAATGTTAATGGTTTAAATTAAGAAGTGTATAAGAATTAGTTTTTGTTATAAATGAAAATGCATATTTTTTTATGGACAAACAAAAAAGTAAACAATTGGAATATCATTTATATCATATCAAAAAAATTTCAATTCAAATTTTTTACTATTCCCAGAACACAACCAAATAAACTAGCTTATATTATGGCAGATAAAACTGATCAAGATTATACATAATTTGATATACCCGATAGGGAGTATGTTGATGGTCCGTTAATTTGAAATGTTGTATTCTCTTTTGGAACCTCATGGGACATGTTATGTTTTGTGTTACATAATGGTTAGATGCTTTTGCTGATGCCAATGCTGAGAATTCTGGCGCCGGGTCAAAGGACTACGTCCATATTCGCATACAGCAGCGTAATGGTCGGAAAAGCTTGACTACCGTGCAGGGGTTAAAGAAAGAGTTCAGCTATAACAAAATCTTGAAGGATCTTAAGAAAGAGTTTTGCTGCAATGGCACTGTTGTTCAGGACCCTGAACTAGGCCAGGTTTGTTTTTTATTTGACCCTTAGAGCCTTCCTCTTTACATACCTTTCTCATCAAAGAGATTATAAATAGGTTCGTACTTAAATTTGTTATGCGAAGGTCATTCAACTCCAAGGCGATCAACGCAAGAACGTATCCACTTTTCTTGTCCAGGTGACCCCTCCGATTTCATTTTTTGCTCTTCAGTAATCAGCATGTTTACATTTTGGGAGAGTTTCTAAGCTATATATCTGGATTTTAGGGGTAAAATTGACTTTTCATCTTTAGAATTTACGTGCAAAAAGCAAATAAATAGATAGATCTTGAACGGTGGGAATATAACAATAATAACCATCTAATAGAATACTGTATTGTTTCCTTTACTTTCGATTTTTAAAAGATGAAGATTGGCATCCGCTCACCATTTTTTTACCTTTTCATTTTTTTGTGAGTTGCGACTACAGGCTGGAATCATAAAAAAGGAGCATATCAAGATTCACGGTTTCTGAGCTAGTAACGATCTTGGCAAATGGCCCGGTGATCTAAGGCGTGACATCACTGCTAACTATGTATGAGTCAAATTAATTGGTTAAATTGCATTGTTTTGATGGTACGATGCTCTCCGATATTGAACATTGCCTATGTTTCTTTTGCAAGCATTGCTTCGACTTTTATTAACATTTGAGTGTTGTGGCTGTGTACCATACCATTATCATTTTCTGCATTTGGTGAATTATTTTAGACCTTATATATATATATATATATATGTTTCTTTGTGGTCTGTGAGGTTGTAGTTCATTCCATGATTTCTTGTCAAATGCCTTCTAATCGGACGAGACGTTTCGACTAGTGTTTATTTGAATTTTGGGATGTTCTTTATTTAAATTATCTTTTTCTTTAATTGAAGATAGATTTGAAGGAGATCTTTCCAATGTGAGCAAATCCTTGTTTAGGAGTGACTGATCGATGATCCATTGTTTATATGTTTTTAGTGTTAATTGAGTTTTTACGGGAGTGTGTGTTTGTTTGGGGGTTTGGGTTTTGAGTTAAATATTTAAATAGTAAAAAATTTGATTGGAAAGAGTTTTATGACCTCGTATAAATAGATATTCACGTAAAGGTAAAATTAATTTTTAGTATAATATAAAAAATACAAAATATTTATTACTTCTATAGGGAATGTTATCCATATTTATCACTATTATCAAAACATACCAAAAATAAACCCCAAAAAATTTGTTATTTCATGAGTAGTAATATTCTCTTATAAAATTAAAGCCTCGTAAGAAAAATGTTACTCCTTCCTCAGTGGTATTTATTGAAAGTAAAAAGATAGCTGTGGTAACTTTGAAAAAAATAGTTTAACTGGTTTTTTCAAATAAATTCATATCTATACAAAACAAACACACTTAAAAAGAAAATCTTAAAATATAGTACTACTATTATTCTATTAGTTGAATGTTTTATTTGAAAATTGATTTAATTGTTATTTTAATATAATAAATAATAATAATTCTGTAAATTAAATAATCATTATTTTAATTTGAAATCAAAACTAAAGCAGTCCAAATGCACTTTTCTCTTTTTCATGATATACATAGTCAAAATTTTCATTAATAAAAAATAATAATAATAATAATAATAATAACAATAGTCTAGAAGTTTGACAATATGCAATAATTAATTTATTTAATAAACTTCTAGAATTTTTATACCGTGTGGGCAATGAAATAAATAGAAGAGAACGGAATATTTGAATAGACTTGGAATGCTTATTAATGACTGCTTAGAATATTCTATCATTAATTGATTAAATAATTTACCTTTCCTTAAAACAAACTTTAACCTACTAATATTACATTGTAGTTGCCATGTGCATTTCACCTATTTTCCTTATATTTATTTGTCCTATATTTTTCTAGTATTTTTAATTTGAAACATTTTTTAAATTTTGTAACTTCTTGTTAAATGTGTTTCCTTTTTTATTATTTTATCATAACTGTTTTATATATATATATATATATAATGGGGTAGAAAAATATTCCGTTAATATAAAAATAATGGCTTTATTTTTTTATAGTTTAAAATTAATTTGATTTAAATTTTTGTTTAAATAGTATTTTGATATGATATTTAATAAGAAAAAATAATTTATTTTTATTGAAGATTATTCAAATGAATAGTGTTAGTTTTGGTTTGAACTAATAAAAGAATCAATCCAATAAATGAATATGTTTGGTTTAGATTTCAAATTTAAATTAATAATTTTCAGTTCATATGGTTTTTATTTTTTATTTTTAAACAAAAAAATATTGTATTTCATATGACAAAATATTACATCAGAAAAATATTATTTAAATAAAAATTTAAATTAAATACTCAATTTAAAAATAAAATAAACTCAATATTTTGTATTAAATTATTAAAATACTTATATTGTTAGTATTTTCAAACTAATCAAAAAAATTTGGCACAGTTCCGATTAATATCGTAAAAAATACGTATATATAATAGATACCTATGTATACTAAATATCTTTTATTATATTAATGAAAAATGTGTCTTTCTTTTTTTTTTTGTGAACACATTTAGAGTGTGTGTATTATGAAAGTGTATTAATCTTGCGTTTATTCTTTTTTAGAAAAATGTATGGAAGGAAAAAAATAGAAAGAACGCACCATTATTGCACATAGATTTTTGGTTTTCCTTTTACCTCGTTAGAATAAAATATAAAAATTATATTCATTAAAAAGTGGAAGCAAAATTATATCTCATAAGGTAAATATTCATTTGATTTTTGCACATAATTTTATAAATATTAGTATTATATTAAAGTATAATAGGAATAAAGTAAAAATGACTAAAATAATCTTATTAATACATATGATATAAAGTAATGACATTTGTATAATATATTGTAAATTGTAAATGTATTTGTAATGTTAAGTAGATAATACAGTTACTAAAAAAAGGAAATAGATACTTTGTTATGGGACAGACTAAAATAGAAAAATAGATATTTTGTTATGACATGGAAGGAGTATATATGTTTCGCTTCACAACATACAATTTTTTTTTTGTCTTAAAAAAAATGATTTTTTTTCTATTTGGTAAATTTATCAAATTTCAATATAGCGATATAAATCAATTCAATTAAATTTTTAATCTTTTATACCTAAGATCCATTCAAAATCTAAATAATCTTTAATAATTTTAAATTGAAATAATTGTTCGAGAAATAACAAAATTAAAAGTAAGTCTCACAAGTAAACGCACAAGTAAAAATTTTAATATAAAATTTAACTTTAGTGTAATATAATATATAAAAAGTAAAGTGTAATATAATATATAAAAAGTAAGTATTTGATTTGATATTTATATATATTTTATTGAGATATAATATTAAAAAAAATTTAATTACATATTTTAATTTTGTTAATATATACATATATAAATGTATCAACACAATATATATATAATATACTACTTAATTTACTCACAAAATATTATTATTTTTATTTAAAATATTATTTTTATATTATTAACATTATTTTTGAAATATAAAAAATCAAATTTATCCAAAAACAAATCCGTAGTTTACTATTACATTTAGGGTTGGACCATGACTAAACCCCGCCTAGCATGACTTTCCCTAAACAAAAAGTTTTAAGTTTTGGATAATCACTAAGTAATTAATAAACATATTATCAAAAATAATTATAATTTAATAAATAATTTAATTAAAATAAAAAAAAATTATAAATTATAAATTTTAAAATTTGATAAAATATTTAATTATATATTTTTAAAAAAAATTGGCAGTGGAACAAAATAATAGAAATAAAAATAATGGACACAAACAACTATCAAAATATTATTAAAATTTAAATTCAAATCAAAACTTCAACTTAAACAAACCCTAAACTTATATAATTATAAATTTTACTTTAAATAATAATCTATATGATAAAATGACATAATTCTATATTAAAAATTTAGTATTATATAATTAAAAAAATTAATTACATAAAAAAAGGAAAAGAAACCCAGCTTAAACCAACAATATACAGAAAAGCCTTCTCTCGTCGTCCACAAGGAGCCGTAATCAAACCTGCAATCTTTCTTTAAAAAAATTCCATCGAATATACATACATACATATGTTTGTATGTATATATGCGCGTGTGTGTATGTATATTTAGCTACAGCTGAGTCTTGTTCCTTCTTCATCTTCTTCAGTCAAACCCCTCCTCGCATCGCAAAGTTCGCCCAAATTTATTCTTCATTCCGCCGCCTCCGATTCTACAATGATATCCTCCGTCAACCACCCCTCCCTCCAAATCCGCGCTCCGGATTTTCTCAGGCCGACGACCAGGTTTTCAGTTCGCCGATCGCAGGTTTTGCAGCTGCTTCCACCGGCGGAACCTCCGCGGCGCTCGATTATCTCCCTTTCCAGACCGCTCCATGTCTACACCGTTGAGTCATTCTCTGAGAAGAACCGATCGCCGGCGCTCCGCGCGTACGAGGCCGACCGATCGGAGCCGATCGCCGATTCCACACCGGCGCAGCCTGAGGCGGCGAGGAGAGTGAAGATCGGAGTTTACTTCGCCACGTGGTGGGGACTGAACGTGATCTTCAACATCTACAACAAAAAAGTGCTGAATGCTTACCCTTTCCCATGGCTGACCTCGACGCTCTCCCTGGCCGCGGGATCGCTCATAATGTTGGTTTCCTGGGCGCTGCGAATCGCCGAAACTCCCAAAACCGATCTCGACTTCTGGAAATCGCTCTTTCCGGTAGGGTTTATACACAAATATTTCCCCCTAATTTCGCGATCCATAGCGATTTTCGTTATTTCTTTTCCCTAATTTGTTTGTTTCCTAAATTTGTCCCCTAGCAATTCATCAACTTCCCCGTCAATTTCACTTAGGGTTTACTTATTATTCTTACTTTGATAATTTGGGTATTTTTGGCATCTTCAGGTCGCGGTGGCGCACACCATCGGACATGTCGCCGCCACCGTGAGCATGTCAAAAGTTGCAGTTTCATTCACTCACATAATCAAGAGCGGCGAGCCTGCCTTCAGTGTTTTGGTGTCCAGATTCATCCTCGGGGAGACATTTCCGCCGGCGGTCTACCTGTCACTCCTTCCAATCATCGGCGGCTGCGGCCTCGCCGCCCTAACAGAGCTCAATTTCAACATGATTGGTAAAATCAATTTTCTTAAAAAAATTACTTTAACCCATACCGTGAATAAGCATGAATGACATAATTAGTACAACTTGAACAAACTACTCACATGATTTAGGTGTGCATAAAGTCGATTGTGTCGATTCTTGATGGTTTTCAGGTGGAAAGGATTGGTTGTTCTGTTTTGTTTTCTTGTGCTTTACAAGTGGTAGTTGTTTTCTGTCGAAATCAGGTTTCATGGGGGCCATGATCTCGAATCTGGCGTTTGTTTTCCGTAATATATTTTCGAAGAGAGGAATGAAGGGGAAGTCGGTCAGCGGGATGAATTACTACGCCTGCTTATCGATCTTGTCTCTATTCATCCTCACTCCGTTTGCCATTGCTGTCGAGGGACCACAGCTTTGGGCTGCAGGTTTCAAAGAAGCTGTCTCGCAAATTGGACCCCAAATCGTTTGGTATTCGCTGCTTTACCCTTCTCGTTTTATCCAATTTTTGTCACCTTAGTTTACATTGATGTAGAGAATTCGAATTTGAGAGCTTTTATTCACCTGAAATGTGACTCAGATATTTGTCTTTATTATAAACAACTTAGATATTATCTATTGCATCCTATGAATTGTCGAATAAACCGATGTCCTGGGTTGTTTGGTCGTTATATATTCTGTTGTTACATATAATGCTATAACGATTCGAGATATCTTGAAATTTAGCTGCTTAAACTGTTTGTTGGATTGATTTTGGGAACTTTGTGAATTTTGTTTAATTGAATCTGTTGCTCTCAAGATCTGTCTTTTCATTTTTTGTTCTTGTCCTCATCTTTCATTTCTGATATTATCCGTCGATTGATTATGTTTTTTCTGTGGCTGATATTTGGCTAATAGGTGGATGGCTGCGCAGAGCGTGTTTTACCATCTCTACAATCAGGTGTCTTATATGTCACTTGATGAGATTTCTCCTTTGACGTTTAGCATTGGGAATACGATGAAACGTATCTCTGTCATTGTCGCCTCCATCATTATCTTCCGGACACCCATAAGCCCCGTCAATGCACTTGGAGCTGCTATTGCGATTTTCGGAACCTTTTTGTACTCGCAGGTAAAATGCTGACTTCTGCCTTTTTATGGTTTTTGTCTTCAATTGGAAAATTACGACGTTTACCTTTTTGTGCCACTGTCAAAAGAATTTGACTTAGACAGATTATGCCGATTCTTTTATTTTGTCCTCTATCATATTAAGCGAAATATTTGCTCTGTTTATACAGGTTTCTAGTGTTTAGAAAATTAGTAAAAAATTGGATATTTGATGTAATGACGTAGACAGGAATTGAGCCTTATTAGATCGAGTCTTGAAATTTTTTATTGCCCTGAAAAAATGAACTCCGTAGTGTCATTACCAATCGCTCGTTTCATGTGTGTTATAGATCTCTGGCAATCTAATCTTTAGTTAAACCTCATCAAAACAGCTCGGCGTAATGATAACCATTGTTCTAAATTCTTACAAATTGTCGCGTGCTTATTATTACAAACTTGATTGCAATTCTTACAAGTAGCTGCATAGTTTTGTTTCCGAAATCTTAGCAACAAACAAATATGATCACATGTGTATAATATATGTTCTATCTTAATACGCAATCTTTGAACTGTTTCCAACAGGCAAAGAAGCAATGAACGCAGCAGCAGCAGCAGCATATCATTATATCGTATGTATAACGGAAGAGCATAAGAAAATTCATTTATTCGCAATTTCTCGGCGTTTGCGGAGCAGGCTAGGCCAGGCAAGCAGCAGCTGCTTTACTTGTAGATATTAATAACAATAAGAAGATGATGATTCATGAGAGTTATGACAAAGAACCCAACCCCCTGTTTTGTTTTGTTTTGTTTTGCTTAATGATGATATATTTATGTATACTAAAGTCTACAGACAGCTTGAGGTTGAGCTTGATTGAATTAAGGAACAAGGATGAGGATGATAAGGATGTGTGGTTCTTGTTGTTTTGTAGTGTAATGTAGATTTTGGAGAATGGGTATGGGATCTGTACCCCACCCCACCCCACCCCACCCCACCAATAAACAAAAACATCAACAACGTTGTTGGGTTTAGGGGGTCTGAATAAATCATCATTTCATTTCATCGATTCATCATTCAATTACATCGGATGGTATAAATGTTGTATGATCTCTAGCATTGAAATGTGTGTGATGTATGGATGACATTTCCTACCAAGCAAGCTATTTAGATATTTATAATAAATAATATTATTATTATTTGATGACGAAGGAATTCACAATGTTATTTTTGGAATGCAAGTAAATTTATGACTGAATCCAGCAACTATTCTCTGAGTGTGCAATGGATTAGTTTATAGCTGAGTGCAAATTACACCAACAAAGTAAAGATGTGAGATTGGGGGATCTTGAAATTGTAATTTTAGGGCTACAAGTTCACCTATTTGATATCAATTTTTGGTCACCTCTTGAAGGATATTTATTGATGCATGGGGATGGGGATGGGGATGGGGGCGGTGTAGCAAGATTATCGGCAAAGGAAGTAGGTGAAAGGGTGGTTGGTTGGCTTCTGTTACTTAACAGGAAAACAACGGAGCTTGAGATCTAATGTCTATTCAAATCATTAAAGATATAGGTGTTCTTGTTCAATGAGATAATGTGAACCACCAACAATTATATAAAAAATACTCCCTTCGTTCCGTTTTGTGTGGGGCACAAAATTTGAGAAATAATAATATTATCTCCGTCCCATAAAAATCAGTAATATTTATTTTTTGAATCTAGATTTTTTAATATTAATATTATATTGGTTTATATTGAAAATGATAAAAATATTCTAATTAGATTGTTTTATATAAAAGTAATGACATTTGTGCAATAATCATAAGAATATTAATTATGTTAGGTAGATAGTGTAATTACTAAATTAGAAAACAATATTCTTTTTACAGGACTGAAGGATTATTATAGTTATAATTGATAAAAATTATAAATAAAGAAAAACTTTTTGCCTTGCAAGTATATTAGTATAATGATAGTGATATTTTTGTAATAATAATAAAAAAATAAAAAATACTTACTGGGTAATACGAGTATTTATGAAAATTAAACTATTATTTTAGAAAAATAAAATGCCTTGTAAGTATAGCAGTATAAGGATAGTGATATTTGTCTAATAATAATAAAAAAATAAGAAATACTTTTACGGTAATATGAGTATTTATAAAAATTAAACTATTATTTTAAGAAAAATAAAATGACAATCAAGACAATTGTATTAACACTGAATAAAAATAATAAATATTTTTGATATATTAATATTTAAACAAAAAACGTGCATTTTTTTTTCTTTTAAAGAACACACTTATCCTCGTTATTCCTTAAATTAATTTTTCTTTATAATATATATTTTTAATAAAACATTTCAAATCATAGAGCTAGTCATAGTTTAGGTAGATATTTTATAGTTCTTTTTTTTTTTTTTTTTTTTTAATTGAATATAGTGAAAGTTAAAACATCTGATTTGGTATTTTGTAAAATTAAATAAATATTTAATTTTTAAAAATTACTAGTGATGAGTAATGTCAAAATTTTAAAAAATCCATGCAAATAGTGGGTAAGTTTTTTATGGTCATCTCATTCAAGTTGAAAATTAATTGAAATATCATTTGATTGCAAGTTGAAAACACTATTTCAATCAATAATTTTACTATATATATCAGACCCAAACCTTAAAACAACTTACAGCAAATATAGCCCCTTATAGAACAAATCTCCAACCCCAAATCAAACACAAAACACATGAAAATGAAACAACAAATTGTCATAACATTGATATTGCTACAACAAAATCCTCGGACAAATGTGAAAGGAATCCCATAGAGCTTCTAATTTCTTATTCTTATGTTCCAACCAACCTAAAAGGAGACGATAATTGTGTGTTCTGTGTTCGATCGATCAAATGTGTATATATATATATATAATAAGATGCTACCGAGCCATCGACAAGACTGAGTACCTTATCTTAAACTTTTAAATAGTTGAGGGCGGTGTGTACGTCTTTATCGCCTCTTCCGCTGCAGCACAGCACAACTTTGGCCCTGTCCGGAAGAGTCGGGCATAGATACTCCAAATACCCTATTGCATGGGATGTCTCCAGCGCCGGAATTATGCCCTCTAGCCGAGATAGCCTCTTGAATGCTGCGGATGCAAAATGTTCAAAGATGAATAAAAAAATCGAGGATCTATACACATATACATATACACATATACATATATATATATTGATGACAACCGGATAAGCAATTTCCACTGCACATTTAGATAGATATGCATGCTCACAACAAAAGCTTTTATAGTTTATACGCTATTTTTTTAGACCTATAAATAGAGAACACGAAGATATCGATCATTTTTCACCTTCCAAAGCCTCTTCATCTGTGATGCTATGATATTCGGCGCGCCCAACATCTTTGAGGAAGCTGTGCTCGGGGCCAACTCCAGGGTAGTCTAGGCTACATACACAAACCATATATATATATATATATATGTTAGATATATATACATATATATATATCTATATTACCCACTTTATCCGCCAAAATTGTATAGCATTCTTTTATAATCCGTTGAAACTTTATCTATCACAATTTTATTATTATGAACCCTAAACCCTAAACTCACAAAACTACATAATTTTGGCAGACGGAGGGAATATATTTTAAACTGACTACAAAAGCAAATAATGAATTTACCCGGCACTTATCGAATGGGGCTCGATTATTTGCCCATCATCATCTTGCAACAAGTAGCTCATAGCTCCATGAAGAACTCCGACCTCTCCTTTGGTAAGAGTAGCGGCATGTTTACCGCTGTCTAAGCCAAAACCAGCAGCCTCGACGCCGATTAATCTAACATCCTTGTCGTCGACAAATTCATGGAAGAGTCCCATGGCATTTGAACCTCCACCAACGCAGGCAACGAGCACATCAGGCTTGCCACCCCATTTTTCCAGGGCCTGTTTTCGGGTTTCCTTGCCAATCACAGCATGAAAATCTCTCACCATCATCGGATAAGGGTGAGGCCCCGCAACAGACCCCAGAATGTAATGTGTAGTTTCGACATTAGCAACCCAATCTCGAATGGCCTCCGATGTAGCATCCTTGAGCGTGGCCGTCCCTGAATGAACCCCTCTAACCTGATATTGACAAAATGTTTCAATCAAGATGCTCAATAGCTAATTCAAAAAAATCGACAAAAGGGCCAAAAAAAGGCACTAGAAATACAAACATTACGTTCGCAATAAACCCCTCCACCCTACACATGATAGTGATGAAATATTTCAATGAAGATACTCAATAGCTAATTCAAAGTTCAATGGAAAAAAGCGCTAGACATACAAAGCATTTCGTTCGCTATAAACCCCTCCAACCTACACATGATATTGACAAAAAGTTCCAATGGAAATGCTCGATAGCTAATTCATAATTCAATAAAAGGACAGGAAAGAAGTACTAGAAATACAAAGCATTATGTTCACCTATAAAACTACCAAAATCAACAGTAAAGGCTAATGGATACAGCCACTGCAGGGTTCAAACAACAGACGATTTCATCAACTAACAATTCAGAGTCCACAATCCTTAAATACATATCCATGAAAACAAACTAAATACAACAGCATATGTGAATAAAAACACAATATCATAATATACAAATTCAGACAACAGATGATTTCATCAGCAGACAATTAAGAGTCCACAGTCCTTAAATCCATATCCATGAAAACAATCTGAATACAACCGCGTATGCCAATAAAAACACAATATCGTAACATACATATTTCAATGGCATTTAGGTGAACACAGAATTCAAATTAATGGAAAATTTGAACTATAAAACGATAATTTGGAGATATACCTCAGCACCGAGCAGCCGCATTCGGAAGACATTAAGCGCCTGCCTCTCCATATCCTGTGCACCCATGTAGATCACACACGGTAACCCAAACCGAGCACAGACAGTCGCCGTGGCCACGCCGTGCTGCCCAGCTCCAGTTTCAGCAATGATTCGCTGCTTGCCGAGGCGCTTTGCGAGCAGCGCTTGAGCAATAGCATTGTTGATCTTGTGAGCCCCTGTATGATTAAGATCTTCCCTCTTGAGGTATATGTGGGGTCCCGTCCCGTCTGAGTGCTTGTAGTGCTCAGAAAGGCGCTCGGCGAAGTACAGTGGGCTCTCTCTTCCTACATAGTCTTTCAATATTCCAGAAAGCTCTTTCTGCCATTGATGCAATGAATGAAGGTTTTCAATCACCAAAGATTACAAAAAGTATACAGCAAACAGATGAATCGAAACATTGGAATCCATCGCTTGAATCCTTTCTGAAATGACGAGATTGAAATGCACATTGTTCATCCGTTTGCTTGAATTAACAGCACAGATACAACATTTGATTCAAACTTCACGAACAATTCTGCAACAAGGATTCGCTAATCGCTCTTTCTAATCGAACTCGTCGTTAATTGAACAAATCAGCTCATGATTTTATCCATCTCCGCCATTTTTTACAATCACAAACCAAACATCTTTAAGCAATTGAATTTACAAACAATTTCCGCAGAAAAAAGAAAAAAAACCTAACCTGAAACTCCTCGTCCGTGGAGAGGGCATTGAATGCAGCTTCGAGTTCAGTCAGAGCGTACATCAGCGTTTCCGGCACGTATTTGCCGCCAAATTTTCCATAACGACCGAAGGAGTCAGGTCGCTGCAAAATCTCCTCCGCCAACACGACTTCCTTCTCGACCGCCATCGCCGACATCCTGGAAGGGAGCCTGCACGCGATTGGAGGACTCGCCGCCGCACCGGAAGGGAGAATGGGAGATATCCGATTGGCTTTGATGGCCACCGAGAGTGGGCGGCGGAGCTGCGACGGAAGGTCGGCGGTGGTTCGGCGAGATGTGAAGGAAGAGGCGAGAGAAGAAGATACGGACATGTTTGTCTTGCGGAGAAAATGGTCCCACGAGGAGTCCAAATTTACATTTGCGCAGGGATATTTAAGCTTTCTATTTTCTACTAACCAAACGAGGTCTTATCAATTAGACAAAATATTCTAGAAATATTTAATTGCTATCTTCAAGTTTCCAAAATATGACAAAAAGAAAAGGTATTGTTTTAACCATATTTCTAAAATATATTTATTTGCATATTTGGAGGTGTTGTTTTATACCCCATTATTTAAAATTATAATACATATATATATATATATATACACTCTTTTTTTATTAATTTGTTGGATTTATTTAATTTGTAGATATGTGCTAAATTTTATGGATAAAAATATTTTTACAAGTTTAAAATTGACTTGGCATTAAATATATATTTAAATTTAATTAATATTATAATTTAATATTTTATAAAAAATAATATAATTTTAAAAATCATACTAATTGAATATTGATTATTTTATTTGTATATATAAAAAAAAATTAAAAAAAAAAGAAAACAAGTAAAAGTGGAGCAAAATGTTAATTAAAAAAATAAACATTTAATTTAATGTAAATTGTAAATGGATGAATATGATATTTTGAATAGAGAATTTTGTAAAGAAATTTTACATATTTTTCTCTTAAAAATTAATATATCATACAAATTCATTATTTTTTATATTTTATACACAATTTTTATATTTTACATTAAAAAAAAAATAAAATTATATATATACATTATTTTAAATCATTTCACAACACAAAACAAATACACCCAGTATATTTAAGAAATGTTATACTTCATATTATATTTATTTACAAATAATAATAATAATAATAAATACATTTTTTTATATTATTTACATATTTTCATATTTAGTTATATATAAAAAAAAAACCTACATAAAAAAAAAATAAAAAATAAATAAAATAAAAATGAACACATATTAATCTCTTTAGTTGATATAAATACAAGGTTATGTTTATACATGTATTTTTTTTAAATAAAAATTATTATAATTATTTTTATATATACGTTTTATTTTTAAGAGTTTTGATTGTAATTATTTAATCTGCTATCCAAAGTTATACTTACTTTTATTTTTAAATTGTTATATATTATTTATCATATTTTTCATTATTTTTTTACTATGTAAAATTAATAATTATATATTACTCTTTGTAAAATATGTACTTAAATATTTAGCATATAATATAATGATGGAGAATATATTTTTTATAAAAAATATTATATCATGTTTTTTTTTGTTTTTTTTTTTTTCAGAAACAAATTCTAATAATAAGAAGTAGCAGACGTATAGGTTTAGTAGGTATCATAATTGTATATTTAATGTGTTTGTCTAATTTGTTGTACCTTTTAATAAGATATTCATTACCGCCCCTATTATTTTAAGCGTCTATTTACATAAATATCTATAAAATTTTTGACACTGTTTATTGTTTATAAGTATAGTAATTTTTTTTTAAAAAATCATAGTAATTATTATTTTTATTACAAAATAGTATATTAGTTATTTAATTTTTTTTTTTTTTTTTTTCAAAATTTAATCTAAACAGAGCTTATTTGTTTGATTTGAGTGTGTTTTATTTTGAATTATAACTTTAATTTCAAACTTTGTTTTAAACAATGTTTTATAAAATTAAATATATATTTTTAAAAATACATATATATTAAATATGTTTACGAACAAATTTGATATATTCATTTTTATTAATATTATAAAAATATATCATATACTCATATTTCTATCATATGTATAATATAATATACACTCTTTTTTTTTAAAGAATTATATGATTTTGGTTGAATATAAAATTAAAAAATAATAATATTATAATATTAATAAATAATATGTACAAATAAAATAAAATTACAACAAAAAATTATTAATAAATTGACAAAAAATAGTGAAATGAGTATATAAACAAAGAAGTAATGATAAAATTATTATAAACACGATTCTTTTAATATATATTTATTGTTTTATAAAAGTTGACACATATAACATACTCTCTCCCGTCCAAAATTATAATTGGGTTGTGTTTGACTCATGATTTAAGGAATGTTTATATTATATTGATAGCAGGTAAAAAGTACGGATAAAAGATTTTTTTGTTCTTGTGAATGTATTAAATTAGTATAAAAAGTAGTGGTAATTGTGTAATAATAATGAAAAAATAATGTAGTTTTATAGTGATATGATTATTTATGAAAATAAGACTATTGTTTTAGAGCGGACAAAAATAGTAAATACGACTATTGTATTGGACAGACGAAGTATTAGTTTTATACTGCCAACGTCACCTCTATACTTGGTATAATTTTTTTTTTTTTAAATTAAAACATTTAACAGACAAACCTTGGCCGCATTTATTTATGCAGTTTTTTTTACTATCTAGATTTTAGGGTGTTTGGCAAATAATTTTTTGAAAATTTTTTACTTTATTGAACAACTTTTATAGTTGTTTGACCCGTCAAAATTAATTTAGGTATTTGGTAAATTAACTTTTTGGAATAGCTTTTTGGACCCAAAAAGCTAATTTCTGAAAAGCTAACTTACCCCACATTTTGAAATAGCTTTTTCTTGCATTTTTTTTATTCCTTATATGCCCTTAAAAATTTATTATACATTTTACACAAATAAATATATTTTAATTATTTATTAATTATATTAGAATATTTTATTATATTATAATTTTACTTTTATAAATTTAAAATATTTAATTTTTATATAAAAATTATTTTAATTATAAAATATATAAATTTATTAAAATCAACATGAAAATATAAATATTAATAATTTATTTGTATATTAAAATTATATTATATAAATTTTATATTAAAAATAAATTAAATTTATTAAAAATTATAAATATAATAGAATTAATCAATAACTAACATAATAATATATACACTAAAGATTATTATTTTATATTTTATATCATTTTCAATAGATTAAACTAATTATATATTTTATAAAAATATATTATTTTTTAAATCTAACTGTGATAAAAATAAATACTTTTATAACACTTTTACAATTTTCAATAATTAATAACAAAAAATTTTAAACATTTTAAACTCAAAAGAACATAATTGAATATATTAAAAACAAAAATAAAATAGAAAATGTCCTCAATTGTCATTTTACCATGTATAAACAACTAATATTAAACAATTGTTTTATCAAACATTTTAATACAAACGATTAATCGAATCAGCTAGTCAAACCAGCTAATTGAATCAGTTAACAACTATTTAGCTAATTGCCAAACACGACCCTTTATATTTTTTACAACAAAACATCCCAATAAATATTATTTTAACAACAAATTCAAACAAAAAATTTCAAATTGAATCAAAAGAAACACACCACCGGTAACATAAATTTAAAATTATAAACAAACAAAAAAGGTTTTTTGTTTTTTGTTTTTTAAGTGTACGTAAGCCCAAATTGTATATTCGAACAGACATAATAATTGGGCCTTAGTGCTGGAAAAAATCTTTAACGGCTATAAACGCTACAAAACGTCGCCGTATTGATACTTTGGTTCACTCCACGGAAACTGCCCGCAACCGCAACAAGCCCTAATCCTCTGCTCTGCTGTCTTCCGGTAATTTCTCGATGTCACTCTCTCGTTTGCAGCAGATATTGTTATAAGGATTCGCAACTGCGATTTTTGGATTTCTTCTTTGGCTCATGTTTTACTCGATTTTTGTTAGGTGCAATGTATTTCGTTTATCTATTTATTTTTCGGAAGCTTTTGTGTTCGTGTCTGATTATTCGTGGTGAATTGAAATGGTTGTGATGTTTTTTTTTTCGTAGTTTCTATGTATTAAAATCCTATTTCAATTTGGTTTGCGAGGAATGTACGGATTTCATTGATTTTTGTTTTTTAAAATTTTAGCAGATTTGAAATTCTGACGAAATCGAGTGATGAATACTGGTTTAATGTTGGAAGCAGTGAATTTGAATATATATAGATGTTTTGTTGTAGTTATCAGTTCAGTTATCACTACATTAGGGGATGTATGCATCTACAGCTTTAGGAAGATTGTTTAAAATCTTATATGTGTTTTAATTTTCTTCAATGATTGTTTTATATGAAATTCTGACAAAATCTAGTGATGAATACTGGTTTAGTGTTGGTAGCAGTGCATATGAATGTAAATATATATATATGTATGTATAGATGTTTTGGTGTAGTGTAGTTATCAGTTCAGTTATCACTATGTCAGGGATGTATGCATCTACAGCTTTAGGAAGAATTTTCAAACTCCTATATGTGTTCGATTTCTTCAACGATTATTTTATATCTTGCTGTTACTATTTTCTCTTAATATGATCCTACTGCAGGTTGATTATCTCTTGCTTAGATAAGCTATTATGGTATAAATGGGGCGGAGCAGCTCAGAATCCCCTGTTAAAGCCCGGGGGTCCCCTCGTAGGAGGAGTCCCCCTAGAAGGGAAAGATCTCCTGTTCGGCACCGTAGTTCAAATGCAGAGAACCAATCAAGTCGAAACAGGTCACCTAAACGTGGTAGATCAAGGTCCCCTGTCTACCGTTCACCTCTAAGGGAGAAACCCTCCAGTCGTAATAAATCCCCAAAACATAGGAAAGTGCCATCACCTGTGTCACGTTCTCGCTCTCCACTTAAACAAAGATCATCTTACCGAATGAGATCTCCAAATAACATAAGATCGAGGTCCCCGACATCTGTTTCACCTGTTAAAGAGAAATCATCATCTCGGATGAGATCACCAAAAGGAGTTCAAAACAGATCTCAATCACCAGATAAAAGGAAAGTGTTGGCTCGAACAATGTCCCCACCGCATGGTAGATCAAGGTCTAGTGATTCTCGCTCTCCATCTCCACGCAGTAAAAGATTAAAAAGGGCTAAAGCAGAGCAAGCTGCTGAAAAAGGGAGTGAAAACCATGGCAGGAAGAAGAGTTACAGAGGCACACATGAGGAAAAGGATTTAGACAGGGATTTGCTAGCTGAGAGAAATGATAGACGGCCACAAAGGGATGCTGTTTCTGGTAGTTCAAAATCGAGGCACAGACGATCATCCTCGCCATCTGATCGCCATCACAGGGGTCAACGAAGATCAAGATCGCCTAATACTGACGAAAGAGAACATGATGAGGTGTCTGGTGATATCCACTCCCTATACACTATCCTACCCTTAAGAAGTTATTTAATTTATGCATTTGTGCTTGCAATTTATTTTCGTTTGAGAGGCAAAAAGATAAGGAAGGTTTTACCTGCACACCATTAATAATCTTAATCATAAATTTTCAGTGATTGAATAAGTTTGTTTAATGTTAGATCATTGATAGTTCTTGTCATGTAGTCAAACCATAATTTAGGCAGGATATTATATTACGTCTTACCAATGAAATGGAAATGGTGCAGTGGAAACTTCAATTTGACGATAATCCATTGATCCTTACACTTCTTAATTTGATGATAAACTAGTTGACATGGGAACTTTGTTACTTGAATGCGATAACTGTCTTAGTATAGTGTTGGTTTTCTAGTTAAATAAGTTAGTATGGGGAAAGTAGCGATGGACTTAGGTTGTTCCAATGTGTTTTGAACTTTATACTTGCCTACAGTATTCTGTTGTAATTGGTTTATAGGATGACAGTGTTTTAATGTCTTGTTAAAAAGACTATAACATTCTAGCAGCAGAATATTGCAAAAATGGAGTTTATAATAACAGTTACTTGGACAAGCAGTTCTTGTATATTTAAAGTAACAGTTGATGCTCTAAAATCCGAAGAATTTGATGATAAGTTGAAGTATATTCAGAGTCCAGTGCTATCATTGAAAACGTGACTGTTATATTCTGCTTATTGATGAATTTATTTATACTGAAGTACTACTCAATGCCATTGATCTCTTTTTTGGATTCTGTACGTTACCTAAAATATGAGATAGGATCTTCTTCCTATCTTTCAACTTTGAGTGGTTGTAAATGAACTGGAAATGCTTCGTCTAACTATTTCTGTGTGTGCCTGCAGCGGACTACCTCCAGAGATCTTGAGCAGCGGTAAGCTACTTATTGAACATATCACGTGTCATTTTAAAATTTAATCTGTGCTTTCTTGTGGATCTTCATTTATTAGATTGCCTGTGCTTTATTTTGGAGTTTTTTTTTTTTTTTTTGGCAAAGGTTCGTGACTATCAATAGACCAAAGGGATTCATAATTTGTTCAATTTAGAGTTTAGACTTGTTTGCTCTAGTTTGTCATTCTGCGAGTAAATTCTGTTGATACTTGTAGTTCTAGTCTGACGTCCTTTTCATTGCCACATTTCTTGATTTGAGCAGAAATGGTGACAGTGATTCAATAGCTAAGATGAAGGCTGCTGAAGAGAAATTGGAAGAAAAGGAAAAAGTACTTCCATATTTCTGTTATTAATACTGTTCTTATTTATTCTTTCTTATCTTTTACTTGCTTTGAAACAGTGAATCAAATTTCTTTAAACTCTTAAACAGAATCTTGGGATTTTTTCGTAGATAACAGGTTTCTTATTTCTAAGTGGCACTGTGCATGGATGCTATTTATATTCACATATTTGCTGATGTCATGATGTGCAGCAAAAACCTTCATTTGAGCTGTCTGGAAAGCTTGCTGCAGAAACTAATCGGTTCCGAGGTGATTGAATTTTGCTTTTTGGATTGATGTTTAGATCTATTATCCCTTGCTTTCTTGATCTTGAAGATCATTTCAACATGATTTGTGATCCATGCTTTTTATTGAACCTAATGAATCACCTATCAGCGAGCTATACAGCATCAAAAGTGCAAAAGTGCAGCTGCGATAGAATTTTTAGTATCCTCTCCCGTGGTTTATTTCATAGCCACGTTTAAAACATGGCAAAAAAAAAATGGAATAGCCTCTAAAGTTACGGTTTTTTGTTTTAATGTTCATCCCTTTTGAAGTATCTTTTAAAAGATCTGTTTGTGCGACAGGCATAACATTGCTGTACAGCGAAGAGCCCCCCGATGCTCGGAAACCAGATATAAGGTGGCGATTGTATGTATTCAAAGCCGGTGACGTCCTTAACGGTAACTCCCGAGTCCTGCCGCATATATGAATTTTCTTGATTTCATTGTGCTTTATTATACTTTTAACATTTAATCCAAAAAGAGCTTTAAGGCAGACGTGTCGATCATCGAATTCCTTAACGTGCAGAACCCCTTTATGTGCACCGTCAAAGTTGCTACCTTTTTGGGAGAGAGAGACGGGTTGTCGACATCCCCACAGACCACCCTTCTTGCAGCAAACAACATGCTGTTCTTCAGTATCGGTAGGACCATATTCGAATGAACGGTTTCCGTCTATCAGCCCATGCAATTCTATGCATAATTTTGTACATATATCCTTTTGCAGGCAAATAGAAGAGGAGAACCCCGACGGTACTGTATCAAAACGAGTGAGGTGGGTTCACCAATCTCTACGTTTCATGTCTAGTACAATACGGTCGAGCAATGAGCACTGATATATATATATATATGTATATCTATATATGTATTACGTATATACTTTACAATGGACCAGGCCTTATTTGATGGATCTTGGAAGCACGAACGGGACCTTCATTAACGTGAGCTGTTTATTGAAATAAGGTTCATTATCCGTTCTGCATTTTTTACTCACGGAATCAACAATTTCTATTGCAGGACAACCAAATCGAGGCTAAGCGATACTACGAGCTGATTGAAAAAGATACTGTTAAGTTTGGAAACAGCAGGTAGAAATCGCGAATAAGTTCCTCGATCCATTTTTCAGATTAAATTTCTGGAATTTTATTTTATCTTATTATTCGAATACTCTGTTTTGCAGCCGCGAATATGTTCTGCTGCACGAGAATTCGGCTGGATGATCGATGCTTACGTTGCTTCCCAGTGGAATTTTATCATCTGCCCTGGATGTAAGAGCATTATTATGTTGTTCTCTCCTATATTTTTCACATGAAAATTTATGAAACTCGTATGCATTACTACTTAGCGATTTCAGTTCTTTTTTTTTTTTTTGCTCGGTGAATTACTTTCGAGTTTTGATCCTATTCGTGAACCTATTTGTAGGATTAGCTACAAAGTTATCAAGTTCTCTTGCATTTAATCAAGCATGTCCTTATACTTACGTTAAGAACTATGGCTTATTATATATAGGATGTTTAATGAGTCCAGCTAGCTCGAGTTCGAAAAACTACTCTTGAGTATGATCTATCTGCAACTTAGAGGTATATTATAATCGTGGTACATGTCAATATTTTCTATTTATGTTCGACAATTTATGTGTCAAGCCTTTACCAATTTTTTTTTTTTTTTTTTTTTTTTTTTTTTTTTTTTTATATAGAAATGGCAGTATTTAAGTTAGTCCTGATATTCAATTTTCAACATGCTGACCTGTATGATCCAAATATACAACATGCATGATTTGTATATTAACAAAAATTATATTCATATGGCACACCTATGAACTATGTATTTATAGAAACATGTGTTGTGTGTACGGTTTGTATGATTAAATAATAATTGGGGTAAATCAACATGTGAATACTATTCTTGGAGACTACATAATAGATGTAATGTTTTGAATATATAATACTCCCTCGTATATCTATCTATCTATTAATTTACTTTTTCAGAGAGTTTTAAAAATATTAGTATTATATTTATAATGTTAGGTGGATAATACAGTTTTTAAAAAATAAAATGGATACTTTGTAATGCAACAGACCAAAATAAAAAAAATGGATAGATTGTTAAGGCACGGATGGAGTAAGTATTAGTTGTAATATTTACTTTAGTGCGAAAACTAGTAAAACACGAGCTTACTAAATAGTGTGGCGAGTTAATCTATACTATCAATGATCGATCATTTTACCCACCGTGGTAGATTAGGGAGGTCAAGATGATTATATTTAGGCTAGATTTTAGCAAATATGGTGATGAAAGAAAATAGGTAAAGTTAGAAGAGGTCGATAATGGGTTCGCCGGGGGTCAAGTTTCTCTGGACAGTCCATGGCAAGTTGAAAAGCTTGGCCATGATGAACTTGAAGATTTTGCTTACATTTATGTTGTGTGTTGCACTTGAGAAAAACAGGCTTGCTTTCATTGCCCTTGCATATGCCCTTGCCTGTGTATGTGTGCATCCAAAATGAACAAAATCTTGTTATTTCAATTTGAAACCAATACTATTTATTTATAATAGAAATATATTATAATTTTTTCTTAAAATATTATATTAAAATACTATTTAAATTAATACTATATTTAAAATCAATTTTTAAGTACACGGCCAGACGAACTCTTATTATCTTAACACCATCCATACCCTCTGCCCATAAAACTAGACGAACTCTTATAATCTTAACACCATCCATCCCCTCTGCCCATAAAACTCCGTATAAATAGAAATTTAGAAAGTTTTGGAAATATTAAGAGAGAGGAAAATATTGGGTATTTTATGTGATATTTTGTGAGAATAAGAAAAAAAAAAAATTACCGTAATGATATAGTATCAAAAGTTCTAAAAATATCTATATAAACAAAATATAAATCTCATGTTTTTTTTTTTTTTGTAATCAAATATTCATTTTATAATCTATAGTAAAAACTTGTAAGATTTAATTGTTATTTAATTTATTTATTTAATTGTTATAATGTATTTGATGAGATATTTTTTAAAAAATAAATAGTGATAAATTATTATTATTATTCTTATTATTATTTGTTTTTGTTTTTGATCGGAGTAAATAGTGATAAATTTTCAAAATATGTTGTGTGAAAAATAGTTTCAAAGAACTTGTGTCTATGTGATAATAAGTTAAATAAAGTGTGGAAGCCCATGAATGACACTGTGATGTCACTATAATACACATGTAGAAGATACTTTGAGTCATCAGTAAAAATAGAGCCTAAAAAGGATAAGGAATATTTACCAAAGATGAATGAATTCCGTTTAGACACAAATTTTTGGAATTTTGAAATTGTAAAAATTAATATTTGATATGATATTTTATGGGATAAAATATATTTAATGTAATATTTTTTTAGAAAAAATGAATGATACCAAAACTTTCATAAATATTGTATAAATAGGATCAGGAAATTTTAGCAAATATGAGTAATATATATTTATACATATTTTTATTGGAATAATAAAAATTTATAAGTAAGCACATCAAAAAAAAATAATAATCAAATGCATATTGACATATTTAAATACATTTACTTTAATAAATTAATGGGCATTTGTGTTAGTTTAGTACCTGAGTGACAACAGTCCATTGAATGTCAAGTGGAAGCTGCACAAAATCATCAAATTTGGTTCCAATCACTATCGGAATAGCTGTCTGCAAAGAACACATTCACTGTGTAATTAGCCACTGCAATGCTAAAATACAAAAATATCTCCTATTAGTTTCTTAAAATTGTGCTCCTTTTTCTTTCATTTTTTTTTTCTCTTTAAAATGTTCTCATTTTTTCATTTAGTATAAAATGTATCACTGTTTATATATTTTTTTTTACTATAAGAGACAACAAGTATCAATAAAAACTTCATACATTAAAATCCTTACCCAAACATTTTGAGCACAAATATGAGAGAGAGGGAGGAAGTAATATAGTACGAGGTATACTGACAATATAAAGTACTATATATGTGTTTGTTTGGGGTTTTGAATTTTGAGTTGGGATTTAAATAGTAAAAATTTTGAATTTGAATAATTGTACGACGTGATATAAATAGGTATTGATGTGATATTTTGAATGTAAAATTGATTTTTATTATAATATAAAAAATAAAAAATAGGTGTTTGATTTGATGTTTTGAATTGAAAATCCAATTCTCAAACAAACACACCCTAAATATAACACGTAACAATGGTTCATACAATAAGTATTATAAACACCCTAGTCATTCTCCTCTCTCTATATATATTTTATATAAATTTTATTTACGGTTCAAGTTATGGAAATTAATCAGAATAAAAATAAAATAAAATAAAAACAGCCAAATTTGACTCAAATGCCCCAAAATTCACACAGTGGATTATTGTCACTATCACACTACAAAACAATAGCATTTAAAGTGAGTATCACTTGTAAGACACGACAAAGACTTTACTTAACACAAAAAAGACAGAAAAAAAAACAACTTATTAATTGATGGATTATAGAATATGACTAATTCCAATTAGGGACTATTCCAAAGTCTAAAGATATAAATTTATTAATATATTATTTCAATTAATACAATATCTGCTACGTTAAATAAAATCATACTATGATTTATGTCGATGACATATATGTTGGCAGCATAGTCCTAAAAAAAAATAATTCAATATTGTAATAGCATTCCTACATTAATTAATATATTCCCTCCGTCTACAAACTAATGTACTATTCTCCTATTTTGGACATCCAATAACTATTGTCCTATTTCTTTTTTTAAACACAAATTTTACATTTTTATCCTTCGTTCATTTATTATTTTTCATCTCTATCAGACAAATTTGTCAATTCATAACAAAAAAACAATCACCTAAAAAACCGTACAAATATACTTTAGGACAATAGAAATTGGACGGAGATAGTATATTATTAAGATGTTAAATTAAACACGACTAATCCTTCCAATCTATTGAAGTTTTTTTTTTCTATTTGCTCCATTATATTATTATTATTAACTTTTTAATAATTTTTCTATAATAATTTAACTTTACTTTTTATTTCTACATTGTCATTTATATCCGTCTCATATCTCAAGTCACTTATTTTTTAATTTTAATTAAATTAATTAATTATCTTAATTTTAATTTATAATTATTTATATTATAAAATAATTATATTTACTAATATATTTTTAATTATCTACTAATTATATTTATCATAAATTATCGTGTTTACATTGCCCCAAACATCCAACTTAGGATAGAGGAAGTATTATTCATTTTTAGTACTTCCTCCGTCCCACATACTATGTCTACGTTTCCGTTTCTATCCATCCCACATTCCATGTCACTTTCGTTTTTTGAAAAATGATTACACTTAAATCTCATTTTAAATTTTTTAATTTATTTTTTTATTTTAATTAAACTAATTAATTATGTTAATTTTAATTTATAATTATTTATACTATAGGATAATTATTTTAATTAATACATTCTTAATTATCTACTAATTACATCCCTCCTAAAATACCATGTCTACAGTGTAGCGGATGGAGTATTTGCTAAATATTATGATATAATTAGATTGGAGGAAGGGAGTATTATTCATTAATAATAATTTTTTTACGAAATACCAAATAAAAATAATGATCTTTTTTCTCACAAAATTAATATAATTTCTAATTATTTTAAAAAAAAGTTAAATCTTCAAAACTAAAAATAACATATAGGAGCAATAAATCTAGAGGCCCAACTTGTGAAGTTATTGCTACAGTGCTTTTTCATTCCTATCCAACCACTGGTGTGTGCTCTACAGTTTTCACAGTATATATGATTTTAAACACTCAGAGTTAATGATCATCTGAAAAAGGAAAACATTATTTATGGCGTGTTGCTGTAGGTTGTTGCTTTTGAGAAACTACCAGTAAAGTTTTTGGTAATTTAAAAATAAATAAATAAAGTAATAAATCAAAGTTCTTAGTTCATACCTTATTCCACTTTCTTGCTTCACTGTACCATCCAATTACGCTGCAATTTCGCACCAAAATTCATTTATTCAGTTTGAAATTCAAAATCTGAAAGTAGTTAATCGATGCAGAATTGAAGAAGAAGACTAGCAGATCGAAGAACCTGTTGAGAGTGGTTCTACTGGTGAGATCGAACATAAACAGTATAGCTACAGCATCTTTGCAAGCAATTGGAATTTGATCGGATGAATTGCTGTCTCCTGAATTTGTGTTGGTGAAGATTTGTGGATGAGTGAAATCATCGTTTGCGTGAAATTTGGAATTTGAGGAACAGGTTTGAGGAATTTTGAGTTCAGTTTACCTCCAACGTCCCAGATTCTGCAAGCAATGGTTGCTCCTTGAATACGCATTGTTTTATCCATCACGTTTACTCCTTGCATCTGCAAACTTGTCTTCTCCTGTTCATCTCCAACGTACTTCACCTTCAGAGGCAGTTGTTTTAATTTAATCAACAAATCGACAGGAAGAAGTCGAAATTCTAGAAAGTAGAAGAGATTTGATTACCAGAAATCTCGTCTTCCCAATCTGACAATCGCCTAACGCACCGATCTTCAACGACACTAAATCCGAGTCGCTCTCGTAACCAGAGCCGTACGACGTCGTCGTCGTCGGGAAGCTGTCATCGCCGCCGCCGGAGACTAGAGCCTGCACTGACGGAGAAGAACCGCTTCTTCGAGCAGATAATCTCCTGTATTTGACATTAGGGATTCTAATCGAGCAGACGAGAAACCTCTCCCAAAATAACCTGAATAACCGCCGGAACACTGCAGCTCTCTCTAATACACTCCAACGGAGGTTGACGTGGATAATTTTCCGGCAGAACTTCGTCATCTTCCCGGCGGCGCTGTTGAATTCACGAGTAGCCATGGTTCGCACTCAGAGTAGCAGAGGAAGAGCAGGACTCCATTAATGGCGTTTTTTTGGTGCTTTAGCATATGAGCTGACAACTTTTTCCCCCATGAGAAATTTTTTAATTACTATTATTATTTTTTAAAACTTTAATATAAGTGCGTACGGAAACTGTTAGAATATTTGAACAATATTGTGCTGTCTTTCCATATTTTCTTTTTCAGTTATACATTTATATGTATATTAAATTTATACCTAATTTATTTACAATCAATAATTTATTCACTCCTAATTTTATGACAAAATTAAATACAACTTTTAAATAAGAGCTTATAAAACTCATTCAAAGTTTGAGACATCAAAATCATTAAGTAAGACTAGACGATGAGTTTATAATTATAAGAAAATTTTAATACAATTTTAAAAATAAGAAGATTTAGTTCACTTTCGTGAAACTATTTGGGAATTTTGTATAATTTTACCTAATTTTATTCATTCATATTTTAATAAATAATAATTAATTTCTCTATTTTTTATTTATTACTTCAATTTTTTTTAAAGTATGATGAATTCATAAATAATTAAAATTTTGAATTTTTTTAAATTTTTTTGTTTTCTTGAAAAATTAAAATTAATATTGTACTTATTTTCTAGCATTGTTCTTTTTGTAATTCTAGTTTTATTAAGTTATCATTATTAGATGGAGTGTATCTTTTATGCAAAATCGATATATTTTTGTTGAAAATTGTAAAATGACACATTAAAAAGAAAATTGGTGAGAGAATTTTCAAATTAAAGATTTTTAAAGTGCATATATTTGATTACATCCAATCACATAATATTAATTTTTCTTCATCTTTTTAGGACATAGGGCTGTGTGTTTTTACCATGAGTTTATTTTTTATTAATTTTTTATATGTATTTTTTATATTAAATATAAAATTTATATTTTTTTAATAATATAAAATAAAATATTATATCAAATTGTTAATTTTTTTTTATAACTAAATAAAGTACTATATTTTATGTATTGTATAGATCAAAAAATTTCTCACGACGACCTTTTAACCAACTTAATTCAATCGGCCGTCACAATCAAATTTTATAACAAATATTATTATTATTATTATTATTATTATTTTATTTTTATTTTTATTTTTATTTTTTGATCATCAATATTATTATTATTTAAAGACAACATATTGCATAACTATTTTATTTTATTTTTATCACCCATCCACGATTGAAATGCAGAATATATCACATCATTAACATTTTAATATATAAAGGAAGAGCGTGAATGTTAGACATTCTTTTTGCATAATTTATTATTACAATGTTATTAATTTATACTTAAAAATAACTAATTGGTTGATCTAGATCCACAAATATTATAAAAATATTTTCCCCACACACAAAATTTTATTTGTAATTATTAAAACGGAATGTATAAAAACATCCATATAATAAAATAAATTACGTACATGGGACTTGTATTTTAATTTTGTTATGTATATATATATATATATATATTTAAATTAAATCAAATATTTATTTCTCATAAAAAAAATTATACCTAATAATTAATTTAATTAAAGACATTAACATCTAAAACACTAGTGTGTTTAATTTGCTTTGAGGGGTTTTTGTTTTTATTTTTATTATTGTTTAGGTGATATAATTTTTTATATGAAAAAATAAATATATTTTTTTTATAATACCAAAGTAACATTTTATTATTAAAAAATAGAACTATATAATTAAATTACATGTTTTATAAAAATAATAGTAAAGTAAAAGCTACAAGAATCATCATCATTATACATAAATAATGCATTGATTTTCATTATTGTTTATACTCAATTCCTTTAGTTTCAACCAACTCGTTTAATTAGTGATTTAATATTTAAAGTAATAGAATTTAGTAAATTAACAATAATAAATTTATTATATTATTTTATAATTTTTACGTGGATAGAGTTATTAGTATTTTTCAAGTAAGAATTAATATATATATGATTAAAAAATAAATAAATTGTCTGTGTAGTACGCCGAAAAATATGTCCGTCGATGTTTTCTACAAAAATTTTATAATTTTTTTTATATTATATATATTTTATTTATATATGATATTTAAAATATTTAAATACATATTTAAATTTTATTTTAATAATGTATACTAAATTTATTATAAAAATAATAACATCATTTATATACAAACTAATAAAATAAAATTATAATTAATTTATTAAATTACACAATATTTAAAAATATAGCTATATATGTTTAAAGGAGTTTGTATTATTACAATAATAGTAAATTTTTTAAAAATAATTTAGAGAAGGACTTTTGAAGTAAGTTTATTTGTTTTGTAAAATAGTTTGAAGGATTTTTTTTTTAATGTTAATATAAGATATATATATATATATATTTTGAAATATATATTTTTTTTAAAACCAAACAAACAAGAGTTTTAGTAATAAATATGATATTTTATGAAAAAAAAATTATAGTATAATTATTTGAAATATAAATAATGCCAGATTTTAAAATTGATGTAGTCTAAACAAAGCCAAAATATATAATATATATAATATTTTAAATAAAAATAAAATAATATACGTATATATTTATCTAAATATATATGGAGTATTAAACTATATTATAATGACACACAATTAATTGGTCCCATGCCTTCCCCATAAAAGAGTCACATGCACCATTTTTAAATGTGACATTATGACTTTGTTCTTTCATTTAAATTTTTTTAATTTTTTTTTTCAAAAAATTAATATACTATACAGATTTATTTTTTTAATATTATATGTATAATTTCCTATTATTCACATAAAAAAATATTATTTCAAACTAAAACACAAAATAAATACACGTTATCCCTCCTTTGGGGCATTTCTTCTCAATTATTGTATGATTGTATTTAATTTGAGCTTCAAATTTTAATTAATATTGTTTAATACATGATTTTTATACAAATTATATAATAGATATTTTTATAAAATATTAGTATTCAAATATAATTTAAATTAAATTTTAAATAAAAAATTCAAATTTAAACTAAAACTAAACACACATAATTTTAACTATTCAAATTTTATATTTATATTTTTAAAATATTTTATTTTTACAAATCATCAAATCATGTCCTCCCTCCGTCCTATATAATATGAGTGTATTACTGTAGATACGAGAATTTAGGTAAAGTATAATTAGTAAGTAATTAAGAAGTGTATTAGTAAAAATAATTATTATTTAGTAAAAATAATTATAGATTAAGATTAAGATAAATAAATAGTTTAATTAAAATTAAGAAAATTATAAAATTTAAAATTTAAAATGCTATTAAAGTGTATAATTATATTTCCAAAAATAGAAATGACAAGATATATGGACGGACGAAAATAGAAAATAGGGACAAATTATATGGGACGGAGGGAATATTATTTCTACCTCAAAACATTAAGAATATTTGGGATGAACACAAAAATTTAAAAATATTAATATTATATTAATATTGTGTTTATAAATATTTTTTAAATATCAAAATATTTATATTTTATGTTGTTATTGTTTTGGTACCAAAAAAATAATAAATATAATAATATTTTTGTCCCATAATAAAATATTATTTTTTTTATTTTAGTATATTTCATAACAAAATATCTTTACTATCTACTAACGTTATGAATACCCTTCAAACTTACAATATATAAACAAATGTCATTACATTTGTATCACACAGTATTAATAAGATTACTTTAGTCATGTCTATTTTATTTTTACTATATCCAAGATAATATTAATATTTTTAAAACTCCATATAAAAATGCAAATGGATACGCAGTTATGAAAAGGAAAGGAGTCTGTTAATTTTCACCGATCCCAAATATTTTTTATTATTTTAAAACAAAAAAAATATTTATTTTTAATATGAAATTAGACTGTATTTTTGTAAAGATTTTCTATCATTATACTCACTCCGTCCCATTCAAAGGTTGTCATCTTTTATTTTCGTCATTCCCAAAACAAGGTTACCATTTCTAATTTAGTAATTGTACTACTCATTTAACATAATAAATACCCTTTCAACTTACACTATATTATACAAATACCATAACTTTTTCCTTTTTTTTTTACAAATACCATTACTTTTATATTATACAATACTAATATGAGTTTTTTTGTCTTTTTCACTCTAATTTATTATAATACTAATATTCAAAAATTTATATGCAAAAAATATACAGTAAACGACAACCTGGGAGTGAGGGAGTATATTAATTTGATATATTAATATAAATAATTTAAATTTAAAATAGAAAACTCAAACAACCGCACAACGTTTCTATAGGGATCTGCTGGTTTGTTCATCGCCATGGATACTTTCTCCAAACCCTAGGCGCTATTCCCTGATGCTCTGATTCTCTTTCCCCATCGGTTCTACGCCGCCTCACTGCAACATTGTTCAGCGCTCGGCCTCTCTTCTTCCCCGTGACTTCGTCTACTACAGGCTACCGCTGCATCAAAGTTGTGAGTTCAGTCCTGCCTCCCTTTCAATCTTACGCGTGTAGAAGAAAAAAGCGAGAGAAAATGCTTCTAGCGTTCATGGCAATGTTGATTTTTGAATTTTTTGGTTATTTCAATACGATCGAGAAGCATGTGTGAAAATCGTTCGAGTAATTTAAAGGAGTTTTGATTTTTCGACGTTTGCGCTGTTTTGATTTTTAGAAGCTTTCTTTCAAGCGGTTGCGGATGATTTGAGTTTGATGTGTTTACTGTGTTTTGTGATTTCAAAGTCGATCTCATTCTATAATGTTTAAGCATTGCATCGACTTTGACATATATATATATATATTCAATTCGATCTTGTTCACTTCAAGCATTTGCACTAATAATATCGAGGTGTTTGTTGATCAGAACCTAGAAAAGCTTGCATCAGAGACAATCAAACTATAGATAAAAAAATTTTGATTGATGGGTTGGTGATATAGTGAGCTGAATCTCTGCTTCAATTTGATGCAAATGGAGAGGGAGATTGGTGTGGTAGAAGAGAGACTAAAGTCATTCACAGCTCAGCTGCATACAGAATGTGGTATTCTCGACCGCCTTGTTTATAAGCACAAAAATCAACATCGACGGTGCTCTTACTTTCAGTATGTACTCAAGGTTTGTTGCTCCTGTTTTCTAACTACAATCATATGTTTGAGCTTGGAATTGGATTTTCATGTGCTTGTTGAACCAATGGCATTTGTTTTTATTTTTGGTGGAAAAAGGTGAGGAGGGATTTGAACCTTTTGAAGTCCACAAATATGGAGGAGATTCTGGATTCGGCATTTATAGTGATCAATGGAAATAGGCCAAAGCAAAAGGTCCAACTTCTGGAAAGGTCCAGTTTTATTTTCCATTCATTCTGTATTCTTCTTACGAATTTTGTTGTGGAATATCGTTAAAGTCTTCAGTGTTCGTACACAAGTAGAGGTTTATATCCAGATATTAGGGCTCTACTTGGATAGAAGTTTTGGAAGTTATGGAAAAAATTGAAAATAGTAAAACATTAGACATTTGATATGATGTTTTGTGAAAGTAAAAATGTATTTGATGTGATGTTTTTTGAATAAGTTACAGTTGATGAATAGTTTGCACAAGTAAGGTTTATAGCCGGATATTAAGGTTCCATTTAGATAAAATTATTGACAGTTTTGGAAAAATTTGAAATTAGTACAAATGAGGTATTTGATATGATGTTTTATGAGAGTAAAAATGTATTTAATGTGATGTTTTTTGAAAAAGTTACTGTTGATGAATGGTTTACACAAGGTTTGTATCCAGATATAAAGGTTCCATTTAGATATAAGTTATGAGAGCTTTGGAAAGTTTTGAAAATAGTAAAGGGTTAGGTATTTGATTAGATGTTTTTTGAGAGTAATACTGTATTCAATGTGATGATTTTTGAAAAAGTTACTTTTGATGAATAACGTCAAAAGTTTCAAAAGTGTGTGTAATTAGAGCCTAACTTTTGTAGTTACTGTTTAGTGTATTTTTTTTTTAACCTTTCTTTGACTGTTATATTGAGTGTACGAAATTCTGAAAAAAAATGGTATGCATATTGGGTTTGATTAATTTTGCCTGTTTTACTTATAAATTGTTGTATGATGGTTTGATTATATGATTAGGTATCGGAGAAATGACGAGCTTAAAATGTATATACTTTTTTGTTATGGTTATGCTTTTATATACATAAAATTGAACATGATTTAGCAATGATCAAAGATTGGGGAAATATCTGAGTATGATAACAAACAAACACATTGATAGTTCCTCATCTTCTTACGTGCAGCTTGAAGCGTAGAAAGTGCAGTAGTGGCAAATACAATTTTTTGGTGAGGTTGTTGGGTTTTAGCCGTCTATTGTCTCAGGTAGTTTGTCTTTTTTCTTGTGAACTTGACATTCAAACACTTTCAGTTAATGCATTCGTCGTTTTGGCATCTTTCTCGTTGCTATTGCAGATTTCCGAGCCATTGCTGAAGGCAGCTATGTATCCTCATAATTTCCAACTGTTGACTTGCATTTGTTGTATTTGGATTTTGGTTTGTGATATAGAGTCTTATTTGTTATTGATTTTCCTTAACCACGCGCAGGGAGATATCGACTCTTCTTGCTAGGTCATTTTTTATGAAGTTTTCGTTGACAATATTATCTGTGCTTGCACGCATTCGAGTATTAGTTCAGCAGGTAAGCATGCCCAAGCCATTACTTGCCATGTATTTGATAGTGCTGTTTATTTTATAGTCTTTTTGGTTTGAGGAGTCAGAAGTGTTCGACATATTTGGGACAAATTTGCTTATAACTCACCTATGTTTTAGAAAGTCTTTGCTATTCTCTACCAAAAAATAAAAAAAAAAAAAAAAATAATAATAATAAAAAACAAAGGAAAAAAGTATGCACTATTCTCTCTCACAATTTAGAAATTGCGTGAGGCTCTCTCCTGTTTTTGCACATATTGTACAAAATTTAATTTTTAGGGAATTTTGTTCAATGTTTTATAAAAAATCAATATGATGAAAACTTTCTATACTATGTGTAGGTATAAGCAGTCTTGCATTTCTCTTTTTTCCATTCTATTTTTGTCTATGGCATAGTCAAATATTTACATCCCTTTGGATTCATTTACTCTCCTTTTGTTATTATCATATGATGGAAATTCAAATTGTATTATTGAACTTTCCTTCTCTATTTCTATGATGATATTCTTGTGGAAAAAAAATTCAAACTCTTTTGTGATCGACTACTTAAATAATCGTTTTCATTGCCTCTAAGCAAGTCGGTACTATGCCTTTTTAACGTGGTGTAATTCTTTTATCTACAGATGCTTTTGGATGTCGTACTTATATACAATACTGTTTCCCGTCTTTCTCATAAAGAACAGATTGTGAAATTAAATCAAGAAGGATTTGAGGTTAGTATTACAAGCAGAATCGATTCTCAAGATGATTTTGATTCTTGACCTTCATTGCTGTTTCCTTAAAGTGCAGGTCTTTAGAGAAATTTATCCCGGGAAAGAGAAAGAATCTTTAATGCTAGAATGCGTTTGGCAGACGGATAAATATATATTAGTTGAGAAGACGTGCGAAAATGAGAACAATACTCGAGCAACAGCAGCCGAACAAGTTGATGTCCCACTTAAAGCATCGAATATACAGTACAACAATATCGAGGTCTTACTCGGAGGTTAGAATCCAAACCCAAGCAATTCAATTCGTTTCATACCTCCCGTGTTTTAGGCTTTATTTATATGCATACTTTTGGAATTTTTATAGTACTATTTATCAAAAATAATTAAAAAAAAAAACTATTTTATCAAATAAATATTTTTTATTTAAATTATTACACTAAAATCTTAGTTTGTTTGTTTGATATTTATAATTTTTAGGTGTTTTTCTTGTGAGATATGGAGAGTTGTAAAAGGAATGATGTTTTGTGTGTTTTTATTGACCTATATATATATATATATATATATTATTTTTTCGAGTAATACTTTTGGGACTCGTGAATGATGAAAGCACTGAGTGAACACACTCTTATTTTCTATACAAAACACAACATCCAATTCTTATTTACATTATATCAAAAAATATATTTTTTATTCGATTTTTCACTTCTCCAAACGCACCAAAACTTGTATCTAATTTTTTCATGTTTCAAATACTTCTTGTCCATATTGATTTCCCCAGTCACGACTTACTTCCCCGATTGTTCTAACAGATTCAATCCACACAAAAAAAGAAGGCGTCGACCCTATACACAACAATGACCATAAGAACACCCCAACCCCAAATGGAGCTGGGTCTTCAAATGGTAATAACATAGGTCCCCTAATGGACAGGTCAGCAGGATCATCAGCCTCTGAGACGAACAGTGAGAAGTTGCACGAAGATGGTTTCTCTGTGCCTGAATTTGTCGACCTCGGCAGTACTTGCCGGGAACCTGGTTTAACGGCTAATGCTATCACGCCCTCTCGTCACATTGAACTAAGAAAAGATGCGAAAAGGAAGAAGAAGACGGTCGCATTTGTATCTGTTAATGCACCGGCTTCTTCGACTGTAGGGGAATCAAAATCAGCTTTGCACGAAAAAGGTATCGACAAGAAAGATCCATTTTTCGACCTCCTCACCGGTGGAGGTATGAATAGTAGTTTCTCTTAAGCTATATATATTGATGGGGGAATTAGTGGCTTTTTATTTATTTATTTTAAAAAAAATTTCAAGTTAAAAATTTTGGAAATAGTGAAAAATTGAGTATTTAATATGATGTTACGTGAGATTAAAGAAATATTTAATGTGGTCGGGTTAGCAAAAATATGAAATTGAAATAATTTTATCGACTTGAAATTTGGTTCCCGCAGTTTGGGTTCGAGACTACAAATTTTTATTCTAAATTTCATGCGTCCATGTGTAAACTGTATAAAAGTTGAAGTGGCTTCAACTATCGCGGAGTCTGAAAATGATGATACAAATTTGTAAACATATAGTTAATGATAGTTTATATTTTACAGATATATTATTTGACTATATATCTTGTAATAAGATTAAAGATAATACATTTTTTGAGTGTGCAAAAAAAAAAAAATGTTGATAGAAAATAATTAAAAAATCAAATCAGGATAGAATAACTTTCTACACACACATATATATATATATATTATAACATATTCATTCTTTACATTCTTTACCATCATTCTTTACATTCTTTACATTCTTTACCATCATTCTTACCTTCCTCTTCATCTTCCTTAACTTCCCTTTCATCACCATCACCACCATGCTTTTGCTTGTCTTCTTCATCTGCATCTGCAACAACCCTCACTTTACTGTTAGCACACACATACTCTAAAGCAATTACCACATCGCTAATCACCGGCCGCGCCATGTCGTCTTCCTGCAGACACATTGCCGCTATGGCAAGCGCCTGATACAACGCCTTCTCTGGGAACTTCCCCTCCAGCAACGGATCCGCCATCACTCGAAACCTCTTCTTGTCCTTGAACAACGGCTCCGCCTGCTCCAACAACATTTTCACCTCTTTCACAACAATAATATTAAATTACCATCTCACCTAGAAAACTTTGAATTTGAACTTAGTGAGATACACATCATTTATTATTATATAATAATAGCAACAATAATCCCCATCTTTGGAAATGAACTACGTACCCAACTGATCAAGTTCTGTTCTTGACTCGGTCTGGTGCAGTCGAGCACTCTCCTCCCCGTGATTATCTCCAGAAGCACCACGCCAAAGCTGTACACGTCAGATTTCTTAGTCAGCCGCCCCGTGGAGGCGTACTCCGGCGCGCAATAGCCGTACGTTCCCATCACACGCGTAGAAACGTGGGATATTCCATCGACCGGTCCTAACTTGGCGAGCCCGAAATCAGATAGCTTTGGGTTGAAATCTTTGTCGAGGAGGATGTTTGAGGCCTTGAAGTCGCGGTAGATTACTGGTGGATTAGCCGTTTCGTGGAGGTACTCCAGCCCTTTTGCTGCTCCTTCCGCGACTTTCATCCTCGTGTACCAGTCGAGTGGCTTCTGATCCTCGTCAAGATCTGCAAAACAGCGTCGTCCCATCACTCTGTAATGGCGAAACAGAATGTTCTTGAGATGAAAAAACTTTAACATACTTAGGAGATGATCCTCCAAAGAACCATTTTGCATATAATCGTAAACTAGCAGCCGGTGTTGGCCTTCCCCGCAGTATCCGACTAAATTGACAAGATTCGGGTGGTGAAGAAGGCTTAGCATCAAAACTTCGACTATAAATTCGTAGTTTCCTTGTAGACCATCCCTGTTGAGTTCTTTCACTGCAATATCCTGAGAACAAATTTGATCACTGCTGATATTCAAAATCGAACAAAAAATTTAAGAGAATTCGAGTAATCTAGACAAAAGGGGAAGAATGGATATATATAGCAGACATTACAATGTTTTTTCGCTTGGAATAGCCTTTATACACCCTCCCGAATCCACCCTCGCCTATCAAAGCCTTAAGGCTGAAGTTTTGAGTAGCATCGGATAGCTCTTTGTATGTGAAAATCTCAGCAGAAATGTTTCCCTTCCCTAGTTGTTCTATTTCTTCGTCTATGTACTCTGCAAAATTATCTAATCAGTCAATTGGTTTGTTCCTTTATTCGACAGAGATTCAATTGCGTTGGTTCATCTTCAATAATGCATTTTGTGAACAGATTAAGAAAGAAATTGATCTATAGCTGCTCGAGGAACATGAATTCAACTATCAATCCAGCACATATGAACCTCAGTTAGGGATATCAGAATGCATAATTGCAACCTCCATGAGGAATTTCAGCAAAATGACAGACACATCACTACAGAAATTCCTAACCCTAGAAAAGGAAGGAGAGCAAGGAAAACAGAGGCGGCGATAAACCAATATGCAATATATTATATATATATATATATACCAAACGACCAAAAAACCTTAAAAAACGCCATACATTGCTGTTGCCATGATCAATAATCTCACCAGCTTTTCCAGACGACCGATTAGACAACGAGGGGAAGGATTTCGATTTCTTATGCTCAGGCCTCTCATCGAACGATTTGTGAGGGAATCTCCCTTCCGAAGCGCGGCAGGTGAAACAGCTCCTCATCCTTCAATTCCTTCGTCCAAATCTTCTCAAAACAACTACAACAACACGAAAACCTTCCCAATCCGAACACAATTAAACCCTAACATAAAATTTTCCCATATTCGTACATTCAAAACACAATCAACAGGATTCCGAACTCAACTGCAACCACACGCAGAAGGAATAGGAAATTCGAGGCGTCCAAACCGCACTAGCTTCGATGCGATCTCTCTCGCCGGAAATTCGAAAGGATCACAGCGCGGGTGCAGCCGTGCAGCAGAGCTTTCCTTTCCTTTCCTTTCCTTCGCTGCTGAAGAAGAAACGTAAATTCTGCAGAAATGTGTGATTTTGAATTCTGCAAATTGTTTTATCTTTCTCTATGTTTAGTAACTAACATAACTGAAGTCTGAAATGCCAGCTGGACACTATTTGGACCAATGGAATTGCTTCCCTCGCGATTTTTGATGTCATTCGTACACGTGGAATATTTTTATTGTTTTCTAATATTTTCTATATTTTATAATAATAAAAATTTAAATTATACCCATCTTCCTGAAATATTTATGCTAATTTATTTATTTATTTTCACAGTAAATTAAATTTATTAGTAGTCAATTATTATTATTATTTATTTTAAAATAAAAAGAAAACTAGCCATAATTTTTAAAGGAAAAAAAAATCAATAAATTAGAGTCAAAGAATAAAATCCTTGTCTTAAAGTCAATAAAAGAACAAAATGAGAAACCGTTGAAGACGAAGAGAGGAGAATTGGAGAAAGGAGGGAGACCCAAATTTGAAGATCGGATTACTGCATTTTTCTGCAATTACAATTCAGGAATTCGGTGAATCAGGGCAAACAGGGTCTCCGGAAGCAAGGACGAAGAAGAATTCTTCGCAATCCAATCCAGGATTGGGGATTTTTCTGTAGCCGATAATGGTACGAAGCTCTTGGATGGTGTGGCGCGAGGAAAAGTTAAGCATTAACCCCCAGGAGAAGAATAATTAATCGAAAAAAAAAATGATAACGTGGTTGAAACAATTGCGGATCGCGTTTGGAGCGTCGTTTTTGTGGCTTGTCTGTTTGATTTACTTCACGCAGGTTCGTTTATACGCTCCCTTACGGAATTTTAGTTTCCTCTTATTTGCGTAGATTGATTTTGCTGCGATTGTAAGTTTTGAATTCGTTGTTATTGTTATTTTTGTTTATTCTGATTTGAATTTTGGAGAACGCCGTTGTATATCTATGTTCTTGTCATTGCAAAAGTATGGATGAACTGATTTCGATATTTTCTTTTGATTCTCTTCCGGAATTTGCGTTTATGGCGACTGGTGATAGTTTTAGGGTTTATGTTATTCACATTGATGTAGATCTCACGTATAACACGGTATTGTTGAATTTGTTCCTCTTGTATGGATTCCCCCAATTTGGCTACCTTGTTCGTATGAGAAGCTTTTTCTTATGTTGCCCTAATATAATTTTGATTGGCATTGAAATATGATGCTGATTATTCGATTAGGGTTGAATGAAATTCTGAATTATACCTCAAGATGGAATTAGAAGTATTGAATTATTCCAAAGCTGTTTTTGCTTTTTCTGCATTGGTTGAATATGAATCCATGTAGTTTACCTACCATTTTTACAAGGTTTTTCTACGATCCACAGGGATTCAGATCGTTCGTGTGGACGGCAGTGTCGTACCAGCTGAAGGACAAGCTAAAGCTCTCCCCATCAGCTTCCCAGTTTGTAGCATCGGTAGCATTTTTTCCATGGAGTATCAAGCCATTATATGGGTATATTTAACTATAAACTCTTTGATTTACGCTTCGGTTAATTAACTTGATCTGAAGATACACCTCTGTTTCTTTTGAACAAAATAGATACCCTGCATTTAGTGCTTTTTTCATATTCTTGATTGCCTGTTTGATGATTCGAAAATATGAAGTTTCTCTTGTTCAAGCAACTGAGCTCTGTAATGTTTGATCAATAAGATCATTTTTTTATTTTGTTTTATTTTTTGGGTTGCAAAAGGTTTCACTGTGCACTTAAATCATAATTTGCAGAATATTATCTGACTGCATACCGATTCTTGGAAGAAAAAGAACCCCTTACTTAATAATTGCGACGTTGCTGTCCTTCTTCCCATGGCTTATTCTAAGCATCAGCACAGGGTGGAGGAGCTCTAGAGTGCCTCTCATGGTTCTGTTGACAGCACAAAATTTGGGATCTGCAATGGCTGATGTTGTGATCGATGCCATGATAGCTGAGGCAGTAAGGTTTGAGAGGTGAGCATTCATTTTCAGTGATCTTTTTATTCAAATTATTTCAGAATCTTAGCCAATAGTCTCTAATTAACTTTCAAAAAGATTGAATCGTGAGTTAGGGCTGACAATTATCATAGCTGATCAGTGTCATATTCGATCTATGCTTAAATTACTCCTAAAATTGCACATGATTAGGGCTTCTTTCGCCGGTGATCTTCAGTCAGTTTCGTGGATGTCAATGGCGTTGGGAGGGATATGCGGAAGTTTGCTCGGTGGATATGCTCTGACTAACATACCAACAGACAAAATTTTTTTGCTCTTCACAGCATTACCTGCACTACAGCTGCTGTCTTGCGGTTTAGTCGACGAAAATTCTGTTAGCCGTAAAGTTTCTTCAACAAGTGTAACTTCAAATGGAGCCTCCCATTCAGTAAATGGCAGCGATTTTCCCGAAGATAAAACTTCCACAGTTAAGTCCAAACCCAACAATTTGAGGAGAAAGAGGAGCAAGAAAACTGCAGAGGGAGAACCAGTTCCGGGAAATAAAAAAATTCAGTCTCATGAAATCCATGGAACTTCAGCAACAAAATCATCCCATTCCCTGAAAACAGCTGCATTTACTTTGTTCGATGCTTTTCGACAGCCAATCATTCTGAGGTAAATATCGATCTGTTTTTTTTACATAGTAGTATTTGCTTTGTATTTATGCATATCGGTATATAATTAACTTCTAGAAGTTTCCGGTGCTTTCTATTCCATTGCATGAATAACTGATTTTTTTGCTCGGATTTTCCCGGGAATCATAGGCCTATGACATGGTTTTTCCTGGCACACGTCACTGTTCCGAACCTCTCAACCATCATGTTCTACTATCAGACAGAAGTTCTCAAATTAGAGGCTTCGTTTTTAGGCAGAGCACGAGTCGTCGGATGGTTGGGTCTCATGCTTGGCACCTTTATCTACAATCGGTTTTTGAAGAAGATGAAATTACGGAGGATTCTTTTGTAAGTCCATCTCGAACCTTTCTTACACATCGATGCTTTCCACATTACTCATCGATTAGCCATGAAATCTAATCAGGTACGCTCATTTCGGGTTGGCTATACTGAGCCTTCTCGATGGAGTCTTGGTGTCGCGATCGCATGTTCACGTCGGGATAAGCGACAAGGTCATGGTCCTGTTCGGATCCGCGCTTTCAGACGGCATCAACCAATTCAAGTAGAGTATTACTTCTGTTTGATACGATTTTTCTTTTTTCGATCAATCCCTTTTACTGAAAAATTTTCGCCGCTTGCTCGGCAGGTTCATGCCGTTCCTAATCTTGTCGGGACAACTTTGCCCTCCCGGCGTAGAAGGTACGCTGTTCGCACTCTTTATGTCGATAAACAACTTTGGCTCCACGGTTGGCTCGTTCGTGGGCGCCGGGCTGGCTTCGATTCTTAGTATTTCGTCGGGTAGTTTCGATAATCTTTTCGCGGGCATTGTAGTTCAGGTTGTGTGCTCGTTCATCCCTGTTGCTTTCTTGTTTTTGATACCTAAAGAAGCTACGGGAATATCGGCATAGAATAGAATTACAGAGAAAAAAACAGAGGATTTGTTGGCTTCTGTTAGAGAAAATAGGAACTTAGCTATGGATACATAGAGAAGATATAATATGACAGCCACATTGTTAAAAATCAATAAGTTTGTCCTTGATTTCAATTAGGATAAAGATGGAGGGGGGATTTGTGAACTTTCTTGTGTAGGGGCTGATTGGGTAATATTGGTTTAATATTTGAAATTACCATGACATGTTTGTTTTATTATATGGTTGGTTTTATTTAGATTTATTTAAGAGTGGGTTTGTTGTGTTTTGGGATCAATTTTTTTATTATTAAAAATAAAATTACGGTTTGTTGCATGGTAAAATACTAAAAATAAACTTTTAAAAAATAAATATATATTTTGTATTTGTATAAACAAAAATGACACAATGTATATACCCTTTAAATTAAAAGAAATAATATATAAGCCTAATCTAGCCTAACTTGTCCATTGCAATCCGATCCATAAGCCAGGCCCGGATGTACTTTAGCCGGATCTTGGAGTTTTGACCTATTTATAAAATTTTATTTTAAAATATATCAAATTAAATATATTGTTATATTTTTATATTTTCTTATTATCAAATTAAATTTTTATTTTTTTATTTTTTTTGACATCCATCCATGATCATCAAATTTGAATCATTATTCCAACTAAAAATACTTCACCACTTGACCTACAAAGTTTTAACACGAAACTCAACTTTCAAATTCATAAACAAAAAAATATACTTTTTTACATATCTCTAGTCTATAACATTCTAAATGAAAAATAATTAAGCATTAAATTTATAGCTATAGAAAGTTGTTCATACCATATACTAGTATAGGCATGCAAATATGCAATAATATAAGACATCTTATTACAAATATTGATATTATAGGGTTTGCTTGTTCATCATATCTATAATATTAAAATCTCATAAATTTCATTTTTAAATTGGTTTTAATTATTTTTAAACTACATTAAGATAAGAACCCATAGTTTTTTTATACATTTCTTTTAAAAAATTCTCCCTCCGTCCCACGTACCATGTCCACGTTGCCGTTTCTGTCCGTCCCACGTACCATGTCATTTTTCTTTTTCGGAAAATGATTACACTTTAAAATTTCATCTTAAACTTTTTAATTTTATTTTTTTTAAAATTTTAATTAAACTAATTAGTTATCTTAATCTTAATTTATAATTATTTATATTATCGGATAATTATTTTCACTAATATATTCTTAATTATCTACTAATTACATCATTCCTAAAATACCGTGTCTACAGTGTAGCAGACACGGCATATGGGACGGAGGTAGTATATAAATAGATAAGAACCAATTAACATTAATGGCTTGATTCTAGCCGTTTTTATCTTAAACATTTTGAACTCTAAGAAAACCCTATCTTGAGCATCATTTCCTTCAAAAAAATATCTTTTAACTATTAATAATAATTGACCTTTTCCCCAATATTTTTGGCAAGATCTCACTCAATCTTTGTGTGTGTTTGTGTTTTTGGTTTTTGGATATTTTGGGTGTTGTGGATGAGAGATATTTTTAATATAAAATAAATTTTCAATAAGCATGCACTTTAAATAAAAATTATTATATTACACACATTTATTATTTTTTATGTTACCTACATAATTTTTATGCATCACATAAAAATATATCCCTTCAAACTATTTCATAAAACAATCACACCCGTGAGGTTTTGAATTGAGAGTAATGATTTGTGTAACAATGTGTTTAATTTATTTTTTAAATATTTAAATACCATTATTCAGCCTGCATAATTTTCAATAAAAATTATCTAATAAAATATTGTACCAAAATACTATTTGAATAAAAACTCAAATAAACACTCCATTTCAAATCAATATTAAATCACTCCTAAACAAACCTTAAACATTTCCATTTTCAATTTTTACTCTTCCGATCCGTTGGTGTTATTATTATTATTATTATTATTATTATTATTGAGTGAAATAGTTATATTTTGTAGGAAATTTTGATATATTTATATAAAAATAGTAATGTTGTATAGTGGTAAAATTCAAAAAAAAAAAAAAAAGAAAAAAAAAGAAAAAAAGAAAAGAAAAGAAGAAGAAGAAGAAGATACATATGGATCCTCCTTAAGCTATATAGCAAATATAAAATAAAAGTTACAAACAAACACAACTTTATTCAACAAACCCTAACAAGCTACAGATACTTCTATGACTATACCTCCAATTTCCCCCAACCCTAAAATGTTAGCCCAATATATTTAATTTTTTGGCTAGCCATAAACATAGCATCTTTACACCTTTCCTAATTTCATTTAGGTATAAATGCAAATATTTTTATAATATTAATTATTTAAATACATTATATTTAATAATTATGTATTTCATTTTTTGTAAAAATCTTAATTTTATATTCAATCTTACTAGCAATAAAACAATTTTCTATTTGCACCTAGGTTGATTAAGAGATGATAAGCATTTGATATTTTATTAATATCATAGTTTTATACTTAAATAAGAAAAACATTTTTATTGTTGGTAACGTTCTAAATGACTTGTATTGCCCGTAACTAATTAACCTAAATCGTTTATATTTATATCGAAACTGTTTGATTGCTGAAATACGGATATCAAACATATCGATATTTGCAACCCTCCTAAAGTCTTAATTGAAGTAATATATTTTTTGTTGGACTTTTCTTTATAATTGAAAAAAAAAAAAATACTCATTTTTTCATCAAATAAATATTACCGTTCTTCATCATAAAGAGATTTGCTTACATCATGAGCCTAAATCGAATCATATTGAACTATGTCCCAACTTCAACCAAATTAAGATTGAATTTCAATATACAAATTTTGTTACTATAAAGCTAATTTATCTAGTCTTTTTTGGCCCATCTTTCAACGTTTATTTTTCTCATATTTGGAGGTAAAATTTTGTTATTATTATTTTTTTTTTAAAGAAAAAAAAATCAACAACTTATAATGAACATTGAATTTATAATGTTTGAGGGAGGAGAAAACCCTATGTTTATAGGGAAATTAAGGGTGTGTGTTCTTGTGAGATTTTGAGGGTGGTTTTTTTTTTTTAAAAAAAAATCCATTAGAAATATTTACTCGAACAGTTATTTATTATTTATTATATTATACTAAAAATTTACATCTCGAATACCACATTAATACATATTAATATTATATCAAACAAATACTTCAATGCAAAAATTTTCTATCCCAAAACCAAAACCTCAACACTAAACAAACCCTAAGTTATTTTTTAGGGGAATAAAATTTTCACATCATAATATATACTACTCCCTCCGTGTCATATCTATCTATTCATTTGTTTTTTCGACATAATTTTAAAAATATTAGTATTATATTTGAATATAGTAGAAATAAAAATAAAAAACTAAATTAACTTTAGTAGTATTGCATGACATAATTGTAACATTAGATAGATATTACAATTAGTGTAAAATAAAAAAATAAATATATTGTTAAGCAACAACAATATATATATACGGGAGGGGATCACCCACCCCCCTTCCCATCCAGCCCCCACCCCCCACCCCCCTCACATACAATGTATATATATATACATTTCTACATATATATATTTATATGTTCCAAGCGTGTCTATATATAGAGAAAGACACACGCACAAAGCTGGTATTCTACATGGCTTCTAATTCATCAACGGTCAGATCATCAGCACACCAAAATCCATCGTCTTCAGGATACGCCACGTGGCAGCAACGGGCGTGGTTCACCGGCGGCTGCGCCGCCGTGACAATTACCCTAGCCAGATCAGTGATTCTAACCGCCGCCGGCGCCGGTGCATCGGACAGTTGGTGGCCATGGATCCTGCTCGTCGGCGCCGCCGTGGCCGGCTACGTCGCGTCGGACTTCAGCTCCGGCATCTACCACTGGGCAATCGACAATTACGGCAGCGCCGCCACCCCTTTCTTCGGCTCGCAGGTCGCCGGATTTCTCGGCCACCACCACCGGCCGGCGGAGATCGTCGGCGAGCCCATCGCCAGCAACCTCGAAATCCCGTCGTCGTACGCGACGGTCGCCGGAATCCCCATCAACATACTCTGCGGCGGCAACGCGGCGGCGTTAGGGTTCATGGGCGCGTACGCGGCGGCGTCGATGTTCGGGCAGCACTTCCATATGTGGGCCCACACGCCGAAAGGGCGGCTTCCGGCGGCGGTGGTGGCGCTTCAAGACGCCGGAATCCTCCTGGGGAGGGCGGACCACGCGGCGCACCACCGGCCGCCGTTCGATTGCAATTACTGCATCGTGAGCGGGCTCTGTAATAGGGTTCTTGAGCGGTGGAGATTCTTCCCGGCGCTGGAGGCGGCGGTGTTCGCCGCCGTCGGAGTCCGGCCGCGGTCGTGGAGCGATCCTTCCCTAGTCATTAATGGAAAAAATAATTAAGATATACTATTATTTATATCTATGTTTATCTGTAGACTATTAATAACATTTTTAAACATAAGATATCAATACATCCATTTTATTATTTTAATTGATCTTAAATCAACTTATTATTGGCTTCTTCTTTTTAGTAATTATGCTTCCCACAAATTAAAAAAATAAAAATTCTTACATTTTATACTAACTATTACTGCCTACAATTTTTAACTATGTTACAAAACATTTGTAGATATAAGATTACAAGAAAGATTATACATATATAATATTAATATTTTAAAATATGTATGCAAAAATATATAAATACAGTAGTAACGAAAGAAATGAGTATTATATATATAATATATTATCGTTAAATATTTATTTATTTATATTAAAATAAACAACCGTTTCAATTAAAATTTTATTATTCTCAAAATACACCAACATTCAATCAAACAAACTCTAAGTTGGGTCATTATTTATAGAAATACTCTCAAAAATATTAAAATAGGCGACAAAATCAATTAATTTGATTAAATACAGCATATAATAGAATGAATGGTAAATATTTTTATAAAACACAATACAATAATATGCATAGAAGCATGTATTGTATAGTTTATGTATTGTACTATATTATGTAGTACTTTATTCGTCACAAACACTGTGCAACATTTGTGTTTGGTAAGAGAATTTAGGTGGGGAGTATTAAATATGGTAATTTGAAATAATTTGGATATTAAGTGATGTGATTGGAAAGAGAAATGATTATTTGTTTTTTTTTTTATTTGAGTGATGTGATGTGATAAAGTGAAATGTATATTAATATATGTATAAAAATATTATTAATTATTTCTAAATTTAGAAATATTGCAGTAAGTTTGAGACAAACAAAAAATGAAATGTGAGAGTATTTATTATACTGAAATTAATAATATATTACTATTTTCGTCTCAGTTTTATTTGACTTTTGCGTTATTATATTTAATATTAATAATGTTTTTATATTTGTGTAATTTACTCCACAAACGTCATTGTATTTGTATAATAAGAGACTAATAAAAATATTTTTATATTTTTTTTTTGACTTGTACTATAATATAATAATTAATATTAAAAATTCAATATGTAAAAAATTTATGGTACACGTCTTCTGAAACGAATGTAGTATGATATATGAAATTGTATCATATACCATCAAAATATACGTTATAAGTGTATTATTGCGAATATATATATTAAAATGGAATAATGGAATGAAATAGAAATTTAGTATTTTATAAGACTTATATTTACTAAATTAAAACATTGATACACCGATTGTGAACCGACAAAGAATTTGCTAACAATGAAAAAATACAATAAACTAAGATTGGTTGGCCATGAAATCATTTTCAATAAATATAGTATTTATTTCATAAAATAATTAAATAAATAAAAATAAATATTCTTATAATTTTTTATAATTAACAACAACAAATTTTAGAAATTCTTAAACAATGTTTAAATTTTATTAAATTATTATTATTATTTTTAAAGTCACTGTCCCTATTTTTTTTAGACAGTAATATGTTTGGATATGTTTACAAAATGTTTTTAATTAATTTGAAAATAATAAAAATATGGACGAAAATATACATTTGTTATGATATTAATTAATATTTCATTTTAAACAGAGAATTATTTTTTTATATATATAATACGGAGTATTTTTTTTACCATAATAATAAAAATTAAAATTTAAGAAAAAAAGTGGACAGTGGTATAAAAATCTATACAACATCTTCACCAGCGCGATAATAACTTATACAATGAATACAAGTAATTTATAAATTAAAAATAAAATACATAAAATAATTTACCATAATAAATCAATAAAAATAAATCTTAACATATGCCATTAATTGTCATTCCATTCATAGTGATTGGGGTTGCTCCACGACCGCGGCCGGACTCCGGCGGCGGCGAACACCGCCGCCTCCAGCGCCCGGAAAAATCTCGATTTGTCAATAAACGTGTTCCAGACGCCGCTCACGATGCAGTAATTGGAATCGAACGGCGGCCGGTGGTGCGCCGCGTGCTCCGCCCTCCCCAGGAGGATTCCGGCGTCCTGAAGCGCCACCACCGCCACCGGCAGCCGCCCTTTCGGCGTGTGAGACCACGCGTGGAACTGCTGGCTAAACACCGCCGCCGCCGCGAGCGAGCCAACAAACCCTAACGCCGCCGGGTCGCCACAGAGGACCGTGATCGGAAGTACGGCGACCGTCACTGGCGCCGCCGTGAGGTAGAGGTTTCTGGCTATGTGCTCCCTGGCGATCTTCGACGGCCGTTGGTGGTGGCCCTGGAATCCGACGATCTGCGGCCCGAACACGGGCGTGTCGGCGCCGCCGTAATTGTCGATTGCCCAGTGGTAAATTCCTGTGCCCAAGTCCGCCGCTATGTAGCCGGCCACGGCGACGCTGATGAGCTGGACCCATGGCCACGAACTATTCCGCACACCGGCGGCGGCGGCGGTTATGATCGCCGATTTGGCTAGTGTAATTATCACGGTGGCGCAGCCGCCGGTGAACCATGCCCATTGCTGCCACGTGGCACCTTCTGAAGCCGCTGGATTATTTTCGTATGCCGAGGATCTGACCGTTGATGAAGTAGCCATGTAGAGTACTACAAACCAGGCTTTATATATATATATATATAAGAAATGTGGAAATGGTGTTATGGGAAATAAAATTTCCAGAAAATATAAATATTTTTGTAAGATTGGGGAAGAAATTTGGGGGTATGGAGGTGATATTTATAGATGGTTAGGGTGCTAAATAAAGAAATAGCCAAAACAAATGAGTGAAATCTAACCAAAATATTGGGCAAAATGATTGATTTTATAGTTGAATTTTATTTTATTTTAATTGAATAATGCTCAATTTAGGGTTTTCTTAACGTTTTAGAAATACATTTTAAAATATTACAAGTTAATTAAAACATAGGGATCACAAAGTTCCAACACGTAGAAAGAATATTATACGAGTATGTTTGCATTTGAATGAAGTTATTGTAAATATTTTTTTATATTTGTTTATTGCCAAATATATAAGCAACTATAAATTTATATATTTTTAAAAAATTGCTTGACTATTAATTTTGAATGTTATGTAGTTAGACTCGACCATTTTATAATGAGTCACGGTTCTTAGCTGTGTTGGAAGCTGTTAGTTAGTTACAACTTTGTTGTTCATTTATTATTATTATTATTTATTTATTTATTTTTTCATGTTAGTTACAAGGGTTTAGGAATAGCATTTGAGGCAGATCTCGAACCGTTTCGGTTATGGTGTTAAATGAGATGGGACAGATTCTAAAACCTATAAATTTTAGCAAAGCCCATTTTAAGACTGTAAAATTGGTCTCAAACCATCCCTTACAACGGTTCTGTGCTTATAATTTTTTAGTTTTTTTTTTTACTATAATTGGTTATATATATATATATATATGGCCATATATAATTATATATACACTAGTCTTACTTTTCTTATTGTTGCATAAACGTATTTTAATTTTGTAATCTAAATTTTTTTTCCCTTTCCCTTTTTATAATAAAATTTAAGAATGGTATGACCACTATCAAATGTTTTCAAGACAAAATAAGTAAAAATAGTTAAAGGTGTGTTTCTTTCGTTTCCGTGTTTTTTATATAAAAAAATAAACATTTGATTTAGTACTGTTTCTCTAACTTGATCTTCTTTTTATATGATATTTATTTTATTCAATATTTTCTTGAAGTAAAAATGTAATATATATATATATATATATTTATTGAAAACTATACGTAACGACAATGATAAAAACACAAAGCCAAAACACATCAACGGGGGATGGTAAAAGTACCTTAGTTATATTACCATTCATTCATCCAACATTATTACAACCTCGACCATCAAAATTCTCGATTTCTCCGGCTATTCTCTGGTAGGCAACCCGATCCCACCAACGACGTTATCCAGACCTGGTCGGAGATCACGGGCTCGTCATCATCATTCCTGTGCCAGCTCCAGAATGCATGGCTTGAGTTCACTATCTTAAACTCTCCATGTCCGAAGCTTGCTTCCCGGAACACCGACCACTCCGGCTGAGGATTCAAGTACCTGCACCAATCCATCGTCGCAATATTTATACAGATATTTTTGAAACTTTTCGACATTATTTATCAACAATAACCATTTAAAAATATTTTCAAAATTTCTCAAAACTCCAAATCTTTCTATCTAAACCACAATATTTATAGCACCATTCTTATACACAACAATCCCATTTTAGCTTCACTAAGATGAATCCATGCCCGGCACTTTGATCGTTTTATGAAACTTTATTTTTGATAAGTTACTATGTTATTTTATTACAAACAATTTACGGTTAATTATAAATAATCCCCTGCTGCTGAAATTCGAAAACTTTCAGAATAAACCCCCTATAAAGAAGTATGCAAATAGCCTTCGCTTCTTATAAACAGAACTTACCTTATTTGCTATTTTTACAGAATTTGCACAATCTACAATTTTCACAGAGTTTCAATAAGGCGCCAACAATGCTGAAAATTTGCGATGTAAGGACAACTTACCTGTGTGCTAAACCTTCTCTATTACCGCCATCGCCAATGGTAATGTGGACAGGTCCGCAAGGATCTGGTCTACCACTGTGCACACGGGTCTGTTGCAACAAAGGATGTAATAAAAACAAGACTCAAAGAATGAGAAATGACAGCACCTCAGGTTAGAATCTTACCGAGCGTTCATAGGCATGGACGTGGCCAGCAATCACAACATCCACACCGGCAGCACGAAGCAAGGGCTCCATTGCAGCCTTCATATCATCCCCTTCACATTGATGAGCCTTATTGCTGTTATACCACGGCACATGGAAGAGTGCAAGAAGCCAAGGTGTCTTTACACGGTCCACCTTCGCAAGATCCGACTACTCGGCATAGAAATTAATTAGATCCTCGAAGGACAAGCCATTAACCTCAATTGAAATATTATCGGAAACATTTACACAAGAGATTGAATGGAATCACATGGGTTAGTTCTAGATATGTTCTAGGAGTGTTTTGTGAATGGTAAAAACTTTTATATAAAATGAGTGCTTGATGCTGTATAAATAGCCGTTGGACATGGTGTTTTGAATAAACTATAAGTTTTGATGTATTATATTAAATGTAAAATAAGTTTTGAAAGTAATGTTTCTTAAAGAGAGAATTTTTTTTTTATGAATAGTGCAATAATAAATTTGATAACATAAGTAAGTAAAGCTTCTCGAAACCATTTTTGCATTATTCATTCTCCAAGTAATACATCTTATTATCCCCTAAAAAGCATCATATATAACTTAAGCCCAGTAATTTCAAACGTATTTTAGACTTTTCTATTTTGTACAAACTTATTCACTAATATAAAAGTTATTTTTACAATCTACTACAAAAATCTTTTGAAACAATACCAATGGGACTCCGAGAGTAGGTTAAAAAACTTGCATAACATTTTAATAGGATGAGAATGATGAGCATACTAACCTTTAGCCAAGTATATTGATCCGACTGCTCATCATAATCTGTGTACGCCCCAAGCATGACAACATGAACTCCAGCAACTTCGAACGAATAATATAAATTTGAACTGGATCCACTCTCCCTGTACGGCATCTTCCATCTCGAATTGTATGAAACAAAACTCTCTTCCAACAATAGTATGTGTTCCTTCTCATGGTTCCCCTGAGTCACCATCCAAGGCCTCGCGCTGGCTAGCGGCTGCACCAGCTCTCCGAATGTGTCCCACCTGCGCTGTACATAATCAGCATACGAGAGGTCTCCAGGAAGCATGTAGACATCATATTTACACTGATCGATGTGGTCCAAAGTCGATTTTGTCCACTCAGTTTGGCCTAAATCTCCTGCCACTGCAAAAGTAATTGGGAACTCGGATGGCGGGGTTTTCAGCTGAAATTCGGGACCTTCCCCTCCACACCTATAGAAATAAGTTTTGTTGTGTTCTAATGGACCAATCACTGCATTGTGTATCTTTCCGGATGTGTACAACAAGTAACTGTAAGTATTGCTCTCTCCTTCAGAAGTGGCAATATAGTTTTGGGGCGATGTTCCGTATTCGACAATTGAAGGGCAGTTTTTGTCGCTGGTGACCCACGAGATTCGCATGTGTTTAGCCCCGGCTAAGGAGATGTGAACCTACAAGAGTCATTCGAGCATTTAGGTTTCGATTTGCACAAAGGAAAACATCATCTTTGACCATATTCCTATTTATTAATTTCAGCTCATTGCTTTACAAAGAGTGTATTCAAAGAGTGTGTTCAGATATGTTTTATTCCTACTACCATTCCTTAAAAATATTACCCGAAGAATACAATAGATATACATAACAAGAAAAGACAACAAAAACACATAAAGCAGCATTCCTTATAATCTTTCACCGTTCTCTATACTTTAAAATAAAAAAGAAAAAAATGAAAAAAACACATACAAATACAAATACTAAACAAACAGCCTCCAAATTTAAGAGCAAATTATGCTCATTTAGCCATAATATGAGCTTTGTTGCAGTATTAATGTAATTAAATAATATCACAAAAAAAAAAAATTATCCACAGCTTCAAATTATGCAACTCTGATGTGAATTCTTTCGATATCCATGCCTATAGTAGGACTAAAATATTGAAATTTGTTTAACTATAGGATCCAAATTCCAGAATGTATTGTAATCAGACTATAGTCAAAATAACTTTTACTTTGGAGGTACATAAATTAGGAATTAAAGTGAAAAAGGTCCAATAATTCAATCTACATGAATAACCACAGATGAATTGAATCGTGACGAAAGCCAATCTCATTAAATGAAGTTTTCAGAACCATTGATTTAGGAAAATTGATCATTTGTCATGAATTCAATTAGTCAATTGTCCACAACACTGTAGTAATTAAAGCAAATTATAGGTAGTTGACCAAAAATTGCCATCACGTTCATAATTTCAGCGAAGAAAACAGTCAAGCTCAGAGAAAGCACAATTCAGAAAGGAACCCTAATTACAAATTATCAATTCCTGCAAAAATAAAATAAAATTCACGGATCCGCGAACCTCCAGCAGAAATTTTCAAACATAGAAATCTCGAAAATTACACACGACAAACTTCAATTTAAAAAATCATGGATCTCGAATCTAAGCTGCTTCCGCTACAGCTCGAACTCAATCGCGAACAGATTTTTACCTGCTCAGGAATTGATGAAGGCTTCTTGCTCCATGGAAATGAGAGAGTTTTACGAGGCGGAGGTCTGACGTAATCGGCTGCGGCACCGACTCCCAGCACTAACACCGCCGCTAAAACTAGCTTAAACTCCATGATTGAAGTATTACTTCGAATAGCGGTAACTGAATCGTCAGAAAATTCGAGCACCCTCTATAGCGTAGACCGCCATGATACCAGAAGAAGATACTGCCAAAGCTCCTTTCGATTGATTGTCGTGCTGGGACGATTTCCAGGTGCGGTTTGATGTTTCCTTCGGCCGTAATTAATGTTCTAACACAACATTATTATTATTATTATTATTATTATTATTATTATCCACTTGCAACTGAAGAAAATGGTTTTTAATGTCGTGGGCTTGTTTTTGTCTTTTCTTTTTTTTTATAAAGTTTGGGGTGTATTTTTTTTTTTATGTTAAATACAAAAAATAATAATAATTAATAAAGCAATTATAAATTAATATTAAAATAATTAAATAATTTAATTAAAATTAAAAAAAATTATATATATTAATACTAATAAATTAGTGTAACAAATAAAATTAAGACTTTGACCGAAAAAAGACTACTAGCCACGATAAAATTCGTACCTAATAACAATATTTGGCACAAATATATTATTGTGGTCAATCATTCGTGGAAAATGACGAGTTTTTAACGCTGTGACATGCACTATTCGTGCACCGTGTGAAAATCAATTAAAATGTAAATTGTATTTATATGTATTTGAATTTTGAATAAATTGTTTTTTAAAAAATATAAAATAAAATCTTGTACTTGATTCTTATTACCATTTTAGTATAATAAATGAAATACATAGATATTTTGTTCTCCAATTGCATTGGAATAGAAAATAATTTTACCCTTTGTTCCACAAAGTGTCCACTCTTTAATTGTAGTGAGCAATAGTGTCAAAAATTTTGTCTTTATTTTTTTTACAAAAGTAATAATGTAATAATAAAATAATAATATTTATAAAAAAAAATAATTGTATATTTTTTAAATAACTATTTCTTATTAGATAATTCAATATAAAATTAGATCAATCCCTGTACATTTGTGTCGCACTATCATTGTTGAATCATCACAAAACTAATACTAACTTATCATCCAAATATTTGGGGGTTTTGAATTGTGTTTCAAATACAAATCAATATCATTATATATACAATATTATTTTATTTTATAAAATATTATATTCAAATACTATTTAAACCGAAAACTTAAATAAAAACCAAATAAATTATTGTTTAAAAAAATAATAATTCTACTTAATTCAAAACCAAACCCATTATTTGAAATATTTTGTAGTTAACTGTTTTTTTTAAACATCTAAAATATTTTAAAAATAAAATACTATATATATTTTCAATTTACATGTTTGGGAGTTTAAAAAGAAAAAAAAAAAAAAAAACTCGATTTATCAAAAATATTTCTAAATATTTTGAATAAAATCTCTAATAAAAATAAAATCTATATCACATACTCCATAATAATTCAATACAAATATATATTTAATATAATATTTTAAATAAAAAATCACGTTTATAAAAGTATATATATAGTTTCTTGTTTACAATTTTATATATATAAAAAAAATATATTATACATACGTAGTTTAAAATACAACATATAAACATATAAAGACAAATTATAATATAAAAAAGAATTTTAAAATATTATATATCTAAATATGTCTTTTTATATATATAATAAAACTTTGATCCGATGTCTTACAAAAATATATATATAAATATTTTATCGAAAATATGAAAAATAAATAGTAAAAATAAAATCGAACACCCTAAAATATAAATAGCTTACTTTTTTACTATTTTAAATCAAAATCAACGTTACATAGTTTTCAGTAAAAATATACTCTTTTGGTCCAGCGAAAAAAGCACCGTTTGTTTTTTTCATAAATTTTTTAATATTAGTATTATATTAGTTTGTAGTAAAAAAAGACAAAAATATTCCTGTTAGTATAACGTGTTATAAAAGTGATGACATTTGTGTAATATATTGTAAAATATAATGTATTTATTATGTTAGGGAGACGGTATAATTAATAAATTAGAAAATGATATCCTTATTTAGGGATGGACAAAAATAGAAAATGATATAATTGAACGGAGGAAGTATTATATTTCCCGCAAATCATCGCAATTATTTTTTAAAAAAAATAAAACTCAAATAAAAAACCTAATTTCAAATCAATTTCAAAATAAACAGCCAAATAAACCAAAATACCTAAAATATAATGGAAGATGGCGCCAACGCTCAAATAATATTACAAGCAAATATGGAGACATATCAAACTAAAATTCACCACAAAACAATTACCTTTCTTTCTCGAAAGCCAAGCTCGATGTTGATAAGCAGCTCGACTTTCTGTTCCATAGTCCTAAAATACCAACAAACAAGACCATAGATATATATATATATTCCAAAATAAGAAAAAATAGATCAAAAACAGTGCACCAAATAATAAACGCATCCAACAATCGACCAAAAATGAGAATAAATAAATTAGCCACGAAAAAAAAGCCTCGCAAGGCTCAAATTCACCTGTAGCAAAGCACAGGTAAATAAAAAAACATACCAAACTGTACGTTTCTCCCCCTCATAAAAACATATACCGAACTGTTTCTCCCGAGTCCCACCTTATAAACACATCCTCCCTCCCTTCTGCCGATGATCAAATTCACCTGTTGTTGTATGTACAACAGGTAAACAAAAATTACCAAACTGTTTCTTCCCCTCATAAAAATCCTCCCAATTATGTCAATGATCTATATATGTAAAACTACCATTCTGCAGATCTCACTCTATACAAGTATCGATTCCGTCCTCGAAAGGTCCCGGTTTCTTCCCTATGAGAGATAGTTGGTATTGCTGCACCATGTTTGCATCGAATCGGGACCTTTCTGCGCGCCCGCCTACAAGTTTTTCAGATTCTCCTCCACGGCCTGCATGATGGAAAACGAGTGAGTCAGTCGAGGATCGAGAAAATAGTATTTTTGTTCGTCGAAAAACAAATTTAGAATGTATAGGTAGAACTTGATCCTTTTCCTTTACCAGGAGAAGCTGAGACATTCGACTTGTGGTGTCGAACAGCCGATCTGATCGGCGTTCCGACAATTCGGGCTCGCTGGCACCTGCAGGTTCTCCTTTAGTTGCCTTCTCTGCCGGAGGTTCCGATTCTTGCTTGCTGGTTCCGGTTGGGTCGCTCGATGCTCCCGACGAGCCCCCAGCATGTGTCGTCCTCATGCTCGGCCCAGAGCCGACGGCAGGATGCACGTCGTCCCTGTCGCCCATGGTCATTCTAGACGACTCCGGAAGCTGCGGCAAGTTGATGCAGGGCTTGTGCAGAGAGTTCAAGGCCTGCACTGCCACGGGGACGAGATCGCCTCCCATGTCTTCCGGAGGAGCGGCGGCCGGAGCTTTTCTGGAGGATCTCCGCTTGGGTTTTGGAGCCTCAGCACCGCCGGTAGTTTGGGGAGCAGGGGACGGAATATTGTGCCTCCGAATCATGGGAAGTTCCGGCGCAATATCGTTTTCTGCCGTGACCGGAACAACCTGCTCTGGCTTGAAGACAAGGCCCCTCAGATACGTCGAAGACTCGCCGATTCTAATACTGATCAGGTAACCGGAATCGAATATGCCGTCCACGACTCCGGTTACTGGCTGGCCTAGCGCAAACTCATCGACCGGTGGCGGAGGAATCTCACTAGGATCTCTCCGTGAACGGCCACGTTTGGGCTGTTTATCGCGGCCGCTCGAAGGGGCAGGAACTCGGCCGCTGGAGCTTTCTCCTTGATGATACATTTTTTCGGAAATGATGTTCACTGAATTGGTTTCTGCTGGAGAAATGAAAAACAAACTTTGATCAGTTAGCGAAAAACATCGAAGATCAACTTTCGAGTGAGCAATAATGAACACGACAGTAAGATTAGAAAGTTCTCATTTCTTAAACAGAAAATTTCAGATCAAAATGCTATAGAATAGATCACAGAACAATGCATTAGGAAGGAAGCATAGCAATGAATCATAAACAACGCATAATTCCATACTATATTAAGTTCATGTCTAAATAGTCAACTTGAGATGTAGATATTCAAAGAGTTAGAAGAACATTTACCCAACAAATGACAAGAACAGAAAAGGAGTAAAAGGAGAAACTCAAAAACAGGGAAATTTTGAAAAGATAAGGATCATGAAGTGTAAGGGAAATTTTGGCTAAAAAGTTATTGATATCGAAAACACGGAAATGTTATAACCACAAGTTGTGAATAAATATGCGACTCGGTGTGCAAAAAACAAGGCCGTATACGGTGATTCGAGGAGAAGCGAGTGCAAATTAGATTCAAACCTTTTGTCGTGTGAAAATTAATTCAAACTTTGTCGTTTTCTCTTTAGTGAATCCAAAAGGAAATATCGTTGTCAAGAAAGCGATCTAAGTTATAAGAGTGTCGCATGTAATTTATGGATATCATATCTTTCACAAAATTTCACGAGACCGTTATACTCCGATCTTGACTTGTCGGATACTTTACTACCAATCATAAATACACGACAAACATCGAGGAATGTTGGACAAGAGTAAATAAACCAATCAATTCATTCGACATGGATACATGTTCAATACTAAATATGGTTAGCTTGAAAGTTCGGTAATAACGGCCTCGAAGGTTCCACATCCTCAATTATTGCAAAAAGTGTATTTATATCCACGTTTTCAAATATCGATCAGGCGTCAGCGTTTCAGTAAATGTACACGATCATTCGATCATTCGACTACTCAGACAATGCCAAAATGTAGATCACATCTAACTTAGCATAAACATATGAGCATCACATATAGATTATGAATAAATTATGTTCATCAGTAAGAAGAACAAAACTTAGGCAGCTTTTAACAGAGGAACATATGTTGTATGTTTAATGATTGAAATTAAGATATTTCTTAGGGTTCTTGGAGTAACTCCATCGAAGCATACGTAGCAATTATCTATCACCAAATTCACAATTCGTTTTCTCATCATCAATCGCACATTTCCTACAAATGCAACCAAAACACCTTGCCAAACAACACGCTATCTTCCACAACGATTCTAACGAATTCTTTGATGTTATACAGATCATCACATGAAAATTAAGCTAAAAATAAACTAAAACGCCACGAAAATCAAAACCAGAAACAAATCCATGCTCGTAGACACCATACCACACACGAAAAACGATTTCGTTCCTTAATCCAGATTAGAGAACGTCAAAAAATCAAAAACTCGTCCCAAAAAATCAATCTCTAAACGTAGGCAGCAAATACATGCAGCAAACAGCAACAAAATAAAGCTATCACCACTTCAACCAGCATTCAAGAACAATCCAACACCAAAATTACAGCAAATGACAGCGAAAATCGAACCTCGATGAATCCGCTAGCACTCCAAGCGTTTAACTGCAAAATGCACCGCCTAGAAAACCAAAAAAAAAATAATCACACTCAAACCGAAAAAAAAAAAAAAAGAAAAACAATAAAAACTCTCAATCAACGCAGCAAGCAAGATAGAAAATCGTACCTCAGAGCAGAGCAGCACTGGAAGAAGAATTCCTGCGCGTACAAACCCTAGAATTGAGCAAAAAAAACTGAATTCGAAAGCCGGAATTTATAATCTCCGTTGGAAGGAATGCTTTTCAGAGGTTGGGGAGACGCATTAATGATAATTCCTGCACAGATATATTATAATAGTATTAATTATTATGATGAGAATAATGATTTAATTTTTTATTTTTTTTCCGAGCGTTACGAACGATGCCTCCTTCGGGCTGAAGTGACGTGGCTGTGACCGAAGCAATACGAAAATATATTTGGGCAGGCCGTGGCGTGGCGGTACCGTGAACCTCCCCGCCGATTTTAAATATAATATTATTGTAATATTATTATTGTAATATTAATATTATGTATATTCATATATTTTTTAAAATTAAAACTTATTGGAACTTGAATATTTTGTAAATAATAATATCATAATAGTAATATTTTGGAAATAAAAATAGTGAAATGCTTAATATTGTAATATTTCGAGAATGTATCAAATATTTCCCGCATATTGCTTTTTTTTTGTATTTTTAATAGTTGTTTGGAAATGATATTTAAAAAAATATTATATATTTTTATTAAAAAAAATCCTAGAGGATGTTTGTTTTAAAAAATATTTTTATATGAAGTATAGTAAATTATCGTAGATAATACAAAATAATTATGTGTATATAGAATATTAATTCTTTTTTAAAAAAAATATGTTAGAAATTTTTTTACCTAATAAACAAACCCCTAATGGTTGCACAGTTTAAAAATTGAACCAAATTTCAAATAATATAGCCACATACTTCTTTCGTCCATTCCGTTGTTTTTATTTTCGATTTTCTCATATAATTATTATTATTTTTTTGAAATATAATTATATGCTTTAATTATAATTTAAATTTTATAATTTATAATTTTTTTAGTCTTAATTAAATATTTAGTTATTTTAATTTTAATTTATAATTATTTTATATTATTCAATCATTATTTTTATAAATACAATTTTTAATTACTTACTAATTATACAAATTAGCAGAAGGAGTATAAGTTTTAGAATGTGTTTGTGTGTGAAATTTGAATTTTGAATAGTAAATATTTTTAGTTAGAATAGTTAAATTAATGTGATATCCTCCATCTCATAATAATAAAGTATTAATTTACAATATTAATGTGATATAAGTATTAATTTTTTTTTATATATATATATAGTAATTGTACTCCTATTAACATTTAAAATACGTTTACAATTTACAGTATATTATACAATACTAATAAGGTGATTTTAATTTTTTTTCTTTATTCATACTACATTATAATATAATATTAATATTTTTAAAACTCTGTGCATAAATAAATAAAAAAGAGAAGGAATATTAAATATAAAATTATTTTATTATGTGATATTATAAGATACGTATTTGATTTATTTTTTAGAAAAAATAAAAGAGTTAGAAAAACTAGTAAAATCCAATTACATATTAAGTTGAAAAAAAAAAAGAAAAATTGTAAAAACTAGTAAAATCCAATTACAGATTGAATCGTAGATTTACTTAAAATTGTATATTTATATATTTTCTCAATAAGCGACTATATTTATATACAATCAAGAACTTCTTATTTAAAAATACTTATGTTTGCATATAATATTTTAAAATATTTTAAAATTTAAACTAGCTTTAGAATATTTCAATTTATCAATAATAATAACTGCTTAGAAATAAATTTTAACTATTTATTGGATATATTATTATATTTTGTATATGTTAGTTTTGTTTTGCGACCGGCTATCAAAAGTTATAACTATCCTATGAATTTAATTTTTTTACTTGAGTTTTTAAATTAAATAGTATGATAATATTATAATCCTATATTAAAAACTATACAGCCTAAATAATATTTTTAACTAAAATAAAAAAATAAACTAATCTTCAAAGTTTGTACTCTGTCATTTAAAGTAAAATGTATGTTTTTTTTGAATAATTTAAATTAAATTTATTCATATAAAAACATTAAGGGTGTGTTTGTCTGGGGATTGGATTGAATTTATATTATTCATCCAATTTTTTTCCCCAAAAAATATCAAATCAAACACCTATTTTTCATTTTTTATATTATTGTTGATGTAATTTTTCAACAAAAATAAAGTAAAATTCAAAGATATGGAAAATATCCTTAAACTTGATTAATTAGTGCCTGAGATTAGGAATCTCTAAACACTGTATGGTACAGAAAATAAATTGGAAAATAAAAGACTGAAATTTAAAGTGGTGATCCCCAAATCTGACTTTGCTTTGTTGAAGTTGATTGAAGATATCTTGTCAAATGATGATTCAAACCTTTAAATATTCTCTGGGAAACCGTACTGAAAACCGTCACCCGAACGGTTACAACGTCTCCTTCCCAACCGTCTTCCAACCCTTTTCATGCTGACACGTGTCCTCAGCAGACCAAAATTATCCTTATATTTCACTCTTTGAACCGACCACAGACCTTCCGCTCTTTTGGCCCGACTTCGTCCTTCGCCCGACCTGCTTCTTCGCCCGACCTCACTTGGGCCGACCTCCGCATCAGCTGCCCTCCGTCTTCGACCGAAGACCTCCGCATCTGTCCGTACCTCTTCCTTGCCCGACCTTCCTCTTAACAGACCTCCGCGTCTGCCCGACTTCGGTCTGGATTTGGATCAATTCTTGAGATCTTAACTTTCTTCCTTTTCCCGACCTGAAAGCCTCCCGACCTGCGGACTTCCTGTCCTGATGACTTTCCGTCTTGAGGACCTACCGACCTGAAGACCTTCCGTCCTGATGACTTTCCGTCTTGAGGACCTCCCGACCTGAAGACCTTCCGACCTGAGGTCTTTCCGTCTTGAGGACCTCCCGACCTGAAGACCTTCCGACCTGAGGTCTTTCCGTCTTGAGGACCTACCGACCTGAGATCCTTCCGACCTGAGGTCTTTCCGCCCTGAGGACCTTCCGTCTTGAGGACCTTCCGACTTGAGGACCTTCCGTCTTGAGGACCTCCTGACCTGAAAACCTTCCGACTTGAGGTCTTTCCGCCTTGAGGACTTCCCGACCTGAAAACCTTCCGACTTGAGGTTTTTCCGTCTTGAGGACCTACCGACCTGAGATCCTTCCGACTTGAGGTCTTTCCGCCTTGAAGACCTACCGACCTGAGATCCTTCCGACTTGAGGTCTTTCCGCCTTGAAGACCTACCGACCTGAAAACCTTCCGACCTGAGGTCCTTCCGTCTTGAGGACCTACCGACCTGAAGACCTTCCGACCTGAGGACTTTCCTTAATAATAAACCTATTTTCCTTGATTTCCTCATGGTACCCTTCAGTCAGTTCAATCAACTCTATTGCCAGGCCCATTCTTCTTTTTACCTTGGGCTTTTAACCTAATTCTAAATTTCGTACGTAACAATTATATTAAAAATTAATTTTACATTCAAAACATCACATCAACACCTATTTATATCACATCATATAACTATTCAAATTCAAAATTTTTACTATTTCAAATCCTAACTCAAAATCTAAACCCCAAACAAACTGATCAAATTTTAAAAATTATTAGTTATATTTAATATTTTATATAAATATAATTAAGTTTATATATGGTATATATTGAGAATATTGAATAAAAAAATAATACTCTCCGTTTTATCCTATAATTAGATATATATATATATTTACGTAATTTTAAAATTATTAGTATTATATTAAAATATAATAGAAATAAAATAAAAATGACTAAAATAATTTATTAGTATGTGGTAATGATATTTGTGTAATATATTATATAAATTGTAAGGATATTTGTAACGTTAAATAAATAATACAATTATTTAAAAAATAAAATAAATAATTTCTTATTAGACGAACTAAAAAAATAAATATTTTGTTTCGGAACAGAACTACTAATAATAATTGCTTACAACCTGAACCGGTAACAATCACCCTTGTTCTCATTGGACCGCCGCTATAGCCCGGTGAAGAAGACCAAACCCTACTCCTCCCTCCCGATCTCGCATCTACCGCCACCGGCTACGAAACCGCTACTCCGCCGGAAAGACAACGCCGGAGAAGGTCGCTCTCTCCTCTCACTCACCGGAGAAAAAAGTTAGCCGATGGAAGAAGATGAAAAATTGAATATATATATATATATTTCTTACAAATAAACCCTGTGTATTTACCGTCATACACATTGAACAAGTCCGGAATACGAATCTTCTCATTGTTCATTTTGTTCTGTTCTTAACAGAGGCTAAAATGGAGGAGAGTGGACGTACAACGAGCGAAGCGGAAGGTACAACCGCGGGCTTCCGATGCGTGCAGTGTGGGTTTCCTATTAAGACACTCTACATTCAGTACTCTCCCGGAAATATTCGCCTCATGAAATGTGTAATTCATCATTCTGATTCCCGTTCAATCTTCATATGGTTATGTTTAAGCATTTAGTTATGGCGGTTCTCACTTTTTTGTTTAGGGAAATTGCAAAGCAGTAGCAGATGAGTACATAGAGTGTGAACTGATGGTAATTTGAGTATAGAAAAACTGGAGTTCGACATTCCAAATTGGATGCATTTTGTGTTGACATTATGGTTTATTTATTTATTAATTTATTAGTAGTTGTTATTCAGATTCTCATGATAGATTTGATTCTACACAAGCCAAAAGCATATCGGCATTTGTTCTACAATGTACTGGGTGAAGGGAGGGCCAATTTTGAGGTACATTTTTGCTGCTTGAAACTGCAATGTTATTGAGATCCTCTTTTTGTAAAATTAGGATTTTCTTATAATAAGGTAACTGCATATTTTTTGCAGAGCTTGCTGGGGAAATCTATTCTGGCATACCTTGTTTTGGAGTTCTGTATCCTCTCCCGTTAAGTGGTTTGTGGTTCTTTAGTGAGTGAATTTGAAATGTTGGGGTGATTTTGCTAGTGAATTTGGTTCCCATTTTGGATAAGTTAGGGTATGATTATTTTGAGTACACAATGAAATCCCTTATAGGTTTATTACTTATCTAATGTTTTTACTCGATATTTTATTTGTTTGATTTGGATTTATTTGGTGTTACTCCTTAATAAGCTAGATAGAATGTGGGCTTTAATCACGAATGAAATAGAAAGGCCGTTGAGTTTGAGTGCTGTATCGTTTGTAATGGATTTTGGAAAGGTTTGCATTCAATGGTACTAATGTTATGCTAGCTTTGTTCTTCCAATATCAATTGAACATGCTTTGGAATTCTGCTTTCTAATATATTAATAGATCATATTTATCGTAACAGATGCTAACCATTGTCATCATTGGAAATGCGGCTTTTCTCTGTAGCTTATTGCTTGCTGCTAGGAAGTTTCTGAACGCCCCAACTGGATTTCATGGGTAAATATTTACGATATAGTTTAGTTTTATTTGTATGTTTTTTGAAGTTGATTGTTCATACCTGAATGCTGTATACATCCTGCTATTTTAGTTCCATTGCTTGCTTTATTGAGTAAATGAATAAGTCTCTATCAACATGATAAAGCTCAAATTCTACCTTTATGAAATTGGATGAATAAGATGTGGATTTCCATCTTAAAATTGGACAAATAACAAAACAATGACAACAATGAGGTATCAATTTCTTACAGATTTTCATTTTAAATCAGACAAACAACAAAACATTACTGTATTTAGAAATAAGTGGAGAATTATGAGGTGTGGAGTCTATACCTTTTCTCAGTGTCAATGTTTCAAAGGTCAAGGTTTAGACAATGATGAGGGATTGATTTCTTACAATTTTTCAGGTGGAAATGGATATTGCTTGTAGTCCTTGTTTCAAGTTACTTCAAGATCTTTCTTATGGCCATGATGGTATGTTTCTAGATAATACTTGACCTCATATGAGCATAGGGGACATGGTTTCGTTTTCTATATAAGGCCATTTCTACTTGCAAGACTTCATTTATGTGATTAATAAATTTTATGGTCTTTTATTATGCTCTGTTATGTTTTACTCGACGAACTTTTTCTAATATTCTAGGTTTGGGATTTTCCTTCCTCGGTCATCTACATCATTGATATATTTGTCATGTCATCCAATATTGTGGCTTTAAAAGGTAATACTACGCATGGTATGAATAAAATTCAAAATTGGCAAAATATTGGTAGTAAATATTACCCTGCAGGCACAGTTATAATATGAGCCATTAAATTGCACCATGTTTGGCACCATATCATTGTATGTGTTTATTAGTCTGACCGGAAATCATTTAAACTTCTTATGTTTTGTTGGTTGGCTGTTTCATTCCTTCTGCACGACGAAACTCATGTTCTAGTTTTATCCATTGGATATCAACATTAGCAAATCAAATGTCACTAGAAGTAACAATTTCTATAGCTGTAAGGTGATTTCTCAGTTCATTTAATTGTATAGATCTATAGGGTGATTATTATTATTTGAAGTTCAATGTCTTTTTTCGGATTGAAGCTGCCCAACCTAAACTAGAAGTTCATGAGACAGTAAATGTAAATAGGTGGAGGGAACTAAGCTGGGTAAAAAATAGTTTTTATAGGTCATAAATAGTCTTCAATATAAACAGATTTCTAGGTGTTCATTGGAATTGAAGCGGCTTAGTCAAGGCAGGAAATTTTTATTTCTTAACAAAAGTATGTTATAGATCTAGTATGACAGTCTGAAAATAATCTTTCAAATATGTTGCACTCTTAGAAGTGATTAGTTTTGAGTTTTTTTTTTTTTTTTTTTTTTTTTTTTTTTTTTTTTTTTTATAACTTGATTCAAACCCATATCGAGTTGTGATTGAGGGTTTATTATAATGAGAAAGATTAGAAATCATCTTATATCTAACTCAATTAATGAAATTCTATCTCGGAGCTAACAAGCAAAATTCAATAGAAACCGATAAATTTACCTTCCATGTTGAGCTTCATTGAGTTGCTTGTTTATCAGATTGAATAATTAACCTATTAGACCTGATTAAGATTTGAGTTTTTTTCCGATTTTGAACTTGTTTATGACAATAAACTAAGCTGTATTGAGCTTCTGAGTAGATGACATCAATCAATCAATCACCAAGATGCATTACACGAATTAAAAATGATATTGCTTATTGTAACCATATTATCTATTGCATTGACGGAATTTGTGTCATCGAAATAGTGGTCACCGACTCGGATATGGCGAGATGCTTGGCAGTTTGTGTTATAGCACATGGCATAAAGTTCCTAGCCGGTCATTACAGTGCTGTTATTCTCCAAACCAACGACAAAATGTTGTGTCCGTGACTTGAGAGTAGAAGAACTTCGATTTGGGAACAGTGTAGCAAGGAACTGATGATCGATTTTTCAGGTATAACTAGCCTTCTTCCTAGTTTGATGATAAACTGAAACTGTGAATGCATGAGAGTATATAATGTCATCTTTGTAGTGATCCAAGAATATGTATGAATATGCTTCTCTTCATTCGTTCAAACCCCTCCACGTTGATGAATATATACAAGAAGGATTGATGGATTGTTTCATGTAATATGTATTTTCTAATATGATTATATTTTAAAAAGCTTACAATTTTTTGTTTTTATTTTTTTCATCTATATGTATATATTTAGATCTTTTATTTTTTTTTAGTAAATTATAAAATTAGTATTTTAAATAAAAGTAAATAAAATTATAAAAAGAAAATTCGTAGAATTATATGATTTGATAAATCATCGAAATTCAGGGCATGTTTGATTTTTAATTAGTTTAAAATTTAATTCAAGAGTAATATTTTGTTTCAATTTTTGTAAAAAATACTATTTTTTTTTAATTAAAAATTAGACAAACTGAACGGTATAATTTTTTTTTTTTGAAATAAAAAACGAATAAATATATATTTTGAACATGCCAAATGCGTTCTTCTCTATTTTTGTTTTTATGTTTTTATTATATTTAAATACCATCGCTTTCATAATTTAGAAAAACTTCACTAAAATTCGATAATAAAAAATATTGAATCTAATTTATTATTTAAATAAAAAAAATATCAAAAATTTTTCTAATAAATTCTAACTTATTATATAACTTTCTCTTACATAATTAATATTCTTTTAATTCTCTTCTTCTTTTTTTTTACATAATTAATCATTTGAATTCTTTTAATTCTCATTTTCTATTTAATTTTTTTTATCTTCAATTTAATTTTCTATACCAAACGTGTCCCATTGAGTTTGCTTAGACAGAGTTAAAATAATAAAAATACAAATAAAAATATTTTTTTAATAATAAATAGATATTTGAAAAGACATCAAACCTGTCTCGGGCATACAAACCCCTACTCTCACGACTAACTTATTCTAGATGTCATTGGGCATGCATCATCGTAGAAGTACGGAGCTCGAATAATTACCATAGGCTCTAAGAATGGTCGTCTAAGTACAATAAATACAAATACTGGCTCAAAATCACAGTTAAATTAAACAACTAAATGTGCCCTTATGCAGCATACCTTGATTTATTCGATTCACTCGCGGCAAAGGTGCCTACTGTGGCAGTGCAGCTATGCATTCGATTTCGATCCTTGCATCCATGGGCAGTGCTGCCACCTGATAAGTCGAGCGAGCTGGTGCAGGTGCCGGAAAATCTGCAGAGTATATACATTTTCAGAGCTGTTTATACACAGATAAATGTGGAAGTAAAAGGACTGGTGATTGTGGAATAACCGAGGCCTAGCGTGTCGACAGTACTTTTTAATTTATTTTTCAAATGTGTATTGCAAATTGGAAGGATTTCCAGAGATCAAGCTTACTTTAGTGTAAAAAAGTAAAAAATAGAAAACTCACATTTGGCATAGATTTCATTGACCTTTTTGAAGTCTTTCAGATCGGCCAACCTGCGGAGGACAAAAGGGAAGTGTTAGTTGCGACATTGATGTAGAGTGAGAGACATAATGTAGAGAGAGAGGAGGGGGGCAAAAAGAGTTACATTATTGTGGTTTTTACAACAGATGAATAGCCTGCGCCGCTTGCTTTGAGTATTTCGCCCATATTCTTGAGTACCTATTAGTTCATTCATGAGACCGAATAGGCGTAAGTGAGCATCACTCTTCTTTGAAACATCCCAATAATGTTTATGGTCCACGAGTCGTTGTATGGAAAAAATGGGCATGTAAGGATGAATTTTACGTACGGTAGTAATAGAATGTAGAATAATATTCCTAACCAAATCTTCTAAGCACATATTCATTGCATCTCAAATCTTTCGCTATTATTTCTATTTTGGGATGCCCCAAAACCTTTGCAACTTTTCTAAATATAATTTATAAATTCTCACAAAAAAAAATGACAAATAGTCTAAAATACCATGCCAAAGATAGAAGCGGCAAACAAAAAGGTGCCATGATCTTACATAAAGATAAATACTGATTTTCTTTCCACGGATCATGTAAGAACTAATGTCAGATCCAAATAGAATTTAAGCCTCTATTTCAGATACATGCTGCCGAGTATTGTCTAGGGTTCATCAAAGGTTCGCATATTTACAAATTTATGTGTTTTTTAACCACTATCTAAACAACCCTTTTTAATAAAAAGTTCGGATACAAGGGCTATACCTGCTCAGTTTGATCCTCCACATCATCCGACACAAATTTTCCAGTCTGCATTGAAACAACGAATAATTTTCTAAGACCACCAACCCAAATTTAAATGTGGGTATAAAAGCATGTAATCATTTCAAATATACTATTTTAACCATACAATAAAACCTCTCCTATTCCCACAAACCTCTGGAATAAGTCCAAGAACCCCAGACACAAAAACCATATTGTTTGCTTTAATAGCTTGAGAATATGGCCCGAGCGCAGCAGGAGCCTTATCTGTTTGCACAGCTTCTTTTATACCTACGTTAAGTAGAACATAGCAATCATCATTAATAGAATGTTTAATTAAAGTGTAATCGGAAATGCCATAAGCTGCAGATGATGCTACATGAATAGGTGTTATTTATATTTATTATTGTTTTCATGCAAATCGAACTGACCAAAATCCCCAATTCAAGACCACAAAGTGCAGAGACATAAATGTGTGTGTGTGCATCTTATGACAAATTTCTACATACAATGTGCATCATTGACGACTAATCTTCATGTTTACTACAATCAGTTTAAATTCATCAGCTTCAATCACTTAGGAAAGATTCAAGAGTTTAAATATTTAAAAGTTTGGAGTATAAACACTAACATACTGTGATAAGTTCAAATTACAACAAATACTAAACTAAAATAATATGGCATAATCACATTATGAATCCACTAATATTTTGAGTGCATCAAATCAATCTCATTACAAATATTTATCTGTTTGGAGATCTAGATTGAGTTCGGCACTATTCATTATTTTATTTGTCCATCAAAATCATCTGATAAACATTAAATCTTTTTATTATTATTATTATTATTATTATTATTTTTAAAACATTTGCAAAACCTAATTTTCACATTCAAAACATGTACCAAATCCCTATTTACATCGCATCAAATTCAAGTCATAAACCTAATTCAAATTCAAATTCAAATTCAAATTTTAATATTCACAAACCCCAAACCCATTCCCGAAAGCCACAAATTTGCAAAACTTATAGTGCAGTATTTTCCAACATAAAGAAAGAAATCTAACAATTGACCAAAAAAATTTATAATTCTCACTGCGATCATATCATACCATTAAACTCACCGATCATCTGAGATTAAATCTTCCCCCACGCCCCCAAAGAAAACGTTCAAATGATTAAAGCAATTTCCGAGTTCATTTTCTACCGGTTCGTATTTAAAACTTGTATATAATGAAATTACTCTATCCGTGTACGACGGCCGGCGCCGACAAGCAAACTAGTCGGAGAACCAAAAAATCTGCAATATAATACGTGGATGACGGCTAGCGCCTAGAAGCAGAAGGCTCACCGGCGGCAGCGTCAGTGGAGATGGATAAAGAGGCGAAGATCGGCGAACGGCGATAGCTAGCGCCAATCAAGGATAAGCATCCTACTCCCATACACAACGGAGTTCGAGCTCGCAGTGCACCTACATCGATCGCCGGCATGTTGAAGCTTCTCGCGGCGGCGCACCACGCCATTTTCGCCTTCCCTCGATTAGTTCGCTGTGACAGGGTACGTCCAAAGTCCAATGGCCTCCTCAATAGTTTAAATACAATGGGCCAACTTGGGCCGGGCTTTAGACCCATTAAAGTAATAAGGCCCAATCCTGACCTCATCAGGCTAATAGATAAAGTCGTCTACGGGCCGGGCCTAGTAAAATAAACCCGATTAAAATTTTAGGGTGTGTTTACTTGTGAGGCCTGATTTTAAATAGCAAAATATTGAATTAAAATAGTTGTTTGATGTGATATAAATATGTATTAATGTGATGTTTTTAATGTAAAATTAAATTGTAATTTAATAAAATAAATAAAAATTAGGTGTTTGATTTAATATTTTTGGAGGAGAATAAAATTAGAATAGTAAAATCAACCATCAAACCTAAACACACCCTTAGTTATAATAATTCTCCAATAAAGCATACAAAGTTACTGTGTATCTATCTACTCCATTATTATTAACCCGGCTTCTGTCACATATGGTTTATTTAGTGTGATTTGTCTGATTTAGTTTATAAACTATATTAGGGTGTGTTTACTTATGTGATTTTGGTTTTGGTTTTACTATTAATTTTTTTTTATCTCTAAAAATATGAAATCAAAGCTAAAATTTAATTTTATATTCAAAACATTACATCAATACATATTTATATCATATCAAATAATTATTTTAATTCAAAATTTACGGTTCAAAATCAAAATCCAAAATCAAAATCCCGCAAATAAACACACTTCGGTCTAGGGGGCACTGAAAAATGAATAGTTATCTAAAAATTTATCTAAAACGTACTCGAAAAGTAATAGTTACATATAAGTTTCCATATTATAAAAAAAATATATATATATATTAACAATTCGAATATAATAAACTATCAAAGTGCAAATAGAATCTATCAAATCAAACTTGGAGACACAAGGCTACCAACATGAACTATAGTATCATAATATCCTTGTATTTCCTCGTGCATCAATTCCTCGAATCTTTTATTACGAGGATCATAGGCAAGCAAACTTAGGTATCCCTCTAAGACAAAAAGATGACATATATCGAGAAATAAATTATTTGGACCCCGAAAAGAAATTTCATCAAATGTATCATCAACCACATTATACGATACGATAAAATGTTTTTTTAAATCGGATTTTAGGACATCCAATAGAGCCTATGGCTCACTAAAACTCCGACCTTTTGATTTAACAAATAAGGAATAATTCCTTTATTAGTCCACACATTGCTATTTCGACTATCTGCAATAAGTACCAAAAATTTTGACTTCTCCGCTTCTAGAAGCATCCTCGGATCAAATGAAATTCGGACAACTTTATAGTTACGTCCAACAGGATCGAATCCAAATCCATAGGATGTTCCATAGTGATAGAAATCGGATTTGATTGGAACCTCGAAATAATCCTTAATGAAGGGATTGTAGAGATAAAATTGATATCCCGACAAAAGGCAAAGTAGACCGTTGCATGAACCTACGATAGTGACATGCATGGAAGCATCCAAAGGGGTTTCGAAGCTGCGGAAGAAACGATGATACATGAGCCGTTGGATCGTGATAGATGAAGATTGATTAGATAAGGATCGATCTAAAGGGGATTTAGGGTTTTGCATGTGAAGATGAATTGCATCAACGATTTCATAGGGAGTTTGGAAAGGATTTCCACAATCAATTCATAGGGCAATTCGATCAAGAAGCTGATGGAATTAGGGTTTGATTTTGTGGGGGAGAAATTTGTTTTCTTGATTTGGGAATCCATTGTTGAATGTAGATAGGGTTGAGCAATAAAAAAATAATCAACGTTTAGATATAGGGTCACTATAACAAATTATCAATTTTGTAACGAGATTTTTTCGTTCATAAATTCACTTTTTTTGTTACTAATGATATTAGAGACGGAATTAAAGATGAAATTACATTAGCTATTTGAACTTTAGAAACGGAATTCCGTTACAAATATACTATTTTTTTTTGTAGTGGGTATGAAGTATGAGAAAGATAAGAGTAAGGAATAAAATGAAAATAGCAACTCTATTTATACTGACAGAAACGGAACTATACTAGGACAGCCAAATTTTTTATAATTTTTTAGTATTAAAAATATTAATTTTTATATATTTATATATAATTTGTCCTATCTTCAAAACTATTTAAGTTCATATAAAAATTATGTCATTATTTTTTATTTAAATTTATTAGTTAAATATTAAATAAATTATAACCAAGATTTAGATGCTAGTTTCGTCCCTATTTATACATATTATACGAAAGAGATCAAATTAAATTATAACCTACTATAATATATCTAGTAGATATGGTTAACAAATAATAACTAGAGTGTTTGACAAATAACTTTTTTTAAAGAGCTTTGAACAGTTTTTAGTTGGTTGATCAGTCAAACAGCTAATTTAAGTGTTTAGTAAATTAACTTTTTCACCCAAAAAACTAATTTCTGAAAAGCTAACTTACCCAACGATTTGAAATAGTTTTTTCAATTTAAATCTTTTTATTCCTTATACTTATATGCTCTTAAAAATTTATTATTCATTTTACAAAAATAAATATATTTTGATTATTTATTAATTATTTTAGAAAATATATTATATTATAGTTTTACTTTTATAAATTTAAAATAATTAATCTATATATTAGTTTAATGGTAAAATATATAAATTTATTAAAATTAACATAAAATAAAAAATATAAATATAAATAATTTATTTTTATATTAAAATTACATTATATAAATTTTATACTAAAAATAAATTAAATTTATTGAAAATTATAAACATAATGAATTAATAGATAATTAACATAATAAATATATACACAAAAAATTTATTATTTTATATTTTACATCATTTTCAATAAAAAAAAGAACTATTTATATTTATCAATAAAAATATATTATTTTTTAAAAATCTAACTATAATAAAAATAAATATTATTTTACAAGACTTTTACTATTTTCAATAACTAATAACAAAAAATTTCAAACATTCTAAAATAAAAAAACACAATTGAATATATTAGAGAAAAAAAAAATAGAAATGTCCTCAATTGTATAAACAACTAATACGAAAGAATTGTTTTACCAAATATTTTAATACAAACAATTAATCAAATCAGCTAGTCAAACCAATTAATTGAATTAATTAACAACTATCAGCTAATTGAATCAGCTAACAGTTAACCGCTATCAATTTATTGTCAAACACGCCTTTAATCTCAATCAAATTTTTTTACCTAAACTACTCATTTCTTACGCTTAGAAAGTTACTATTTATCTTTGCAGTGAAATTTAATAAATATTTTATTTTAATAATTGTTGAGGACTCCCGTTTGCGGGATATGTAACTAATGGCTTAGTTTCCCTAACAAGTTCGAGCTTTTAGGTGAGACGGTCATTAGTTTCCGTATCAGAGCTTAGGCTAGGTTTCGAGTTCGAGTCCCGCCCGTCCCCATTTGTGGTATATGCATGTGCAAGTTTCGCAGACCCACTTGCACCTGAGGGGGCGTGTTGAGGACTCCCGTTTGGCAACCATTCTAGTTAAATGGTGTGGCACTGGTTGCTGTTTGAGGTCATGAATTTAAATCCGATTTTAGACCAATTGGATATGCATGGTTAGCCAACTGAATTCAATGCTCTTCTCTTCGCATCCATTTCACCTTCTTCGCCTATAAATCCACACCGATTTCGCACTTCACAGCATGCTTCCGCGTTTCTCTTCTTAATCGCCGTCGTTATTTTGCATACGACCGTAAGTTTCGAAACGATTTCAGTGCCAATGTTGGTCGGCGCGGCATTGATCGAGGAGCGGTTCGCCGCCGGCATGCGGTGGCTGTGCGGACGACCGAGAGCTTCGCAGCTGAAGAAATTGGTGGTGCCTCTGTTCACTTGCATTTTTGCATTAGGTAACGCGCTAATCAATTGTTCGATTGAATGCGTTTTCGTTGTGTTCGAGATTTCAATTTTGGCGAAATCATAATGGTGCGGAGGTGATAGATATATAATGATAATGTGTTTTGATTCTAATGTTAGGGTTACACATACACAAATTGGGGATTTGATTAATTTCGTGCAGGTGGAGCTACAATAGGAGCAATTACCGGAGCGATCAAAGGTCAGACGACGGAAACCGGTCTCTGCCGTGGATTCGGCGTCGGAGCGGTGGCAGGGGCGATTACCGGCGTCCAATTGATGGATCTGATAGCGAATGGAGAGCAGTTTTCAAAGGTGAGTGATCTATGTCAATTATTACTAACAAAAAGTTTGTGCATCACTGCATGTAGTTCAACTATACAACAACAGCATCCTGCATTTATTTCCCTGTCTCTTTCACGATTAAAACTCATCTGTATTATGCAGTTGTCCCTATCTTGTAGATGAACACAATTCTATCTCCTTAGAAAATATCTAACCTAAAATAAACACCGTAGAAATTCTACAAGTAATCCGTGCAAGTAACTATCCAGTTTTAGCTAAACGCCATTGGAGTAAATATTGACTGTGCAGTATTTGGAATTCATTGCTTTAATTTTTTCGGTGGGGAATTGGGATGCAATGTGTCATAAGTGCACATGATTCAAGACATGCTTTTAGAGGTTAGTTGGATTAGCATTCATGGAGGTGAATATCGTTTAGATATTTTAAAAACGGTTTGCTGATTAAGGAAAGATATAAGTGAGCACAGTACATATTATCTAATGTGCTTGGGAAACAACAGTATAGCCGCCATTGTTGGAATCTTGTTTTGGTCCTTTAGCAAGGTGAAAAAATGTACGCATTTTTCTATGTAAATATTTACTGGTAGTATTTGTTTTCATTGAACGATTACTTCTCTTTGTACTACATGTAAATAGTAGATATTTATGGTTAACTTATTATTGCATACGTACAATCAAATGTGAATTTGTACCTCCTGTGGTAATACTTAGAATTTTTAACAGGGGGAAAACAGGGGTCTGTTTTGCTCAGGGGTTGAAAACTTGAAATAGGGTTTGGCTGTAGGAAATAATAAAAATTTAAATAGATTTTGATATAATATAAATAAATAATTAATATGATATCTTAAATAGAAATAATTTTTGATGTAATAATTTAATGAAAAAATAGTGTTTTATTTAATAATTTTGAAAAAAAAGAAATTGATGAATAACGGAAGAAAAAAATGTCTTTTTGTTTAGGGGTTGAGAATGGTTTTGTGGTTAGGAATGTTACTATTTTGGAAATTTTTTAAAGAAAAATAAAAATAATAAATATTTAATATTTAATGTGATATTTTGTGAAAGTAAATATGTCTTTTATATAATATTTTTTTTAAAAAAAAAAATACACTCTCCGTCCGCTCACATTTAGCTTTTGCGTCATTGTAGTTAACATTAAAAATCTAACACGCAAAAAGTAAACGAGACCCTTAGAGTTAGAGCCAGACGCAGGGAGTATTATAGATAAATAATGTCAAAATTCCCAAATATATTTGTATAAATAGAGCTTTTTGAATTGAAATAATTTATGTAATACAAGTAAATATTTTATGTGATATTTTGAACAAAAATATTGACTTTTAATATAATATGTTAAATGAAAATATATTTGATTTGATAATTCTGATAGAAAAATAAAAATGATAAATAGTGCGAAGTTGATTTTAGACCTCAAACAAAAGGACAAGCATCTTTGATTTCTCAATTAGTATATGTTAGAAGGATAGGTTAAAAAAGGCCTTTTATGTGTTTTTGAAACATTGTTATGAAATATAATAAGATGTTTGATGGTGGCATGGTTTTTCAGGTTGCACTAATATGCAGCTTAGTGAACGGTAAGATATTCATGGAATGGGTAAGCCCTGCAGTTCTAAAAGCTTATCAGTGGCAGGTAATTAATCATCGGTTAGCTAATGATCCCTCCATCGATCTTTCGATTTCCTAGTCACATTATGTAAACAAACTAACACTTCCACAGGTCAGCACAACAGATACTAATTTGAGGGAAATTTCCGACATTTTTGAGGTGAATTCAGTTCGGGGTTTATCTCCCGATAAGATCAATGAACTGCCCGTTTATCAGTATCACAAGTATAAGCTGATCGCCACATCAGGTTCTGAAACTAGCTGCGCCATTTGCTTACAGGTAACATTAAAACCACATACACTCTCTCCAGCTCTATAAACCCAACCCGGGGCATTAATAAAAGTAATCTTTCTTTAAAGTCTTTTATTGATCCCTCGTGGTAGGACTTGAAAGGCGGAGATTGTGCAAGATTGCTGCCGAGTTGCAGCCATTTCTTCCACCTTCAATGCATAGACGAATGGCTTACCCGGCAAGGTACGTGCCCAATGTGTAGAAAAGATGTTTGATGTTTGTTACAAGATATATATATTATGGAATTCAACATATATAATGGGAGAGGACGCGCATATTATGCAAACGGCATAAAATGGCCGTCCGAGTAAGGCTATTATATTATGTGGGATGAACATCCATCTTCGTCAATGGTGTCACTTGTAATATCAGAATGCTTATTAAAAAAAGAACTATGGTGGCCTGCCTGACAATTGATCGATGTTACGCAACCATAGCACTCGGTTAGAAAGTTGTAAATAGAGTATTTGTGGTGTTAACTAATTCAAGTTATTCGATCCTAAGGGGGAGCTAACTCGATCAGCTCAATGATATTATATCATATGAGCACATTTCATTATCCATCAAGCTGATTCAATTCAGCTCATATTGCTTTGGTATAATTTTGTCATCGCTTTCTATTGAATGCCTAAAGGAATCTTGGGTTCGATTGGAGCTTGGTTTATTTAGTAAAAATGGAACTCAAGCTCAAAAAAATTTACTAAGCAAAAGTTAGTTTAGATCAATTTTAGATTCATTCAAACGATTGAATAAACTGTTGGATTTAGAAATAGGATAGTGGATTTGAGAATTGATAAGAGGAACTTGAATATAATCAAATTGTAGTTTTAGAATTTATGTGAAGTGTTTGATACGATATCTTAAATGAAAAAATAATTTTCTATATAGGATATTAACTCAAAAATAGTGTTCAATTCAATAAAATTTTGAGGGAAAAAATAATAATAATAATAATGAATATGCCGAATGAAACCCAAACTTCCAAGAAAATGTGTTCACTTTGTATTGTTTTTATGTATATATATTTCTCACAGTGAAGCAAGTTAGATAAATAAGAATAAGAATGCACAATAAATTTTGAACTATTAATCTACAAAAAATAAAAATAAAAAACCTACCCACTTTATTTGGAGAGTATAATTTGATTTTAAATCAACTTTAAGGATATAATAATGATTAATTTATAAAAATCAAATCAAGACTTGCACAGTTTATTTGGAGAATATAATTGAATTTTAAATGAATTTGAAGGATATAATAGGGTAATTAATTAATAAATAAAATTATAACTATTTTCTCTCACATTCCCTCCTCTCATTTTTCTTCAAACCAAACAGATCCTAAATGAACGTAAAAGAACAATGGCAGAACTCATTTGATGCACATACAACCCTTTTAAAGTAATTGAAATGAATGGAATTCTCAAAGGTGGTTGATTTTTCATCACTACATGCCACTTTCAAAGCAACTGAAATAAATGGACTTACTTCTTTCATGCATTGTTGCTTTCATTCATTCAATAAATTAAATTACACATATTTTCAACCAGCAAAAAGTATATAAATAATTATATTGAGGACAGTAACGGCACCCACACATATGGCAAAAACACATTAAATTGTCCACCTAAGTCATAAGTGGTAACACAGCTAAGACCTTCACGACTTGTTTATTTATAATTCATTTTTCTCTTCTTTTTTTTTTTTTTTTTATTATTTGATTCTAAAATTCTCTAAAACTATGGCATATTATGTAATTCGTTAAAATAATACTATTTATTATAATCCTATCACACAAGTAAACACACCCAATGAACATATATATGCAGGCGTACACAGACAGTTAATCTGAAGGAGGTTTAATTGTTCGAAAATAATGTCTAAGATTGATCTTTAAGATGTAGTTCAATAATAGTAAAATTTTAAATTGAAATATATTTTTTATTTGTAAAATTTTAATGGATTTTGGAGACAATTTGAACACAAATCCATCGAAACAACAAGGCCTTACTCCTTAGAATACTAAAACTTAAGGAAAGTAAACTGTAAATAAATTCAGTAGAGGGGTTCAGCTTCAACCCCATTCAGTTTTACCTGCAATGAGAATGGAGGTGTTTAAAAATGGCAACAGCACTTCGGAGTGATCGTTGCTCGAGCACAATAAACTGCAGGCTAAAAAATTATGCAAAAACAAAATAACAACCAAAATTTGAACAAACCATTCCAGAATGATCAAATGGTAGTAAAAAAAAAAAAAAAAAACTAAAAGGAAAAGGAACCTGCGTGTCAAAGAATATTGCTGCTGCGAATCACAATTATGTTGGCGGCTGCCACGTCCCTGGTTTGAAAGATGCACCAGATCCCGTAGGCTCCGAAGATCTGAGAAACAAATACAGTCAGAAACAATTTTGACATTTACACAATGCTGATGGTTTGATTATATCTAGGAAAAGCGAGGATTTGGCAAATCCATGCCTCAATCTTGTTGGACATTGATAATTGTTTCAAATGATATGTTTATATTCTTTCAATGGATAATGTAAATGGATAGATAGGTTAGGGGCTAACCCCGGCTGCTTCTCAATGGCTTCTGGGACTTCTTTATTCACGTGAGATTCTTCGACGCTCTTGCCACTGCATCGAGAAGGCACAAATGATTTTTCCGTTCCGATAGCAGCTGTAATAACAAAAGATGTAATTTGTACAATGGTATTGGGAGAGAATGTACTGACCTTGTTTCAGCCTTTGGGTTAGATGCTTCTTCAATTTTATTTCCTGTTGAAACATATATATCGGTCACAATACAAAAGTGGCCCAGAAATAACCAATGAATACAAATAAATATACCCATTTAAATATCAAAGAATGTGTTCTCCAGTATCGTAGACTGCAAACTCTGCAAGTCTATATCTCAAGTGATGCATTGTGCAAACCCATCTAACACAGTGTGGATGTAATAATTTTTAGAGTAGCTTGAGCTGGGTATGGGTTGGAAAAATTAAGATGTAACCATTTAAAGTTTGTCCAGGGAGGGGGGGGAATAAAAACATTAAACATTAATTTAAAGTTAGATGCATGTAAAATTTACCTTTTTTTGTGTTTGTATCTTTTGTAATGGTATTTCTGAGGTGGAAAATAGATGTTGGATAAAATGTATGTATGGAAAATGGGGTGTTAGGTGTGATGTTTTTAGAAGGAAGATGAGAGATTGAATATTAAAAAAAATGCAAAGTGAAACATACCAAAATTACTATCCCAAATGTTCTAGTGTCATGAAGCAAACACAAAATTTAAATCTTGGAAAATCCCAAAACATTAATCCTAGACACTTAATTAGAGCCAATAACAGGGTTAATCTGAAATAACCTGTCTTAGTCGTAATATTACTTTCCCTAACGGCCAGCAGATCTAACCCATTACATTTTGAACCATTACCCAGTTTTGTTCATTGCTGACCAAATTTCTATCTTATGTACCCACACCAAACAGCAAGGCTATAAGCATCCGACACAAGTAGAACACCACCTAAACATGAAATAATGCTTCTGATTTCAGGAGAGGGACAGCAGAACTACGAACTTTGGTCACAGCTTATACATTTATTCAATCTGATCTTCTTCATGAATGGAACGTGAGCAGTAAGTATTTTTAAATTGACTTCTTAACTTATAATTTGAGTGCGCCTTGAAATAGTATGTCAGACATAATTTCTCAAACTAGCAGGCAGCTATTTAGGTATTACTGGGTGCAGAGTAATTCCCCCATTTTGAGTAACTGGCTAATTGAAGGCAATGGTATCTAATTGTAAACAAAGGCAAAAATCCATACCTTCTTCATCAGTGCGAAGCTGTTGAATGAAACTTTTCAAGTCAGGGCCAGCAGCTTTGCCTGCTTATGTGTGTCAAAAATCCATAAGCATGCACATATCATATAACAAAAAGTCCGACACAATTTTTTTAATATATTTTGTTTGAGGTAAAAAAGCACCCACCAATATTTCTGGGTTTGCCTTCTTTCGCTTTCTTTTCTTGTTCTTCCTCCTTCTTGAGACCTGGAATGCATAAGATAACAATTGAGAGTAATTTACAAAATCAGTTAATCATCAATGGAGTCAAGTAAATGGATGCAAGTCATTTTATCTTCCAGAGTACTTGGACAAAAAATAAAAAGAATACAGAGAAAAGGAAAGAGGGTGCACAGAGTACTACTGGCAAATTATATGAAGGAACCAAAAGTGTGTTTGAACAGAAACAAATTGTATTGGCATTCAAAACCATTTTGCAGTTCATTCACTTATTTTCTTACTCTCCAGAATCCATAGAGTTGTCCATCACCGATCATTCCATTAGGAAGCATCTAAACATATCAAATTGAAGTTGGGAACAGAAATACAAGTTACTCACGGGCAACATTCAGCTTGATGCGTTCTCTCCTTGCCTCTAACTCAGCCATTTCCTGGAAACCAAACCATTACATTAAGTTTCCAGTTTTCATATCCAGCTATAGGAGGAAATGCAAGTACTAATGAATTGCTAAACAACAATGAACATGTTATAATTCTAATCATGCTATTTGAAAATGAGAAATATGCCTAACCTTTGTTTGCATAGAAGTTTTTGACATAGGCAAAGCAAAGTCCAACTAGATTTCTGCTAATGTTTGTATATGTGACAGAAAGAGGGCCAAAGGTTGGCTAGGAGTAATTAAGCACAAAAGAAATGCATAATTATATAATTCTTTAATAGTCAAGTTAAGCCGTTAAATAAAAAAATTCTGACATGATATTAGAGAAGCAGGTCTAATAAACCTAAATACCTAATCCATTTACAAAGGAATGTTTTGCATTAACAACCCTGAGAGGCGGGTACCTTAAAAAAGTTGATTAGGTACCAACACTAATACTTCAACTTCTAATACACAAAGCAATGGCGAATGAATAACTTAAAAGCATAAAAGAAAGCAAAAGCATAAAAATAAATAAATAAAAGATTAATGCACTATTGACATAAGTTTTCATCTAAAGCCCCACGACCAGCATGAAAATTGTTGAGTAGATGTGAAGAAAAATAATAATAATAATAATAATAATAAATAAAATTGAAGAATTAAGCATAGGAATTACTAATTCGCATTTTCTTTTTCAAGGTTAATTCCCACATCATGAAACTAGACAATCTACAAAAATCTTGACGGAGTGAAATAAGGAGAATAGTGCCTGCAGCCCTGCTATACCTCCATTGTTGGAGCTTTCTTCCGTTGTCCATTCAGCCAACATATCCATTCAACTATAACAAAACTATTGAAGCATAAACAATTACTGATGATAAAGAAAGTTATAAAGCCAACTCGGGCACGAGATATCACCAAACAGATAATCAGATAATTCTATGTGGAATGAAGTATTGCTTTACACAATCGAAAAATTAAAGCATAATGGTCAAACAAAATAGCACGTCAAAATTAACTAAACCTAAACAATTACCAATTGAAAATTGAATATAACTAAGTTAACTACGAGTGCAAGTTAGGGAAGAGTACATTTTGCAGCACTGAAAAGAAAAAATGTTAAACACACTCCAACATATACACCTGTTTAGTTACAAGTTCGTGCATAAGTCGGCACCATGCTCCCAAATTTTTTCGTCTAAACTATTTGTCCAAATTACTCATATATAATCTTCGATTCTATCTCACTCTTAAATAAACAATTATGTTTATATACATTGAAAATTCCATATACTTTATAAACCAACTTGTGTTAATTATATATGAATATATATACTTTATTAATTTTTATTCTATAAAATATGATAAGAATATAATTTTTACAACACTCAAAAATATTTTTAATTTATTTTTAATCAATAAATCGTAACTCAACTTACAACCAAACAGCATTTCTTTACTCAACTATTAGCTGAACTTACAACAAAATGATCACCACTTAAGCTCAACAATAGCATGAGAAACTCACTTACCACAGACAATTAGACAATAAAACTCAAAGAGCTCAACTCAGAGGGCATTGAACATACCAGGAATGACCGTTGGGTCCTGCTCTCCTTTGAATACTACCCACCTTTTCTCTTTCACTGCCCACAATAACAAGAAATGGAAAGACAACATATTATAATGAGAATTACAGAAGTCCCAAATTGCTCCCTAAATCTAAAGCTACACAAATTCAGCACGGCTTAATCAATAGCTAATGAGATTTTCATTCCCAAAAGAGGAAAAAGGAATCACTAACAAAAACACTCGAGCATTCAAACACCATTAACACACTCGAGCACTCGGCTAGACTATAAACCCTAATTTCTTCAGCATCTACAAGAAAAAAATGTTCTAAAAAAACAACTCGCATGCATTTACACACACAGACACTCAGATTTATAGATACTTAAATATTTGAAAATAAAATAAAATAAAATGCAGAGATAGAATCGAAACACGAAGCTAACGAAGGAAATGAGGGAATTCCTTACTGGCGCCGTCGATTTGCTCAGTTCTAGCAAAGTATCGATTTCCAGCCTTGTCCATTCCAACAAAGGTCCTACTGCTGAACAACCCTGCGAGCTTAGCCCACAGCCTCGACATCACGCCTAACTTGTTCGACTTCTATGGCCAACACCAAAAACTGTCGCATATAGTTGTGAAGAAATGCCCCGATTGACCGACCGAACAACAGCACGATCGCCGATTCGCCGGAACGATTCCGCCACTTTACCTGCCGTGGTTCTAAGTAATATATATACATGTAGGGCCATATTGTTGGGCTAAATAAGAGTTTTAGGCCCGGAATCAAGTTTTGAAATAAAATTCAATATTCTACCATTTTAAAATTACAGAACTTTCAAAATTATTGTCTAAATTTTACAAAGGTTTGTTTGTTTGTGAATTTAGATTTTTTGGATTTGCATTTTTTTTAATAATAAGAATCTGAATTTAAATATTTGTTTGATAATGATATAGCTAAATGTTATATGCCAATTTTTATTTTTTTTTTAGTAATATAAAAAAATTATTATTATTATTTGATTTAAAGTTTAGATAAAAAAATTGTATTGGTAATATATAAAATAATATTTTATATTAAATATTGATTTTTGTAATAGAATAAAATATATATATTAAAAATTTGTGCAAAAAAATATTGAAAAAAAGTTAAATAAATAATAAAAAATTTATAAGAAATCACATCCTTATTACTCTAACACTAAATTTTAAATTTCAACTATACTTCTCAATTAAGAACCAAATACATATTGTATACAAATTAAAGAATTGAAATTTTCAAATAAAAATTAACACCATAAATATTTATTAAATAATTTGTCTAATAATTTTATTATATTTTATATTAAAAATAATAAATAACATTCTTTGATTGGTATATATAAGGATGTGTTTTTTTATATTTTTTCAAAAGTACATTTTTTTCAAAAATATTAATATATTATAAAATTTTATTATTTTTATATTATTTATATAATCTCGTATACCTTAAGTGAAAAAATATAAATTCAAACTATTTTACTAAACAAACAAATTCTAAAATGATTAATTAATCAACTTTATTGCAATAGTTTGTGAAAATTACAAATCCTAGACTACTGGTTATCTTCCAATCAAATTCAAAAAAGGAATATTTGTATAAAGCAATATAATTGATAATTTTAAAATATCAAATTAAAGATTATTTTTTATTAATTTTAAAAATTCAAAACGTTAAACAAAAATTTAAATTATGCAAACTGATTTTTGTTATAAATAATATGAAATTTGAAAATTTTGCATTATTATTATCATCAAAATAAAATAAGACCTATGTATAGACAATATAAAATAAATTTATAAACTTAAATTTAAATAATCTAATATATCTAAACTCAAATTTACTAAATCTAAAATAAAACTTTAAAATGTATTTTATTGTAGAACCTTCTAAAAAATATGTAGTTATATTAGTAAGTTATAATTAGTTATTAATAGGTATTTTTAGAGATAGTTATTTATTGTTAGTTTTAACCGCCAAGCTTCTGGAAGCTTCCATCCCCTATAAATATCCTCTAATTGTATATATTATATACATAATCATACGCACAACTCATCATTTTATATACTTCATTTTCTCCATCAATTGTCTCTCTCGTATTTTTTCCTAGTTTAATAATATGAGATTTTCAATTTTGTGTCGCAAGCAAGATGATTTTATTGCGGAAGGGCGATAGAAGGGTTAGCTATCCATGTCTATGATCGCGTTGTATTTATTAACAGAGATTAGGCGGCAACTAAGTATGCGGGAGTCTTGTCCACGTGCTTAGTTACTGTTCTGAATTTAACCTCGATTAAAGAGAGATATAGAGGAGTAGAACCACTGGCGGAACAGTTGGAAGAATAACTAATTAGGCATAAGCATAGATCTATTGGACCACAAAAATTTCTAATCACAGTAGAATTTCCTATTTATAATGTTCTTTCGTTGGATGTCGCTGAAGCCTCATTATAAATCCCCTAAAATCAAGTACCACCCAAGTCGAGAGTAGGGCTTAAGCGACCAAATACGATCGCACTCCTTTCTCCGAGCCACCCTCAATTATACATATATTGTTTCGCTATCACAATATCGTCATCTCGCTCATTTCATCCATGGAAATCTAGACATCTAGAAACGCAAAAGTCAGACACAAGCGCATCATTCCATCCTCTTTGAGATACGTATATTTTGTCGTTTTTTAGTTAGATTTAATTTCACGCACATCACTATTTTCATTTTATACATATATCATTTTTTTAAAAAAAAATAATTCAAAACTCTTCGATCATCATGTGTGTAAATGCATGCGAGTTGTTATTTTAGAACATTTTTTTCTTGTAGATGCCGAAGAAATTAGGGTTTATCGTCTAGCCGAGTGCTCGAGTGTGTTAATGGTGTTTTAAGGCTCCAATGTTTTTGTTAGTGATTTCTCTTTCCTCCTTCGGGAATGAAAATCTCATTAGCCATTGATTAAGCTGTGCTTATTTTGCGTAGCTTTAGAATTAGGGGAGCAATTTGGGGCTTATGTAATTGTCACTAAAATATGTTTGTCTTTCCAAGGATCATTCCTGTTAGGTTATTAAAATTTTATATAATAAATATTAATAAAAGTATATATATTCATATATAATTACCATAAATTGGTTTATAAAATATATGGAATTTTTTATGTATATAAATATAATTGTCTATACCGAAAATTTAAATTACATTACGATATCGGTATATACGGCTTATACTAAAAATTTTGATTTCGATACGATACCAACCAATATATACCGATTATATTGAAAATATAATTTTAAAATTCAAAATAATTACTCCCTCTGTCTCATAACTAAATATTCATTTGTTTTTTGCACGTAATTTTAGAAATATTAATATTATATTGAGATGAAGTAGGAATATAGTATAAATGACTAAATTAATATTTTGTTATGGGACGGACTAAAATAGAAAAATGAGTACTTTGTTATGGAACGGAACGGAGGGAGTAAAAAATTAATAAATATCACTTCTCTCCCCCAAAAAATATTATGAAAAAATAAATAAATTTTCAATAGTTCACTTAGTTTTTGTTATGATTTAAAACAAATTAATAATTATTATTTATATTAATAGTTAAATTATTTAATAAAAATAATATCCTTGTATTTCGGGAGATTTCTCCATCCCTAGTTCCATTCACCAACAAAGAATTACACGAATGCGAATTGTACGAAACCCTAGCAATATACGCCATTCCAAAGGTGAATTGGTCGATCGAACGAGGGTTGGAAACGAGGGAGACTAGAAACCTGCAGAATCATCTTTTTATTGTTAGTAGTTATTCATTTGACTCCCCTCGGCGAATATGAAATTCAAAAATTAAAAATGATAATATTTTAATATTAAATTAAAATAAATAAAATTAAAATGAAATACTATATGATATTTATTAAATAATTAATAAATTTTGATAATTAAATAAATAATAATAACAAATTAATTATCATGCATTAAAATAATAATAATAATAATAAAATTATAAATAAACTATATTGGTAAATATAAATTAATTGTGTATATAAATTATGGGACATAAAAGAATAAATAGTATCCTAATTTTAATGAACAAATGAATGAATATTAATTGTGGACTTATAACCTAGGGTAACTTGTATAGTATTCAAGATACTTGAGATATTTTAGAATTTTATTTTAATACTACATTATTTTTATACATCTAAGTCTATCAAATATGATTTTATATTGCCTTGCGATTTTTCAGTTTATATTATTTTTAACATGTTATTAGAGTCTATTTTCTCCTTTTTTTTCTTGGAGATATAGTCTATTAATCCACATTTCTTCGGATACATCCAACCTGAAATGTACTCGGATGTTTCCAAATTTTGTTAGAATTTTTCATTTAGAGTTTGAATTTTAGAGTCATGTCTGCGTCTATCTCCGATATGTCTATGCCATGTATTTGCATATATATATATATATAAATAAGACCAAATCTAAAACTGAATATCTAAAATATCTCTAACTTTCCTTCAAACTCAAGTGGTATAACATAAACCAACTTGAATTTATAAAAAAGTTGAATACAAATGCAAATAGAGTCCCGTGTTTTTTGGCACAAGAGGAAGTTTTATTTATTTATTTTGTTATGCGAATATCATTCAAAATAATGACTCATTTCGTAACACTTCACTAATTAAAATTTAAGATATTTGTAGTGTCTATGCATGACACTATTGCTCCAGGAAATGGAGGAATAGACAACACAATTTAATTAGTACCGGCATATTGGCTTTTTTGTGTCGCTGTCCTCGTTGAATAATTCATATTTTAATTTATTTGCAAGTATGATCCATTCGAAAGTTGCAATATGTAGTGGCTAGAGGACACTTTCCAACTTCATTAACTTTCTGAACAAACATGACCGTATCTCCTACACAAGCATCACCTTTACAGTTCAGCACAACTCGCCTTAATCCATTATGCTTATGTGCTCCTTAATCCTCTGAATCAATGTATCTTTCTTACCGCTCAATCTCAATCCATGTTTCCTCAGATATATCTTGCATTCAACTAGTTTTAATAGATTCACATTTTCTTTTGCCCTCTTCGTCAAGCTCTGGTATAACAGCCACTTCAATCACGTCAGAAATGCTGTCTTCATCTTTATAATGGAAATCAATATATTGATGATGCTGAAGATGAAGATGAAGACAGCATTTCTGACGTGATTGAAGTGGCTGTTATACCAGAGCTTGACGAAGAGGGCAAAAGAAAATATGAATCTATTAAAACTAGTCGAATGCAAGATATATCTGAGGAAACATGGATTGAGATTGAGCGGTAAGAAAGATATACTGATTCAGAGGATTAAGAAGCACATAAGCATAATGGATGAAGTCAAGTTGTGTTGAACTGTAAAGGTGATGCTTGTGTAGGAGATAAGGTCATGTTTGTCCAGAAAGTTAATGAAGTTGAAAAATACCCTATAGCCACCACTTATTGCAACTTCCGAAGGGATCATTGTTGGGAAATAGCTTTGGCGAAAATCAGATAGATGCAAAATCAAATCCGAGCCTCGCATGGCATGCAATTCCCTTGAAGCGAATTCAGCTCTCCACCGATCTAAACTGAGGTCTCTATATATAATCATCGGTGATCGTATACTATAGAAGTATACTATAGAAGGCTCTTGATTTTCTCGCTAAGAGTCCAGTTTTCACGTGACAGCACTACCACATCGTGTCCTCTTTGGGTTTTCCTCTATGATCTCGCTTCCGTCTCGATCGCTTCTTCTATTTGCATTAGTGTCTCTCCCCATTTTTGCATGCAGTTTTGTCGATGATTTTTGCTGATCGGTGGGTTTGAGTTTGTGGTATTGTTGGGAAGATTTTTCTTAGGATTTTTTCTGTTTGAGGGAAAAATAGGTTTGAGGTTTTGGGGGTTTTACTTAATTTTTTATTTTTTTCCAATGAATGCCGGGATTAATGAGGAAATTGCTGTGTTTCTATTTACGAATTGTGGGTGTCTGGTTTCGAGGTGTTTTTCGAATGTACGTCCCAATTTCAATTTGATTTTGGTTAATGGGTGCTTGTAGAGTTGATTGATTTTGAACTGCTAAGTTGTTCTCGGGGAAATTTTCTAAGAAACTTAACGTTATATTTCTAACCTATTGACTTAAAGTGTAGGATTGACTAAATGAGTGTAAAGAATGGTTAAATGTTTTATAGTAGATTATATGGATACACTCTGCAATATGTATGTTATATACATTGGGTTCGAATTACGGGGTTTTGGAAGCTGTTTGATTTGTGAGTTTATTTGAAATTGTTTTTTCTTTTTTAAAGTGTATAAATAGTTGAAATTCTGAATTCTCGATGCACCTCCAAATTTGAAAAAGGGAGATAACATTGCATTTTATTTTGCTGTAAATTATTGCCTGTTGTCACTTTTATGTCCCATAATTTATATTTACCAATTTAATTTTTTTATTATTATTTTAATGCTGGTAATTGATTTGTTGTTATTTTTTATTTAATTATAGAATTTTATTAATAATTTAATAAATATCACGTAGTATTTCATTTTAATTTAATATTAAAATATTATTATTCTCAATCTTTAAATATTTTTTTCAAGATGAAAAGATCATTTCTTTTAATTAAATTCTACCCCCCCAAATCCAAAATTAGACGGGTCGGGTACTCGGGTCTCGTAAATTTCATATTCGCCGAGGGGAGTCCAAATAAATAACTACTAATAATATAAAGATGGTTCTGCAGTCGCTGCAGGTTTCTAGTCTCCCTCGTTTCCAACCCTCGTTCAATTGTCCAATTCACCACTGGAATGTCTACTGCGTTCGAAGATAATCGCGTATACGAGCTGGAGGAACAGCAGCCTAATTGAGCTGCTAGGTTTTCGTACAATTCGCATTCGTGTAATTCGTTGTCGGTGACTGGCACAGAGCCTCCGCTTGAGCTGGAACATTCATCAGGTATGAACAACTTTTTGATTGTTGATTAACCATAATTCAAACCGAATCGTTTCCATTGAATTGCGGGAAAGGTGTATTTTAATTTTTTTTTTGTCATGGATCTGAAATTTTGCTGAATTGAGTATCTGCTCGATGGGTTTAAATTAATTGAGTTTTGTGTTTTAGAATCTAATTTGCATATCCGCGTTTAAATCGTTTACGTGTAGAACTGGGAAGTGAAATTAATTTCTTGTTTGGGGAATTTAGTTGGAGGAAGAGGTTAAGTTCATACACTACTCTAAAAGGCACGGGTTGAGTTGCAAGTAATAAAAACTTTGTATAGTTTAGTCTTTTTCAGCCTACTTAGAAGTTAAAAGTAAAGAATAAAGGCCTCTGGGTGAACTTTATTTGAACTCGTAGTTCATTTCATGTTATGCCTATTAAGGCAATAATGAAACCTCGAAGATTATAACTATATCCCTATATATATATATATATAGATATAGATATAGATATCCATATATGATTATGGTTATGCAAGAGATGAAAATTATTCTTGTCTGTGTTTTGTTGCTTCTGTAGTTCGATCATACATTTTATGATTATGCCACTTGAAAAGTTTATGTGCTTGGTTTTTTCCCTCCGCTCTGATTTTCAAGTACGTTGATATTTTATGTGATGCAGCGTATTGTGTAGAATGCCGAAAGAAGTGAGTTTGCCCTTGGTTGTTATACTGAGCATGATAATGGATTGGACCTGATCAGAGTTCAGACTGGTTGCATTCTAGGTTTGCTAAGAAAGTTGTGGATGTGTTGTTTCATTTTCTAGTTATATTTGAGTTCATTGGCTGAATACCCTCCCCAAATATGATCACAAAAGTCTGTTTCTTTCACTTATTGAAACCGTGAAATGATTTTATCAACGGGAAAATGAACACAATGCCGCAGCAGAGCAGTAACGTTAGTATGAATAACTCTAACAACAATCAGCATCAGCCGAATCACTTGCAGCAGCAAATGGGACAGCAGAATCAGTTGCAGCAGCAACAAATGGGGCAACAGAGCCAGATGCAGCAGCAACAAATGGGGCAACAAAACCAGCTGCAGCAGCAACAAATGGGGCAACAAAACCAGTTGCAGCAGCAACAAATAGGACAGCCGAACCAGTTGCAACAGCAACAGCTAGGGCAACAAAGTCAATTGCAACAACAGCAACAGCTCGGGCAGCAGAACCAGTTGCCGCAGCAGTTGGGGCAGTCGAATCAGATGCAACAACAACAGTTGGGGCAACCAAATCAGTTGCAGCAGCAACAGTTGGGTCAGTCGAATCAGTTGCAGCAGCAACAGATGGGCCAACCAAGCCAGTTGCAGCAGCAACAGTTGGGGCAGCCAAATCAGACTCAGCAGCAACATTTGGGACAGTCGAATCAGATGCAGCAACAACAGTTGGGGCAGCCAAATCAGATGCAGCAGCAACAGTTGGGACAGTCAAATCAATTGCAGCAATTGGGGCAAACGAATCAGGTGCAGCAGCAAATGGGTCAGATTGGCAATGGAAATTTGTCACGATCAGCATTGATGGGACAGACTGGTCACTTGCCAATGCTATCTGGTCAAGCAGCGGCTGCTGCTGCCCAGTTTAGTTTGCAGAATCAGTTTTTGACTTCGGTATGCTCTCAAATAAATATTTGCTTAATTGCTCTCTACAACTATGTGGCATTTTGTTTGTTGCTTGCTAATTATACGACCTATAGTTCCCTATAAAGAGGTAAGTATTTGCTTATGCTTTTAATTTGAATTGCAGCACTAACCTAAGCTTGAATAATTTAGATTCATCTCAAAATTTTAGTTTTATCTTGATGTACCATTTTTTTTTTTTGTTCTCTCATATATCTTCTTGCGTCACATGTTTATATTATATATCTATTTATATATATATATAGAACTAAATTTACTACAAACCAGTAAGAATCTTTGTTTCCTAATTTTAAACAAACACATTGAATGTTCCCGGATTATAGTATTAGTATTTGAGGTACGTTCAATTTGATTGCAGCCACGACAGAAGGCAGCCTTCATGCAAGGGTCTCAGTTCCATCCAGGAAATGCTCCAGGGCAATCCTTGCCAGGAATGCAATCAATGGGAGTGATAGGATCTCTGAACTTGAGCTCTCAACTTCGAGCAAATGGGACACTTCCCTATACTCAGCAAAGGATGGCTCCAGGCCAATTGAGACAGCAAATCTCACAGCAAAATGCACTCAGTGCTGGTCAGGTACATGCTCTGAGATGTCATCCAATCTCTTTAAGTTCAAGTACTATTGATTGAGAAAAAACATGCACACTCTTGGGTTAAAGAAACTTTCTGTTGATATGCTATTAGGGTTAAAGAAATGTAAAGATTATTGCCTTTCCAATTTAATCTATGCATAGATTATATGGCAGAAATCCTTGGTACATGTCATTAAGCACTATTTCTCCTTAACAGATTAAAATTTTGGATGTTGGATTTTACTTTTCCGATAAAGGAGGTTTTCTCAGCCATGAATAATAAAACCTGCTTTTTAAAAGTCAAATTGTGTGCCTAGAGGTTTGTAAAAACTTGTTAATGGCAGGGTTGAGGTTAATGATTCAAAGTAATTAATTGTATGTCAACTTAGAAGATATTAACTTTTAATATTAATACATGGCTTCTATGTCTCTTTTTTTAACACTATCTATGTTATAGATAAATTCAAATGTGCAGTTTACACTTAGCCATGGAATTTTGTCTTTTTAATATACTATTTATCAAACAATCATACAGTGTCTAATTGCTTGTACTGTTGTACAGTTTATTTTGGACAATCTTTAATACACCAAGGGTGTGTTTGTTTGGGGGATTGGATTAGATTTTCTCTATTCATCCAATTTTTTCCTCCCAAAAACATCAAATCAAACATCTATTTTTATTTTTTATATTATACTAAAAATCAATTTTGCACTCAAAACATCACATCAACACCTATTTATATCACATCATACAACTATTCAAATTCAAAATTTTTACTATTCAAATCCCAACTCAAAATCCAAACCCCCAAACAAACACACCCCAACTTTGATTTCAATTATCCTGGAATTTGCCATGTCTTACATTTCTTGCCTCCTTTTTTCTGTTGCTCTTGTTCACGTCCATATACTAAGTTTTATACAAAACGTGTAAAGGTTTGTTTAAAAAACATCATACGTTTATCGGTGATACCTTAAGAATCTGTTACAATCTGTATTTGTGTCATCAATAAAATAATTCTACCCTAATATATTGAATTTGTGGTGAAAAATGTTTACAGATGCTCAAGATAGAAGGTTGTGACTGCGTCTGATATTAAGATCTAGGAAATAGATATATTTCTTTGACCTATGAAATTTTTTGACAATCAACGCGAAGGCATCTGTGTTGAAGTCAATTTTGATTTGGTTTTGTTGGCAATTTGTCTATTTTAGACTCTGAATTCCAGGTTAACCTAAATAGAGTGGATGACTTTATTCAAATTTGTCTCTAAGGATAGCTACATACCCACACACATGCATAAGCACATATATATTAAGTGTTAAAAAAAGATAAAAGCATTGTTCTCCTGCGACACTTGATTTTTAATCACGCTTTCAACCATGTATGAGCCTTTTTAGGTAGAATTTCACTCAAATAAATGTTTTTCCAAACTGTACCATGAAAATCTACAAGGGGGGCTAAATAATTCCCGAAAACAATTATTTTAATTTCCCAAGACAAATGGTTGACTTTTCCCATATTTATAAATGAATATGTGAGCACTCGCTTACTAGATATATAATTTAAAAATCTGCTCATCCTTCCTTGTGAATTTTGCATTATTTAAAAACTCATTAATGTTCTAGTCATCCTTTTTATGATGCAAATCTGTCAGAATTTATGACTAACTCATCGACTTTGAGTCAATACTATCCGACTACCTTTATTGTTATGGGTGACATTGAATGTGGGGCTTCCTAGAAACTGCAGGGACAGAATATCTCAAGGGCGTCATTTATGAATGGGCAAATTTCTGGCCTGCCTCAGAATGGACAAGCAAGTATGATGCAGAATGCGATGTCTCAACAGCAGTGGTTAAAGCAAGTGACACCGATCGCCTCTCCTAACTCTTCATATCGTCTTCAACAGCATCGGCAATTACTTCTGCAGCAACAACTAGCTTCTTCACAGTTTCACCAAACTTCAGTGGGACTAAACCCACAGCAACTGTCCCAAATTGTACAGCAACAATCACAGCTAGGGCATCTACAGGCTCAGCAAAAACAGCAGCAGCAGTCCTCGCAGCAACTTTTCCTTCAGCAGCAGTCTCCTAGAATGGCAGCCCCTGGTGGTCAGAAATCTGTAAGTTTGACCGGATCACAGCCGGATGCTACTGCATCTGGTACTACAACGCCTGGGGGGAGTTCAAGCCAAGGCACAGAAGCAAGTAATCAACTTCTTGGGAAGAGGAAGATACAAGATTTAGTATCACAGGTTCATTCTTCATTGGTTTTTCACTCTTTATTAACACAGCATCACAATCTGCCACATTTGAATTTCTATTTCTGTAAACAAATCAGAAATGTCGAAAAGTTGATATATTTGACATATTGCGTTTATGGATGCTTCTTCCATATATTAAGACTGATCTTCATTTGTTTGGACAGCTGGGTTTTAATGGAAAACTGGATCCTGATGTTGAAGACCTCCTTTTAGAGATTGCTGATAACTTCATCGATTCGGTGAGACCCAAATATTTTGATATTCTCATTACTATTATATGTGCTGTGTTGTTAAAATATACTCCTTGTGCCTGTATTTTTATTTATTGTTTTCAAAGAACACATGTAATTGTGAGGATCGCATTCCACCATTACCTATGAAAGATATAACGCCCAATACATAGCAATACCGGGTTGGTGATATACATCCTTCAGCATTAGTTTTCAAGCTTTTCTTAAAAACATTTTGTGTATATTATGCAGGTTACTTCATTTGCATGCAACCTGGCAAAGCATCGGAAATCTTCGACTTTGGAAGCCAAAGATGTTTTGCTGCATCTAGGTTTGTGCATCATTTTGTTGTTTCCTGGCATTTTATTTGTTCTGTGGTACGATAAAAACCATTATACTGCTTACGTTAATCTGCTTATAGTTTTGCTTGCTGCACAAATGTATGTATTATTTAATTCTTAAATTGTTTGACAGCAAAAAAAAAATGTTTCATCTTTTATATTTTTCTATGGTCGAATTTGTCTTTTTTACATACATGAAATTTGATCCAAGAGCAACCCATATTGATTTTCGTAAGCATGCGGGGAAGTCAAAGGCTTTCTAACTCTTGGCAATGCCTTTCAAAAAGTCATAGCCTTTTCCATCATCAGTTTGTTTTAAGATGTCTGACTGAAACCTTTACAGAGAAAAATTGGGATTTGACGATTCCTGGTTATTCTGGTGAAGAAAGAAAGCACAACCCCGATCATGTAAGAACTATCTCTGTCTGATACTATAAATTCTGTCTCATAATCATAAATCTTGGTACAAAGTCTTTGGTGGTGTAAGACTATGGCTTAAGCTAAAGTCTTTCTAATAATTTCTGGTTCAAAAATATTATTCGGTTTCTATTGTATTTAACACCTGTCTTGAAATGATCTGCAGCCACCAAGTGATGCCCACAAAAAGCGTCTGGATGCGGTAAAATTTGTTGTCCATTGAAATTTTGATTGATTTATCAAATATACAGTTTAGTGATAAAAATGTTTGCTTAGGTGCGCACTTCGACGAAACCTGTTCAACCAGAGAACAATTCTGACAATCAGATGTCTGGACAAGGGCCTAGCAATCCGGTAGGATCTAACCAGATGATAAGGCCTTCTCCAAGTTCCGAGCAGTTGGTTTCGCAATCCACCGTTCCTCAGATGCTGCAACAGCCTACCAAATTTTGATAGGTATTGGTTTCCTCTATTAGTAGCATCTTGTTGCCGACTAGTGCCCCAAATGCTCTGATGTTACTTCTTGATCTGTGTTTTTATGCTTTGAATGGGTTCATCGAGCTGATGTTTTTTCCATGGTGTGTTTGTGTATCTTTGTATTGTTCTAACATGTCGGCTCCATATAAGAGAAGTTGAGAAGGTTTGGTTGGTAGTTTGGATTTTAAGTTTGAGTTTTGAATCGTAAAATTTTTAAATTTGAATAATTGTTTGATGCGGTGTTAATGTAATGTTTTGAAGGTAAAAATTGATTTTCAATGTAATATAAAAAAATAAAATAGAAGTTTGATTTTATATGTTGGAGGAGATGTTTTGGATTTGAATTTATTTGAATTAGAAATCATTTTTAGATTTAATATTAGTAAACTAAAGATGGGTCGGAAAATAGTCGTTGGATGAGATATTTTGACTAGAAAATATAGCATGCTTTTACCTTAGCCTTTCCCGACAAGTGTTTCACTACCATTGGCATATCTTCTTACCACATCGATCATCCTGTTATTACATCTGGAAAATTAAAAGTTCGATCATATCTTGGAGGCTAATGTTGTTGTAACATCTATTTGCAGGCTAACGGCCGGGGGCGTCTGAATGAATGCAAGAGAGGCAACTCCGGCTACTAGATGCCCGCGATGATGACCTTTAGTCTGTTGTCGGACAATGTTTGTCTATCTGTCTATCTAATTTATATGTATACATAATTAATAGCGGGCGGAAATGTTGTAATCCTCTGCGATCCCCAGCTATCTTCAAACATATCATCTCTCCTGTGAGCCTTTTGGACGCAATATTCTCGCGGCACCTTAAGATTATCTTACATGTATGTTTATTATGTTCAAACTTTTATAGCCTAGGTTAGCTTGTGATCGAGCTCATTTTGGCCTTTTTAAGTATCACATGTATATTTTACTTGTTCGATTTCCTATTTATATTTATTTGTAAATTCAAAAAATTATTTTTAGTAAATTATTAAAAAATATATTAGTAAAAATAAATATTATATAATATAAATAATTATAAATTAAGATAATTAAATAATTTTATTAAAATTAATAAAATTTAGAATATGTATAATTATTTTAAAAATATGAACAATTAAATATGCATTGATATACTATTTTTAATATAATACTTCTTACGTCCAATTTCTATTTTCCTAAAGCATATTTGCACGATTTTTTAGGTAATTGTCTTTTGTTATGAATTGACAAATTTGTCTTTAGAGATTAAAAGTAATAAACGAATGAAGATAAAAATGTAAAATTTGTGTTTAAAAAAGAAAATAGAACAAGACATTAGCTTGTGGACGGAGGGAGTAGTGGAAAAGAATAAGAATTTGATTTGGTATGTTTTAAAGGAATAAAAAGTAAAAATTTTAATAAAAAGCCAAGACATCACAACCTTAAACAATTTACCATGACTAACTATCATGAATTTTTTGAAAATATATATTGTTAGTTTATTTGGGACGTGTTTGTTTGGGGGATTGAATTAGATTTACACTGTTTATCCAATTTTTTTTTCCCAGAAATATCAAATTAAATATCTATTTTTATTTTTTATATTATACTAAAAATCAATTTTACATTCAAAATGTCACATCAACACCTATTTATATCACATCATACAACTATTCAAATTCAAAATCTTTTAACGAACCCCAAACAAACACACCCCATTGTAGTAATGTTGTGCAAAATTAATTTGGACCCGATTATCGATCTTGAATCGGAACAAGGTTCGGATCCTCGGGTCGGACCTATGAGATGGATACGGATGACGAAGAGCACCCTCAGGCCAAGGATATGACTCCAACACGCATTCCCTTCCTTGCACCAAACCCTAATTTCCGTCGTTCCTCTTCCTCCCCTTTCCTCTTCACGCTTCTGCAGATCCGCCATGGCCAAGAGCTCCTTCAAGTTGGAACATCCCCTCGGTATGATTCCTTTTCCGATCTTTCACTAATCCAATTTTTATTGTTGAGTGGATCGACTTTTTGTTGTTGAAATGTGAAATCCTACTACGAGTTTGTTTATGCTATGATTATTATCGATTCCTCTTTGTCTTTCCACTTTCGATCTGTATCGATAATGAATTTTTATCGGCTTCCATGTCTGGCTTGATATTTTGTTGAATTTATTTTGTTTGGTTCAATTGATCTATCAATCGAGGTGAATGTTTGACGATCGCTATTTTCTTGACTCAAATTCGTTACCTGCGGTAAATTATTCTATTGATATACTTTTCTTACTGATCATGACTAAATTTTACTGCAAATTTCGAGTGGAAGAAGGTGCAGATATTTTTTTAGCAGCTTTGTGTATTTGTGAGGGACGCCATAGCTTGATCATTGATGCTATGTATAACTTGTGTTGAGCATTTCTTGTTTTTGGCAAATGTTTTTGTCGGTAAGAATATTTTTTGTATTCGAATTATTTTATCATAGATTCTCTGTATGCCAAATTGTAACATACTGTGCATTAAACAAGATGAAGTAATTTATTGATAGAATTAAGCATGTCTTGAAGGTTTTGATTACACTCATTACGTTGCAATTTTAATATGTCGCAGAGAGGCGACAGGCTGAAGCTGCCCGAATCCGGGAGAAGTATCCAGACAGGATTCCTGTATTAGAGTTTTAATTCCATTTACATGCCCTTCTACATTTTTGAATCTTGATTTGTCACCCGTTCCTACTGTTATTGCCTATGTGTGTTTCTCCTCTGTTGTAGGTTATTGTCGAGAAGGCGGAGAGAAGCGACATTCCGGACATTGACAAGAAAAAGTCGGTTACTTATCATTATCTTCCCACCCTAACTTTATTAGCACCCTACCTTTGTTTGTGTGCATTTTGCAGTTGTGTGTTGCTTATGCTTTGGATGCCTTTTCTTTTTTTTGAAATTTTTTTTAATGGAAAATAAGATTTGATTTTATTTTTAAATGAAAAATAATCTTCCGATGTAGTTTTTGAGTGGAATATAAGGGTTTGTTTGCTTGGCATTTTTCTATTTTTGCTAAAAACATCACATTCAATACACACTTTTGTAAATGTGAAAGAATTTTCCTATTTGAAGTGAAATACTTGTTGGATGTGATTTCTTTTTATATATATAATGAAAAAAGGGTATTGGGATGTGATGTTTTTGTAACAAAATTGAGCGATTGAATAGTTAAAAGTTTGTAAAAAACTTCAGAAGTAAACAAACAGTAGGTTTTGAATATGATGTTCCGAATAAAAATAAGTGTCATGAGATATTTATAAACATTAAGAAGATTTTACCATAGATTGGATACTGTGAAAATAAGATCGAAAACACAGAGAAGCATCCTCAAGTGGTTTTACTGCTGAAATTATTCTTTCTATTATTTCTATTTTGAAATTAAATCCTTGTGCTACATTTTAAACTCAATTCACCATAAGATGAAACCTTTGTTTAGAAGTTTGATAACAGCATCTCACTTTCGATTTTTGTTGCATTATTGTTAATGGTCGATTCTTATGCAGATATCTAGTTCCTGCTGATCTGACTGTCGGGCAATTTGTGTATGTTGTCCGCAAAAGAATCAAGCTGAGCGCCGAAAAGGCAATTTTTATTTTCGTCAAGAACATTCTCCCACCCACAGGTGATATAAAAAAAAAAAAAACAGCCACTATTTATCTATGCACGAGCGAAATGTTTGGCCATTTAACGGTTCCATGTGTGTTGTTGTAGCTGCAATGATGTCCGCAATCTATGAGGAAAATAAAGATGAGGATGGCTTCCTGTACATGACGTACAGCGGAGAGAACACATTCGGGTCATTCTGAAGCGGAAGACTAACCGAGTTTGATGTATATAGTCCAAGAATACCGTGTAAATCCGTCTCAAATGATCTATGGTATGTTGCTCCTTTTATTCGAAAATATGGCTTTATGTATCTGCCTTGGCTTAATACTTGGGTGACTTTTAAGCATTTCTATATCTTTCATTACATTACTACTGCTTGCTTGTTTAAATGACTCCAGCGTGTGGGTTTGGATTTGGGTTTAGGGTTTGAAAATAGTAAATATTGAATTGAAATAGTTTTTGATATTTATATAATAAGGTGTTTGCTGTAATGTTTGGAAGGGATAGTGATTTGTTTTTATTTTTTTTAGTAATATATTAAATAAAATAAAATAAAAAAGTGTTTAATGTAATGATTTTTTAGGAAAAAAAAATTGATTATCAATGAGACAGACCTTAAAAATCAGTCAGATTTCTTTACTTGTTTTTTTATCTTATAAAATATTACATCAAATATTCATGTTTTGTTTAGACAACTTATGAAAGTTTTGGAATTCTAAAAATGTAAAAATAATTTCAAATTATTGAAAGTTGTTATGGTCCAATTTTTTACTATTTTCGGAGTATTATGTAATTGGAGCCATAATTACAATCAATTTTCAGGATCAATTAGATTAAAAGAAAAAAAAAAAAAAAAAAAACGATCGCCAAGAAGGGATTATCCTTAGTAGGGGTGAGTATTGGATTTTGCCAAAATTATCCAAAAATTCGAATTTTTCAAAAAAAATAGATGTCCATGTATAGTAACAACCCGCCACATCAGCAACTAGGTGTTTGAGGATGCCAAATTTTTTTAATCGAGACTAAGGTCATTTTAATGGCGGATTGGCATATTTGGCGTGGGTAGCCTCCTAACCCACGCCAAAAATCGGCGTTGTGTTATATATATATTTTTTAATTTTTTTAATTTTTAAAATTATAAAATTTGATTTTTAAATTTAATTTTTATTTTTTAAAATTTTATTTTAAATAATAAAAATAAAAAGTTGTTTAAAATAATAGAAAAAATTAAATATTTGAAGAAAAATAGTAAAAAATGGAGTTATGGTTGAAGTAAAATTACTGTAGTAATTTCATGTTTGAAGTTAAAACTGAATTTTATTTATGATCTTAAAATGACAAAGTTACAAAAAACTATTTTCCCTCGCTCTGTATATTATAATGTCAACTAACAGTTGGTGTAGGGGTTTAAACCCATGACTAACGGCTCAGGTCACTTCAGCCCGGAGTTTTTCCAGTGCGTACTTTCGAGTAGCGACTGTCGGTTCCAAAAAAACTAACAGTTGGTGTCATATTTTCACAGTTTCACTACCGGAGAAATTGTCAATCCGGCAAGGCACATGACCGACCTAATGTATTTCTAAGTTCCTAAGCCGAAGAACAGATCAATAGTCCACAAATGCAGCAAAAAACCACATTCCTCTTAGTCGAAAACCAGTCGTAAGCATGCATATGCTAAGAAACAGCCTACGTATAACCAACAAGTACCCGAATACACAACTTAACGTACCCGTAAAAATAATCACTTGCTCGTCTCACCATCGCCAATTTACGAGTAATCAAACTAAATCTTCCATTTATATAACAAACTGCAAACACTGAAAGCTCAACCGCGCTTTAGACTTTTCTACGAGAAAATAATATATCTTCACATATATATAAGTCGAAGACTAGCCCAAAACCGCTCCACAATGAGATATTACGCCTACAGCTCTATGCCTAAGCCAAATAACAGGTACAAGTCGAACCCATCGAGCTCCATTCCCGTCTTTTGGTCCTAAGCCGGCAAATGCTGATCTGATAATGCAGTTCTTAGGCGCGGAATCTTCTCCCATAAGTCAATAACTATCGACTGTCTCGAACATAAAGCCTCCTAGTATAATTACAGCACTCATTTTGGTCTAAACATTGCTGTTTCAGAGCTGTAGAGCCAAATCGGGCTGCTGGGAGTCAACAAGAACACCTGAAGATAGCTTTGCAGGCGAACCTGATGATTGGAAGCCGATGTTTAGATCAGGAGGTCGGGATTCCTGTTTTTGCCTCGAGATAAACGGCGGATTCAACATCCGTGGACTTAGATTTCGCCAAGTAGACTGAAGCTGGAGCTGAGACAAGTCGGCAGCTGATAACTGCGGAAAACCCGATCGCTGATTTGGGAACGGGATCACATTGCCCCCCATCATAGCCACTTGCTCTTGTCGAACAAACGGCTGTATAGGAGAGCCATTCCTGTCCAGCTGAACAACGTCGCGGGTAGAATTGTAGAGCGAATCAGCATAAATCTGATTCTTGTTTGGATTCGGAATTTCAGCTCCCGGTTTAAATCCTCCTGCTCCAACAGACATCCATGCACGTGCAGCCAATGCAGCAGCGTTGCCTGAATCGTTGTTGCTCGGGGATGGGGCTAGAGGTAAAACCGGCGCCTCAGCCGACGACTGCTTCGAGGATCTTTGTTCCGGATAATCGCTTGCCTCTTTCGCCAAATCAGCAGAAACCCCATTGCTGTCAGGCTGTTTGAAAGATCCCGATTTTGAAAAGTTGATGTTCTTCGAAGGGTGTTCATTCACGGGTTGCAACTTTTGGCGAAGACCACTGACATTAGGAAAACCACTCTGTTTAACCTCGGGAGCTAAAAAGAAAGGCGTCCTCGTTTCCAAATTGTTGGTTATGATCGGTTGATCTTTGTCGACAGAAACTTGGGGCGGTCCGAATCTTGAAGCTCCACAGAAAGGGAATTTCGGATCAGAGAAGGTAGGATTCGTCCGAGACTTGTTAGAATCAGCAGGCGCTGGTACTTCTGCAAAATACGGTGGCTCCTTCACAGTGCAATTTTCGAATATTAATACAGGAGTTGAAAGTGGCTCGTACTCTCCAACCCATCCACGGCCAAACTTGAAGCCTTGAGGCACTGCTTGCTCGATCCTCTTGGAAGCAACTCTCCAGGCTACGGATCCGAGAGATGCAGCAAAATGAGCGAGGCTCCGAGCATATGAATGATCTGAATAAAGTCCTACCTGGTCGAAGAACATTGAAGCATGGATGAAATTAAAGCTAATTCATGGTGAGGAATGCATATCAAATACAAAATGTGAAGATACGTACAGGAACCAACTGCTTGGTTTTTCCTTCGAAAGTAGAGAATATACATTCAGCGCTGTCTTCTTCATTGGAGAATAGGCTATAAGTTGCACGACGGTTTTCATCAGGTATGGATGGCTTCCTACCTAATCGAGGTAGCGAACCTTTTCCTGCAAGGAGAAGGTTGACACATGTTTTCATTAATTTCTCCCGACTGGAATGAAAAATGTCGATATGCACATAGCTTGATTAATATAATACGTAATGTGATGTTAATTCATGTGTTGTATTTATATTATGTTAACATATTGCCAGTTTATACCTTATGTATTGTATATTTCATTTAAATGATGGAGCCAGTGCATAGATATCATTGTAAACAATCAGATTCAAGAGATACCTGATAGAGACTCTTCTGCCTTGTCGATACTGTTGTGGTTTAAGAAAGAATTTCCCTCGACATGCCCATCAGTACCGACAAGTTTCTCAGCTCCAACAGTTTGCAGTGTATTTCTACCATTCTGAGTCTGCATATCACCTGCTGTTGCCAGAGTTGCTCCATATGAGAAATCAGAGCCCAGTTCTTGAGCTGTCCGACTCACAGGTCTTCTAATTTGCTTTTTTGAATTAGATCCAGAACTCGTTCTCTGCGCGTCTTTAATCTCCTCCATGCGGTCAGAAGTAGATCTAATCTTCTGAAACTTCCTTTTGGCCAACTCTTGAATTGACCGTGCCTTTGCAAATGAATAGATTGATCGATAGTTAATAAAATCACTGCCAAAGAGAGGGTAAGGTGTATCGATTAGTGAGTATCATTACCTGCTTGTAATATATGGTATCTGGAGCATTGTATTGCATTGCATTCGAGCAAATGAGAAAAACATCACTCTGCATAAGAGAGAGCCAAATTCACAAATGTGTAAAGAATGATGGAAATAGATTGAAAACAAGCATGGCCTACTGGGGAGGAACAATTGTTGGATGTTCGAAAATGCAACAGAGAGTTCAGATTATTGATTTGAAAGAACAATGGTTGGATGTTTGAAACCCAAAAGGAAACCAAACATGGAGGCAGGCAAAACTTTTCAAAACCACCAAATCAAAAACTATTGACAAGAAAGATAATTTCAAAATCAAGAATCTAAGAGAAACAACATTAATCAGTCACTTCTTGGACAAGAAAAGCCAAGGCAGGGGGGAGGGGGGTTGGGGGGGCACACAGAACTGACCTCAAATTGGTCAAAGTTCGCATATGATCCATTTCGCAGCTTGCTCCGAACAGTAGAAAAGTCCATGGGATGTTCAATCACATCATGGTAATCAGGAAGCTACACCAACAACAAAGCAACTACATTAGAACTTCCAACTCTCGAGAGATTATTTCACCCAAAAACAGCCCTCTAAACACGAATCGAATTACCTCTTCAGGATCAACAGGTTCAGCATAAACACCATACATATCCTTCCTGCTCAAATAATACAACAAATCACTTCAGCATCGCACAAAGCCCCTCTTTTTCATCAACCCCACATATTTATACTCTTACAGAACTAATCACATACTTCTGAAGTTTGTCCAAGATCAACTCTAAAACCTTCTTATCAGGCAGCCGTAGCCCAGAAGTCAATCGAACTTCCATAGCCATCTCTGCATCGAACATAATTCAACATGAATCCACAAATTCAGCACAACCGGTAATGCCCAAGCCATGAAATTAAAACAGCATACCTTGCCGCGAGTCTTCAATTTTCGGCTCTGATTTTCGTCTTCTAACCTGGAAAAATCAATACAATCAATCAACCATGAATTCTCTCTCACAAGGCAAAAAGCAAATCCGAAACTATGATCAAATCCAATATTATGCAGCAAAGGATGACAAAAGTCTGTGCCATTATCAAATGGACAAAATGAAGACAAAGAAAACATGAGTGACTGTGGGTAAATTGTGGCATTAATGTCTGTCACACGAATTCTAGAGAGAGAAAGGGAATGTGATCAGATTCCCTTGCTGCTAGTTCTTTTTTGACAGTTGGCCCGACCGTTACCTATATATACACATATACAACATACAAAGACCACCCCCCACCCCCACCCCCACCCCATACACACAACCTACTATACATACAGAATATATACAGTTCTTCTCCAATTGAGCTAAAACTCTTTCAAGTCCATCTTAATGATTATTATTAGAGCATTCTGTTATACTGAGCAAGGAAGCTACGAAGAGATATAGTTATGGCAAATTAGGGTTTACTGCAACAAAGCACCATGTCGATTGTCGCCCCCATTGTTAGGGAAGCAGCTTCGACTTCCTAATCGAAACAATATCAAACCGATAATCACCTCTTCATGGTCCTGGTAATCGAAACCATCTCCATCAATGGCGGTTTCATCATTTTCATCGTCAACATACTCGTCCATGTCGTCCAAATCGACTTTCCGCGTTTTAGACGGCTTGCCGCAGCGACCATCGATATCGGAAGAATGCGACGACTCCGGCGCGTGGTCCACTCGCCGCGCCCGGCCTTCCGGCTGGGGAGTTGACTCGACGTCGCCGCCGGCCTGGCTTTTGAGCAGGTGCTTGAGCTTCTTCTCTCTCCGGCGTTGCTCCTCGTCGCCGGCGAATAGCTCATCCTCGTCGAAGTAATCGTCGAGGTCGAAAACGTACTTCACATTCCTCCGGCGAAGGCTCCGCCGCAAGTCGTTCGCCGGCGGCTTCCGCCGCCCCTTCCCGCCGGGATCTGCCTTCGGTGGCCTCCCCTTCTTGCTCCGCTTCACGATCTGCCCCATCGTCCGCTTTCTCTCTCCACGATTCTCTCTCTCTCTCATATACATACAGATACATACAAAAACCCTCACTCCTCGTCCTCTCTCTTCCTTTACTCATCTATTAATGCTCGGTACCCCTTCCAGGTTCGGATTTAGGCTCGGATTTAGGCTCGGAGTTAGGCTCGTCGTCTTTTCCTCTGTTCTTTTCAAAAATTCTGTGGTCCGAACCTAACTGGAGAATTATATAGAAGCGAATAAACGGTGTGAAAGGCTGAGACGCTGCCCGCTGCCCGTGATTGCTTCGTGAACCCAGGCTCCTTTTTCATTCGCTATATACCTCGTCGCGGGCAGATTATAGCGCGTGTGGTCCACGGACGGCCACGCGCGCGTGTCCTGACCGCAGCTTTGATTTCTCGAACAAGTGTCTGTTTTTGTGTTGGCGTTCGAACTGTACGGCTGCCATAAATTACGTTGATTAATTAATAATGTAATAAATGAGATAATAAGAGAGCGGGTGGTTTTTGTTTTATCTTTTTCCACACGTGTAGGTAATTGAAACAAATTTACTAATGTGTTTTTTAAAGGCTAATTATAATTACTACTGAGTTAATATAATGTTTTAGTTATTAATTTGGTTAAAATTGTCAAATATTAATGTATTTAGTGCTGAATTTACAATTTATTAAATTCCGCATTATATATATATATATTAACAAACAACACAGTTTTACCCAACACATATAATATTTGATTTTAGGACATAATATACTCTTATACAATATATGTTGTAATTATGAATAAATATTTTTATTAATAATTACACCATATTATATGTAATAAAGATATGTATTAATTTTATACTTACGCTGATTTGCAAGGTGTCCTAACCCTCCTTCCCTCTACCACAAGATATACATATCAATAACATATTGAATATTAACTCACAATATATGAAATCGCCTACAAAATATATATTATAATTAATTTAAACATACAAATTATATTAACACAATATATACATAAAATTAAAACATACAATATATATCCTGTAAGGGATCACTTGGTGGTGTAAAGGTTAAATTTATGATCGTGAGATTATGGAAAAAATAAAACTTTTGTAATATTGTCTTACAAAAAAGAAAATAGACTGTGCTCATTTTTCTGAAAAAAAAAAAAAAAAAAAAAAAAAAAAAAAAGAAGAAGAAGAAGAAGAAGAAGAAGAAGAAGAAGAAGAAGAAAGTATTCGTGCACATATTGAATGTTTAAACATTAATTATTATGTGAATCAGGAGTTGTGTGCTATCTAGAGTGTATTCTTTTATACAAATTTTTTTCAACATATTCTTTTAAAAAAAATTAATATATTACATATATTTATTATTTTTATTATTATCTGTCCCAATAGAGTTGTTTGTTTTTTCATTTTATTTATCTCAAAATAATTGTTTTTGTTTTTTTATTTAATAATTATGATCTGTACTTTATAACAAAATTATTCATATTTGAAATATAGATAGAGAATTATGTCGATAATATAAAAATAATATTTTATATTGAATGGGACTAATCTATAATATATATTAAAAATTATATATAAAAAAAAATAGTATGAACAAATTTTGAAAATAAATACAATCAATAATAGGCAAATTTCTAACAAATTTAATAGTTTACAAACTAAATTAAAAATTTTGAGAGTTTAATCATGACAACCGTTACAAGCTGACCTCGATACCACTTTATATAAGGGTGTGTTTGGTTGAATAATTTAATTTTATATTATAATTTAATTTTACATTCAAAATACTCCCTCCGTTCATTTACAATATTTATATTTATTTTTTGCGCAGTGTTTAATAAATAATAGTATTTTAATCATAGTGAGTAGTTAAAAGTAATATGATATTTTTGCCCTTACTTTTTGTGTAAAAATAATGATGTGATGTAAAGTAAAGGTATTTGTAAAAAAAAAAAAATAGAGTATTTAATTAAATGTTAACTTTTTAATTGTACGTCCCAAAATAGAAATATGTAAACATTGTAAGTGGACGAAGGAAGTATTACATTAACATCATATATATATATATTAGTTTAAATTTTTACAATTCAAAATTCAAACTTATAATGGCTGCATTTTCTTGATAAAAGTTTACAAACATTTAACTTGAAATTATACTAAAACAATTTAATTGCATATTTTGTGGGAAAAAAAATTATTTCATTCGCTTCAATCTAAAAGGATTATCTTATTTAATTAGATTAATAAGTTATAGTATTTTAGTAGTTAGTGGAGGTGTATAAAAGATTTTGATATTTTTATCATTTTAATACTTATATAGTTGTAATTTAAGTAAAATTTTAAAGTATTTTGATATTAGTGTATAATTATATTAATAATTGATAGAAAAAGGAAAATAATAAAATGTGTACTACCTCAATCCCATAAAACTTTATTTATTGCACGTAGATTTTTTAATATTAGTATTATATTGGTTTATAATGAAAATGACAAAAAAAATGTCTTTATTATTAGACTATGTGATATAAAAGTAATGACATTTGTGTAATATATTAAAAATTGTAAAGATATTAATTATGTTAGGTAAATAGTACAATTATGTAAATGATACCTTATTTTGAGACGAAAAAAATGATATTTTTTTTATGAGACGGAAGAAGCACTTAACTTGAAATGAAATGAGTATATTTTTTCAAAATAAAAGTTACAAAACTTAAAATTTAAAAGATTTATGGTTGTTTTGTGCAATTGTTAGAAAAGAATTCTTTTATTTGAAATATATAGAATTGTAAGTGAAAATATAAAAATAATAAATATGCGTAGTGTATTAATATTTTTTAAAAAACTATATTAAAAAAATGAAAAAACAAAGTCCGGTGGTGTGTTTATTTGTGTGTTTATTTGTGGTTTTAGTTTTTAAATTTGATTTTTGAATGGCAAAAAAATTAAATTAAATTATTTATTTGATATAATATAAATAGAGATTAAGGTAATATTTTAAATATAAAATAAATTTATAATATAATATAAAAAATTAATTATTTGATTTAATATTTAAAAAAAATAAAAATAAAAAATTGAACATTAAAAACATGTAACAAAATCACAAAAAACACAATGTAGAGGTCTTTGGGACTTGTAGCAGTGTACCGCGTGATGGTACAGTACATTGAGATTGAGTGAGTCGAGTCAACACCTTCTCCTTCCCTGCTCCATTTCCTTCTATTCTATTCTATTCTTACCTTCCCTCCTTCCTTCCATGGTCCCGCAATCTCCTCCTCCTATTAATCCCCTCTCTCTGCCCTTCGTCTTCCTCTCCACCAATGGACGCTTCCTTCGTATCCCGAGCAAGGACCGCCATCAATTCCGCCGCGGCTAAAGCGGAGAAAGTCTTCACAGACATAAAAAATTCCGATCCTATCACTCATCGAGGTCTGCTTTCCACGACACTTGTTGGACTCATTGGATTTTTTCCCTAGTCTATTTCCGGTTTCTTTCCTATTCTTGGTTATTTCTCCTAATATTTCTCCTCTTCTGCTGCTTCTTTTTCCTTTCCGTTTCATTTCTGTTCGAATCTCAAGATTTGGATAGGGAATCACCCGGCGCATCAACTCCGGAGCCCCAAACGGCCGTGGTTGAATCGAAGGTAATTCTGCAACTTACCTATTTGATTTGGTTTTCTGTGCTTCCGCGTTTGATTTTAGGAAAATCCTTCGCCTGAGTTGTTGAGATTAGGGAAAAAAGAAAAGAAAAGAAGGAAGAAGTCTGTTTTTACGGCGTCTAGGCTTGTGCATTTGAGGGAAGGGGTAGAGGAGGCGATGCAATTGGTTTTGGAATTTACTTTTGCGTAGTAATTGCCATTACAAATCGGTGCAGCTTCCTTTCTTTATTGAAATTTAGGGCGTCTTTACCTGTATTTTGGATTGCTTTTGTAGATGTTATGTATTGAATGGGACGCAGACAAAAAAATCACGGTAAATTACATATTTTATTTTATTGTTATTTCATTTAATTACCATTTGAATTGTGAAGATTGCCTACGCAGAAGTAGAAATGTAGAAATCGTGGATGTCTTTTTCGACAAGTAGTTGGTTACAATTTGATTGCGTATTTGAATATGTCATAGTTTTGGGATCATGATTTAGGAATGCCTTAACAGATAAGCACAGAACTAGTTGATGCATAGTTTGGATGAAATTCATTTCTACTTGGAGTGCAGAATTCCAGTGAAGTAAAGAATGAGAAAGTGAAGCCGAGGCCAATAAAGATCAAGCAAGATTGGCATGAGAGATTTAGAAACATAAGAATAGGCAAAAGAGGAGCTGAGGATAACAACAGGCCAGAAAATTCATCGATGGCATATGCAATTTTTGATGACAACTTGTACCTTATGGGTGAGAGAGAGTTCTCTCTTTCAAAAGTACGTTTTACTTTCGCACTATGTTATATTCATTTACGTGTCGATGAAAGAATCTAAGTCGTCCATTAATGCATGCTGCAATGGAGTCACAATTTTATTTCGGCGTTAGACTGACAATCTCACAAATTTGTTATAAAAGATTGCTTTAATGAAAACATCTGTGGTCTTTTTCGAATATTCTGAATCGATTTTGTGTTTGATTACCCTTTTGGTGGTTTCATAGGCTCTTAAAGTTTTGATAGAACAGTGATCAGCATATTATCCAATGCTTTATAGTTACATTCACTCAAAAACAATACTTTTTGCACACTTCAGAGGAGTCCATTCATGCCATGTGCCAAAAAGTGCTGTACTTTGATTGGTGCAGTTGTAATTTTATACTTTGGAAAATTCTATTGATTCCCTGTGTGTTACGTGTTACGTGCGCTAACGGCTTATCTCTACTGTATTTTAATTAACATTATTAGAACGTATTTATACAGGATTCCGTGGAAGGAGCATTAATGGAAGGTTCCAAGTCCGCGGAGACAGATATTATCCCATCATCGCTGATTGTGAAACATTTGGCTGTAGCAATTGAGTAAGAATTCTTGTACATAATGGCAAATGTAGTCTTCCAACTATCTGCATGTTGAATTCGAATACACATCTTCTTTTGACAACTAATCTTTATTACACTTGGTATTTAACCAAATTACTGTTTCTGTATGCTTTCTAGTTATAACCGAAATGTTTGATATGTTTGACTTGGTTAATTTATATGATATATTTTAAGTGTCTCTTACTAAATCAATGGTGTTTAGCTGGTAGTTTCACTTATGATTGTGTCCCAAATTAACCCATTTTCAGGGTGGGACAAAGCTACAACTCCATGAAAGACGTCCTTGCATCATCCAGGGCTTCTTCACCAATGAGAGAGAGAGCTAGCAAAAGCATTTCAGCTGTGAAGTCACTAGTGCTACGAGAGAAGGAAGATAAATTGGGCAGTGAGTTTGGTACAGATGAGAAAGTCCTCTCTGTAATCAGTGCATTATTTAACGCAGGTAGATAATTTGATAAGCTGGAAGGGAAACCGCCCTTTTTCTATCCTTCTATCTGTTATAAGTGAGATGCCTTGTTTACATGTGTTAGATTGTGGGTTGAATGAATTTGGATTGTTCTGTGTTGATTATTCACTTCTGGTGTGCTGTCGGCAAGGTACTCGCAGAAGGATGTTTTAAAGGGAGGAATGTCTCTGGTTTGGAAGAAATGCAGTTAAAAGCGACATCTTTACTTAGGGAGATTCATGGTGTACCGGTTGAAAGTTTTGTTGTAAAGCTGTCCGAAGCTGTTGGTTGTTTCAAAACTGTGCAGAAAATGGCATCGTTTTGGTTGAGGGTTGTTTCAGAAGTGAGTATGCACCAATATATCTTTAGGAATGCTTGGCCTATTTAATTAGTTTCAAGTTTTTGTTTGTTTGAGTTATAGATTCCTTGGTCTTCCCACTAGTTTCAGGGAAAGTGTAAATCCTCTTCACAAACGAACGCTTGCATGATCTAGTTGCTAGTTGAACTCCCCTTAGGATCTAATTAGCTTTCACTAGTGATGTTTGAGGGTGAAGTCTTTCCTACTTAACTATCATAATTCCATGCTTTTGATAATCCTCTGCACAAACTAACGTGTATCGTTTTTCTATTGATAAAAGTAACATGTATCTTCAGTGTTCTTATAGTGGTCTGTAATATAAAAGAATAGATATAAGGGTTATGCATGAGATTGTCTGGATGATCAAAGTTAGTTTTATGTCTGATCTGTTGTTTAGCTATGCAAACACATGTATGAGGTTTGTCCTGAAATGTTAGATGCAAAATGATATTTTCTTTCTTAATTCCGCAAGATAATATTTGAAAATGTATAATTGTTTGTTTGTTATCCTTGACGTACTCATTAGTCCTCATCTTTTTGATATGTCACTGTGGATTCTTACTGCCGGTTTCTATAATTATCAGCTTGTGAAGTATCTTGCTTACCTTGCAGCTGAGAAGACTTTGGTACGAAGGACAGTATATTACAGGGGTTCCGCCAGATAATATCCCGGATCTGAATTCTTGCCTGTTATATCAGCAACTACAGGTCATCAACTGCTGCATTTCAAGAAAAAAACGCCATTCTGCTGCGGTTGAAGCACTGGAGTCTGTTACAGCTCGAGATAGTTCAAATGCTGAGGGTTGTACTGCTTCAGATGGTGCACTTCCCCGAGATCCGTGTTTCTATGCCAGAACCAAGTCTGGAGAGCTTGTTCTTCGACTGGGAGCTGACAGAGAATGCAAGAACCTGGCAATGCTTGAAACTGGTGAACCTATATATGCACCTGTGATGCAGGTCAGTTAAACGTAGATCTTAAAGTAGAAGTCGTTTTATTGAGAACATTAAAGTCTCTTATCAATGATCATATACATAGGAACCACCTTTGCTAACTGAAGATCTTATCAAGGAAACGGAGGAATTTGTGCTAAGAACAGGAAGGTCAGCTATCGCAGTAGCTTTTGTTTGTTTTCAATATAAGATTTTAGCTATAAAAAGCAACACTCAAACTTTTAGGCACTTTGTAATCTCAAGTATGTGTCGTTTTTTTGGGACTGCATGCATAACAAATTATATTTCCTCGAAATAAATATATAAATAAATAAAACTGTTCTAGGGTATTTGTTTAGACAGTCTTAAATGGGTGATGCCATTCTGTTGCTCCATTCAAATATACAAGTCATTACAACAACGAACCTTACAAATGCGCCCTGCTTGTCTTTAAAACATGGAACAAGCTAAGATCAATTTCTTCTTTGTTTCTCTTCATTTTCTGACATGAATTGCTTGTTTTTATTTGCGCAGTGTCGGAGCGGGATGCTCCCAACTGCTTGCAGACATGCAGGCTTTCAAGGTGAGGTTTCAAGATGATATACACTCCATCTTTTTAGGCGTGTACAGTATGAGAAATTAAAGCTAGTGGACATAAGTTATAGTATGAAGTTTGCTTGGTTGTTTCTCAGGCAGCAAATCCAGGTTCCATACTGGAAGATTTTGTAAGATGGCATTCCCCTCCTGATTGGGTGGAAAATGACAGTACTGATTCCGTCAACACCTCCAGTGGTGGTGACCCATCCGTCAAAGGGCAGCTCAGTCAGCGAATGCAAAAAGAAGGTAAAAGATGACTGTATGCATCATGTTTTATCTATCATATTAATATAGATATTTTATCGTAGTTAAAAAGCTTGCTAATTTCTCCAAAAGGCCATAGAGAAGTTCTATTATTATTATTATTATTATTTTCAATCCATGTATTGTTTTGATTGACAACTAATTGCTAGGCAATTTATGGCGCGAGCTTTGGGATACATCGAAGCCAGTTCCGGCTGTCAAACAGGCACCTCTTTATGATGAAGACCTGTCTGTGTAAGCGTATTTAGGTTACTGTTTCATGAATCAAAACTATTTGTGGATTAAAGAACCATGATTCAATAACAATTTATAGGGAAGGAATTCTGGATTTCATGGAGGAAATGCCTCCCAGTGATCTTTTCAAACAACTCTTCATTGCTCTTGTAAGTGCTGCTTTTTTTTTACTTCTATTTACATTTTGGCTGCATTTATTCTCTGCATACCTCCGATATAGAAGAAGTATCTGCTAGACCTGACAACAAGTGGTTAGAATTGAGACCCGAAACAATTTTGGATCTATGATTTGATGGGTTTAGCACTTTAGCTAATAGAAGTGTATGTGTGCGAAGTAGTATATTTAGTCTTACAAGAAATATACATGTCAATTTAATTTGAAGATGATCTGTCTTATAATTTTGATAGAAGTGTTTTAGGACTAATTAGAAATTTTTTCATTGCACAATATGTTTGATCAATAAGAGGTGATTGGAATATTTACACTGCTTAATATGTATGCAACTTCACATTATAGAGCAACCGTTTTTGTTAACTTTGATGTTTAAAGCACTTATGGGACTATAATTGACATATCTTGGTCTTAGATATTGTAATCCTGGTCTCATTGTCGAACAAAAACTGAAATAAATCTTTTCTTGTGGAGCTAAACATGCTATTTTACCAATGTTTGGGGTTGCATCTAGCTATCTAGGCACGCTAATTTTCTTGTTTTATACGTTAGTAGATTCTTGGTGAAATTAAAAGCATTCTAGCCTATATGATGCATTCACACACACACGCACACACACACATATATATATATATATATCCGCCAGTGACATCACTTTTCGTAAAATCTCAGTTGGGTTCAGGACTTGTAATTGCTGATTCCATCCTAACCTCAAATCCAAGCTTGGGTAATCTGTTCAACGAGTGCAAAAATTTTATCGTCACCACATGCCAAGGAAATACTTGGATTGAAAAACTCGATGACATATGCCAGGTATGTGCAAAAACTACAAAGTTTCATCTAGTGGACTAATCTTAGGAATGGATCAAAACTATGATTTATGGTTTTCTAGTTGAATATGGAAGCCTAAAATATTTTGAATTTGCAAATACAATCACTTTGGTCTCATGTGATGCATATACCTCTTAGGTGTAAAATATTGATTAGTTTCTTATGATGCATATTTATGTGTGTATATACATATATATCGAGAGAGAGGTTGTGTTTTGGAGTCTTCTGAGTGTCGAAGGGTATTTGGATTTCAAAATTTTTTGAATGAAAATAGGTGTTGAATTTGATATTGTTTTCAACGGGATATTTTAGTTTAGATTACTACTAGGGACCATATTTATCAAATTAGTAAGCAAACATGTTGATCGTGCACAGCTTGAAATGGTAAAATAGATATATTGAATTTACAAAACGAAAAGTATTTTTGCTGTCTACATGTCATATTTTTGCTTCAAAATATTAATGTGTTATATATCTGTTACAGGTCTATGAAACAGTCGAAGCGATGATTCTAAACCCGGACGAGGTAATAAACATAACAGTCCGTCCAGAAGAAACCACGCCAACAGGTGAACTAAAAAATCGTTTCAAGAAACTCACCTTGATCTTTGGAGGTAAAAACAAATCCTCGTCCAAAGACTCGAAGACTAACAACAACAATAGCAACAGCGGCAACATGTTTTCAAAGAAGCCTCCAAAGGCGGCGGCGGCAGCTTCTCCATCTTCGGCTGCGGTTACGGCTCCGAGTTTGGTCGAAAATGACTGGACACTTGTATGATATACATATGTGCTTCAAATCTCTCAGGTGAAGATTTTAGAAGGTTTGATGCATCCATTATCATCTCTCTCTATCTATATATCATTCATCAATGTGAAATAATGACATTTTTGTTTCTATCGTAACTTAATTTTTTTGTGAATCAGATTCAGGAGGGGTTGGAATAAAATTTTGTGTTTTAAGTTGGAAAAAAGATAAGATGGATTCTGAGTGTGTGTATTTTGTGTGGTTTTTATTTTTGTTTTTGGTTTTGATATTTGATATTTTTAAATTGAAAATGTTTCTAGTTGTTGATTAATATTTTAAATAAAATAAGTATTGATATAATAGTATATAGGTTTTTTTTTTTTGAATTTTTTTTTGTTTGAATTTAGTATTAAAATAATGTATTATGGAGATATTATGTAAAAAAAAGAAAATTGTATTTTATTTTTTTTTTCAAAAAATGCAAATTCAAATAGTAGAATTTTTGGATTGGAGGTGAAGATAAACACACATATTTAAAACAAGTAGTGTAATTGAATCTTATAAAACTAATACATGAATATGGATTCCAAGCATAGAACGCCTATTGATTTAAAAATAATATTATTTAATTATATTTTTATGAATAAAATTTATATATTTTATTAATAATTAAATAAAATAATAAATTTGAGTAGAGGAAAACGAAATAGAGAATGACTAAAAAAACTGAATGAATTGTTTATAAGTTTTTTTCAAATATTAATCAAATGTAATTTATATAGAATTTTTTATTTCCACCATTTTTCAATAAATAAATATTTATATATATTATTTTTTATATGTTTTTGTAAAATTAACTTGTTAATTACAATAAATATTTATATATTTTTATTTATTTGTATTACATAAAATTTTATTCTTTATAAAATAATATTAATGTGATATAACATATTTTATTAAAATAAAAATTTTAATCTTTTTTAAATATATATAAATTTCCATAACAATATAATTATTAATTAAATACTTTAAATCATATATAACCCAGCTATCAAATTAAAACTCAACGGGCAAAACATCCTTGATTGTTTGTAAACTTTTATAATTTTAATCATATTATTCGCTTTTAAAAAATTAAATGGCCCCTGCCAAATTAATTCCCGCCACTGGTTATTGTGTCTGCATAACTGTCAATTACTGCATGCATCAAAGTAGTGAAGGAAAGCAAAATGAATTATGAGAAAGCACAGAAAACTGCAACTCTTCTCGTGTATGGATGGAATGGAAAGACCAAAAGCACAAATTAAAGCGTACCGTCAACTTGAAGATGATCCATGGATCTCTGCGTGCTTGCATTAATTCATTAGCACCGATTTGATTGATTCTTCTATCGATCCAGCTATGGCGACGCCTGCCTCCCTGGATAATGGTCAATGGATTGGAGGAGAAGGTGAGGTAAGATAAATAGATAGATAGATGTGTAGAACTCATTTAAGATGATTACCATCCCCAACGCTCCTGCCTAGCTACCTACATCTTTAATTAATTCCTTCTCATCTGAATCCACTATAAATTCCGACCTCAATTCTGATTCCGTAACTGCTCGAATCGATCGATTGATCGGTGTTAGTTGTTGATTGATTCATTTGAGGAAGATATTCAAGTAATTAGGAATGGATTCCAAGGCGTTGCTTCTACTTCTTCTTTTTGTTTCTGTATCTGTTGGTTCCTGCGCCGCCGCGAGTGAGATTTCAGGATCCGCCGAGGAGGAGAAGACGTACTCGTTCTTTCCTCGCGGCGGATTTGGCGGTGGTGGCGGTGGTGGAGGCGGACTAGGTGGCGGAGGTGCTGGATCTGGATTTGGCGAAGGTGTTGGTAGCGGAATTGGTGGTGGAGGTGGAGGCGGTGGTGGTGGTGGAGGAGGAGGAGGAGGACTTGCTGGTGATTCTGGATTTGGACAAGGAGCTGGAGCTGGTTTCGGCGGTGGCTCTGGGAGTGTCGGCGGCGGCGGAGGCTTTGGTGGAGGCGGTGGTGGCGGACTATTTGGCGGCTCTGGTGGCGGTTTTGGCGGTGGCGCTGGCGCTGGCGGCGGAATTCCTTGAAGAAACTACGTTCCGATCAATTAGGCTTCATATTTATATCCCTAAAATTCACACAAATTTATTTAAATTTCCATTCGTTTAATAGCTGAGATAAACTGTTCTCAGTGGAATTAAATAATAACACGATGTTATATTTTGTTTTTCTTATTCCATAAAATTTCAAATTTGAAGGCTGTTTTCTTAGTTACTCATTTTTTTTTTTTTTTTTTCCGTCTATCTCATATCTTATATCTTATGTTACTTAATATTTTTTCTAAAAATATTACATAATTTTAAAATATTCGATCCATCACAACTCAAATCAAAGTACTATTTTTACAATTTTCGTCTGTCACATTCAAAATTATTAATTTTATATTTTAGTAAAAGTAATCATACACCAATATCAAAATACTTTTTTTATTTATCTAAATTACAAACATACTATTACACATAAATGTGACACTCTCCCCCCACTCAAAGTTGCAAATGCCCTAGCGCAACGCCATTTGAGTGCATCGACGTTGTTTCTTTCATATTATGCTCATCAACCGCGAGGTTTGCCATAACCGACCTACAACTCGCCTACTCTGCCGCTCGTCTCCAACACCATCCGGGACACCCATGTTGTGACTTCTCCATTCTTCGCCCCGGAATAGTCCTCGACTTGGTTCCGCTCTCACGAACGAAGCTTGCTCACCTTGGCGCACCGGCACTGTCGAACATACTCCTTCTCAAAGAGCACTCCACCCTCGAATGTCATGTCCAGTCTAGATTAGATATGCTCTTCCTTGTCGTGCCGCCTTCAGCATGCTCCTCCATGAAGAATTGCTTACCGGTTTGCTTAACACTTCTTACATAATTTCAGTAACTAATAAAATATTATTATTTTTTAATTTATTATAAAACTCCGAAAGGGTCCCTTTGGATCAAGAATACCAAATTTATAATTATACTAATTAATTATTTTAATTTTAATTTATAATAATTTTTATTATATCATATAATTATGTTTACTAATAATTTTTTAAATATTTATTAATTATAACTCTTCTAAATTTTTTTATATCTATCTAACTGTGACATAAGGTAGAAGAAGTATTAAATATTCTCTCCGTCCAAATTCAAAAAATTCATAATATTATTATTTTTTTAATAAAATTAATATTAAAAATTCCTTTCTAAAATGAAGATAGGAACAAATCTTGACGCCTTCGGGTGTGTTTGTTTGGGGGTTTGGATTTTGAGTTGAGATTTGAATAGTAAAAATTTTGAATTTGAATAGTTGTATGATGTGATATAAATAGGTGATGATACAATGTTTTGAATGTAAAATTGATTTTTAGTATAATATAAAAAATAAAAAATAGGGGTGTGATTTGATATTTTTGGGAAGAAAATTTTGAATAAACAGTGAAATTTTATCCAAATCCATCAAACGAACACACCCATGTCATTGCCACGTAATTATGTACGTACGTAATATAATTTGTCTTGTCGGACAGCTCACCTGCGAAGCACCTTGGAATAGCGGTTTTCCACGTTATAATAATAATAATAATAATAAAAAAAAGAGAAAAGATAAAAATGAGAAAAATAAGGATGGAGTAAGCTGAAGGGAGGGGTTTAGTTAAACCCTTCGTTGTTTTCAATCTCCACTTCCATGGCTTCTCTAGCTCCCACATACACGCCTTGCATTTCCTTTAACCCCCTCAATTCGCTTCCTCCTCTCAATTCCGCCGGAGTTCGAGTTTTCTTCCCGCCCATCCGTAGCAGAAAGTTTAGTTGCAAGTGCTCTGACAGCCAGCAATCGCCTCAACAGAAGCAATCCCAGAGGCCACGTAAGAAGCCCCAGAAGCTTGATGGAATTGACCCCGTCGGGTTCCTCGACAAGCACGGTATTTCCAATAAAGCGTTTGCGCAGTTCCTTCGCGAGAGGTAATCGATAAATCTGCGTGTTGTCAGTTTCTGGCTAGTTTTGAGCCCGTGTTGTTTATCTTTGGTTTAGAACGAGAATGGTCAATTTTCGGAGAATCGTGTTGAGTTTTGGATGGATTTTTACAGGTACAAAGCTTTGAAGGACTTGAAGGATGAAATTTCCAATCGATTCTACAATCTCCAGGAGCTGGCTTCGGGGTTAGTTTCTGCTTAACGGATTTTGAATGTTCTTCAGTTATCAATTGTATGTATTGAATTGTTGATAGCATGTATAAGTTGCGAATTGTGCTTCATTTAGTGAATTTCGGATCCTGATAATAAAATGTAAGAATGGATGTGGTTGTGAATTGATTTCTTGTGGATTGGCCGAGTTTGAATTTGATTCACGTTGTTCAATTTGAGTTTTGATTGTTTTTCTTTCTTTAATTTTTTTCATTTTCTTTCCAGGTTTGAAATATTAGGCATGCACAGGAATGCGCAACACCGTGTAGATTTTATGGATTGGGCACCAGGTTTTGCTAATTTTTGGTTTTTTGGACTATTAAGTGCAGTAAGAAAATGATACTTAGGGTAATTTGTGCGGGAATTTTATATGTGTGTTGCTTAGTAAATGATTGAACGAAGAGTTTTATCTGTGTCTTTGACTTTTGAAGTTCATATACATTGAAGCCTCTGGTGACAGGTGCTCGGTATTGTTCTTTGGTGGGAGATTTTAATGGTTGGTCGCCTACAGAAAACTCTGCAAGGGAGGGCCATCTCGGCCATGATGATTACGGGTACTGGTTTATAATCCTCGAAGATAAGTTAAGGGATGGGGAAGAGCCAGATGAAGTGTACTTTCAACGGTATAACTATGTTGATGGCTATGATAAAGGTGACAGTGGTGTTACAGTTGAGGAAGTTTTTAAGAAAGCAAATGAAGAATATTGGGAACCCGGTGAAGACCGCCTCTCAAAATCACGATATGAGCTTGCAACTAAGTTGTATGAGCAAATATTTGGTCCAAATGGACCACAAACAGAGGAGGAAATGGAAGAAATAGCAGATCCAGAAACGAGATACAAGGCCTGGAAAGAGAAGCATAAAGATGATCCACCAAGTAACTTACCACCATGTGATGTTATTGATGATGGAAGTGATGGTGAATTTACGGTCGTCACTGATCCTGCTTGGCAAGAGAAATTCAAAAATAAGAAACCTCCTATTCCCTATTGGCTGGAGACTCAAAAAGGGAGAAAAGCATGGTTGAAAAAGTATAGACCTGGGATTCCTCATGGAAGCAAATACAGGGTGTACTTTAACACTTCAGCAGGATCTGTGGAACGAGTTCCTGCTTGGGCTACTTATGTGATTCCAGGTCACCTAGTGTGCATTGATACTTAATTGTTGCATCACTATAATTCTGCTTCGAGTTAGAAATGTTTATCTGATACTTAGTAACTTAGGTAATTTCAACAATCATAGAAACTATATGACCCATGCACAAGCTTTGATGCTTGTAAACTTTATAATATTATTTAGTATAACTTGCTACAATTTTGTCCCAATTAATTAACTTAATTGAACTCTCGTCCTCAATTGCAGTAGCAGATGGCAATCAATCTTTTGCTGTTCACTGGGAACCACCTCCTGAACATGCATATAGATGGAAATATACTCGTCCACCAAAACCAAAATCCTTGCGCATATATGAATGTCATGTTGGGATAAGTGGGCAGGATCCTGGGATCGCTACATTCAAGGAGTTCACTGAGAAGGTACTTGCTTGTACTTCATATCAATTTGCAGTCATCACATTGATTCCTGTGGTCAAATATTGAGGTTTTACTTCTTTATCATGTCAATCTAGGTCCTACCTCATGTGAAGGAAGCTGGATACAATGCAGTCCAATTGATTGGAATACTAGAGCACAAGGATTATTCCAGCGTTGGCTATAAAGTATGTCAAATTATATGGCACTCACTGTTAGTCTGTTATGGAACCTTATTGAATTCATTAAGCGATCCCTATGTGCTTGATGATTGTTGCAGAATATATATATCTAAAAAATATTCTGGCACAGAATGAATTAGTATAGTAGTTCATTTTGTTAGGGATAAGTGGCGATTTCACAGCTCACACTTATTATCTATTGCCGGTTTAATATGCACAAAAATTTCAATGCTGCAGAAATTCATTAGCATCATGGCAGCAAGCCTGTAAATTGGAATTATATAGCATTGTTGCAATAGAAAATTGTTCTTACTTTTCATTTTATACTGCTAACTCAGTACTTACAAGTTAAAATACAAAAATTATTAATTGGTTTTCTTCTCTTTTTCCTGGAAATTATCAGTTGATGCAGTAAGCCACGGATTGAGATAAATCTGTGTTGCTTCTTCATAGGCTTTTGTTGATAATTGGTTAAGCGCCAAAACGCAGAATCAGTTACCTCAACTTTCATCTTTTGACTCTATTTTTGCTGGGTTGGTTGATCTTGCTGAAGCGATGTCTTACTTGCACCTTAGTAAACCTTCATATCTTGAAGTGGGCTGTGTTTTTTTTTTTTTTTTTTTTTTTTACCTTAATGTTTTAAGATTTAATGAACAATCACCTTCTGAAGTTTCAAGTGATCCTCATCTTATTGAAATCATGTTCTTCAGTTCTGTTACCATATTCATATTATTATCTTTCCCCGTCCTTACAATTCTGTTAATTATATGACTAAACCATATTTTTCAGGTGACAAATTTTTATGCTGTAACCAGTCGTTATGGCACACCTGATGACTTCAAGCGCTTGGTGGATGAAGCACATGGTTATTTTAAGTTTCATTAGTTCTATGGTTATTTTAAATTTCCTTAGTGCCAGATTATTGGGTTAATACTCAATAACTTGGAAGTTATGTAGTACTTTAAAATTTTATAGTTCATTAAGGATGTCATTCTTTGTTTCTCACTGCTTTGAGTAACTGAGTAATTAAGATATTGGTGCTAACATAAGGATGTAGTTAATTTGCGGTTTGGAGGCGGGGGGTGGGAGAGGTGGAAAAGGTCTTACATAGATGGGAAAGGGTGTGATATGTACATTGAACATACTAAAGATCGGAGAATAGTATTTTCAATGAACTAGAAATGCATAAGTGAGTCAAATGACCTTTTTTGTGGCTTTGTTCATTTGGCGGAATTACCGAGTTTGCACTTCATGCTTCTGTGTATGTTGATGACTCTCGCTATGGTCTTTATTAGATATTTTAGGATGCTTACTTATGAGTAATGATTGATTCTCCATTCTATTAACATCAATGCTCACTTATAATAATAATAATAATAAGTTCCAAAACAAAGCTTATCATTCTATAATTGGTGTTGAATATGGGATTACATTCCACTGTTTTTTATGGTCTATAATGTGCTTAGGGATTGCACAAAATTTTGTTTGTAAACTATTAGAAGAAACAATGTTTGTTAGCTTTTAATTCTAATAGATACAGATCTCAGGACTGAGTGCCATATATACTGTAAACTAAAATTCTTAGTATCCTGTGCAGGACATGGCCTGCTTGTCCTTCTAGATATTGTCCATTCTTATGCTGCACCTGATGAGATGGTTGGGTTGTCATTTTTTGATGGAGCAAATGATTGCTACTTCCATTCTGGTAAATTGTTTCCTACAATTACTCCCTCCTTGAGTGATTCTGGCACCAATATCATTTATTTTGCCCAACATTTGTTGTAAACAAAACCAAATTCCAATAATGACCAGTTACATTCTGAAAGTGGGGGGAGAAGTTTTTGATAGTTTTGTTAAACTGAGGCATTTTTGTTGAATGAGATTGAAGCTTGTTTTAATCTGAATGCTATTTGATGGATTCCCCTGAAAGATTATCCTAATCATGATCCTTGTCTTTTTTTTTTGCAAGTAAAAAACAATACATACTTTATCACTGGCTTGCAATATAAATTTACCCTCTAGAATAGAGATGAATTATAGCTTACTACCTAAGGCAACAGAAAAAAATTAAATTAAAATGTATGGTTGTTTTCTTCAGCGGGTTTTAATTCAGATTCTTTTTTTCCTTCATAAACATCAAATCAAATGATTATTATTATTTTTTTATTTTATATTATGTACAAATTTATTTGACATTCAAAACATCACATCAACATCTATTTATATCACATCAAACAATTATTTAAATTCAACTTTTTACTATTCAAAAATCCAAACTCACAAACAAACACACCCTATGTGTTTTAGGTTTCAATAATTGTTTCATGTATCCAAAATGGTAGAGTAAAGGGAAGGATGGGATTAGATTTTACCATTTATGTCCAAAAGTATTTTCTAAATTGTCTTCTAATTGGTTTATTAAATTTTCCTTGCTTTTCCAGGTAAAAGAGGCCATCACAAATTTTGGGGCACCCGAATGTTCAAATATGGGGATCATGATGTTTTGCACTTCCTCCTTTCAAATTTGAACTGGTAACCGGGCAGCACCAGTACTCTACTCTCAGTAAACTTAAATGTTAACTGCCCATTATGCTTTCAACGATCAGTTATCATTCATTTAACTTTAATTTTGTATTTTGACACAATGACAATTTCAGGTGGATGGTGGAGTACCAAGTTGATGGCTTCTATTTTCATTCATTGTCATCAATGATGTATACACATAATGGATTTGCTACTTTAACTGGTGATGTAGAGGAGTAAGGCTTCTTTTTGCTTAATATCTCTGATTACAAATTGCCTTAGTTTAATTTATATGACATGCTAGAGAGCTGAGGATGACCAGGTTGAATTCACACTGTAAGCTGGTTTTGTGGTTATAAAATGATTCATAACTGATTTTTAGGATTATATTTGATTGTCATCGAAAGCACTATCAACTAAAAAAAAATAGCGAACTTTGTGTGCACTACGGTTTTTCTTAGAGGGTAATGTTTTTTCTGTTTCAGGTACTGCAATCAGTATGTTGACAAGGATGCTTTGCTGTATCTCATACTAGCAAATGAGATCTTGCACATTCTCTATCCCTATATAGTGACAATTGCTGAAGATGTAAAGAATTCATTACCCACGTTACTTATCAAACTGTGGTTTTTCATTTCACCTCAACACGTTTTCTTTTTCACACAATGCAATGCTGATTATTGTTTCAACTCTCTTGTTTAGGCAGGCTACATAACTTATTTGATGCTTTTAAGTCATTTTAAAGTTTGATATGCTATAAGAATATTTAAAGTATTGAATGGCAGCCAATGATGCAGATTGCAGAGTGCTCTAGGAATTGGTTTTTCTTCTAAATTTGACTGCACTTTTTCCGAATTTAGGTTTTACTTGGCCAAAACTCCTTAAAACCTGGAAATATTATTTTCGCATTGTAGTGTAGCTGTTGAACTAGGATCAAGCAGACTGTTTACTGTTCATCTTTTATACTGTGATTTAAAAGAGGCTCAAGATAGAAATATCAGAGAATTGTGCTTGCATAGTGACCAACATACATTGCTCTTCTCTCTCTCTCTCTCTCTTTGTCTCTGCATGCATGAGAATTTATTTTGTTTTATGGCAGCCAAATAGTCTTGCCTAACCTATCTAATGTTTTGTTGCATTTACTGCTTAGGCCACACTTTATCCTGGACTTTGTGAACCAACTTCTCAAGGCGGCTTAGGCTTTGATTTTTTCGTTAATCTCTCTGCCTCAGAGTTGTGGTTTTCCTTCCTTGAGAATGTCCCAGATCATGAATGGAGCATGAGTAAGGTTGTTTTCTGCAGTATAAGTTCTTTTGGTTCAGTTTTCATATACACAGTTGAATATAGAGGATGCTGGTTCAGCTGGTTATATTAAAAATTCTTGCTTACTTTTAGATTGTAAGCACATTGATTGGAAACAAACACAGTACTGACAAGATGCTTCTCTACGCTGAAAATCACAACCAGGTGAACTGTCATCATCTCTCTTACGATCAATATACGCTTATCTTTTTTTGTGCATCCTGTCTATGCCACCTGCCCTTTGATGAAGCATTCTTGTCATAGTTAAAAACTTACACAAACTACCTGTTGGAAAGAGTACATTAATGTCATTTTCTTTTTCACCAGTCCATTTCTGGTGGCCGGTCATTTGCAGAAATACTCTTCGGCTCAGAAAGCACAGGAAAGATGTTGCTGAGAGGTTGCTCATTGCATAAGGTAAATAGTTCCATCCTCTATTATTTTCTCATATTATTTACCATGCAAGTTCAAGTTAATTGTTTTGAATACTGCTGTTATATCTTAATCTCACTGTCATGACTTTTCGAAGCATGATAAGCCACCGACAAATAACAGTCAGGGCAGATTTGGCCTGACCAAGTCCCTACCCTACTTTTTACCCCCCAAAAGTTACCCTTAAGCGTGGACATCAGTTCAATAAAAAAGTAATTAATTAATGATGTTTTATTATATGTTTATAAGGTATGAATTGCTATCATGTAAATATATTAACTGATATCAGCCCTCCACTTATATATTTATAAGGTATTAATTGCTATAGGATACTATTTCATCTAACAAAATATTAACATCATTTAAACATAACATAGTATTAGTTCTAACCGGATGTTTTATCACTCCTAATATCTGCTAATACTTTGAGAAAAAACTTAGTAATCGTAGTAAAAGAATTTTATAAGCCATGAAGTATATGTCTCTCTTTGTTCTTTCTCCTTTGTTCTGAGTTTTTTAAATCATTGTTCAATGAGCTGTTGTACGTGACAATGCCAAACTTTAAATTTGACTCTTTTTTTTATTTTTCTTTTTCTTTTTTAATCTACAGATGATCCGGTTAATTACATTTACAATTGGAGGTCAAGCATACCTCAATTTCATGGGCAATGAGTTTGGGCATCCGAAGGTGAAATTATATTCATTTACTAGGAACATATAAAATCCAAGCCCTAGTTTATCAATTGCTTTTTCTCCCTCCAGCGGGTGGAGTTCCCCATGCCAAGCAACAATTTTTCGTATTCGCTGGCCAATCGCTGCTGGGATCTATTGGAGGATCAACTTCACAAAAAATTGTTTGCGTTTGACAAGGTAAGTTGAAAACGAAGATGTTACTGTTTGTTTGACATCATTCCACCCTACATATGTATCCATTCATTCTTTTAGTTATATTCAAGACAATATTACTCTTTCAGGCCATGATGAAATTGGACGTAGATAGCAGAATACTCGAAAGAGGTCGAAAAGGCCTGCCCAATATTCACCATGTCAATGACAATACAATGGTAAAAAGGTTTCCTTTCTTGTAGGGCAACACAGGTCGAGCTGCTCAAGTTGATCTTGAGCCAAGATATATTAGGCTTAATTACTTGCAGATCTCGATTATATAATATATATTATCCTTTTAATAGTATCTTTTTGAGCTCAAGTAGATGCAAATTTGAAATAAAGCTCAACTTTGAAGTTACTAATAAATAAATCAAGTTCACCTCATTGAGCTAAACTTCGATTTAGCTCTACTCATTTGCAACCCTGCTTCATGTAAATACAATTTATTATTAATTTTTTTTATTTTTTTTTTGTATAGTGTCCAATACACTGATGCACTGCCTTGTGGACCAGGTGATATCATATGCGCGAGGCCCTTTCCTCTTTGTCTTCAACTTTCATCCCACAAATTCGCACGAAAAATATAGCATAGGTGTTGAAGAAGCTGGGGAGTATAAAGTGAGTGTCCTATCTGGAACTCAAGTTCTATTGGATAGTTTTTTTACAGCTGATTCATAAATTACTCGTGCAGATCATTCTGAATACGGACGAAGAGATCTACGGTGGTGAAGCATTAATCCACCAGGATCAGTACACCCAACAAACCATTAGCAGAAGGTTGAGTTGTTTAACTTAGGACATTTTCACATGAAGAGATTTCTTTCTTTAAGTACCTTCAGCTGTCTAACTTTTTCTGTATTATTTCTCATGCTATTCTTGAATTCGCAGAATGGATGGTGCCAGATATTGCTTGGAGCTTCCCCTCCCGAGTAGAACAGCGCAGGTTAGTGTCCTGCAACCTTTTTCCTTACGATGCATGATCAATAATCAAGGCCTCTACCATAAGATAGAATTATGTCATATTCAAACCTATATGTTCTTTTGGTAGATCATACGGGTCTTCTTTGTGTTTTCAGATGTTTGGATTATAATTTTTTCTAATAGAAAATAGACTATAGATCTATGTTTACTAAATGGTAATAATATATGTTTGTTATTTAAAACAAGTGTTGTTTGTTCATAGTAGTAGATTTGCTATATAGATATATATGTATATTATATGAACATAAATGTGTAGCTATATATGTGTTGTCTGTCATTCGAGGATGTAATCATTAATATATAGTTATGTATATGTATATATATATATATATATGTAGGTATATTTTGTGTGAGATCTAATATAGTGAAGCTGTGTGTTGCAGGTGTACAAATTAAGTAGGATTCTGAGAGTATAATGGCAGTGGCTGATTAGTGATTGTATTTGCAGAATAGGCGACCAGTCACTCACATGTAAGAATTTTACTTGCTTTAATTCAATGTTGCAACTTTGATCATTTTATTTTATTGTTACTAATTACACTATTATGATATATATATATATATATGTACATCTGTATATAGTACTCTATAATTTCGAATGTTTTGATGTTTGTTATCCATCAAAAAATCAAATTTAAGAAAAAAATGTTGGACATACTGGACCTAATAAGAAGGAATCAAAGCCCAAAATTAGCCATGACAAAGTCAAACATATTCTATTGGAAAGTTTATATTTGTTTTTTTTTTTAATAAAAGAATAATAATATTTGATTTATTAATAAAAATGTGTAATATGACTTTAGTTTTTTTAAGGATATTTTTGTAAAATATGGATATTTTTGTATAGTGATTATTTTTAATATAATAAAAAATAAATATTTTTGAATCAATCAGTGAAATTGATTAAAATAATAGGAATGAGGACAAAAGCTCCCTCCGTCCTAAATACCGCATATATTATTAATATACTGTAAACACAGTATTTTAGGAAGGATGTAATTAGTAGATAAGTAAGAATGTATTAGTAAAAATAATTATCTTATAATATAAATAATTATAAATTAATATTAAGATAACTAATTAATTTAATTAAAATTAAAAAATTTAAAATAGATTAAAATGTGTGATCATTTAAAAAAAAAAAAAAAGAAAGTCACTTGGTATGTGTGACTGACAGTATCTGAGACGGAGGAAGAAATTGGAAAAAAATCAAAACACGTCCAATATAATTAAAAATAATAAAAATTTCAATATAATTTTTTTATTAATTTAAGTCTCATTATAAATAATTATAATCAAAATTGATCCATCATTAAAATATCAATAAAAAACGCCGACATGACAGCTGAGTGTGTCGTTGACAAAATAAACACGACCGTGTTCTATATCAACACGGCTGTGTACGGCCATAATTTTCCTGAAGGTCGTTCTTTCATTTCTTCTTTTTTCATATCCATACGTACCCAGCAATTGGAGTTGAAGCAACACTCAAGCTAAAGTCAGAAACTATATCGGAGCCAGCGGCTCAGGAATATAAACTGGAGTTGTGGGTTAAGGATGTAAACTGAAGGCGCCGGATTGGAGAAAAAACTGATGCGGACGGGCCGGGTCGTCAACGAATTAGATGATATGGCTGAAGGAGATGTCGGTCTTTTTTTACGGTGGTCCACCGGGAGGCCTCATACTCGACGAAGACATCTTTGGCGATATAGTTGGCTTCGGGGAGTGATCGTCTTTCCATTCAATCAGATACTCCATTGTCTGATGGTGTGGCTGTTGATTATCTGACTTGACTTTGCCATAGCTCTAGTCCTAATTGTAAAAGTTGTACTCCGGCGGCAGCGGAACTGATGATTGTGAGGGGCAAATGGTGGTACAGGGAAGGGAATAATTGGGGGATTTGTGTTGGAGGGGGAGATGAGGATGGGAGATGAATGAGAATTTAGGGTTAGGATTAGGATTGGGGATAAAGAGCTTGTGACGTGATAGTGATAGTGATAGTGATAGGTAGGCAGAGGAGTCTGCAAAGAAGAATACGAAGAAGGAAGAAATATAAAACAACCGTATTAGTCTGTAGAGAAGAATATGGAGGAAGAAATAAATGATATAGGACGGCGTTGATATAGCACACAACCATGATTTTTATGTCAGCAACCCAGTCAATTGCCATGTCAGCATTTGTTATTGATTTTTTAATATTGAAATTAATATTGATTAAAATTATTTATAATGATAATTAATTGATGAATTTTTTATTATAGGACCAAAATGGATTATTTTCAGTTATATTGGACCGTTTTAATTTTTTCCCAAAATAATAACAAAAGAGATGCCTACAACACCAGTCAAATTTCAGAGTTATTTCACTTTTTTTTTTCTTTTTTTTTTTCCTTTTATTATTATTTTTATTTATTGCATTTTAATTCCCACATTCTTTAGTCCATTAATTTTAGCTTTTTGGGATTTTTTATTAAATATTTACTGTTATTTTGTTTTTAAAAATATCAAATTTAATAGTTATTTTTTATTTTTATATTTAAACTAACGCCTTAATATTATATCATATAATTATTCAAATTTAAATATTTACTATAGAAAAATCAAATTCGCAAACAAATTAACAAACATACCCTAAATTTTTTACCAATTTTTTTTGTAAGTCCAAGAAAAAAAAATAAATTATAACCACAAAATTCGTAGTCCTTTTAATTTTTGTTGCAAATTAGTTGCAACATATATTCATTATCCGTAAAATGTTATTACTAATTATATCATAATTTATTTTCAATTAGTTTATATAAATTATCTATTTATATTTTTGTTATTATTTAAAAATTACATTCTCTATTAAATCATATATATTATATTTTATTAAAAATATAAACTTCAAAGTATTTAATAAATATTAATTATTTTTGAGTAAATAATTTTATTTTTCTATAATTTTATTATTTTTATTTTAATAAATAATAACCAAATTATTATCATACATTAAAAAAAATTTATCTCTATTTTTTTAATAAAATAAATATTATATATATTTATTTATATGTATTATATAATTTTTTATTACTAGCTAAGACTCTTACCCCTATTAATTAATGTACTACATAATTAGATGAGTGCATGACATGACGGTGGTTGGTATAAAAGTATAAATAAGACCCAGTCAAAGAGCGCCACGTGTCCCCTCAAACCCCTATATATATATATGTGCAAATCCGAAACCGTAACCATTTAAAGAAATTCAATCGATGGATAAGCAGCAGCACCATTCGTTGAATATTCCGCACCTCATTAACCTAAAATTCCTTCCACAATTCGACGCCGGAAGTGCCTCTCATGCCGCCGCCAACAAGGACCGGAGGATGCAAGCCGTGGAGCAGCACCTTCGAGATATCTGCAATGCCGATCTCAGGGAAAACGTGCTTCACGAACTCTCCAAGGCAGGTTTCGCTTGCTCTCTATTCGTATCTCACATCGCGCGATTTCTAATTTGTTTTTGCGTTTAGTGCTGTGATGTTGATTAGGTTCTGTAATCGTTCATGTTTCGGAGGAATGCGTAAATTTTTCGAGTTTAGTCCAGGTTTTATTTTGATTTTATTCCTGTGTAAGACAGATGATCTGATTCTTGAAAGTGTGGGATTTTAATACCTCCTGAAGATTGAGAATTTCGGTTGTGTTTTTAGCTTGCAAGCAGAGTTACGTTTGTCGATTGAGTTGTGAATTGTCTAAACTTGTTTGTGATTAATAACCCACTGTCCCTGTTGCCTTTCTACTAGAAGAGAGATATATTTCAAGATTTAGCTCCAATTCTGTGGCATTCCTTCGGTACTATTGCTGCTCTTCTCCAGGTTGGTTTGAAAATCTTGCTAAAAATTCCTATGAAAGTTGTTTAAATAGTGTATATCAGATCTTCAGATGCATTTTCCCTTTAAGATTTTTACATTGCCTTGAATTTCATTACACTGGGTTTAGTTTCTGGGGATGATTGATGAAGCATTTGTTTTCTTCTGATCTCCTCTAGGAAATTGTCTCGATTTACCCCTATTTATCTCCTCAAAACCTTAGTCCTGCACAATCAAATAGAGTTTGCAATGCTCTTGCTTTACTTCAGGTATTCTTTTTCTGTTACTCCCTCTGAATTCTTTTCCCGATTAATATATTTCAGAATTATGCAAGGCTCTTGTTATCCATGGTTTTGTTTTGACATTTTTTATGCTTGCAAGTTTGAAAGGGGTCAAAGCACATTATTTCAGTCATTATTATGTAGACAGGGGATGAAGAGTCAGATACGAAATTCTTGTTTTTGTTTTCACAGAAGTTAATATTATGACAATAAACAATACTCCTCCTGCTGTTGAAAATTATGCCTATATGATTGAACATGACTTTTAATAGATGTGGATAAAAATAGTTAATTTTTTCTTTTTATAGTACCAAAGTATTATTTTTTTACTAAAAAAGAAAACATGAATATTTTTTTATGACAACGTAAAAAAGAATAGCCGTATAAATTTGAATGAGTGAGGGAGTATGATTTCTTGGACATTTTAGCAAATGAGTCTTGCCTTGGTATTAGATACCATTATGCTTTTTATTCTCCTCACATTATATGGCTAATTCTGCACACACACCACACACACAGTATTGATTAGAATTGGTGCATAGCATAGTGATCATAGTACTGAACAGCATCAGTATGATAATTTCTGTATCACATTTCCCTACTTTGGTAAACTAAAATGGCTTTCAAATGCTGCAGTGTGTGGCTTCACATCCAGAAACACGAATGCTATTTTTAAATGGTAATTTCTCAATTGATCCTTTTTATACCTAACTTTAGGTGCCTGTTGGACCCTGAATTCATATTGGAGTTCCTGCCTTCAGGGTGTGCAAATAAAAACTTGCAATTTTCTGGTACATTTTGAATTGATTTGATATTTGAACTTGAAATATTGGAAACAAACATGGAATTTTGTTGTCGAAATTGTCTAAATCAGAGTAATATCTAGTTTGTTATGTTCTTGATTGTGTATTTATCATTTTCTGTAATTTGAATTATAAATGCAGAAAACTTACTGAATTCTGAATTCAGTTGGCAGTTTTGAATACAAAATATTGCTTGAAAATTTAAAGCTCCAACCCAAGTTTTGGTCAAAGTTTTCAAGTTCATATTATTTGCAGATTCAATTCTGATACCCCATCCACACTCTTACCTGCAGTGAAAAAAATTTCTTTCTTTCTTTTTTTCACCTGTTCTCTTGTAGATCATTATGCTATTTATTTTACTTAATTATTATAATAAGCATTTCGACTTTTGTCCTTTGGATTGATTCTGAAACCTAAATATGACTTTGTTCCCCTATAATTTCCTTCTGCAGCTCATATTCCGCTTTACTTGTATCCTTTTCTTAATACAACCAGTAAATCAAGACCATTTGAGTATTTGAGGCTTACAAGCTTAGGTGTCATTGGTGCTTTGGTCAAGGTATTCTTCAATCCTCAATTCGCATTCCAGTTTTATGCATAACCACAAGATTGTTAAGAAGGGTAATTCATATTTTTTCTCCCTTGGTTCCAGGTTGATGACACTGATGTTATCGCTTTTCTTCTATCTACTGAGATCATTCCCTTGTGCTTGCGCACTATGGAGATGGGAAGCGAATTGTCAAAGACAGTTGAGTTTTTTCCAAGCATTTTTTGTTATATTCCCAAGTGTTTGCTCTTGGATTTCGTTGGTTGCTTTCTGTTAGTAAGCATTAATGCATCAGTAAGTTTAATACGAAAGAATGTCTTAGCCTCGTCCCGTATGGTTGATTGCAAGTAGAGATATGTTATACTACCTTAAGCAATATCAAATGGTGTGTTTCTTTTCAGTTTATATCTGTTTTTTACTATTTGAAGTCCATGTTTCTTAAAAAAGATAGTACATTTTTTTCTTTTCTATCAAAACATCATATCACACATTATTTAAATAAAAAACACAAACTTCCAAACTCAATCCAGGCAGAAAAGAAAAACGCCCTTCAATATCTTTTTATGTCAGTCAATGTGAATGCAATATAGAGCATTTTTTTATCTGGCAGGTGGCAACATTTATTGTGCAGAAGATACTACTTGATGAAGTGGGCTTAGAATACATCTGCACGACTGCCGAGCGGTTCTTTGCTGTCAGTAGAGTGTTGGCGAACATGGTTGCTGCTCTTGCAGAGCAGCCTTCTCCCCGTCTCCTGAAACACATAATCAGATGCTATCGTCGATTGTCGGATAAACCTAGGTTCATCTGCATCTGTAAACTCTGTATCTTTTCTTCATTCACAATATATCTCCACACATTATGAACTGGAAGCCTCGTATATGCAGAGCCTGCGAAGCCCTTAGAAGTTGTCTTCCGGATATATTTAGAGATGGAGCTCTCAAGGGCTTTCTTGTTGTAAGTGCTAATCCGCATTACCAATGCTAACAAAACATGCCTAAGTGATTGCAGATACATTCTTACTTAGTTGTGCTCGATTCTGTGTTTGTTTCAGGAAGATCCCTTGGCAGCATTGTGGCTACAGGAATTGATTTACAACGTGCTTGGGACTCGGGTCGCTATTCAAGTTGGAAGCAGCTTCGATCATATGATGATCAATTAAATTATTTACGGTCACATTATCCTCTCTTAAACAAGTCTTTGGGACGAACTTGCTGCTTAATATTTATGCCAATGTGGTATCGGAAGAAACACAAAGTAAATTATCCTGCAACAAACTTCGAAAAAAATGAGCTTTGGTTCTTATACTGGAGTTTTCAGATTTTCTATTTAACATCTATTCATGCTTGCCTATTTTGATCCATCGACAGGGGTACATGGATTTATAACATCATGTCAATGGGCTGCATCGGCACTCATAATCTTGGATGGCGAAAAAAGCAATGAGCTTAGGTTTGTACAGCTTTTTTAAATTATGTTGGTAGGAGGTTTATTTTATGATATGAGTTTGGTTCATTTATAATACAAGCTTTAAATTTTGAAACTTTTGTTCGATGAGAAAAACATTAGTCGAATTTCCGTGTTTAATATTTAGTTTGTAACATATGAAGTTATGCTTGTGAAAGAGAATAGTATATTTTTATAAATAATATATATATATATATATAGTAGAGTTATAGAAAAATAAATTAGCAAATGAACAAATGAATAACATATATTCTGAAATTAGCTGTAAAGAATAATAAAGTGTAGTAAGTATATTCTTGTAGGTTTGGATAAAGGAAGAAAGGGTCGGTTGCAAAATAGTTGTGTTGATGTTGAAGTTCATATTATCCATATTCCTTTCCATGACCATGATATAAAATTAGTGATGCCTTCGGTTTTCTTTTTTATTTATTTATTTTTATTTTTTTGTTTTGTTTATATAATAATTTGGATATAATATTTTTGTGTAAAGTATATATATATATATATATATTGACACAAGGACAACCCTGTGCCCTTTTTTTTTGGTTTTTTTGTTGTTGTTGTCCTTGAGTCGCCAAATATCTTCTCCCCTTTCAAGTAACATCATACATGTGTGTGGAGACAGAATAAAATGTAAATGAGTATTGGGGTGTTTAAAGATTATTATTATTATTATTATTATTATTATTATTATTTTGAGTTCGAGAATTTAAATCTCATAAATCAAGAAATGAAAGAGAGATAAAAATTAAGAAATGAGCTGGGGGTGTTTGTCTGTCAATTTTTTATTTTTATTTTTTTGCATTTTTTTATACTATTTCTTTAATAATTTTTGAAAAGAAAATACACTATTTTAATTTTATAAAACATTACATATTAATTATTATTCAAATAAGTAATTCAAAAATAACTAATTGACAAAATTTTTGAATGGATTTCTATGTCATTAAAATTTTCTTTTACTCACTGTCTCTTAATAGATGCATCATCACTCTTTTTCATTTGCAATACATTGTTTTATAAATCGCATTACTTCTCTATTACAATTTTCAACTGTATTTTATATTTTACCAAATAGAAAATTAATTTATATTCTATGTTAAATTTATTCCATTTAAATATATTTTCTATTGTGATCTCCATGCAAGTCTATATTTTGTATCAAAAGTACTGATAATGTTTTGACTAGAAATCAAGAAGGGTCTCCATTTTTAGGTTTTGCATTATTTATCATTTTCTAAATCTAATTAAATATTTATTTTTTATTAAATATCTTATTAAAAATATTTGTATTTGAATTATATATTAAATATTTGTTTATACCACATTAGATCCTTTTATTAAAATTCAAATTTCTACTATATTCAAATTTAAAACTCTAATTCAAAAATTAAGGAACACACCCAAAATGTATTATATAGCTTTTTCATTTTATAATTCACCTTCAGTGTTTGAAAAAAAATGCATACATTAGTCACTAAGCCATTTAATACTAATTTATTTTTCTTCAAGTTTTCTTTTTATATTTCTCATTAAATAAATATTATATTTTATTATAAAATATTATATAAAATTACCGTCAAAAAATCAAATTTAAAATTCAAATCGAAATCATAAAAAGAACACACTTATTTTTATAATTAACATATATGGATATAAATTATCCATATATATATATATATTAATATACATAGACAAATGCATGTGTACAATACATCTATGTGTACGTATGTATGTATATGAGAATATCCAAGTAATTAAATAACGCTAATATATGAAGTAGCTAATTTACTTATAGGCATGGAGATGAAGTTTATTCCAAGACTGTTCTCTTTGCATTTCTAACTGCTTGTAAAAGTTCCCTATGAAAGTCTCTGCCTTTTGGTACAATTCTTGATCTCCATCATCTTCTCCTTCTCCTTTTCCTTTTTCTTCGACTTCTTGGGGCCCACAATTCGTATCGGAATTACTATCACCACTACTATTACTATTAATTTCTTCAATAAAGAATAAACTTGGTCGTGGTGGTGGTGGTGGTTGTGGTGACGGTGTTTCGACGAGTGCACTGGATTTCACGTGATGATCTTCACGATGGGGCGGAGGTTTGTGGTGGCGGAGGAAGAAGGAGAGGAGTCCGGCATCGGCGCCGAGGGCAATGATGAGGAGGTTGAGAATGAAGTAGATGAAGTGTTTGGGGGTGTAGTGAAAGTTGGGAGTGGAAGTGAGAAATGGAGCAAGTGTTAGGAGAGCAACAATGGCTACAAACTTCATCACATTGGTAATACTATTGTTGTTATTGTGGGATTGTATTATTTGTTGCTTCTTCTTCATCATCATCATCACAATCACTATGGCAAGCAAGAAATGAATGAACAAATGAATGGGTTTAGAGAGAGAAGAGAGAGAGAAAAATGAAGGAACGAAGAATTGTAGCAATTGCAAGGGAGGGAGGGGTTGGAGAGGGGGCCTATTTTGCACTTATATAGACCATGGGATGGAGATGTAGTAGGGTTTATGACTTTTACTTTTATTTGACTGTAGAATAAATATAATATAAAATCGTAGGAATTAAATACTACTTTCTTCGTGACCTTATCTAATATATTGTGCAATATTTTTTATTTATTTTGTTTCATCATATTATTCAATTAATATATATATTTTTTTTTTCTAATCACGTCACTTCATTCTACTTAATATTATTCAGTTTTGTGGCAAAAACCTAATGTTTCACCACATGTGGAATGTGGTGAGTATAAAATTAAGTTTGAAATAACAATAAATAAACAAAAACTTTCAAATCTAAAAAAAAAAAAAAATGTAAATGGTATGTGAATAGAAAAAAAAAAAAAACATATATATGTATGTAAATAAATTTTTTTTATGGTATATTAAATAAATTTAAAATAGAATTTAAAAATTTAAAATAAAAACAGCCAGAATTTAGAGAATGATTAAGTGAATTGAAAGAAAATTGATAAACTTTTTTCTTATAACAAAGTGCAATTCGAAAGTAAGTACTGAGTAAATTTTAAGTCGAATCTAATAGTTTTAAATTGTATTTAGCGAACCATGTATTGAAAATTTAAACTGGTAACAGTATCTTTGCGGGGAGAATTTGATTATAAGAGAGAGAGGATAAGTGGATAAGGTTACTTTTGTGGATTCTTTAAAAAGTTGGACATGTCCAATTATGATGGACTTACTTTTAGCCCCACTTTTCTGTTTCCTTACTATGCCTACACGTTCTGTTCTTGGATATTTAATCGGGAGAAGTTACTTTATATTAATTATAAGTATTCAAAAAAAATATAAAATTCTAACAATATAATTATATTCAAAAAATTTTGAATTTTATTTATTTATTATTTACTATAATATTTTTTGAATAAAATATATAAATTTTTAATTTTAAGAATTGTAAAAAATTTCAAATTTGTTGGATCTAAAGGATTTTATCAGGTATGGTTCACATCAACGTCAAGTCCGGGTAGAAATCCAACCATATGTATTTGGATCGAATCTCGAGTCCAGTCGGACCGGCCCATTGCCATCCCTATCAAACTTGACTTGAAACACCCCTTAATCAAAAGTTCAAACTCAAAATTGAGCTGGAATGATTAAGAAAGGGCATGAGCTCAAATCTTATCTACATATTAAAGGAAATAATCAAATATACAAATTTATCATTCATATCAAAACTACTCGAATTCAAAATGATTCGAATACTTCATCCTCAACTCATTATAACAATCGAATAGCAATTCAAGCTTAACAACTCGACTCGCATAACAGCTGTACGTCTAAAAGCCAAGCAAGCATATAATCTCGAGATTTTGACAACGCAGCACTACATATTCTCAAAATCATACAAAAAGAAGAAAGGCAACTCACATACAGCTAAGAGTACCACTCATATGCTAAAGTTTATGCACTTTTTTTTTTTTTTTTTTTTTCCGATTTATCCATGAAAGATTGATGAGAATCTAAGATTCACAAATGTTTAATAACAGTTAAAGAAATGTTTCTAGAGGTATTTTACAGGGCTTACACATAAAATGGAGCGAGGGCATTCAATCATTTTGTCATGTTCAATAATAGCTTTTACGCAAATCACAATGCATGTATGTTGTTGATTTTAAACAATTTATGCGTACTTTTTTGTCTACAGATTTTGCATTTTCAAGACTGTGTGCGTCCGGAAGCAGCTCGGTGGGTCGGAGGTTTTAAGCTGAACATCTCAATAGAATGGCTACAAGGCATCCCAGCAATGCGCCGGCAGCTACCTGAAATTAGATAGTATCATCAGGCACTCGTTCGATTAGATGAATAAAACACAATTACAGCAAATATTTATCTTTGGCATGCTCGAAACTTGTGGGGTACAATTGAAAGTGGCAAAATAATTACCGTTTGGTACAATGATAAAGAAGAGAAAAAATCTAGCGGAGATAATGAAAAATGGCCTCTCAAAAATGGGGGAGATCTTCTTTCAGATTCCTCAGCAAGATAAATGGTCCAAAAGTGAGTATATCAACTTTAGGTGTGTTTGTTTGTGTTTTCATACTTATTTTTTTGACTAGGTACTCTACAGCAAAATATTTTTCCTCCTAAAAAAATAATACCCCTCCAGTCACAAATCTTTTGCTATTATTTTGCAAAACGTTTCCTAATTGTTCTTTATTTACACACCGTTGTTTTACCCTCTAAAAGTAATTCATAGAAACATATCCAACAAAAAGGTCAAAAACACTATCATAAGTGTACTAAAAAATTGTGCCATAAGTAAAGCAAACAAAACAGGGTTGAGGTAGTAAACACCTACTATCCATTCAAAATATCACGTCGAACCCATTTTCCATTTAAGACATCATAACCACAACTAATTTTCTAGTTCAAAAATAAAAAAATAAAAACATAATTTGGACAACTTTCAAGGTGATATGAAAAGAGCAACAATGGTAAGCATGGGAATTGAAACAGAAATAACCTATTTCTAAACCATTGAATGAAATGCTTGTATTGGGACCATTTTGCACAGGGACAAATGAGCATAAAACAATAAAAGATGCAGCACATGTAACAGTACCTGTAGTGGAGTATGGCCCAATGAATCTCGAAGGGGTCTAACATTAGCAACAGGATGCTCAGGAGGCAACTCACAAACTATTTGATTTAATAACTGCAACAAATATCACGATGCAGGGGATTAGGACCTAATAAGCAAGAGCACTACTGCAATTCAACAGACATTTGACATAAAGTTGTCCAATTGAAAATATAAACGAAGAGCTCAACTAAAAGAAGCATCATTAGGTGCTTTCTTAATATCATCGAAAGGATATCTCACCTCAGCTTGCCGACCAGCATGCAATCTGATGCCAGTAGCATCATACATTACCTGTAGTTTAGGGTATTTATTAATAAGGAAACATGTTTTCGTAAATTATTAAAAAGCACTAGCCCAGTCAAGTTACTGTTGTAGAAACGAAAACAGACTCAATACTGGAGGATAGAAGCCATGTTCAGTATCAAGTGACTCGTTTACGAGCAAACATTGCAAGGCTAAGAAATTGAATGTTGACAATCAAAATCTTCTTGTCGATGATACTAAAAATATAAACAAGAGCTATGTAGATCATATCATCCAGGCTTCATGGAAAAAAGACGGCATAAATTCAAATATAATATGGAAAGAATACCATCTCCGATGTGATGAAAACACATGTTAGAACTTCATTAACAAGCAGGCAATGCTAAAAGGATGGAGAAAACCTGGTTTAGAAAGTACATACAACACATGCCAAGACCACTGCAATGGAAAATGCTGATGATCCTGTTCCCTCTTGCAAGCCAATTGTAGTTGCAAGAGCAGTAACTGTTGCTGAATGTGACGAAGGCATTCCACCTGAGCTGAGCATCCTCCTAGAATCCCATTTCTTATCCTTCAACCTGCATATCTAAAGGGGCATATTGAAAGATCAAACAGGAATAGCCACATAACTCTAGGAACTCACATTATCAATGCTACTCAGGATTCTATAGAAAATAAAAAAATAAAATATAAAAAAACACACAAACAGACTACTGTGTCAATGTAGGTATTCATTCATTTTCATCCAAAACCTCTTCAATATTTGCATTTGAGGATGTTTATTTAGCAAATCAACACAATCTGTATCAACAGCCAAACAGGCATTCAACATCAACACAACAGTATTCCCCAGTAAGACAGAGCGTATGAAATTTAATCAATCGACGTTGAAATAGATATTCAACAGTTCAACAGAATAGATAAGAATTTGATCCCACCGCTGATTTTCATTTCACCATTGCTGACTTGTGGGTTTCCAGTCATTGTTATATAAAGGCTTCACCATTAATCATTTCAGACTTATATTAGCCATTGAGAGGTCACAACCCTAGGCATCAAAAGGCTAAATATTCTAAAGCGTAGCCGAGTGGGCCAGGGGCAATATTGTGCAGTGCAATCTGGATCTTCAACCAAAGGGGATAGAAATAGGGACCAGGGATCATACGCCATGCAATTTTAAAAAAGCCATGAACACTAACACAAAACAAATGAAGACAAGTAACCAGAATTCCTAGAATGTGAGCATCCACAAACACGCAAAATAGCATAAATGCACATCATGTCTCTTAATAGGATGAAAAATTAATCCAATGGAGGCCACCAATACCTAGCGCCCATACAAATGCGGAAACAGCGGGAAAATATGAAAATTGGAACAGAGAAAGTACCAGGTAGTAAAAGGCTTGAGAAACTGAGCGATGGCACAGGCCAGCAAGGCGGAGACGAGAGGAAGATTCGCAGGCGAAACCGAAGAACGTAGTGTTGCAGCAGCATCAACGCTCGTCATCGCCTCGCCGCGCCCCTAGATCAGATCGGATCGGATTTTTGTTTCTGCGGATCGCGTGAATAGTCAACAGAAGTGCACAATCAGGGTCACTCAATTTCGGAGAGCGATTGAATTGCTCGGGTACGGCGGCGGCGACGTCGGCGGCGGCGGCAGAGGCGGAGGAGACGATCGGAATTCGAGAATGCACAGCAGATTTGGGGGAATTTGGGGGAAGGTGAGTCACGTCGATAGACGCGCAGCAGCTACTTGACGTGGAGAGAATATACCCAGCACGATTTTATGAAATTTGACCAAAAAGCGTGTGTTTGCTTATACGTTAAATCCTAATAATTTTATTCTTTTTTTTTTATCGGAAAATACTAATAATTATATTATACTCTAGGATCTCGTGTTTACTTATGCGCGTGTGTTTGCTTATACGTAGATCTCGTGTTTACTTATGCAAGAATTTAAGACGGATATTATAATTAAATAATTAAAAATATATTAGTAAAAATAATTTATTAGTGAAAAAATTAAAATATAATTAAACTATATAGTTGATGTATTTTTTATAAGTTTGAAAAAAAATTAATTTAAATTTATACAAGTAGAATTTTTATTTTGATTTCCCTATTTTTATTTAGCATAGTGTTTGTTTGGGGTTTAGATTTTGACAATTTGAATAATTGTATGATGTGATATAAATAAATATTGATACGATGTTTTAAATGTAAAATTAATTTTTTAATATAATATAAAAATAAAAAATAAATATTTAATTTGATATTTTTTAAAAAAATAAAAAATAAAAATCATAAAAGTAAAATTTTGCAAACATCTTACAAGCGAACACACCTTTAAGCGTCCTTACCTTTAGAATGAACTTTCTGCCCACAGAGGCGGACGTAGGTAAGCTTCCATCTTCTATTGCTTGGTTGATTTCCTCTCTCCCTCGTGTTCGTCGATTCATTTTTTCTGATGCAATTCCGTGCCAATTATGCTTGTTGTTTACGTGTTCATCTGGAACTGGTTGCTTTAAATGCGAGGAAAGGAGGACAAATGGCTGTTGTATTAATGGATTCATTCAACTCAATCAAAACCTAAACAAGCACTCATCATTTGTGCCGTTTTTTGCTGATTTTTAGTGAGTTTCTGTAATTTGGTAATTCGTGTTAACTTCACCAAGCTGCAAGTTATTCTGCTTATCTGAGTGTAATATGCAGTTTTTACTCGGTAACTTCGCCAACTTGATAAGCAAATTCCTTATGCCAAGGAAAGGTTATGATTCTGCAAATCATTTAGTAAGATTCTGCACGATTTTGTTAACTACTGTGCTTTGTTCCATATAATTAGTTAATTCCATAATCTAATTGGCTTTTAATATTTTGTAATTTGGTCATTTGTGTATACAAATTTGACTTCAACTACACCAAGCTGCAAGTGATTCTGCTTATCTGTGTGACTTCAACTCGGTACATGGCCATATTGATATGCAAATTCCTAATGTCAAGCAAACGTTATGATTCTGCGTATCATTTTGTAATGATTCTGCATCATTTTTGTTAATTTCTGTGCTTTGTTTCGTATAATTGGTTACTTCTATAATCTAATTGGCTTTGAATTTCTTTATAACTTCAGCCGATATGTTATGTTTCAATTTCCACTGTGCTTTGTTTTGTATGATTGGTTACTTCCATAATCTAATTGGCTTTGAATTTCTTCATAACATAACTCGATATTCTATGTTTCAATTTGCATTCTTTTTGCTAACACTTCACTTGCTATGGATAGTATCTTCTATCCTTTCTCCCCCCCCAAATAATCTGTGGCGGTGGAATTAGAATGAATTATTCTTTTCTAGTGAATGCAATTTGGCAAAAACTCCTACCAATGGAGCTGTATTGTATGTGCAGGCCTCCGTCTGCGCAAAGTTACGCCTGCTGTCCCTGAATTCATCCTTTTCATCGGGTCCACCAACGAGTGCTCCAGCAAGAACATGCAGGTTTGGAGCATGTCTTACAAACCAAGTATGATACCCCTGCATACACCCTAAGAACTCCTTGTAATCTTTGTACGACGGCATGGATGCACCCCTGTGGTGCACCCTTGTCGGGTACAACGGTCCATACCCAACCAAGTAGCTCATTCTCATCGGATTATCTCCCAAGATGTAGTCCACCTGTGACTTGATAAATTCAAGAATCTCCTCAGACACCACCAAGCCTATATCGCAGCTGAGCGCGCGGTTTGTGGACCGTAGGTGATCTGAATACACCCCGAGCAGCAACAGTGCACTAGAAACATACTGCATGTTGTTCCATCGCCGTGTGTACAGTAGGCCACCTGGGGTGCGCTTCACATTAGCCCCATTGTTCTTGTTCAGACAAGCACAGATGTAATGCTCTGCTTTTGATCTGTATTGTTGGAGTATCTTCTTCTCCTCTTCGGTCTTCTCTTCCATTGGAAGCTGCAAGAATACCGAAAATTATTCATTTTTTATATATCTACATATCTATCAATCACTGATTTTAGTTTTTTTTTTTTTTTTTTTTTTTCTACCATGGCAGCAATGAGTTGCAGTCCAGCATACTTAATATCCCAGCTGAATTCAGTGACGGCCCAAGTGGTGCCGCCGAAGGACTCTCCATTCTTAACAGCGTAATTCAAATAGCTTCTGTTTTCGGTAGCCTTATGCAGCCACAAAGCAGCCCATAAAAGTTCATCCTTGTATCCACTAATCGAGGTATAGTATCCTTTTGCTACTTCAATGCTATCATCATATCTGCCTCTATACTTATCTGCAAACTCGAACAACTGCACACAAACACGAACACAAATTCCTACAGCCTTAAAACTGAACTAGAAACATATATTGTTGGTAAATGTTGTATGTCTGTGAGTCCTTAATTACCTGCTGTGCATGTTCTAGTAAAAGGGTTGAGTAATGTGGGTTTTTTTTCTTAAACACAAGGGAGGCTGCAGCCATGGCTGCTGCTGTCTCTCCGGCCACATCTGACCCGGGATTGTCCTTGTCAAGCTTGTATGCTTGGCGGGATGTTGTCATGTCTTCTGGCCTCTGCCAGCATAGGTGATCAGTCTCACCATCCCCAACCTAATTAACATTATTAAACCTTAAATGAAAGTTATGTTTTTGGAAGAAATTGATTGAGATATTGAATTATAAAAATAATAAAATGAAAAAATATGCAAAATAAACAAACCTTTCAAATACTAATACGATTTTACCATACCTAAATGAACATATTGTAGAGTGATATTAAAATGATTCATTAATCGCATTCTTTAAACTAAATATATTTATGAAACCCATGCCTCCTTCGAGCATTTTGATCTATTTTTTATTTATCTCATTTGCAGGCAATTCCTACATATATTTTGTGTGTTTCTTCTCAGTTTGTTGAAGGTTTGGTTTTTTATTAAAATAATATTTTGTGAATAACGAGAGTCCATATAGTAAAAATTTGTCTAAAAACTCAAAAGGGATTTCATCTAATATACTATGTGCAGACTATAACAGTGAAAACTGCTGTTACCTTAGCATAATCTATCAAAAATAGTTAAGTCCTTCAACAAAGGATGAGTCCTTTCCCAATGAGAGTTTGTCAAGTATTTTGAGTATGTGTAAAATAGTATGTATTTTGTTGATATTTGAATAGTGATTCTTTTTTCAAATATATATATAATTAGATATAAGGTATTATTATAAAACGTGATTAAAAATTTCCTGCATATTCTGGTGAATATAAAATGGAAGATATTTAGATTACCTGAGCCCATAAAACATGGGGATGAGTGTGAGCCTTGATGAAATAGTCAGTACCCCATTTGATAGCTTCTAAAGCATGCTGTAATTCCTCTGCAGCAGCTATTTGATCTTGATATTCCATCACACTCCATGAAAGCACTGTGATGGTAAATGCCATAGGCAGCCCAAACTTCACATTATCTCCTGCATCATAGTATCCCCCAACCAAGTCCACCTACACAAACACACACACATTCATTCATTTATAACTAACATAGTTATTTTTAGCTCTCTAAGAATTTAGTCATTTTTATCGAAACATTTGAGTTAGAACTTAGAATATAGGAGAGAGGATACATACCCCTTGCTCGAGGCCATCTATGAGGCCTGAGTGGTGGCGCCACTTAAGCCTCTGGTTGTAAGGGAGGTGGCCCGAGCGCTGTGCCTCGAAGTAGAGGAGACTCAGGGATAGGGAGTCGCCATAGTTGAAGGTTTGGGAAAATGGAAAAGTGGAAAGTAGCGATAGTAGAAATGTTATTAGGCAGAGTTTTTTGTGGTGTGATATAAGGTTGTTTTTGTGGCATTGCATTCTGGTTTATATCATACTTTTATCATGAAAGATGTATATATATATATATTATGTATATATCAATGGTGGTTTTCTGTGGTTCTATTTAACACTTTGAAATCTTGATGTGTTATGGTATCCTTATTTATTTGAAATCTTTATTTACTTAAGGGGGCCAGAAAAATAACATGGGATTGTTGAAGATATTAATGTGGTGAAATGAAGGGAGACATTTGTGTTGTTTTAGATTTGTCTTGTGCTTTAATTAGAAGATTATTCTTGTCCCTTTTTACTATAGAATTATTGTATCTACACCAATTAGAGTAGTAACTAAGGGTGTGTATGGATGTTTTTTTGGACATTCTGATGTATTTTAATGTAATAGATATATACCAATACCCAATACCCATGAGTGTGTTTGGTTTGTATTTTTTTTTTATTTGGATAGTAATTTGATGTGATATTTTGTAGGACAATTTATTATACTTTGGGTGTGTTTGTTTGGGGGTTTGGATTTTGGATTGGGATTTGAATAGTAAAAATTTTGAATTTGAATAGTTGTATGATGTGATATAAATAGGGTTTGATGTGATGTTTTGAATGTAAAATTGATTTTTATTATAATATAAAAAATAAAAAATAGGTGTTTGATGTGATGTTTTTGGGGGGAAAAAATTGGATGAATAGTAGAAATCCTCCAAAATCCTTCAAAAAAACACACCCTTTATAGAAAATAAAGTAGATTTTACAATATAAAAAAGAATAAAATAAAAAATAATAATAATAATAATTAACAACAAAGAGAGCATAGTAGATTTGTGTCCATCTTTAGTGAGGAAAGAAATTTACTTATTAGTAGTTGTTGTACTGAGTGTTTGTTTATACAAATTTTTTCAAATTTTAGTATTTGTATTTTGTGTTGATTTTTTTAAATATTTTTTTTCTAAAAAATATTTTATCAAGTATTATTTTAATATCAAAATTTAAAGCAAATTTTTTCAAACTTTTACCATGTTTCTTTTTGTGTAAATTAATGGTAGTGGAAATTGTTATTTAATTGGGTAGAGAGTTTTAGAAAGTAATCAATAGGTTCATTGAAATTGATGGATTAATGAGTGGTTGAATCGTTGAACAATATAATTTCATTTAGAAAGTAATAAGGAAAATTTAATTGATTGGTCATCTAATCGGCCACACGGCTAATTCAAAATAATTAGGGTGGGTTTGTTTTTATTTTAAATATATTTTAATATTTATTCAATTTGTATTATATTTGGTTAAAAAAATTATTTTTTATAAATTATTGTATTAAAATATTATTTAAATCAAATTCAAATACATTTTAATTTTTAAAATGGTTAATTTATTAATTTAAATATATATAATATCAATAATTGCTAATTGAATGTTATGAATATGTAGTTTGTATATGTTTTTTTTTTATCCGGCAAATTTAGCACAATTTCTTATATTTTTATTAAAAAAAATTAAATTAAATTTGCCAGATAAAGATGATATGTAAATAGCTAATTGAATATTAATAATGTATTATTTATATTTATATTTTTAATAACTTTAAGTATATATTTAACATTACAAATATTTTTCAATTTATAATATATTATATAAATATCATTACTTTATATCATATATACAATAATAAATTTTAAATAAATTGCACGAATATAAAAATATTTTTAATGTCCTTACTTATATAAAAATATTTTTAATGTTAATACAATTTCCTAATTTTTAATGTTAATACAATATAATAATAGATAGAGGTGAATATAAAAATACACATTAATCTTAAAAACAAGATAAATGGATGTTAAAAACATACATTTAATTTACTATCAAAATAAATAAATAAAATTCATGAGTGTACTTTGTATTTGGAGTTTATTTTAAAAATAAATTAGGACAAGATATTCTTTTTAAAAAATATATATATCAACATACCTCCAAAATATCTTGTTTTTCCTTAAATAAATACAAATACCAGATCCAAGAAAACATACTAACAAACCCAACAAAAAAATAAAATACCAGATCCAAGAAAACATACTAACAAACCCAAAAAATAAAATAAAATAGTTGCACTTAAATAACTTTAGCCAAAAATTAAATATGGAGGAGCACATTTCCTGCTTTTCCTTAAACAAAATCTCAACTACAATCTCCTATGCAATTCCAGACCAAAACAACAAACAACATAATATAATCCTTACTGAATGACCTGTTGGTGTGGAGGGTGAGGAGGTAGACTCGAGATCAGAAAGTCATGAGTTCAAACCACATATACCTCCAGGTCTTGCCTACCATACATGATTTATCTAATGTGACTTATCTCGTTAGGCCTAGTTTGCATACTATTAAATTTAATCAAAAAAAACAAAAAAACAAAAAAGCATAATATTATATATATATATATATATATTATGTACATCTACTCAAAACATCAGCACACAAGAAAATAGAATAGAAACACAGGGATAAGTATTAAAATAGCTACGAGGGGTTGTTTGCCATCATCATGTATGTGCGCACATATTTATATCACAAAATAATAGAACGCACTCACGATTATGACTACTAGTAATTTATAGAGTGACAACAAGAACACCCAATGTATATATAATACATATGTAGATATAGATATATTACAATACTAGTAGCCATCAATAGAGCCTGATTTTCCTGCCTAAGCAGTAGAAGTACCTGCACCACCAGTCTGATGCAGCATTGCGTCTATCTCATCGCCATCCTCCAAATCCACCTGTCCACACCAATACTCCACAGTAAATCTTCTATCCAAATTCGATACAAATTTTCTACACTATATGCACATGGTAATACATACATATATATATAGAGAGAGAGAGAATGAGAAAGTACATCATCTGGTGTTTGCTCCCCTCGAAGGCGACGGCCATCAAAGAGAAAAGCAATGGAGTTTAAGTCCACAGAATGCCGATCACAGTACGCGTTCATAAGCTTCTTCAGCTGTGTACTTTTCTTAATTCTGAAAAACACTTCACTCCCATCCTATAACAACCAACCATATTTACACTTAAGTCAAATTTCACAAAATTATATAAGAAAATAAATTAATTACACACAAATAAAATAATAACAAATCTGGTAAGTATACAGAGTCTAGCCTTAGTAAACTAACTCGGCACACATCTGTCTGGCTTACTTTAAAGCTGATCAATACAATATAACTAATATTGCAGTTCCCCGATTATAACAAAACCCAAGAAGAGGGAAAATATTTGATAAGAGAATAGAAATCAAAATTCAAAACAAACCCACCTTTTTACACAAACATTAGGGTTTTGTAAGAGTTTTGGAATTTTTGAGAGTTTAAGCCTTACATCCAATATTTTCTATGCAAAATATAACATCCAATCACTATTTAAGTATTTAACCTAAAAAAACCTTTACAAAATACAGAACACACAGGGATAACTGTACTGTCATATGAATGGTAAATTAACCCAATATTAGCCTAATCAACTACCAACTCTATTTAAGTAGACAACTTTTGAAACTTTAGATACATAATTTTTTTAAAAGAACATCGAATCAAATATATCACATCAAATATCTAACTTTTTACAATTCAAAAAAATTTTCAAAAAAAAATTGACAAAGGTACAACCTTCAAAGTTATATGATTCGCATACAGATTTGCTTATTATACAAAATTACAGATCATACAGTGAAGAATATCTTCAAATCATAGCACAAGAATGTCTCGGTAAGTTAAAATGAACAAATCTTGGTTCCAACAAACAAGAACAGATTATTCGACCAGCACAATTTCTAAATTAGGGGAAATATAACCAGAATCGAAGACTTGAAGTGATAATAAATCCAACAACAAGATGAAAAAGCATCGTCAAGCCCTAAATTTTCATACAAAACCACTAAACACGTTCAACGAGACGATAACAATCACCAAAACAACATAAACAAAACCAATTAAATACCGGAATTTAAAAATTAATAATAATAATAAAAAAAATACTATTAAAAACACTTAGCAACTCACTCCGAAAACCCTAGCCAGAACAATTTTATATATAAATCAAACCAAATCGATTCAAACAAGAGGCGAACACAAATAAGGCAAAAATGAAGGCATCTAATCGGAAAATAGACGCTAAAGGGAGAAGAATCATCGCCGCCAAGGAAGAGCGACAATTAAAATTGTAGAGAAGTAATTGACCTGGCCTTTGACTTTGATATTGAGGTGCACCGATGAATCGGCGGGCTTCTTGTCGTCTTCCGCGTTCGACATTCTCACTTCGTTAACCGATGGCCGATCTCCGCCGCAGTAGAGTGATGGTATGCAAATGCTTTCTCCTGCTCTGTTCTCTCTCTTATCTGTGCAGTCTGTCTGCCCTACGTTTTTTATTTCCGAGGCTTTTTGAACGGCGACTGTTCGAATCAACGGCTGAGATAACTTCGATTAAGATCGACGGTGGATACGCGTCATTTCTGCGTAATAGATACGCCAGTCGCCACTTAAATTTTGATGACGCCCGTATTGAAAATAATACCAAAGGTTGTTCGAATTTATAAATAAAAATATGTGGTATCATATTTTAAATAATTTTTTTCTTAGATTTATTTATTTATTTTATGGTTATAATTATTCATTCACCAATTTACAAACTATATGATATATATAAAATATTAATATTACAAAATAAATATATAGATACAGACCGACAAGGTTTGATTTCACAAGTTAGCGGCTGGGCTGGGCCGGGTCGGGTCGAGTTACAATTTTAGATCATACTCATTGTACTGGGCTCGATATATATTGCATCGGGTTTTATAAATCATAGGGAAAAACCCACATTTGCAATTTTCATTATTCGCTCTGTTTCTTGTCGAAATACTTACTACGTTTTCATACAATAGTCTTTTTTATCATTTTTTTCGTCTAAAACAATAGTCTCATTTCAATAAATAATCATATCATCATAAAACTATCTCTATCTTTTCACTATTATTACACAATTATCACTATTTTTTACACTAATATACTCACTAGGGCAAAAAAGTTATTTATCCTTACTTTTTACCCACTACCAAGATAATATCAATATTCCTTAAATCTCGTGCCCAACACAATAAGACTATATTTTTTAGACGGAGGGAGTATAAAAAACGAGACTTGATTTGAACGCTTTTTTGAGTGAATTGAAGAAGCAATGTGATTTTCTACCGATCAAGTTTGATAAGCCGTCGAAAAATATTTTTTAACAATAATATTATCATATTTGACTTCATCGAATATACTAAATTGTAGTACTCCATGTACCGGTGCAAAGTTGTCGTTTATTTTTTGCACGTAAATTTTTTAATATTAGTATTATAATGAACTATAGTGAAAAAAAAAAAGACAAAAATGCCCCTATTAGTATTGTGTAATATAAAAGTAATGACACTTGTGTAATATAGTGTAAATTATAATGATATTTATTATGTTAGGTAGGTAGTATAATTACTAAATTAGAAAATAATAACTTTGTTTTGAGACAGACGAAAATGAAAAATAACAACTTTTCAATGGGAGGAGTGAGTATTAATTTTGCAATTCTCCATATTTAGATTCTCAAAAAATAGTAATTCAAGCCATATATAGAGACAATCTTCTTTTCAAATGTTTGAGAGTTAACTCGATCACGAGTTCACTTAGGGTGTGTTCATTTGTAGAATTTTGATAAAATTCTACTATTTATCCAAAATTTTCTCCTAAAAAATATTAAATTAAATATCTATTTTTTATTTTTTATATTATACTAAAAATAAATTTTACATTCAAAATACCGCATCAACACCTATTTATATCACATTATACAACTATTCAAATTCAAAATTTTTACTATTCAAATTCCAATTTAAAATTCAAACCAGACAAACACACCCTTGTACTATTCTTTGTGGAACTATAGATTAACTATCCGTTATTATGCTCATTTATTATTATTTTTTTTTTTAAAAAAAAAAAGGCTGCCGTCAGCCGTCGAACTCAATTCAACGGCGTCGTTTTCCACGTCGTCCGCCAGCTGAAATTTTTTTCGCTACAAACGTGTTCACATTGGAACAACGATTTCATTTCATAAAATGCGACTATAGTATAATTAAAAGTCAGCCTTATCCAATAACTCTTCTATCATTTGGCGTTGCAAGTAATAATAATAGGCGTTGTTTGTAGGAACCAAACACAAACAAAAATAAAAAAAATAAAAAAAAAAGTCCACTAAACACGCAAGTAAACATATTTGATTATTAAAAGAAGACGATGGTGTGTTTATTTTGTAAAATAATTTGAAAATATATTTTTTTATAAAAAATTATGTAAATAATATATAAAATAATAAGTACGTATGATATATTAATTATTTGTAAAAAATATATTTGTTTTTGACAAAAAAGAACAGACTCTCAAATGTGTTTATTTTAGTATTCTATTTTTAGTTTATTTATTAAAATTTTAATTTAAATAATATTTTACGAAATAAAATAATGTATTATATTATAATTGTAGGGTTTTTTTTTTTTTTTTTTTAAGGGTTAAAATCGAACAAACCCATAAATAGGACATTTTTGTGACTTCGAAGCTAAGACAGGCTTGACTTATTCTTACAAGCATCGGATTATTATGAATAATTACAAAGAGGACATAAATGTCACCAACATTACAAATACAATGATAACTATTTATTGGAGCTATATAATTTAATACACGCGTTTCCCAATTTATTGTACGGCACAAATTTAAGGCTTCCATTTATACGTGTTTTGTTTTTATTTCAAACATTTTTATTTTTTAACTCAATTCTATTTTCAATAATATATATATATATATTAATAAAATATTATATAAAAGTACAAATTAAATTATAATTTAAATAAAAAATTCAAACTAAAACACAACCAAGCAAATCCCATTTGGATCTAATTTTCACATTATATAGGTTCCGAATAGATAGAAATTTATCAAAGCTTTGAAATTTGAATGATTTTTTTTAAAAAAATATATATATTTGATATGATATTTTAATAAAATAATTATTTTATTTATATTTTAAAAAAATATTTAATCAGGAATATGTTTAAAAAGTGTCTACATAAATGTAACCATAATTTTTAATAAATTATTCTTTGTGGTTAAAATAACAAATTCGTCATTTTTTTACAAAATCTAATATTTTATTTTTCTTATTTATTATTATTATTTATTGAAAAATTATTGGCATTTGGATTATACGGAATGGATTTATTTATTTATTTATTTTTCAAAACTTGAATTGGATTTGAAAATATTATACATTTTAATATTATATTAAATTTTATAATTTATAATCTTCTTTTCTTAGTTAAAATTTTTTTGCACTCAATGGGAAAAAAACTTTTCCTTAATTAAAATTTCAAAAATATAAACAATTGTAAATAAAACTTAACCATAATTATTAGTTTGAATTAAGAAAATAATTATAATCATAGTAACAACCATAATTAGGGTTTTATATACAAAAAATCTTAATTAGTAATAATTCTATATTTTAAAATTTATAAATATAATAAATTTATTTGTCCAATAAAGTATAGATTTTATTTTTTTTTTTTATTTTTTTGTTCAATGGACACGTGAGTCCACATCTCTGATCCATGGCTCAATCCAAAAGGCGAATCGATTTCAAATTAAATTTTATTTTCTATTTAATATATTGTTCACTTACTAAAATTGATTTTAGGAAGGAAAAATATTTCCATTTTTTAAAAATTAAATAATTGATTCAATATATGTGGTTTCTCAAATTATCCCAATAATAAAATTTCAACATAAACTCTGAAGGCTGTTTGTTCATATTAATATTAATTTGTCGACATAATAATTTCACCATCATTAGACAATCAGGTAATAACTTGACCCGACCCGAATTAATTGAATATATTTGACAAATTGTTCTTAGCCGACATTGCAATCATATTAATGCCCCAGCTGCTACATTATTTAATTATTCCCTCCAACTATAGTAGATTTTTTTTATATTTATCTCATTAAAAGATCTTTGTAATTTTTAAATATATATATATTTTTGCATTTGTAAGAATAAAAACACTAACAAAATACAATTATTTTTTAATTTATAAAAAAATAAAAATGCATTCCATTGGAACGAAACTCATACTTAATTATAATTTTGTCACTAACATAATTACATTATTACCCATCGAAGCTCTTCAATTAACAATTATACATATTTATTTAGTTTTATTATAGAATTTTCAATATTAAATTTAACATAGTTTTTTATTGAAAAAACGACAATACGTAAATATATATATTTATATATAAATTGAAAATTTTATTTTAATAGCATTATTCAAGTAAGATTAAATAATAAATAAATAAATTAGTTTAACCCACTAAGGCACTCTCTTTGTTCCCACTATTCCCACAATGACCATTAAACCCCTCACTCACTCAGCCATAAATCACAATTCTCCTCCCTATAAATATACCCTAACTCCAACCTGCTCTGCACTCCCACCGCCATTAACGCGCCATGGAAGCATTCCTCTTTGCATTCCTTTCGATCCTCTTTTCTCTCCAATCCCACGCCGCCTACGTCGGAATCAACTACGGTCGCATCGCCGACGACCTTCCGCCGCCGCAGCAGGTGGTGGAGCTTCTAAAAGCGCAGGGGGTTACCAAAGTGAAGCTGTACGACACCGATTCTACAGTACTCTCCGCTCTCTCCGGCTCCGGTATCTCCGCCACCGTCGCGCTGCCAAACGAGGAGCTCGCCGCGGCGGCGGCTAACCAATCGTATACTGACGAGTGGATTCGATCGAATGTGGTTTCGTACTATCCGAAGACGCTTATCGACGCCATTGCTGTTGGTAATGAAGTGTTTGCTGATTCGAATAACACTACGCAGTTCCTCGTTCCTGCAATGAAGAACGTTTACGCCTCGCTTGTTCGATACGACGTCGCTTCGTCGATTAAAGTTTCGTCTCCTGTTGCTCTCAGTGCTCTCCAGAGTTCGTACCCTCCGTCCGCTGGTTCCTTCAAATCCGAACTCGTTGAGTCTGTGATTAAGCCGATGCTCGACGTCCTGAAGCAGACTGAATCCTATTTAATGGTGAATGCTTACCCGTTCTTCGCCTACACAGCCAATACGGACACGATCTCGTTGGATTACGCTCTGTTTCGAAACAATTCCGGTAATATCGACTCCTCCAACGGACTTGTCTACAAAAGCTTGTTCGATGCTCAAATCGACGCCGTTTACGCAGCAATGGAGAAACTAGGGTTCCACGACGTGAAATTGGTGGTTTCCGAGACCGGTTGGCCATCCAAAGGCGACGAGAACGAAATTGGAGCAAGTCAGGAGAATGCAGCAGCTTACAACGGCAATCTGGTTCGCCGAGTGCTCACCAGCGGCGGAACACCTCTCCGGCCGGCCGATCCTCTCAATACCTATTTATTCGCTCTCTTCAACGAGAACCAAAAGCCAGGTCCGACTTCCGAGAGGAACTACGGACTATTCTACCCTAACAAGCAGAAAGTCTACGATATTCCTCTCACGGCGCAGGATCTCGCTAACTCCCCCGGAATGATGAACGGAAGCAAGAGCCAGGTGTCTCCGGCGCCGGCGCCGCCTCAGACCGGAGCTTCGGAGACATGGTGCGTCGCGAATGGCGAAGCCAGAGCTGAGAAACTGCAGGAAGCGTTGGATTATGCTTGCGGCGAGGGAGGAGCTGACTGCCGTCCGATTCAACCGGGTGCCACGTGTTACAATCCTAACACACTACAGGCGCACGCTTCCTACGCCTTCAATAGCTTCTATCAGAGGCATAGGCGTGTGAGTGGCACGTGCGACTTTGCTGGTGCTGCCTATGTCGTCACTCAACCTCCCAGTGAGTTTGTTATAAATTACTTTTTTTTTTTGGTATCTTTTTATTTTATGAAAAGTTTGATAAATTCTTGTATTTCAATTTAGTAATGAATTGTTTGTTTGGAATTTTGCAGAATTTGGTAGCTGTGAGTTTCCAACTCGGAACTGAGTTTCATTAGCAGTTGGTGGTGGGTAAGAATTTTATTTTTATTAAATTTTTTATTATAGTCATTTTAATTTTTATATAGATTGATTTTTATTATTGTAATTAGCTTTATTGTTTGGTGGGAGATTGGTATTATTTTAGATGGTTATTGGTTTTATTTTGACATTGCCTTTTCATTTCCTAATATTTCTCCATCTATATACATATATATATATATATATGTAAATATTGCAGGGTGGTAATTGAAATAGTTTTAATTTTATTGAGTGGCAATTTAAATTTATTAAAACGTGATATTTCTACTACTGCTAAATATTATTATAATATTTAGCAATTTAGTATTAAAAATCATAAAAATAATATTTCATCCATAAAAAACTCATGCCCATGGACAGGCAGGAGTTTTGAAAAAAGTGGGTACAAATATAATTTTTTGATTTTATAGTAAAATTAAAATATAAAAAAAAAATATTTTTTATTAAAAGGTAAATGAAAATATTTTTGAATGATAATCAAAATAAATAAATAAATTTGTATTTGGATGACGAAGGAAATTGTAATATATATAAAATAATCTGCTAAAGAATTTTGCAATTTTCCAGAGCGTAAGCCCAGTTTAAGAAACAATTCTGGCCCAATAGACCAAAACGACGTCGTGTGAAGAAATATTAAAATTAAGCAATGGATTGGAGATTGGTGGGAGAAGGCGGAGTGGGTTGGCGCAATTGATGAAAGTAGACCAACGTTCGTGATACAATATTCTAATTTGCTGTAATATTAGTTTTTTTAGAAAATAAATTATTACTAATTTCAAATATATTTAACAAATACTAACTTTATAATATCCATTCCGTCTATTTAATATTTTTTTCACATAATTTAATAAATATTGAATTTTAATGGCAATTGATAATAGTTTTGATATATAAAACTATTTTATTTCTACAATGTATAAAATTAATGTGATCATATTGATGTAAATGAATATACATGTGAAAATATTTGTAGGGTGTGTTTGTTTGAAAGATTTTGGAGGATTTTCACTATTCATCCAATTTTTTTCCCCCAAAAACATCAAATCAAATACCTATTTTTCATTTTTTATATTATACTAAAAATCAATTTTACATTCAAAACATCACATCAAACCCTATTTATATCACATCATACAACTATTCAAATTCAAAATTTTTACTATTCAAATCTCAATCCAAAATCCAAACCCCCAAACAAACCCGTAATATATTATTGATTTATGTATACTAAAAAATATATATATATATTTTTTATAATATATATATTATAACATCAATTGTGTATTATAAAAATGATATTCATATCAAATATAACATAATTGAATTCGTAATTGATATTAAATAATTATTTAATTTTGTACATATTCAAATTGCAAGTTTGCTCAATTGGATCAAGAGGCAAATTTATGTCTTTGTTCTAAATTTTAAAAATATAAAAAAAATTACATGCGGTTGACACACTAACCAGGTTAGCTATCTCGCATTTGACGAGCATTTAAATTTAAAATTTTCAATTAGTTTATATTCAAAATTTTCTTTTATAAATACAAAAAGAATATTTTTATAAAGAAAAATTACTTAATAAAAAAATAGTATATCTTATATTTATTTAACATGTAAAACGAGGATACAATCTAGTGGTAGACTATACTGTTTTTTTTTTTTTGTTGGGGTTTGTTTGGTTTGATTTGAATATAAAATTTGTTTTTTTAATTTAAGTTGAAATAATTAAATAATAAAAATTGAAATAAAAAATTAATTAAAAAAAAAAAACAAATGTAGTTTAATAACCAAACAAAGGTCTTTATAACCAAAAGTGGAGGCCCATATACTTTTGGGTAACTTATGGTATGCTCCAATTTAAGAGGTCTATAATTTGAATGCAAGTGAAATGATGGATCAAATTGCAATATGTGGTTTGTGGGAACGCGTGAGAAGGTAGGGCGGCATAAATTATCCATTAAAATTAATTATAAATTAGTCCCAAAATTCGAAATATAAAATATAAAATTATTATTGAAAAATAAACGCAGGGCAGTTGGCCCCCAACCCTCTCTTTTTTTCCACACAGTAGAGAGAGAGAAGAGAGAGAGAGAGCCCCAAAAAATAAAGGAGAGGAGTTTCTGATTTTCATAGCAAATCTCATTCACATCTCCTCTCTGTAGCGTTGATTGTCCTTCTGTATATATGGATCGAGCTAGATTCGTGTTCTGTGACTTTTGATTTTTGAAATTTTTTCTAGGGTTTAGTGTGTTGCCTTTTTGTGGTGTTGTGCTTAATCGCTTGATTTGCGCGATGCGGAAGGGCAGAGCAGCGGCGGCGGTGGCGGCGGCGGAAGCGAACGGATCTGGAGGATCCAAGGAGATCAGGTTCAGAGGCGTCCGGAAGCGGCCGTGGGGACGGTACGCGGCGGAGATCAGAGATCCTTGGAAGAAGACTCGCGTCTGGCTCGGCACGTTTGATTCGGCGGAGGACGCCGCTCGGGCGTACGACGCCGCCGCGCGGTCGCTGCGCGGCGCTAAGGCGAAGACGAACTTCCCTCTCCCCGCCGGCGCCGCCGTTTTCCACGATTTCAGCGCTCAAAACCCTAACCGACCTCCGATCAACGGTGGTTCCAACGATCCGTTCACGGATTCGAGATACTTCCCCTCGGATCCGATGATTGCGCACCAGCGGCCGACTTCGAGCGGCATGAGCAGCACCGTGGAGTCCTTCAGCGGACCGCGGCAGCCGCGGCCGGCGCGTCCGGTCGAGCACCACGAAAGGAGACATCCTCGGTCTCCGCCGGTGGTTCCCGACGACTGCCACAGCGACTGCGATTCTTCTTCCTCCGTGGTTGATGATACCGAGTGCGACGTCGCTTCATCCTCCTGTAAAAAACCTCGTCCCTTCGATCTCAACATGCTGCCGGCGGCGGACTGTCCCGCCGCCGACCTGGACGAGCTTGCTTGTACGGCGCTCCGGCTTTGAGTTTCAGAGGCGTCTTCCTTCGCCGATGAATCTCCGATTGATGTGCTGGAAGAAATTTACCCTCAATTTGGTTCCTATTACTTAATTTTTCTCGCTTTCTTTTATTCTGCGGAAAAAAATGGAGTATTAAAAAAAGTTATAAAGAAGAGGGGAATGGCCGCCATAGACAGGTCTGAAGGAGCTCTGAAACCTAATAGTCAGTCTGTCTTTGTCTTCTACGAATGTGTGTTGTTTGATGAGAATTTACTCTCTGAAAGTTATATACTCTAATATTATCTCTATATCTATACATCTATATATATATATATATATTACATTATGGTGGATCTTTGATCATGTTTCTTGAATGTTCTTGATGGAAAATGTGCTTTATATGTTTTTGAGGTTTTTATGTTTGGATTTGAAAGTTTCGTGAATGCAAATTAGGTTTTCGGGTGTGAATTAGTCGTGGGATGTCGATATTTTTTAGGGTTGGAATGATACATTGTGATAAACATGATCTAAATCTGTCATTTTCCATGGTGTTTAGGGTTCTTGTAACATATTGGTGCACCTTTGTGATATTGCTCTGTATTGTTATGTAAATTCTTGATTGTCGACGATTTTTATTTATGTTTACGAGGGTTCTATGCCATCCGGATTTATGTTTTGTTAGTAACTATGCTCGTGTAGGGCTTTGCCGATATTGTTTGATGTTGTTTTTACTTCAATTGAAATGTTGTTTGCTTGTTTTGGATTGTTATGCTGCTGAATTATGGTGTTGTCTTTCGATTTTTCATTTCATCTTGTTGTGATCATAAATTGTGTATTTCTTCGGGGTAGTTTCTTTCTTTTTCTTTGTCGTTGTTCTTGTTAAGATTCGACTCGGAAGGATATTATAATTTGTGTGCTGGATTTGGTTTATGTTTTGCTTTTGCATTCAATTCTCACATTTGGATATCTGCAGCTTATGTATAAGATGATTTTGTACATGACTATAAATTATATATAAAACTATAAACAGATTATTTTTTATTTTTTAAAATAAAAGGTTCATAGATTAAATAATACAAGCATCTACACTGTGTTTATTTTTATAGCTTTCTGGCAACCAAAATTCAAATGTTGAATGAATTGTGGCTTTGTGTCCTTTTTTAGTTTTTTCAAATTTCAGTTGCTGTGTTGCAATTTAATTTCGCTTTATTTGTGTAAGTATATATAAAATAATTTGGTAAAGTGGTATGCAATAATGTATTTTACTAAAACGATGAATTTGGGGATGAAAAAGAGGATGTCCCTTTATTGTTTGTCTCTCTACTCTACTAGAAACAAAGGGTATGTTTGTTTAGATGGTTTTGAAAAAATTTGATTTGAGGTTATTATTAAAATAATGTACTCTACTTTTCATTTATCGTCTGTGTCTTATTTATTTTTTACTAATGCAGTTGTAATAAATTTTTATAAAAATAATTTTATCATCAAGTCGGTTAAAATTAACACATTCAAAAAGTTTATCTATTAAAAAAGTGAAATTTCAATTAGATTTTTTTAAAAAAATATATAACAAATATTATTGTATATATTGTAAATAAATATTGAATATAAGTTAATAATTAAATAAGGACTAATTGATTTTTATCAAAATTAATAATAAAAGAAAAAGAAAAATTAGTGTACTTTTTGTTTCTTTAAGCTATGAATGGTATGAGAATAAATTATTTACTTTAATTATTCAAAACTTAAAAAGAAGTTTAATAACGAATGCTTCTGGACTCCTCTAATAACTTCAATACCAGTATACCACTGCTCGTGGAAAGACCATAATACCCTCGACACGGTGGGGGTAATAAGGGTATTTTGCTTTTGGGGCAGATGTGAATCAACCAAATCGAGTTCAGACCGTCTTAAATCCCAGCTAAAACCCTTGCCTTCTTAGCTCCACCGTCGCCGGTTAATCCTCCTCCTCCTCCTCCGCCGCCGCCGCCGAAATGTCCCTGAGAAAATTAGCTGCCAGTCTCTTGAGAACCGCTTCTAGTGGGAGCCGCGCGTTCCGCTACGGCCGCCCCGAAAGCTTGCATTTCCGGGCACCATCAAGTCAGTTAGTATCTCCGCGCGGAATCGTTGATCAGGTATTGCCTTTTATTATCCAGAATCAGTTATAGCTTTGATTCTGTTTTCGGATTTTAGTCGATTAATTTCGTGCTCGGTGATTTGGTTTGTTAACGCGGAGAAGCTGTGGCTTCGAGGTGACATGGATAGTAGATAAGCGATTCATGATAATTGAAGGTCTATTCTAGTTGATTTTTTTGGATGTTTTGGCCATTTGATGCTTTCTGCAGTTTTTTTGTGTCCCCCAAGACTGAATTTTTCAGCGTTTTTATGAAGCTATTAATTTGTTGAATTGCGCCATAATTATTTCCTGCTTTGGTGTGTTGAGTTCTTCCTCCAAACAGTAAGCCTTCAATGAGTTACTGCTAATTATACAGACGGTGGTAGAAATGAACGCAACGTTTGTGCTGGAAACTTATTTTTCTGTTCCTAATTGTTGGGAAAGCAAACTCAAGTCGCACATCCGAAGAACAAATAATAAAATCATTGGTTATAAATTTGCATCTAATTACACATAGTATGAGATTTTTTGGAAAGTACATAAGCAAATTTAAGGGTTTGGCCCAAAGCCAAAATATCATATTAGCTTGGAGTTACACCGGTCCCAACATATTGTATCAGAGCCAAGTTCAAATGAGTTAGTTGGTGGACTAGGTTGGTTGTACGAAGTGTGATTGGAATCTTTGTTTTTGGTGCCTTATTTCGACAGTTTTCTTGACATTGTGGTGGTTGAATGTACGAGTTCTGTGGTCCTTAGTTTGAGAGGAGGATTTGTTGAAAACATAACAAATTCAAGTCTCATGTTGGAAAAATATAGAGGAAAAAAAAATTATTGGTTATAAGTTAGCATCTAATTCCATGTAGTATGAGGTCTTTTTGGAGAAGTTTAAAAGCAAATCCGTCTAGGATTAACCAAAAACGGACAATATTATAGCATTGTGGAGTTACACCAGCCACAAAATTAATGTTCCATGGCTTTTTGCTAACTCTTGCTATATTAAAAGTTATTTGGTAAATGAAATAGATTATGTGACAAATGGTTTTTGGAAATTTTAAATTATCTTCGGCACATCATATATGCAATTTAATCGCCCATGAGCTTCTGATCCTAACTGTAATCACAAGATGTAATCGATTTCGTCGGAAGCTAAGGTATTTAAAACCCAACTTCTATTTTGTTCTTCTCTTCAGGGCGGGGATGCCTTTTATTTGTGTGAAATTTATGGGCGACCGATGTTGCCATATTAATTTTCAGTATCTTGGTTTTGAGCATTCTGCCTTTGCTTTTTCGTTATGTTGAAAGTGTTTTTTTTATTTAAGTTAGATGTAGTAATGTGTTGTTTTGCGTTGATTTCAGGGGTTCCGTGGGCAGCTACTGTCTCAACATCGACCGGCCTTTAATTCATCATCCTGTAATTGGTTTCGATTCTCGTCATCTGCATCTCCGCAGTCCAATGATAAGGAGACTGTTAAATCTGGAAATGGACAAGAGAAGGGAAGTGACACTCATCAAACTGAAGCATCCGCATCTTCGGAGTCCAAAATGAAAGGGACTGCTGAATCTGGAAATGGATCGGAAAACCAGGGGAAGGGTGCAGGTGTAGCAGAGTCATCTTCTGAAGGAACTTCTGAATCAGGTTCCGTCACTAAATACATCCAACAGCTGACTGTACTAGACTGAATGCCGAACTTACTAACATCTATGATTCTTTCGCAGATTCGGAAAGTGACCTCACAAGGGATGATCTAGTGAAACTCGTGGAGGAAAAAGAGCAACTTCTTTTGTTGAAGCAGGAAGAGCTCACGCAAATGAAGGATAAGATCTTGAGGAGCTATGCAGAGATGGAGAATGTTATGGAGCGCACTCGCCGTGAATCTGAAAATGCAAAGAAATTTGCGATTCAGGTTGGCTTATATTACTCGATACTGTTTTATTTCCTCGATCAGCGATCATCATTCATTCTTGATGATTTAATGTAATACTATGCAGAACTTTGCAAAAGGCCTTTTGGATGTGGCTGATAATTTGGGCAGAGCTTCTTCTGCTGCTAAAGAGAGTTTTTCAAAAATTGATGCATCTAAAGATACGACTGGAGCCGTTCAACAGCTCAAAACACTTCTCGAAGGTGTCGAAATGACTGAAAAACAGTTGACAGAGGTACTAATCTTTCTATCTGCTTTTCGGGTAGGCTGCATGGTACAGTCTTAGTTCTTCTTGCGTTGTCCTTCATTTACAGCGAAAATATATTCGTACATTAATCTATCTAATATGTTGTAGTCAGACAAATGTGTTGCTAGATCCTTCATCATAATATGTTACTGGAAATGGATTTATTGTGATCTTGTGACTGGTGCATTAAATTTTGGCTGGACAACCAAAATTTCGGGATTTTGGAGTGAAACTAAATTTCACATACAATCTTTGTTTGTAGAATTTCTATCTTCAGTGGCAATCCATAAATTGGATTGAAATTTCTCGAAATTTTGTCTTTTTAAATTTACTTTTTATTTATGTTGATCCTCCCGGAAATTCGATTTGGTTTTAAATATTGTATTTGATAAAAAAAAATGCATGAATTTTATTGTAATATTATTAGTGAAGTTAAATTATTATTCAAATTTATAATTTTGTCTGAACTTCTACTCTAATTTATATATACCAGTTAGCAGTCATTCTTCTTTGAAAGAAGCCAAACAAAATTTGAAATTTTCTGTAATTTACATGTCCGAGATCGACTTTGAAACTGAAATTCGATACCATGCCTGTGACTATCGACATTGACAATTGCAACCTAATGCACACTTATTTCTTTGTTATTCTAGGTTTTCAAAAAATTCGGGTTGGAGAAATACAACCCTGTGGATGAAGAATTCGATCCCAACCGGCACAATGCCGTATTCCAAGTACCCGACGCATCAAAACCAGCTGGCCAAGTCGCAGTAGTTCTAAAGGTAACTTGAAGTTCATCGTTACTAGGCATATGCAATTCCGGCTTGCAGTCATTAGTCCAAAACTTTTCAAGAACCTTGACTTTTTAAACAGCTGCAAAATTACAAACTTACCCATTACTTTCCTTCTCAGGCCGGATACATTCTACACGGCCGGGTTGTAAGGCCAGCTGAAGTCGGTGTGACAGTGGCTGTCGACAATGAGGAAGCCGGGAAAGATCCTGAGGCCTAAACGAGGTAGGGATAGCTTGACTTTTACATCATATCTTTACTGTGTGACAATGTGTTCTACATTCGTAACTGGAAATATCCGTGTTTCGATTTCTTTGCAGTCGAATGTTCTTGTGTGGATTCATTTTTACAACTTTGATATATTTGGTGGTGAGAATTTTGGGCATGGAATATGTTAGGAATACTCAGGATTGAAGAGGATGGTTTTGTTGCACCATCTTATAAGTGAATAAAGAGGTGCACTTTTATTTGATGCCATCAATACATAGAAAAGATCGGTTGAATTGGGTACAAAGTATGTTTGAAATATTATTTGGCAATGTTAAATTGTGCTAGTAATTTTGAATATTGCATATTTTGCGAGAGTAAAATAGTGTATTAAATTTTTTTTTTTAAATCGAAAAATCATGGCAAGATAATCCAAAACCTATTTAAAATATACTATTTTTCATCTGTCTTTAGGGATTTTATTTACTTTTGAATATTAATTATTATATCAAAATATAATACAATCATATTGAAAAATATTTATACAAAAATTATAGAATATTGGTAAATGTGACCTTAGATTATTCATAAAAACCTTGCCAAAATAAAATTAGCAAAAATTGTATAAGAATTCATATTCATGCTTGTGTACTTTCGTTATCCAAATAGGAGTTCAAATATTTAAATATGATTTTTCAATAAAAATAGTTAATAATTACTCCCTCCCTCTATTCTAGTATCAATTTTTTTATTTTTTTTATTTTGGTCTGTTTTTTATTTATTTTTTTTTTTATAATTATACTATCTAGCTAATATTACAAATATCTTTACAATTTTCAATATATTACACAAATATTATTATTTTTAGTTATTTTAGTTATTTTTACTTTATTCCTGATGGAGTATTATTTTTAATAGTAAAAAGAGAAAACAACCATATATATTTATTTATATATATATATTTTATGACAGCAACAAAAAGGGTAAATATACATTTGGACACACAACACAAGGAGTATATATATGTATAGTAAATAATCTTCAACAAAATAACAACCTTGATAATTTTATTTCATTTTTCTACGTACGATTTTATATAAAAAATACACACCATTAGGAATATTAAAGATCACAATTGAAGTAAAGAAATCTGAGCTTCATAAAAGAAATAGAATTCGATCCAAATTTGACATAAACGTAAAATATCTTAGCAAACTTATATGGGATTATTTCCCCAAATTAGCCACTCCTTACTATCAACTTAACAGAAAAATCGAACACAGATAGCTTAGCTTAGCCCAAACCCGATGTAGATTCCTTCTTCGGCCCATCATCAGTCTGTACACGAGGAGGCCGAGCTATCCGGTCAATGAGACCATATTCGAGGGCTTCCTGAGAATTAAACCGTTTCATTCGACTTAGGTCGCTGTAAACCTGCATATTAACCATACACAAATTATTTTTGCCAACAAGGGAAACAAAATCCAGAATTCAATGCCAATTTTGATAAGTCTACTATATATATATATATATATATATGTACCTTCTCGACCGGCTGGCCTGTTTTCTGAGCCAACTCTTTGAAAAGATAGTCCCGTATCCTCATTAGCTCATCTGCCTCGTTGCAAATGTCATCAGCCTGCAGAGATTATTTTCAGGACTTTTAACATCGCGCAGAAAGGAAAAGAAATGTAGGGATTTGTAAACAAGATTAAGGCTTGTCTTTAGTACCTGTCCACGAGCAGCTCCTGCAGGAGACTGCAATGCAATTCGAGCCAGGGGCATTGCAAATCTATTACCCTAAAGGAGGAATCGACAGTGAGAGATTGGAACCAAGACATACAACTCTATGTTTCATCACAGAAATAGATATGAATGAAAATAAAGAGCATCCAATCGAATCCAAAACCTCAAGAGAAAAGACTCGAGTGTGTCCATCAGTGTTTTCGATCTTATTTCTGCACTATACGGTCCACAATTAAAATAATTTTTCCCCTAAAAACCATCAAAGGCAATATCTATTTTATATTCAAAAGATCATGTTTAAAACTAATTTTTCCATTGAAATCATCACATCTGAAACTGATCCCTGTTTCAAATTTTTTGAAAATATAATATACTCCAAAACATTTTGAGTTGCCACACAATTCCCAAAAAATATTACCTAAAAATACAATATACAATATATACAAACAACAATAATAGTCAACAAAAACATACAAAACATCGTTCACTTTGATACTTTCACAATTCTTGATACTTTACAACAAAAACTGGAAACACTAAACACACACACTCTTTGTTTTCGTTTGTATTTTGTATTTGCATAGTAGTTTGATTTAATATTTTGTGAAGGGAATAACAGACTTTTTGAGGAACTTGGGGATTGCATAATAACAAAACAGAAAAAAGTTTCTAAAAGAATAGAGCTAGAAATTGGGCATTTTAGGTATATTGGTGGTTTTAAAAATAGTAAAAGTTTGAAGGAACATTACATGTTAAAATATAATGTCTTTTCAGGAGGGGGAAGCCAATTGTATAATATCGAAACAAAAATGGAAGCACAAACTAGCAAACAGCATGGGTAAAAGCTCTAATATAGTAAAAGTGAAGAAATATATATACCTTTTCTCCAGCGGCAAGGAGAAAGCCGGCGAGATTATATGCGAAACCAACACAGTGTGTAATGACGGGACTTTTCAAGCTTTGCATAGTGTCGTAGATAGCCATGCTAGGTGTGAGCTGCAAATGTTTTGAAAGTTCAGAAAAAGGAAGACGAGAATGCATAAAATCAGAAACACAATTTAAGCGAGTTGCAGATAAAGAACTTACATCCCCCCCTGGACCATTGATGTACATATAAAGCTTCTTCGAATCATCAATACTGTCGAGGTATAACATGGACGCAAGTATCTGATTGCTGAACTCTTCATCTATGTGTTGCCCAATAAAAACAACGCGCTCTCGGTACTGCAGTTTTGAAAGGGGAGAATTTATGTTGGATAGATATCACGAAAAGAATAGAGGATATGTACAGAGGAAGGGGTTTCAGAATCCATGATCGGTATCAATACCGTATCTGTATCAGCAAAAAATGAAATTCCCAATTCATCATAACGTATACAGAATGACTTTATGATTAAATGAAAATCCGAACACTCATTTTCAAGGTTTTGATTAGTCAGATGAACTCATTAAATCATTCGATTTTATTGTAGCAATTACAAGATGACTTACGAGAGCATTCCACAAGTCAATCCAATGCCAAGTTCCCTCAGTAGGGTTTCTGTAGGGAACTCTCGGTGTACCAATAGGCATCATTGAAATACGGCCTCTCGTAGCTTTTCCAGATCTAGGATAAGATAAACCAATTGATTATTAGGGTTTCAAAAGTATAACGTGCAAATCAGCAAAATCATCAAATGCATCATCGAAAGAATGTTGAATTAAATCAAATATAGCTTATGATTTCCAATTTCGAAATGATTCGCATATCAGCAAAACTTTAAGATTTTAATTAACCCAAATTGAGTAAAACGTGCGAATCAGCAAAAACTTCCAAATGCATCATTGAAATAATGTTGCATTCAATCCAATATAGCTTAATGATTTCCGATTTTGAAATGATTCACACATCAGCAAAACTTGAAGATTTTAATTTACCAAATTGAGTAGTACTTGAGTATCAGCAAAACCACTCAAATCATCAAATGCATCACTGAAAAAATGTTGCGTTTGATCAAATAATGCTTAATGATGCTGAATTTTTCGAAATGATTCGCACAGCAGCATCAGTTGAAGATTTTGATTGTAAGACAACAGAAAATGAAACAAATAACTGCAAGAACACATTTCTGAAATACTACTCCCGAAATCCAATAATCAATGCTTCAAATGTGCACGACCAATAGCTTAGAACATTCTACCAAGAGAAACAATGTAATGTTCAACCGAATGAACTTTCCAATTTACAATATAACACATATGGTGAAATTTTCGTATTTAGAACTAATTGCACTTTAGCAGAAACCCTAACTGTAAACCAATGATAAAATGCATAAATCCTTCTTCCAAATAACGCCTTTTCATACGCAGAAACAATCCAACTATACAGAATTTTACCTGGATTCAATGCTCTTGTAAACTTTACTGTGAAATTCCACATTCAAATTAGGCTTTACGACGCCATAACAACCTGCGATATTTTCCGAAAAAGTAAAAATTGGCAAGTCTAAGACAATTGCTTGTAGAATTCGAACACAGACCTGGAGACTGAGCTCTTAATCCCACGTAAACTTTGCTGGCGCAGCTGTAAATGAGCAAGATAAAAAGAAACGAAAACACACACAAAATTTAGGGTTGATAAAATAAATAAAAAAGAAGAAATTCGATTCCATGGTCGTGTCCAGGGGCGAAGGATAACCTGAGGGAGGGTTGAGTAGCTTCAATGGTGGAGTAGAGGCAGGATGGAGGAGGAACCGCCATTGGAAGAGCGCGAGTGAGGAGACCTCAGGCAGGAGACAGACTCAAGTAATTGGATATTTGGTTTGTGGAAAACCAGGTCGAACTCAGATCCATTTGTTTGACCCGAAACAGTTTGGGTCGGTTGATACCCGTTTTTATTTTTTATTTTTTAAAAATTAAATTAATTTTTTTGGAATTATATATGATTAATACAAAATATATATAGGATGTGTTTTTTTTGCAAAATTTCTCTACATTTTACTATTTTAATTTGTTTTTAAAAAAATATATATTTTTTAATAAAATATTTTATCAATCATAAGTTTTATACCAAATTTAAATCAATTTTTTTTCAAATTTGTAAAAGAAACACTTCAAACTCATAATTTGTTTCTTTATCATTATTGTTTAATTATATTTGAATTAAATTTAAAATTTTGTTTAAATAAAATTTTATTAGATAATATAATCAATATGTTCACTTACCATAAAATAAAATAATTATTTATAAATATTATTAAAAAAATACAAATATACCTACATTAATATAATATAAAATTATACAGCAAAAATTAATTATTTAATATAAAATATTATTTTTGATATTATGCAGCTACATACGACACACAAAAAAATCTTTTATAAAATTAACAAATACTTGAATAATTTATTCGAAACGACGTCGTGTCGCCCTGCCATTTACCTTTTCCACCCTAAAACCTTTTCTTCGCTCCAACGTTCTTCTCTGTCTGCTTAGCTATGGCGACCGAGCCGGCGAAATTGCTTCTTCCTTTCCTCCAAAGAGCCGATGAGTTGCAGAAGCACGAGCCTCTCGTCGCCTACTACTGTAATCTTAATCTCCTTACCATCAAACCCTTGCTTACCGTTGATAATCAGTGATAGCCTCTGGTTATGGTGTACCTTCATGATTTTTTTATTTTTGTGTATTTTTTGATCGATTTGAAACATCTAACAGGTCGATTGTACGCCATGGAGCGAGGATTGAAGATTCCACAGCAAGATCGCACCAAAACCACCAACTCCCTGTTAGTTTCTCTCATGGGTCAGCTTGAAAAGGTTTTTGCCCTAATTTGATTCTGCCTAATTTAATTTTGTCCATTTCGTTGTGTGTTTTTTTTCATAATTGAATTCAATAAACCCTTGCTAATTAGTATCGATTATCACTCCATTATTAGTTTAAATCATTTTTCCAGCGTAGGAAATTAATTTTGCATTTTGGAATTTTGCACATATTGTGGAGATTTGTTGTGATACTATATATGATCATACATTGTGATGGCCTTTGGTGGCTTATTTTCGATTTGATTGGCTGGTTTGACAGGATAAGAAGTCATTGAAGTTGTCACCGGATGATTATCTATATGTAGAGGGATTTGCATCGAATGTTTTTGCGAAGGCGGACAAGCAAGATCGCGCGGGAAGAGCTGATTTGTATGTAATTTCTCTGCTCGGTCTCGTTGCTAGTTTCAGTTGCATTTCATCTGTGATTAGATGTGATTGAAAATGGTTTCATATTATTATCTCAATGCATGTCATTGTTGCCTTTTTGAAGGTTTAGATTCTTGTTTTGATGATCCCTACTCCCGATGAATAAATGTTATGAATTTCAATAACTCCGCTTAGACACAAGTTCCGGAGAACTGAGAGAATAGTAAGAAGTTAAAGTATTTGATCTCATATTTTAAGAGAAAATATTTGATGCAATGTTTTTGAAATAAATTATTCTTGATGAATAGTGTCAAAATTCTAAAAGTGTCTATTTATAAATAAAGGCGAACTATATTTCAAGTTATGCGGCATTTTTTGAAGATAGCTCAGATATCCCTTGATGACACTTAGCTTGACTGATGAATAGTATATATATATTTTTTCCGGAGCTTGAAAACATGGAGCTGATTGATATGTGTGTTCTTTCTCTGATTATTACAGGAACACTGCAAAAACTTATTATGCCGCAAGCCTTATCTTTGAAATCCTTAACCAGTTTGGTCCACTTCAACCCGAAGTAAGTTTATCTTTAATTCTGTGAAATATCCTGAAAACTAATTCCTCCCTTTCGCTTTTTTGGCATCAGATGATTCTTCGGTTTACATATTATATCTATTTTCACTTCTTTCGTAATCAACCTGATTTTTTATGTATATAGATCGTTTTTCAATATCCATAATTCAAATTTTGTGACTACAGCTTGAGCAGAAGCAGAAATATGCAGCATGGAAAGCTGCCGACATCAGGAAAGCTTTGAAAGAAGGGAAGAAACCTGTTCCAGGTCCACCCGGTGGAGATGACGACGCATCGATCACATCAAGTGGCGAATATGTACGTCATCTCTACTTGACATTTCATTGCTTCATCCCCATTTAGATAGAAGTTTTGGAATTTTAGAAAATTTTAGTAACATCGTGAAAAGTTTAAACTATGTCCGTTTAAACCGAGTTTGATTTTGAGTTTGGTTATATCGGTAGTTTTGATGTGATGTTTTGATAAGGACCCTTCAGTGTCCGAAGATTTTTCCCAGTTCTTTTCCAAGGGGCGCGAAATCTAAATCGTTATATATTTTACTTATTCATGCAGGATCTGAATCCAACCATCGAACCGGACTCTAGTCGAGCAAATTCCTCCCCATCATTTCCCACAGATTCAGATTCAAATCTACCATCCGAGCCATTCCGTGATCACCTGCAACGCCCGACTTTCCAGCCGCCCCCTCCAAATTATCCCTATGGCAACCCCCCACCCGTCGAATATCATCAATCTCCTCATCCCGATCGATCATACCCTTCGGAATCTCACCAGCCCTACCCATCTCAAAATATGCTGCCACACGCATACCCTTCCCACACTCCACCGGCATACTTGTATCCGAATTTCCAGTCTTACCCGAGCTTCAACGAGAGCAGCCTTCCTTCGCATTACCCGACTCATTACCAGGGCTCAGATATTCCTGATTCCGTTTCGCCACAACAATCAAGTACTCGGCACAACTCGGCAGGCAGGAATTCGAGCGTGTCGGATCCATCACCGGTGTACAATGGTGGCGGTGACTATGAGCCTCCGCCGGAGCAAATCGGAGAGGCACAAAAGGCGGCGAGGTTCGCGGTGGGAGCTCTGGCTTTCGAGGATGTTTCGGTGGCGATCGAACACCTCAAGAAAGCTCTTGAATTGTTGACGAAGCCCTCATCCGCTCGCTGAATTCATAACCAAGAATTTTGTTTTTTTTTTTAAATTTTTGGAATTAGCAGTTTGATTAAACATTGGTAGATTATGTTTTTTTGCATTGGGTAAATACAAACTTAACTTGTGTTTCGTTAAGTAGAGTTTTGAGGATAAGGCTGTTTTCTTAAAGAGAACACAAGGATTTGTTTCTTTTGGAGTTGTAGTAGTTTGATACTTATTCTATCGCCTAAAGTTGTGCTCAATTTTTTTTATTATTATATTTTCTTTTATCTGTCACTTAACAATATTTTTTATTTTTTTATTTAAAAAAAAATCATTACTTTCGTATATAATTTTCTAACTATAAAGAACAAACAGCACTGTTTACTGGTAAAATTTTAGGTCTGAATTTACTATTTCAATTTTTTTTTTTTCCTAGAAAAAATCAAATCAAATACTTAATTCTTATTTATTTTATCACACTAAAATCTAATTTTATATTCAAAAAATCACATTCATACGTATTTATATCACATCAAACAATTATTTCAATTTAAAATTTTACTATTCAAAATCAAAACTCAAAACCAAAACCCTAAACCCTAAACCCAAAAATTTTAAGTACAATTTTTAGAGTCAGAAATATACTACTCCATTTTGTTAAAAAAAAAAGTAACAGAATGTACAGAATTCAATAACAGAAATACGTGTTAAAACTAAACAATATTTTCCCATGATTCATCTCTAGGTATGTATGTATCCATTTATCATAGATGATAAATGAAACCCAATTTTCTTACATCCAAATAACACATGAGTGTGCATAACATTTCCTAAATACATACAGCTACACAATAGAGGGCTCATTCTACTAACACATACATATAGCTTGATCCAATCAACCTTTGTATGGATTGTTACAATCCACGATTCCGTTAACAATTGAGTTTAGGGTCGGATCTCGCCGAAGGCTCTGCTAAGAGACACCGACTAAACGGGACAGTGTCGCTCAGCAGACATGAGCGACATCAGTGCCCACGACAATCTGATTGTCGGTGAGGAGGATTCCGGCATCTTTGAGGGTATAGCCGTGGAAGACGGGAATCGGGTATCCTTGGTCCAGTTGCAAGTTTAGGTAAGGAAATACCACTGTCCTCATCACCGTCGACACTAGAGTCTGCAAATATTGCAATGCGGCAATGCCCATCATTTCAAACACGGCACACTTTGAACATATTTGCCGACGAAAAAGATGAAGAAAATGTTGAAAATCATAAGGTTAATAAAAACTCGGTATCTAGGTCGTAGTTTTGGATTCGGATTCGGATCTACTTGTACCTAAAAAGGTTGGGAGTCAAACTTTTAGGGTCTAGGGTAAATCCCACACAATACCCTTCCAAAGGAAAATAATACTCCCTCCGTCCATTAACTATAAATCCATTTTGTCGTTTAGGACATACATAAACAATAGAAAGTTTCTTATTTGGCAAGTAGGGTTTTCATATTATTAATAAAATATCATATCATTTTACATAAAAATATCAAAATATCCCTTTCAACGCATATTCCATATCGGGTATGGACCGTCACAACTTAATGGCATTTTAGTCATTTACACACTATCTACTAAATATAAAAAGGAAAAATATTTTTAATCCCGTGTATGACCCTTCTTATTTCGATCATTCAACTACTGAAGTCTGTATAAAAATAGTGATATATCTAATCCACAGACCATGAAAATTTCATTTGATGATGAAATATTATCATATGTGCCAACATGGCCCGGTCGAAGCTGATATAAATTAGCCAAGGTTCAATATTTCAGTACCAAATGACCTTTTCAATGCCTGCATATTAGATCTATGCCTATTTACATGCAATATTCATTGAAGGACCACAATGATAGAATGTGTCACGCAAGGAACTAAAAAAATATTTATCCCAATATAAAATACTATCCCTATAAATCAATATATTCATTTATACTTAATGGACGGAGGGAGTATAAAGCATAGGCTAATTGGTCCCGAATGCTGCAAGATTTATTCTAGACTCAATCTATTGCCATCCTAATGATAACCAAAATACACATAGTTGGGAATATTCGTACCTGGATTAAATGCATGTGCAAACTGCCAATTTTGCTCCACTTAAGAGACATAGTGAAGCTGTTTAATTTTGCGACTCCAACCACAGCATTCCTCGAAATTTCAGCAGACGTAGAGGAACTGATCACCTGCAGCAGGTCGATTCTCGCTAGCTTAATCCAGATTTTATAATAGATTTTTGTGGTTTAAATGTTGAAAACATTATCTAAATCAAGTTTACCGTGGAAATGCACACCACAGGTATGATTTCGTCTGCTTCCAAAACATTAATCACCACATCTAATGGAACAACTACCCTGACCTGTTGCTCTTCAACTTCTATGGTCGGTAGAGAAGATACAGAAAGATTCAGATTCATATCGTGATTTGGATACTTCTTGTACAACTGCGGAATAATAAATTTCCACCCAGCTGTGTTCAAGAGTGATTGGTCAGGCACTTTATCGACAGTCCAAACCATCTTGTTTGCCTAATAACCAAAAAGCAAACGGTAATTTGAGTATATAATGAAATCAGCAAACCCAAAGAAAATGCAAAACAATTCAACACAAGCTGAAGCATAGAGGCAAATTTTAGTGTCGTCTCTCTTCTCAGTTAAATAAATCTCACCTCAAAATACACGGCTGATGCTGATTTGATCACATCTTCATGCACTGATATCTTGACCATTTTTTCAGCTTCGTCAGTTGAAACTAAAGCTGATAGTAACCTGTGGTGGTAGGTGGGAAGTGCAACTTTGTGCGTCTCAGAGAATAGGCCATCAATTTTAAGGCGAAGCGATGATTTATTCAATACAAGATCATCAACAAATGTCACATTCATTGCAGCAATATTTGTTACCGGTAGTTCTTTGGGAAGAGATTGCAATAATGAGTCTAGATTCACGATTGCTTCTTTGATCTTTTCAGGGATTGCATCTTCAACAGCAGAACTGATTTTACCTTCAAAGGCATCTATAAATCTGCACGAGAAAAGAAATGAAAATAGAAATAAATTGATTGCATTTAATGAGTATGTCATGCACTATTCTCACTTTTTTCCTAGAACCATCAAATCACACTCAGTTTTCATATAATGTATTACACACAAAACTAATTCTTCATTCAAAACATCATATCAAATACCAATTTATACAGCGCTATGTTAATTATATCTTCTACTATTTTCAAATCCCAAACCCAAATACAAACCTTTATAAAAACAGAGTAAAGGTCCGAGAGAAAGGATAAAAGCAGAGGTTTCAGTTTAGAGCACATAAAAGAAGTCGAAAAAGATTTTTTTCTATCCGGAAATCTATTTCGTAATTTGCAACTCAAGTTAATTCAAACAAGATTTAGAAATTCTGATAATTGTTTGCTATCTGAATTAATAGATAAAATAGCATATCACTATATCCGTCTGAGCTCCAATTTACTGCTAAATGAACAGCAAGTTCCTCAAGCAGAAAAAAGGTACTTAAAGAAACATACCCCTGATAAAGCCAAGATGCTCCTCCATTCAACCTTATTGAGATGTCGCCAACATAGCATCCACATTCCAAGGGAGATAGCCTTAATGATCCCCCTACAGTCTCGAGACTAAGTGTTAGACCGACTTCCAGTCCTTCAACCTTACGAGAAGAGCATAATTTATCAATTTATTTTCAGAGGGGAAACATTTTTCTAATATCATTTTTGTAAAATGAAATTACAGGCTTCAGTGTTAGAGTGCAGGAGCATCTGCAGCTGGCCCATTCCGCAAAAGAGGTAAGAACTAAGGGTTGCGAGAGCTCGTCGTGTGATGTTTCAGTTTACAGAAATATACAGCTAATAGTGCAGTTCAATAAACCACATTCACCTAAATATTCATAGAAGTGAAATATTTCCATGTGTGGCTATGGATGGCTCCAAAATGATGATATCTCACTCCGCCTCATTTCAATTTTAGTCCCACTAGATATTAGATCATGATTTAAATTTAGATTCACAATTATATCTAAATACAATGCAAACCCAATTTGTATGGATTTAAGTTAAGCTTTTTTTTCGCCGGCCAAAATCACAAACTGTGTAATAATTGGTACATGTAACTATACTGAATTCACAAGTCTAGACAGAAAAATAGTTCATGGAAGTATATCTATGTAAATTGAACTCAAAATGAAATTTAATATAAATTTATGCTACAAAAAGTTTAAATTATCACCTAATTATACTGAATTTGAAGCAAGACCAGTAAGTGTGAACAAAATATACCATTTTCCCATATTATGAGATTCCATTAATCCAATCCCCATGATCAGTCAATTTCTAACACCAAGTAAACTATATGAGTTTGTTTTTTAAATGTCCGATCTCACACTATATGTTTAATATTTTCGCCCCAAAACCATCAAATCAAATACCGTATTTTTTATTTAATAAATTACAAAAAATATATATATTTCATTCAAATCATCACATCATATCCAATTTCAACTAAAATTTTCAACATTCCCAAACCAAAAACTCAGATCCAAACCTTAAGAGAATATACACATTTTGGTATCGTGCTGTTAGTCAAATTATTTGTAGTCGATCTTTCATTTACTCTACTCCCCCGTCCCACTTGAAGAGTCTTATTTACCATTTAGGGTTATCTAATCTAAATCGCCCATTTAAATTTATAGTTTATACATCCCTATACAATTACTAATTTACCTTACTTTATCTCTATTTAACAAAATATCATCCCATTTGCTTTTTATCTCTATTTACCAAAATATTAATCCAGCACTACTTCACTCTTTACCTCACTAAAATCAAAAGTAATTATTGACTTTTCCCTTTTATACAAACCCATTTATCAGGATAATAATATTTTTATTTAATCTACTATAAATTTCTTTTTCGACTATTTAGGCTGAACAGATAGAATATTACGCACAAAAAAATTTACCTTTTCATTCAAAAGATGAAATCAAATGACTATTTATATAGCATCAATCTCCATTTCACTTCAAATTTTTACCTATTTCCATTTACCAAGCTCAAATCCAAAGTTCTCAAACAGAATCATCCTCCAAGAAATGCTCAACAAACATATAGATTTAGCTACAGCATAAACTCCATATGTAGAAATCAATTCACCAAATTCCATTGATTTTTCATTACCTGAACAGTAGCGTTTCCATTATCCGAGAGTGAAATTGGAAGCAACCAAGTACTGTACGAATATTCCCAATTCATACTCAAATTCGCAGTGGCACCAGCGACGTCGATGACGATTCCAGAATCTCCAGTCTGCAAAGTAGACGAAGTCACGTCTATCCTTTCGATAACAATATTGGAAATCGCAATCTGGACGTTGCCTATGATCGGAATTTTCACCGCCTTCTCAATCCTGGGCAGCTCGAGTGGGACTAACGAAGATTCCGCTTCTTGTATCAGCAAATCCTTGAGAAATTCAAGCCCTCTGTTTGAAATTTCCGCTGTGATGTACCCATTCTCTCGAGATTCGACTTGTATATAGGAAAAGGTGAGCAAAAGGAGCAGCAAATAAGAGGAAATTATGCGCTCCATTGAGCGATTACAGATTGTAAAGCTAGATCAAAGTTAGGGTTTTTTAATTTGAATCGAAATTGGGGAAATCTTCGATCATTTTTGGGTGGACGACGAACCGAGCAGCAAAGAATGATTGCGATGAGTTGCTGGATTTGATCGAACGAAACCAACCGTTCATAATTAATCACGGTTGGGAATTTTGATGTTTTGTATTTATTTTTTTTAAGATTTTTTTTTTTTTTTTTTTTCTTCTTCTTCATTTTATTTTATTTTTTTATAAATAGAATAATTATTTAATACTACAATATTTTTATTTTTAAAATAACAGTACCAACATCTAAAACAAACACACTTTTTAGTAATGCTTAATTTTTTGACACAATTAATATTTATTATTTTTTATACTTAAAATTAATATTACTTATATATATTATCAAAATAGACTTAAAATTTTATAAAATTAATAATGCAAATTTTGAGTTAAATAGAATGAAGATATAGAAAAATAGTAAATAAAAATAAGAACCATATTTCTTTAACTTAAATATATATATATATATAAACTTACTTTTAATCAATTAAAGTGATGTTAGTTATTAAATTCCGAGGATTTACCCAAAAAATCACTAGATGATCTATAGAATTGTATTTAATTTTGATCTTTTCAAAAAGAATTAAATTCAACCCAATAATTAAAATCAAATGTGTTCTGTTCTTCTGTAATTTTAAACTAAAATCAATATTATTTATCATATTTTCAATAAAAATACAGTAATTTTATTTATAAAATATTATATTAAAATACTATTTTAAAAAAACACTTAAATCCACGCTATATTTCAAATTAATTTCATAGAGAACAATTTTATTTTATTTTTCAAAATTACACAGAGACAACCCACCCAATGCAGTAATTATTCATCAACATATAATTCCCAAAACTACACCAAATTTATTGTCTTTTTTTCTTCCTCAAACATAAAAAATATATAGTAATATATTTACAAAGAGCAGAAAATAACAATGGAAATAGAGACTAAACTACACACAAAAATTTGGCATCAAATATTCATCAACTCCCCAATAGAATCATCAATTCATCTATTAAAGAAAGAATCAAACAATGGATAAATCTCCCTCAAGAAGAGATTGCACACACCTGATGTCTCATTCCGCGACATCGATCACTCAGATTCATTTAGAATGGGGACGATCAAAGGGTTCATCTGTGCGAGGTACACGATTGCCCACCTGCGCAATGGCAAACCACCAAACGAATTAAGGAAGAATTTTTACATCAACAACGGCGACGAGTTTAGAAAATAAGGAAGAATTTTTACATCATCCAACAGCACACAGTTGCCGTGATAGCCAGAGTCGTGTGCAGCCTGAATTGCAAAGAGAATTACAGAGAGACGGATGAAATTAGGTTTTATTGATCGGTGAAAGTAAATCTTCAGAGGAAAGATCAGAAAAAGAAGAAGGTGAAACAAGAACACAACGAGGATATCCCACAAATATTAGCCATAACATGTCGCTTCTTTGCTAGTTTATGAATTGATACCAACCAATTTCACAAAGCAACAAAAACACATTGTGTAAACTCAGGTAGGGTGTTTTTGCATTTCCGAGCTTTTTTTTGCATTATCTATTTCCCCTAAAAAATATCGCATCCAGTGTCTGTTTTCCATGCAAGACATCATGTTCATAAGCGAATCCAAAATCTACGGCTCTATTTACATACTTTTGAAAATTTTGAAACTATTCATTAACCGAAATTTTTTCAAGAAACATACCATCAAACTTTTTACTTTTTCCGAGAAAGTTCCAAAACTCTGCAACTCCAAAACGTCTTATCTAAACGAGGCTTACAATTTCATTCGAATCCAAAATCAATATCCATCGAAAACATCACATCAGATGCCAAGATTCCATTCAAGAAATTTTAAAACCCAAAATCAGAGGAAAACACACCCTAAACTATCATCAGATCGAAATAATGATTTCTATGAACAAATAAAACGACGATTCAGTAAATAGGGTAAGGAAAAGTAATTGTGCTGAATTCAATCGCAAGAAATATGAACAATCAACAATAGGAGTTAAAGCAAAAAGCATACAGATTCGTAGATGGCCCTTTGTCGCAAATGATTCTCACACAAAGGGATGCAATAATCCCAACCACTATAAACAGTACGGTCATTACCAGGAACCCCATCTCCGACCTAACGCGTTCCCCAACACCAACACGTATTATTCCTTACCTGCAGCGACGAATTCAAGCAGGCAATTGTTACATTTCGCACAATCCCCAAAATAAATTAATATATAAAATTCAATCATGTCGGATTCCAGGACGCAACACGAAGATGAAGATGGGGAAATGGAATTTGGTTAATTTGGCCAAGGGGATTAAACTTATAGCGCAATTGAATGCGATTGTCATGAAGAACCCTAACTAACGCCAATTCGCATTGGAAACAAAATCTATTTTTCTCGAAATACGAAAATTACCCCCAAAAAACACCGAGGAGAAGAGAGGAAATGCTTCTGGCACGATCGGGCGATGATCTGATTGAAGATTCAACTGTCTCTTTCCCAAGAATCTCTGCCATGATCAGTTCGCCAAAATGGCTTTGGAATCCATTTTTGAAAATTACTTTGGGCCTGATGGACTCATGTGGGCTCTGTTTAATTATCTAATTAGATTTAATTTGTTTATTATTGAACCTTAGTCCACAATAAAATAAATAAATAAATAAATTGGTAGAAGTAGTTCCATAAAAAACAATCCCGTCCCGCTAAGCCTGTTACGTTTTGAATATTAGTACCCACTCCGTCCCAGATACCATGTCCGGGTTACCGTCTATCCGTCTCACATACCATATCATTTTCTTTTTTTTTTTAAATAATTACACACTTTAATCTTATTTTAAAATTGTTGATGTAATTTTTCAACAAAAATAAAGTAAAATTCAAAGATATAGAAAATATCCTTAAACTTGATTAATTAGTGCCTGAGATTAGGAATCTCTAAACACTGTATGGTACAGAAAATAAACTGGAAAATAAAAGACTGAAATTTAAAGTGGTGATCCCCAAATCTGACTTTGCTTTGTTGAAGTTGATTGAAGATGCCTTGCCAAATAATGATCCAAATCCTTAAATATTCTTTGAAGAAACTGTACTGAAAACCGTCGCCCGAACGGTTACCACGTCTTCTTCCCAACCGTCTTCCAACCCTTCTCCTGCTGACACGTGTCCTCAGCAGACCAAAATTATCTCTATATTTCACTCTTTGAGCCGACCACAGACCTTCCGCCCTTTTGGCCCGACTTCGTCCTTCGCCCAACCTGCTTCTTCGCCCGACCTCACTTGGGCCGACCTCCGCATCAGCCGCCCTCCGTCTTTGACCGAAGACCTCCGCATCTGTCCGTACCTCTTCCTTGCCCGACCTTCCTCTTGACAGACCTCCGCGTCTGCCCGACCTCGCCTTCTATCCGATCTACGGTTTACCCGACCTGCGGACTTCCCATCCTGATGGCTTTCCGTCTTGAGGACCTACCGACCTGAAGACCTTCCGCCCTTTAGACTTTCCGTCCTGAGGACTTCCCGACCTGAGGGCCTTCCGACCTGCGGACTTCCCGTCCTGATGACTTTCCGTCTTGAGGACCTCCCGACCTGAAAACCTTCCGACCTGAGGTCTTTCCGTCCTGAGGACTTTCCGTCTTGAGGACCTCCCGACCTGAAGACCTTCCGACCTGAGGTCTTTCCGTCCTGAGGACTTTCCGTCTTGAGGACCTACCGACCTGAAGACCTTCCGACCTAAAGTCTTTCCGTCCTGAAGACTTTCCGTCTTGAGGACCTACCGACCTGAAGACCTTCCGACCTGAAGTCTTTCCGTCCTGTAGTTTCCTTGATTTCCACACGGTGTCCTTCAGCCAGTTCAATCAACTCTATTGCCAGGCCCATTCTTCTTTTTACCTTGGGCTTTTAACCTAATTCTAAATTTCGTACGTAACAACTTGCCCGCCGCCAAGGGACTTTCAAACGCCATTTAACAATCAATGTTTGGAAGTTCATAAATCACCACCCTCTTGAAAAATTCCCTTAGCAACTGCACCAGTTACCGCAACACTCCTGATTAACTTCCTTCTCCGCAATACGAGCTTTTGTGAATCACAATCCCAAAACACTCTAACCATGGCGAATCAATATATTCCTGCCCTTCCCTTCGACGGAACCCTCCCAGAGGGCCCGTTTTCAGCCTCGAAAGTACTAACTCCGACGATCCGCCCATACTGCACGACTCCTGAAGACTCAAACCGGATCAGGGAAGTTTTGGAATCCCGAAATTCCTTGGCTATCAACAACCCTAACTACCAAGCAGTTCGCATTCGAGACAGCATCAAAACCCATCTCACAGACCCAAAAGATCCTTACCGCTCTTGGTATCGACGGGTAGCAGAACACTTCCAGGCCCAATGGCGATCTCAAAAAATCGACCAAGCAATACTATTGTCCACCATGCCGATCAATCTGCACGAGAAGGTGCTCCTAGCCATATCTGCCTTCTGGAATGCGGAAAATGGGACTTTTCTTCTACCATCGGGCCCCTTTGGTCCAACTCTTATGGATGTGGCAATGATCGCACATCTCCCAGTCGTGGGTGAAGACCCTGTGATGGGAGCCCTAGATGGGCAGGAGCCATCAGAAGACCATCCAGGGTGGTCTTTACAAGGTGTGAAGGAATGGGGCTGGACAAAGTTCGCAACCGATCAGCAAGGGGCTCCAGGGACCCCCGTGACCGACCGGGAGCATACTGCCTTTATCCTTTTTTGGCTTTGTAGGTACGTCATTGTTTCCCCTTCCAAATGTGTTCTTCCTTCTCATCTCGACCTGGCCATTCATATCGCGTCAGGTCGGTTCTTTTCCCTTGGCACCCTGTTTTTAGCTAATCTGTTTGAAGGCCTCACCAGGGTTAGCCTTCGTTTAACAGATAATGATAATAGAAAATTAGACACTGCCGCATCGGGTCCTTTTTGGTGTTTAGAACTTTGGTTCCGTCTTTACTTCCCCAACGCGTTCAACTTAGGATCTCCGCCCACTATGCCAATATCCGAAAAACATTTGGGATTAGCCCTCAACCGACTCTGCTCAGGACGCAATAAACTCCAATCTTCCGATCCAATAATAACCACAATTTTAACAGATACCCGCAGTAACTCTCGATTTTCTATGTATAAAAAGTATGCGGGTTATGCTCCCGACCATTTTTGGCCCTTTCCGGCACCAAATCCTCTTCCGACTCCTGAGCCTTGTCCTCATCCCACCTATCCTTTTGCCTGGGACGTTGCCCTCAAACCCAGGTCTCTTTTTAGCAGCAAAAAACTTGATAAAAAAGGGCAGAAAACTTTTTACACCTTTAATTATGAACCTCAATTCATGGCGCGCCAGTTCGGCTGTTGCCAAGGTATCCCTGGACCCGTCGTTTGTCCGCATATAATTTTTCAAAGTCCTGACCGACGAGTCCTACCTAATTCAATCCCTTCTTATATCTCCCAGCTCACCACGTATATAATTTCCAATTCTTATATTCCTTTCCGCTCCAACCCTGAGACTGTAGATACATTCAATGAATGGTGGTCGGTTGTATGGCCCCTGATTTCCCCTAATGAGGATCGGTTGCTGAATATACTCCTTCCCCCCCAAGGATTAGTTCTAGGGGCGGCTAGACATACTAGCACTCAGCAACAAACAGCCGTCCTGGGAATCGGATCTAGTGTTCCAATGCGAAAAAGGAAAGCTTCCCAGCTGCAAACACCCCCGACCTCTGGGGCCGACCATCAAGCTCCAGCGAACCGTGGAACTACTAGGACGTCAGCAAGGACCCGACCCCGAATAGGTAATTTTTCTTAAAACCGTGAACCAATTCTCACTTTATCTTAACTTTGATTTCACTTATTTCATTCACCAGAACCGACCTTGGTGACACCAACCACACAAACGACGCTAGCCCCAGCCGACCATTCAATCGTACCTATGGTCCAGACCAATTTGCCAATGAGCAGTCGGGCGGAGGACCCGACGAGGAGGCAAACTCTTCCTCCCGTACCGAGGAGTGGTCGGGCCAGGCACCCGACCAGGAAGCAATCTTTACCAGCAGTGCCTATAGAACCAGTAAGTTCTCTCATCAGCAATACTTAGGATTCTAATGATCAACCTTGATATATTTAACAACAACATTCCCATGATTTTTCACAGACACCTTCACCCGTCGCATCAGCAGCAGGGGTCTCTTCAGACAGTGAGGGGACTACTTCCCAGATGGGTCGACCGCCATACATGGCATCAGACTCCTCCATTTCGAAGGAAGAACCAACTGCCCCTGCCGAAGCGGACCCCCACAACAACATTCCTGCTGCTGCTGATCCCGAAATAGTCCAATCGGATGCAGCCGCGCTGGAAACCGAAAGTGCCCCAGCTGCGGCTATCTCAGTTGCTCCAGAGATCCCGACTACAGTGGCTCTAGATGCAGCCGCCCAACCTGCAGCCGCCCAGCCAGCAGCGGCGTTACCTCCAGCAATCGAGTGGCAAGCAGAAGAACCACCTGTGGCAGCCCAACCTCCAGAAATAGAAGAAGTTTCTTCGTCCGATTCGGAGACTTCTGTGAATTTGGTAAGATTAAACCAATCCATGCCATAATGTTTCTTTCGGAAAACACTAACTGTTTTATATACTACTTTCCATAGGGACCCAGGTCGGCACCTCAGCGACCATTCGCAGCAGCCGACGAGTCGGCTGCTGTTATACCAGCTGTCCGCCCTACTCGACCGACCTCATTGCTTCCCCCCTCACTGACAGCAGTTCGCCCAGAGGTGACACATATCTTATCTGAATAAATTTGCACCTCCCTTGGAATACTTATTGACACTGTAAGACTTGCAGGGGCCTTCGGACTTAGCCATCCTATCGACTGTTCCGGTTCCAGCGGAGGCCCAAACTATATTCACTGAGGCCATTAACCATCCCCTGTCAGAATTAAGATCCGACTTATTGGACAAACTCATTGAGACGGTTGGTGGCCTTCTTTTTTACACTCCGACGGAATCGCCAGCCGTCCCCATTCTGCATCGGCTGATGGAAAGACTTACAGAGCTCAAGACTGAAGTGTTAGTTATTGGACTCCTGTCAGCCGAAACCCCCCAGCCTGTCTTCGATCAAACAACGCTGGAGAATTCTTTGGCTAAAACCCGAGAATCCCTTCAGCAGACTACTGGAAGGCTGGGTGGTCTCCTTAGCACGAAGGCTCAAGTTGATGAATCCATTCAGAAAAAGGAGGCAGAATTGCGGGAGCTAAGGAAAGAACAGTCTACCCTGGATAAGCAAATTACCAATGAGCAGCGTCTGCTTGAGAAGTATACAAAGAATGAGGCTGAATTGGATCAAGAGCTGAAAACCCAAGCTCGATCCCAATTCATCAGAAGATATCAAACGGCTGCTAATACCAGAAGGCTATCCAGGGATGAAGTCAAATGGACACATATAAAAACTGCCCTAGGGGCACTTTTGTAACACTTCCCCCTCTGTAACAACATTTGACTTAGTAATATATTTTTCCTTCTTCTCTCAAAACAAGG